AACATACTTCACGGCATTAGATATATGAGAAGCCTACTACCAAATATAAATAAAAGAAGGCAAAGAATAGAAAATAGTATTTAGGACATGATTCAGATTATACAAATTCTTGGTTATGCCTTTTGGATTAACCAACGCACTAGCAACATTCTAGGCGCTTATCAATAACGTGCTACGCGAATATTTGGACATATTTGTGGTAGTATACCTAGACGACGTCCTGATATTTACTAAAGGAACCCAAGAAGACCACACAGAAAAAGTCAGGCAAGTACTCAAGAAACTTAAAGAGTACGAGCTTTACCTCAAAGTATCAAAGTGTGAATTCTATAAACAATCAGTCAAGTTCCTAGGACATATTGTGTCAACAGAAGGAATCCAGATGGACCTAGACAAGATCAGAGCTATTATTGATTGGCCTACGCCAACAATAGTCAAAGAAGTACAATAGTTCCACGGACTAGTGAATTATTATCGACAATATATATACAAATTCTCAGCAACAGCGAAACCCCTGATGGACCTATTTAGGAAGGTAAAAGAGTTTATTTAGGGAACTAATAAAGAATAAGCATTTAAAGAACTTAAAGAAAAGTTTAGTCAAGGAGACATATGAATATACTTCGACCTAAACAAAGAGAGTTATCTTGATACAGATGTATCAGACTATGCGATCAGAGCACGGTTATAACAAAAAGATGACATAGGAAAACTAAGATTGGTTACATACTACGCAAGAACCATAACCCCTACAGAACAGAATTATAATATCTATGACAAAGAGTTACTAGCAATTATTACAGTATTTAAGAGATAGAAGCAAGAGCTCCAAGGAGTAAGGCATCTGACCACAGTTATCAGCGACCACCAGAATCTGATATACTTTATGATGACCAAGGAACTTACTCGTCGACAGTCAAGATGGTATACTAAGGTGCTAGCCTACTACAACTTTAAAATATAATACTATAAAGGAATAGAGAATGCCTTCGCGGACGCGTTAAGTAGAAGACTAGATTTAATAATAAAGAAAAGAGAATCTAGAGTAATATTATATCTAGATCCAGATACCAAGGGTATGATCTTAGATTAGCAAGCATTGAGAGCTACTCAAACGGTCACGACCAAGGAAGACACTCTAATAAACGAAATACGAAAAGTAATAATAAAAGATCCCTTATTCAAACGAATCAAGGACAACAACAAAAAATATAAAAAGGAAAATAGAATACTTCTATATCAAGGATTAATATATATACCTAGAGAAGTACGACCATGAATACTAAGAGACAACCACAACGCAAAGGTTGTAGGACATTTCGGAATTAAGAAAACCATAGACCGAATAACGCAGAACTATTATTAGCCAGGAATGTGGAGAGAGATTAGATGATATATTTAGGAGTGTGAAGTTTGCTAATAAAATAAATCAGAACGACACGCGCCATATGGACTCCTACAGCCTATACTATATAAGGAAACAGCATGGAAATTAATAGCGATGGACTTTATAGTCAAGCTACCGAAGTTAATAGAGCCATGAACGGGCATTTAATACGATTTGATACTTACAGTCACGGACAGACTGACGAAGTATACTTATTTTATACCATTTATTAAAAAGACTACATCACCAGAGACAGCATATATCCTGTTATAACATATCTTCGCAGACAAAGAATTACTAGACGAAATTATATTAGATAGAGACATAAGATTCATGTGTAAATTCTGGACGACACTTACTGAAAGAATAGGGATTAAATAGAAAGCCTCGACGGTATATCACCTACAGACAGACGGACAAAGCGAAAGGATGAACCAAACAGTAGAACAGTACCTAAGATATTATATTAACTATGAATAGGATAACTAGGTTTCACTACTACCAATAGCACAGCTCGCCTATAATAGAGCGAAGAACGCCTCAACAGGCATGACACCTTTCTTTGCAAACTATAGAAGAGAAACAGAAATAATAAAAACACTAAAAGAAGGCAAGACGCACACCTTAGAAGCAGAGGTTTTAGCAGAACAGATGCGCAATCTCCATAAACACCTATAGTTAGATCTCAAATTCTTAAACTATAGAATGAAACACTACTATAACTAATAGCACGTGGAAGCGCTAGACTTTAAGAAGGGGGAAAAAGTATTTCTACTTTAATGAAACATCAAGATATTGAGATTAAGCGATAAATTGGACCACAAGAAACTAGGACTATTCAAGATTTTGGAAAAAATTGGACAACTTAATTACAAACTCCAACTCCTAGAACATATGTAAATATACCTAACATTTCACGTCTCATTAATTAAAAAAGCACCCCAGAACGCTAAACCATACGAACCAGAAATATAACCAGAAAATCAAGAAAAAGAACATGAAGTTGAAAAGATCCTAGATAAGAAAGTGATTAGCGGACAAACTCACTACTTGGTTAAATAGAAAGGATATGACTTTTTAGAAAACACTTACAAGCCAGCTAGACACCTGAAGGATTCACCGCGCCTAGTAAAGGAGTTTTACTGGCGGACTTAGCGTCAGGAGAAGAGACTAGCGGAGCAGGATCCAGGAATAAAGTAAGGTTGGATAAAGAACTTAGTTCACTTAGGAGCTATTAGAAGTCATGCTCTTGGAGCTCGGCCAGACGACTCTTCTCTTCCTCTAGCTTTTCTAACTCCTCCACGGTCTTAATAGACAATTTAACAAACTTACTGATATGATTCTGAAGGAACTCATACTGACAAGTAAGATAATCAAGATGGGCATTGGAATTATTTAATACTTTTTGAAAGGCTTCATAAATTTACTGAGATTCCTCGCGAGCCTTATGCTCTTTTAACTCTAACTTTTCCTTTTTATACCAAACTTTGGCCTAGTTAGATAAAGAAGGTGTACAATTATGAACACAAGGACAACCTGTATAAATACACTTTAAACACTTTGTGGAATAAGACAACATAATATAAAGGCCGCCATTCTCTAAATAACAAATATAATGGGAAGGCATCGCGACACCAGTTTTTGCAATGTTTTCTTTTAGCACATGAGCACGGATAGAGGAAGAATCTTTGGAAGACTTTGGAACATCAGTAACACCCTTAGAACAAGCCATGGCGAGGCATACTCAAGAAAAACACAATAATGAACCAAGGAGAGGGAAACTAACCAGGTTTATATATGCGCGCGTCGGGACGACTTGTTGAGAAAGGAGGGGATGATGTTACAGACCACCTGCGGCGCAGCCCCAGGATATACACTCATTGGACGGGAGGATCACGGGCCAGACCTTGAGGGCACCAGTCACGTGACCAATAGCGATAGGACCAATAGGACGGGCTTGGCAGCTTCCTATCAATACTATCACAACAACCAATAGGAGTAATAGAAACCTTTTGGTGGAGAACTATCGTACCTATCACTAGATATATACCATATATATAAAGACACTTATTACCTTAGGATTAAGAGTCTTATACTCGCAATCAAACTAGCTACAGTTTTACTATACTACTTAATACAAAGCACCATTCTAGTTGTCTTATACTATATTCACTAAATACCCCTTTGCCCATTAATATAGATCAACTTTGTCTTTACTGCTCATAAGGACCTTTAGCCTTTATCTAACCAAGGCACTGACTAAAGCCATACTTAGAACTAAAGGATAGTCTTACTATAGTATTCTATCTCGCCCTAGTACCAAGCCATCTCCTATAACGACTCACTTCTAACCTAAGCTTTCCCTAAGACCTTCATACCTTCTATCTTACGGCAGATGTGAACCTCTGATCACCTTTAGGTAATTAAGGAGCGCCGTCAGCTTGTGACAAGGGTCAAATAGATAGTAGCTAAGTGGTAGGTGAACATAGTGACAAAGAGAAAGAAGAGAAAGAAGAGAGAGGGAGAAAGAGGAAAAGAGGAAAAGGGGAGAAGCGCTTCCTATCTATAGGGTCGAGGGTATACTAGATAACTATAGTATTATAAATACTTGCTAGTAGTTAAAGCGCTTATAGGGTAGTGTAAATACGGCGTTAAGTTCTTTTAAAGTACTATGAAATTATATAACTTTAAGAGAACTTACGTGAATTCGTATAAATTCACAAGCATAATTCTAATACCTGTTTAGGAAAACTTATAAAATGGGGCTGTTGGTTTAGTGGTATAATACCCCCTTAGCATGGGGGTGGTCCAGGGTTCGATTCCCTGACAGTCCATTTTTTTTGCTCTTCCTGTATCTTGACTTTCACGAAAGTAGGCGCACTTCAGTTCGGCCAGCTTATCTGAATGTCCTCGCTTTTTGGTGGAATTGAGTATATGCACGATAGAAGGATGCGTTCATCAACAGGCTTGGTATCCGTATCGTAACACCACATTATGTGATACCTACACTGCAGACTGGATCGCAGTTTATATTTCGATATAGAGAGCGAGATCTAATATTTTATCTATTGGCGTCTTTTATTACCTGGTAAAGCTCAGTCAAAAGTAGTATGGCCTATATACGGAGTAGAGACATCGAATATCGAGCAGTGGAGTTCATCGACCTGACTGTTCAGATTTATATATAGATTTTTTAGTATTACATCCCCTTCGCATGAATTAAATAAGCAAGCAGTATGTAGGTATGAATTATGTTCCATCACGACTTGACCTTTCCGTCTCTACTATCTTTCCATCTTCTGTATTTACCCCTATTGTCATACTCTATCTTCCACTTATTCCACTTATTCCTCTGTTATACTGTTATACTGCTCTATTGCTGCTCTCCAGCTAGGTGGTGGTGTGGTCTGATGATCCCGTGACTCGCACCAACCTCAACCTGCCAGAAAATCTTCCTCCAACGTCACTGCAAACCACAACCAACGCCATATCGACTTCCACCGTGAGCTTCATCTCCCTCTTGCGTCTCCAATTGACCGTTGCCCGCATTAACACGCCGCCGTACAGCTCTCCCTCCGCCTCCGAGCGTCAATCTTCGCTTCATCCACCCGCAATGGCTTCCACGACCCTCTTCCGTCTCGCTACGCGCTCCTCGTCCGCCGCCTCCCTCTTCAAGGCCGCACCATACACCGCTCGCGCCAGGCTACCGGCTGCTGTTCCTGCGCCGGCCGCCAGACTCAGCGCCTTCAGCACGACCCCCATGCGATACAGCGGCGCCCACGAGGAGGAGACCTTTGAGCAGTTCTCAGCCCGGTGCGTCTAGACCAGCCAAACACAAGTAGCAATTGGCAGTTAAACCTGTCAATATAAGCATCAATAGTCAATGGAGGGTACTGACGGAAGCAGATATGAAAAGGAATTCGACAGCGTACAGGATGTCTTCGAGCTCCAGGTTAGACACTCGCCAAGTCACGCATTTCAACGACCATCGACTCACACACTGCTTTTTTATTATAGAGAAACCTTAACAACGCCTTTGCGTACGATCTCGTCCCATCCGTCGCTGTCATGACCGCCGCTCTCAAGGCTGCCAGAAGAGTCAACGACTTCCCCACCGCCGTCCGTGTTTTCGAAGGTAACTCTACCCGTGTACCTGGTTTATCATCCATTTCTAACATCATCCAGGAATCCGATCAAAGGTCGAGAACAAGTCCCAGTACGAAGTCTACCTTGAAGAGCTCAAGGATCTACGAGAGGAACTCGGCGTCGTTCTCCAGGAGGAGCTATATCCAGAAGAGTCCAAGTAGAGTAGCACATATCACTTGCTCGCTCCCTCCTTTTGTATCTGAAAAACCTACTGCTCTTGTTGTAACATGTCTTCATATAGATAAAACAATTCTTATCTTTGTTTTTTTGTCTGTCTTTTCTGCCTGTCCTTTTTTGGAGATGGCACGAATCGATGTATACATATGGTGGTCGTCTGAATCAATTGACTTGTTCGTTTATCTGATCAAAGTCGATATTTACACACGAATGTGCCCAGCATTATATCCAATGATAATCATCGTAGTCTATATACAATCTTTTAAACACCTATCTAAATATTCTTTTGCAATACTCAATTCTATGCTTCTAAGCTTTTACGTATCCAGCGACTGATGAATGACGTTCGCCCTATAACTCTTGCACCTCTCTACCAATTCCCCATGCGTCCCCTGATCAACACACTTGCCTCCCTCAATCATAAATATCCTATCCGCCCGATGGATCGTGTTCAACCGATGCGCTATAGCCACTATGGTCGTTTTACGTGCAACCTTCGCCAACGCATCCTGAACATGCTTCTCGCTCTCCACATCAAGCGCACTAGTGGACTCATCCAACAGCAGAAGACGAGGTTTCCTCACCAGAGCCCTCGCAATACTCAACCTCTGTCTCTGACCACCACTAAACTGTTTTCCATCCTGGCCGCAGACGGTATTATATCCGTCCGGCAGCGCGGCAATGGTGTCATGTATATTAGCTAGACGGCACGCCTCCTCGATCTCTTCCTGTGTAGCTTCGACGTCAGGACGGGCGCCTAGACCGATATTAAAGGCTACTGTTCCTTCGAACATGACGTTCTCCTGTGGTACGAGGGAGATGGTATCTCGGAAGGCAGCGCCGGATTGTTTGGTGATGTCTGTGCCGTCGACCAGGATGGAGCCTGAGGCTGGATTGTAGAATTTCTCCAATAGGGCAAAGGTGGTTGATTTGCCAGAGCCAGAGGGGCCGACGAGAGCACAGAATTGGCCTGGTGGAATGTTAATTGTGAGGTCGTCGAGGGCAGGCTGGTTGGGGCGGGATGGGTAGCGGAAGTGGACGTTGCAGAATTGTACGCCCATGCCCTTTGTTGGGAATGAAGATGGAGTAGCTGTATTTGACTGGGCCTCGACATCCTGGGGCTTGTCTTCGATCATGTAGAATCTTGGATCGGTGTGTTTGGCATGGGCACTAGAGCTACTTTTGTCATATTCTTCGTCGCCGTCGTGTTTGATGGATAGGAGATCGACGATGTTGGATGCTGCAATGCGTGCCTTGGAGATGTCAGGTACCAGAGCGAACATCTGGCCGCATGACTGTGTACTGAACAGCAGTGCAGGCAAAACGATGAAGAATTGCACTTGCGTATACATGCCAGATAGAATCTGTTGAGATCCCCACCAGTAGGCCAGTGCATATACCAGCGTGCTGATACTGTATGCCAACGATAGCCAAAAGTTCCCATACAATACCGACTTCATGTTCGACTTATACGGAGCTCTCAGAGACCGACTAAATACTCCATAGGCCTCACGCTCAAGCGAGAATGCTGCGATTGACTTGATATTATCCACAGCCTCGACGGTGATAGCCGTCGCTTGTGCAAATGCCTTCTGATGCTTCTTCTGGTATTGAGCCATTATACGAAGTCTAAGGACTCCCGAAGCCAGGAGAACCGGCAACGTAGCTAGAAGAACGACAGCGATCTTCCATGCAATAATATGCGATAGGATGACACCTGCAAATAAATTCGCAATGGTGGAGAAGAGCACGCCAATCGTGGTGCCTGTCAGACTGCTCAGGGCAGAGGCGTCGCTGGTAACATGGGCAATTAGTAGCCCAGGTGTTCGTCCATCAGAAGTATGCCATTCCAACGGCTGTCGGAGCAGTGAGCGCAGTGAAAGTACCCGTGTTCGATAGAGGGTCTTCTCAGCGGCCCAGCCAAACGCGGCTCCGTTGACTATCACAGCGATGAACTTGACTACTGCAAGAATGAAAAAGAGCAGACCAAACAGCATACCGCTATCGCGGATGCTCGGGCCGCCTCGACAGACGCTGAGGCTGCCTACGGTGTGACCGAAAATGACTGCTTCACCAGTATAGCTGACTCCAATCATGATGGAGGTAGCCAGTCCAAGCGAGATAAGTAGTAGATTCGGCCGGATGAGCGGGAATGATCCCTTCATAGTAGCCCATAGGCTTTGTTTGGGCTTCTCCTTCTCATCAGATTCAGCCTTCACTTCTTCCGTTTCTTCAGGTATATATAGCTGGGCGGCTTTCTCCTTTTCGTCTAGCGCGCCCTTATCCATTACCAGCGTCCCGTCTTTATTCACAAGCGTGTCCGTAGTGATTAGAGACTTCTCGACGTTTGCATCAAGCTGTGTGGACTCCGTCATAATCGAACTAGAGGAACTGAACTTCCCTAGATTCTGCAGCCGGACCATACCAGCATACACCCCATCCTGTGCTACGAGATTCATATGCGTTCCCTGCTCCATCACCTTACCCTTCTGCATAACGATGATGTTATCAGCATCCTTAGCAGTAGCCAATCGATGTGCGATGGAAACAGTCGTGACATTTTCAGACACCTTGTTCAGAGCTGCCTGTATCAGTCGCTCGCTGGTCGAGTCAAGCGCAGCCGTAGCTTCATCTAGTAGTAACAATGGTGGATCTCGAATTAGGGCCCGAGCAAGGGCGATCCGTTGTTTCTGACCACCACTTAGTTCCGCACCAGAACTGCCTACCCTTGTCGCTAGACCATCGGGTAGTGCATCGATGAAGTCAATCGCATTTGACAGGGTAGCCGCATGACGCGTAAGATTGACGATCTCTTGGATCGTATCTTCGTACTCTGATACAGCTTCCTCTTCACTTGCCCCCTGTCGCATTTTCTCGGCTAAGTCAGAAAGGCTCGAATCTAACAAGGCAGGTAGAAGATGTTCGTGTTTCTTCTGAGAGGAGCTGACGAGCCCGTGCGCGATGTTTTCTAGTATAGATCGATCGAGCAGATTAGGCTCCTGTTGAACAAGTCCAATGCTTCCTCGTAGATGTCGGACATTGATATCCTTTAGGTCCCGATTACCCACACGGATGGAACCTGTGATTGGATCGTATAGTCGTTCCAGAAGTGCGACGACAGTCGACTTGCCGCTGCCTGAAGTCCCTACAATAGCCGTATGTTTGTTTGGAGGGATCTTGAAGCTTACGCCTTGCAGCACGGGGACCTCGGGGCGAGCTGGATACTTGAACGTAACGTCTTGAAGCTCAATTTCCTCTGCGGCCAAGGAAATGGTCGCGTCACCTTCCGAGGAGGTTCCGTCAATAGCAGACTGACGTCGAATGGTGGTCATGAGCCTTTCCGATGCAGATGCCGCCGAGGCGAAAATATGCATAAATGGGGCCATCTGGCTGAGAACAAATGAGGCTAAAACCGTAGATGTTAGAATTTACTCTTAATTATGAAGGGATGGAAGTACTCACCGTCAAGTAGAACAAATATAACAGTGTATACAGCGCCAACCGAGACCTTGGATGGCTTCCCCTCCGCAAGATCAGCTATCATTCTACTCCCTTGCCAGAATGCAAGCGCATTCGATGCATATGCCACAAAATAGAGCATACCGAACTGCATAGAATGGGTGAGGGCCTTCTTCAACGAATCCATTCGTGCACTAGCCAGATGATGAGCGAATAGCTTCTCCAGCCTCGCATTCGCGTTAAATGCGTGGACGATACTCATATGAGACAAACTAGATGATGCAATTGACGTTGCGGCGTTGATATGAGTCGATATTCGGCCCGAGTATTTCTTGATATAGTGTCCTCCACCAAACGCCATCAGGAAGTAGATAGGAACAACCGATATGAGCATGGCTGCGATGGTTGCAACTTTGAGAAATGCAACAACGTACGCAGCAACGAAGTAAGAAATGGTACCGATAAACAAGCCTACTTTCTCTGACGTTCCTGCTTGAATTACTTCAATATCACTGACCAGACGAGAGGTAACATCACCCGAAGGTAGAGTGTCTGTATAGGAAATCTCTTGTCTCAAAAGACTGTGGAAGTATTTGGTCCGTAGACGTCGAACCAGGCGTTCGCCAACCATGCTCCAGCACCCAGTGTGGATGTACATGCATACGAAATTTAGGATCGAGACATAAATGACCTGCAACACCTTGGTGGTGATGGCAGCTTGGTAGCCTCCAGGTGGAGGTGGAGCGGTAGTGCATGTCGACGAGTTCAAGTCATCGACTAATTCACCGAACAGAATACCGAGTAGAGGGAATGGGATGCCTGCACCTATTCCTGAAATTGTTCCAATGATTATGAGTGCAATATCTGTCTTCGCAGGCTGTGTCCCAAACAGTAGTCGAAAGTATCCGAATGTTGGAGTTATGGTGTTTTCTCGAGAGAATATATTCCGGATTTGTGACGACCACTTCAATCGGGTAAGCTAGAAGCAAAGAATGGGGGCTTCGAGTAGTTTTAGACATACCTTTGGCGGACTCTGTGATGGTGTCTGCACTTGTACGCTGGTATTTGCTGTGGTGTCTCCGGTCACCAGCCCTGCTCCCGAGGGAGTGTCCTCCTCTTCCTTTGCCATTGAGAGCCGTACTCAAGTATGGTCGATAGGAAATTGCTCTCAATTCGACCACAAGAGGTCAAGAGGCCAGGAGAACGGTTGGTAAACTCCGGACGAGGAATTGAGGAGCGAGAGATTGCATCCGGTAGCTCATCCCATCGAAAGTGTATATATCGGGACAACGGGGAAGAGAGGAAAAACGAACAAAAAGACAAAGCTGCTTCCGGACGAAGCGGTCTTAACGTATGCATGCTGAGGACTGCTCCAGCACCCAGGTCTAACCCAGGCCTAACCCAGATCAGAAACCTTTGCTTTGGGCACGAGTGGGTATTCCATGGCGGGGCCGAGCAAAGGAGAAGAATTTTTATCAGATTGCAAGGATGGGAATTGTGCAGGCATAGGTTGCCCCGTCGCTGGGCAAACTCAGCTAGTGCACATTACCCTGAGTGCCTTGGGGGTTCGAACCAGGGGCGATGCCGTGACCTGAAACATTCTCTCGTGGCGGCTGCATCCAAAGCAAACATGCAGCCGGACCAGACAGCCATGGCAGACAGACTAGACAGTCCAGACAGTCGTGGTAGACATGGCGGACATGGCTGAGGACAAGGCGAGGAGTGTTCCGCTGAGGGAAATGTCGGATGCAAGGAGATGGCCGAGAGACGCTAGGACAGAGATAAGATGGCAGTGGCTCCACTCTTTTCCATCTGATAACCTTGTCTCGACTTGTGCGCGGAACGAGCGAACTTTTCGCATACGAACAAGAGACCAGCATCAGCGCTTTGCTGCTGGCAGTGGCCATCATTGGCCTGCAGGAAGCCCACACGGCATCTGATAAGGATCCACGTTGTCCACGAAAAACGAGTTTCGTGCCTGTTGCATCATGGAGGGCCCCCTGACGTGTTTGCACTTTCTTGCGGAAAAACCCATGAATGGCCAGCCGTGCTGATGGACCGAGGGCGGGTAAGGGTCCAGGGGTCGCTAAACCTACGTTGCATTATCAGATGGACATGGCCGGAGCGATTTTCCAGAGAGTGGGTTGGCCAACGTCCCCTCAATGGCCTGATTTATGGATATCCGGCTCTCTCTCTCTCTCAACGAAAACGCTAGCTCTTAAGTTGCATCATATACACTCGTATTCCGGCTCTCTTGTGACCGTTGGACAACAAAACGAATATATTTTGGCCCCTCTGACGTCCCCTCGGCCGCCAATTCAAAAATTTCCCGACGTAATCCCGTTGTCCTGCGCTCTAAGGGAAAAAGGCCATTGTTCATAGTCCCGGTTTACCCAATTGATTATTTGAAGATGTCGAATTACTCTTTGCTCTCACAGGAGCGTGCCCCCTTCATTCGAGTCCCTGAACCACAGAATGCTAGCTACGAGATCGTCGAATCCTCTCCCAACTGTAACCCGAAATCTCTCCGGGTTCAATTATGCGCCGAGACCAACGCAGAATCAAAGCCGCAGAAAGTAACTCTTCATCACCCCAGCCTTGCTTTCACAGACCTGTGCATGGAAGATGCTTCGTCTATTCCTCCGGACAATAATAACTCAGCATGGGCTCGCGCCAAAAAGAACCCGATTTCTAACATGAAATGGGAAGGGAATGATACTCCAACCGTCGGGCAGATCTGGATTGTTGTCTATTCTATCCTCACAGTCCATCCAGAACTAGAAGTGTTCAGAATCACATTAAACGGAGGCGGGAGTGATGTACTAGCTCGACAGCTTGAAGCTGTTGGATTGGCGATCTCTCACCCCGCGCCCAGCGCCCCTCCAGGCCAACCAGTCCCTACTTCGGAAGACCATATTGGCCAGCTAGTTGTTCTCAGACGGTCATTCTGGCAGGGTGCCGGCTCTCCCTTTGGACCAAAACCAATTTGGGTTGCTGGACCTGAAAATGCGGACATCTCTCCATCGTTCGAATCTGCTTTCCCTCCCCGAGCACTGGATTACTCACTGACCACAAAATTCCCCTCGTCACGAATTCACACAACTCATCCAATTCGCCCAGTGAAGCCGACACCGGGATCGACCATTTACAGCCGCTATATCCCTCACTTGAAGGAGACATTCTCCATGGTCGCGCTTGATTGGACGAATGAGGAACATGTTAACTATTTCCATGTATGGCAGAATGATCCCAGAGTCGCTGCAGGGTGGAATGAAACCGGAACCCTAGAACAGCATCGGGAATATCTACGAAATATTCACGAAGATATTCACCAATTCCCAGTCCTGGCCAAGTTCGATGATACATTTTTTGCCTATTATGAGATTTATTGGGCCAAGGTAAGCCATCAACTAAAAATGAAGCGAAACCAACACATATTAATGTATTAAACCATAGGAGGATGCCATTGGGCCCTACTACGATGCCGGTGATTACGACCGTGGTCGACACTTCCTTGTAGGCGACGCTCGTTTCCGTGGCCCACACCGCGTTAAGGCCTGGCACACCTGCCTAACACATTACATGTTCCTCGATGAGCCTCGCACCAACTTGACCGTTGGCGAGCCGAGAGCAACTGGCGCCAAAGTCCTTGCTTACGACCAAGCGAACGGATACCATATTAACAAATTTATTGATCTACCCCATAAGCGGGCCGCTCTGATCATGTGCCCACGGGAGAAATTCTTCCAGCAGCCTCCCTTCGAATATTGTGAAAGTTCATAGGAATCCTTTTGGAAATCACTTGATTTATTTGTATTGTGCGATAAAAAAAATCTGCCCTCAAGTGTAGGGAAATGTACCGGGTTGATAGTTATTACGCTTCTCTCCGAGGCGATAATGAACATATGCAAGAATACGAGATTAGCCAAGCGTAGTTGGATAAGCTGTTCAAACGAAATCTGCCTCCCCCGTTCGTAACCAGATAAAAAGTGTGAATTCCCGAAGTTGACTAGAGGTACATGCATCCTGCATGCATGGAAGCCCATGAACGAAAGACACGAAACGAAAACTTTTAACAACCTTGTCGCCCAGTCCAGAATCCAAATTCTGGTCAAACTCCCAAACCCTCAAATCACTCTTCTTTTACCATGGATGTGCCCCTATACAAAGCAGATAGTCCGTACGGTAGTAACGATACAGCCAGCAAGGAGGGTCGAAACGCTGATATCTCGAGCAAAGCTTTTGAAGTTCCGAAGAAAGAAAGCAGGAACAGGGAAAAAGAAATGTGTAGTTAAACGCGGGCACGGGGGTTTTTTTAGCACACGACTCAGTGAGGAGAGAAAAGAAGAAATATATAAAGAAGAATTAAATGGATACTATTGAGGTTGGGCACAAAGATGAAAAGAACTAATATCAAATAATACAATCCCGACGCTGAAGCATCATTGGCTAGAAGGTATCCCAGTTCATCTCACAGCGTGACAGCGTGCAAAACGCGATACATTGCCTGCGTCGTGAAAACCAAAGGGGCAGAAAGGGAGAATAAAAGTGTTGACGAGTTGGTCAGGAGATATTAAAGAGAGTATAGGGTTGTCCAAAGTCAAGGGTATGACGCAAATATGTAGCTGAGAAAAGAGAATTTGAAGAGGAAAAAACGGGGCTACGGGAAGAAAAGGAAGACAGAATGAGAATGTCTCGGATCAAACCTTTGGTTTCCGCATGATATAATATGTTAGGAGCGGTCGGACATCCTCAACTGGGGAGTTAACTATGGACCAAAACTTGTCTTCCGGCTTGACCATCTCGTGTAACTCTAGGCAGAAGTCCATCACTGCACGACGAACATCAGGCTGTGGGTTCCTGAGATTCTCGCTGGCAAATTTGCCCAGTCGTTCAAGTTCTGGATCACTGAAGTATAGCTTCTTATCGTTTAGACGACGTAGGAGTCCGCAGAGAACATAAGTGCCCATGGATATCATGCGACTCGCCTCTGGAGATTTCTCTTCTGTTTCCAGGAGGTCGAGAATTGCGTCAGCTACTTCTGGAGGATTGCAGGCACTGACGATATCCTCGGACGTTTCCTCAAGGCCGGAAACAATGTGATTTGTGATCTCGTAATGTTTTCTTGCCGTGATGATCGAGATCATTGCCCTGGAGTAGAACTTTGAAAAAAGCTCTCGGTTTTGGGAGAACATAAGACGTATGGTGAAGAGAACTTGTGTTTTTAAATCGAAAGACCGACCAGTGCTTGAAGCCTTATCTCCATCGGGGGATTCCAATGCATCGAATAACGCGAGCAAAATTTGGGAATATTTGGTCTCGTCGTTAACAATTGACTCGTGGTATCGGACTAGGCCCTGAAATTTCCTATAACCATGGACATCTAGAGAAGACGTTCGGATCCTCATAAGTCCACGATCGATCATGTCGCGAGCCCTGGCTGGATCTTTGGAGTGAGGGCTAAGGCTCCTTCGTCTTTCTGATATTTCGACTTTCTTCCATCTTCGGTGGGAGTTCTCATTGGATGCAGGGGAAGGAGGAGAATATGACAATGGCGCGATACTCTGTGTATCCTGATTATATTTACGATTAGTGCTTGAGGGTTCATTTAAAGGTAAAGCCTCAAGAGGTTTAGTTCTAGAAACTAGCCGGTTTGTGTGTGGTGTTGTGGGAGAAGGATCTGCAGCTTTTGAGAGAGGGGACTGAGGGTCCTCATAAACTTTAAGAGCGGTCGCTCCATTGGATTCTGCAGATGTAGAAGGCGGAGATAGCTTGATAATGGTAGAGATTTCCGTATCAGGGGGCCGAACACTGCTCTTTGGCGGGGTCTGAAGGGGGCTGGAGAGGGTAGTGTCCTTGCCATTTTTGCGAAATTTGGGAGATGGTATAGGGACTTTGGATAGTGGCGTAGTGCTGACGTGATGAGGTCGAGGGGGTGTAATTTGGCTGTCTGCGATAACTGCATCTGTAGTGGGATCTGGCTGCACTTCTGGCATATCCTCAATACGGGACTGCGTGAGATCTGCATCTACCCTGGACAGATCGGTCGAGTCAATAGCAGTTGGAACTTCAGCTGGTGACTCAGCTGGGATATCAGCTATGATATCAGCTGGGGGTTCATCCGCGACTGCAATAGGCGCTTCAATCGGCGAAGCAACCGGAGCTTCAATTGGGCTTTCAGCTGCAGCATCAACTGGGGCTGGATTTGGAGCAGCAATGGCTGAAGCGTTAAGATCAGGCAAAACGATAGTAAGATCTTCATCTGCCTTAGTCGGGCTTGCAACAGCCTGCTCGACTACCTGGGGCGCCGGAATAACCGGCTCCGGCTCCGGCTCTATAAGGTTGATAGCTTTCTGCTCAGTCCTCTGAACCACTGGCGGCTCAGACGCTGCAGGTTTCCTCTGTAGAGTATTCGTCGTTACACCCTCCATTCGAGATTTAGGCCGGGCTGGAGGATTCCTGGTGCGAGAAACGGGTGCTGTTTTCGGAGTTGGCCTCTGAGGGCTGTTGGAGGGACTTGATACCTTTGACTGAGCGCTGAGTGGAGCGTTTCTCCGAGAATAAGGGTCTGCGGTTGCAGGCCTCATTAACTCTGGCCGACGAGGACGCATGGCTGGGCGCATGGGGGCAGAGGATAGTGAACCTCCTTGCGCAGATGGTACTGATGATGAAAGCTGTGCTCCAGTGGGCACGTTACGAACAGAGGAGGATGACGCCGGTTGTCTGTTTACGTTAGGCCTGGCAGGCCGTGGCTCAGAGAATGTAGATTGAGCGGATTCTGGGCGGGGTGGAAGGCTTCTCGCGGCAGCCATACGAGCCTTCTTTTGTGCAGCAATAGTTTCTTTCAGAGTCATCCTTGTGGAGGAGGATCCTTGAGACTGTCCCTCACGGGATGTAGACGTAGAACTAGAGGGTGCTACGGCATTAGGGTTTCCGGGGTCCTTCTCAAGGAGGGACCTCGATTTTGTGTCCAGCTCGGATATGATGCTGCAAAAACAGTCAGTATCTCTATCATATAAAATGCGTGAAGATATACCATACCTCCTAGCTCTATCGGGCCAGATGTGTGCGAATGTCCAGTAAGTTCCTCTCATGTTTTCTCTCACGCCCGGGTTAGCGTCCGCCAGACCTCTCTTGATGCACTTTTCAATAAGATCAACACCACCGCTATGTTCGATAGCGTTTTTCTGCCTCGCGTGTCGAGTCATGATCGTTTTGAGCCATCCAGTAGTATACAGTCGTGGCTGTGTATTTTTATCCTGACACGCAGCCCACATATGCTGAAGTATACGCGCCGAATAAGATATGTTACCAATAATAGTGTCGACAGTAATATTCCCACTCTGGGATGTTATTTTCTTAACGGCACCACAAAGTTTGATAAGACTTTGAAGCAGGATTTCTACCATTGGCTCAATGGCCGGTCCGTTTACGCGAGCGATATCTTGAATAAGGGAACATCCTGCAGCTGATAGAGTGGTGCGGAGGGAGTTGACAGCTTTCAAAATACCGTCTAGGAGCTGTTTGATACCAGCCAGATAATGGACCTGGTATTCGTGCGGCGCGTTCCCTTTTGTCAACCTTCGTAAGGTAGCGACTCCCTTTTCACGGAATAGCCAGTTGTGTTCAGTCTCCTTGCCTTCAAAATGAGGTGTCATGTCTCGGAACATGTCGTCAATCTCTCTGTTAGAGTATATGGTGATTGGATCAATGGGTTCAGGTTCTTCAGATTCAAGATTAACAGCCGGTAGAGACTCGATGCTGGCAGCATGCGAGAGAAATGCGTCTTTTCGGGGTGGATCTCCCTTAGGGACTCTCGATTGGCCATAATGGGAGTCATCATTTCGACCTTGAAGATCCGTGTTAGATTATAACAGTTTGAAGAGTGAAGTGGATATTAGAGCATACCATCTTGGTTTGGGTGTGATCGTGTTGAAAGAACCGAGTTGGGCCTTGGTACCTCTTCTCGACGATGAGAAAAGCTGCTTCCCGGCCGAGCAGCACTAAGCCCCGAGTGGGATGATGGGACGTCTGCATCGGGGACGGAATTGATTCCAAGAGCAGCAAAAATTGATAATGTAATAGACCGCCTCACATTGTGTGACTGGATCTGTCTCTTGAGGTCTGATATAGCTCGAGAAGGGGCGTTCCTACAGGGACAAAACAGAGTTACAGGGTATGAACTGATAAGACAGGGTACTAAATGGAGACTGCTTGCTTACTGGAATAACTCGATAACAGCGGCTTTGGCTGTTTCTCTGACGGCACTGTCTGCATCTTCGAGGCCGACAACAAGACTGCGGACGTGCGTGCGGAAAAGAACCCCATGCTCCTTCGTCATCTGTATAACAGCAAGGGTCAGCAGGTGTGTATATTTATATAAGAAAAAAAGTTATCATGGGGAATAAAAATAATGAGATTGCATACCTTCACAAGCCATGTCATACTAGTCTCCTTTGCCCTCGGACTCTTGCCGACGAGGGCCACCTCGAGAACATGATGTTCAACTTCGGCGGGTGACGCTGTCCAAAAGTCCGTGAATGCCTGGGATGCTTGGGCCCGCACACGTTCCTTGTGATCACCAAGCTTTTCCAGTAGCAAGGTATATGTATTGCGCCCCTGACTGGCGATGAGTGCATTTTGTTCCTGGAGGTAGAGCCGCTTCAGCAGGTGGCCGAGTGCGGAGAAGCCCCCGGCAGAGAGGGAGGCATGCTGTGACGCAATGGCCAAGCGGATGGCATCAAAGATATCTCCAGCAGCAGCAGTGGGAACGTTCCTCTGCTTGATTTCCGACTTGAGCTTGGCCAGCGATGCTATCTTCGCGTCGACGGAGAGGGAGGAGTTGCGCAGGGCAGCCAGTAGCTCCGTGGCTCGTTCGTCCATTGTCAGAGTCGCACAACCGCAAATGTCATTGGGATAATCGTTTAGTAGTGATCGCCGGGTGTCAGTCTGTATGAGAAAGCGCGGGTTGGGTTGGTTGCTAGGGCGTGTGGTGGACAGGATAGGGTGTTGGTGCGGGTCGAACTACTTGCTGTAGATAGACCAGGAAGCGAGGAGGTTACACGGAAAAGGAGGTGATGCCGCAGCGTGAGAGCGTTCGACGGTGGCTATCGAGCCTTGTGAGACCGGACTGGAGCTTGAGAGGGAGGCAGCTGTTCGCAGCGGGCTCGCAGTGCTGTCTCGATGACTCGGGCGGTCGTGGTGTTTCTTCTGCTCTCGACGTCGTCGTTTGTTGATGCGCTTCCCGCGGTGTTTTGCCGATGCGCTTGACAAACGCCTTGGCATTGCTTACCTCAGCCGCTCTCTATATCAACCGCGAACTTGTCTATATCAACGTCAGGAAGCATCACAATACAATGATAGAATGATACAGCGGTGATGGCCAGTGGTTAAGGTGATATTGCTACGGTTTTCTGTACGTACGGCCCGCGTCTCTCTACCGTGGCTCGCCAGTCAGGCACAAAACCATGTCATGTGTTTCCATGGCTCGGTGCAACCTAACTTCTAACTTCATACATATATTTTGTCGGCTGACTAGCTGAGGAAAAGAAAAGAAGAGAAGAAGAAAGAAAAAAGAGAAGAAGAAAGGAGAGAAAGACGGATATATAACTCGAGTCTGTGGCATATATCGCTGCTCCTATGAAACATATACACAGCGCGTTTTGCAAGTTGATATCAGCAGCCATGTCTAGCTCTTCTTCCGCTATCCCGACGCCTACCTCCTCCCTACTCCCGCCAGGGGTAGAGACTGGTGTAGATGAAAGGGAGTCCCCCAACGACCCTCCGCAGTGGGGGAAGGAGGGATGCGGGAGCACCGCTGCACCGGCCGTTCCCAAGCCAAAGCTCCGCCTTCACTTTGAAGATCTAGGCAACCAGGCCTCAAAGACCTTCATCGCAGCAGTTCAAGATCCATACGCAGCGATCCAGGCTGCTATAGGAGAGATTGTGAAATATCTTTATACCTCCCCGTCAGGTTCAGCTGCGCCCGGCAGACAAGTCCACTTCAACCCTTCTCTACCGCCAACCAGCGCTGTCTCGTTTATCCTCCACGATTTCCAAGGCGTCGCCTATACCGTGGGTCTGAGCTCAGACAACAACCAAAAGGAGATCCATTTCTCACTCTCCTATATTGCCCACACTGCCAATTTGAAAGATACGACAGCCGAGATCTTGGGAGTCATCCAGCATGAGCTCGTGCACTGTTATCAACATACTACTCCGCGAGGCAGATCAGCTCCAAACCCGCCTTCTGGACTGATTGAGGGTATTGCAGACTTTGTCCGTCTAAAGACGGGGCTCGACGCTGCTCACTGGAAACGCCCAGCCACCGTGGCTGACCTCCCCAAGAGTTGGGATTCAGGCTACCAAAACACCGCTTTCTTCCTTGAATGGATTGAAAATATCAAGATCGGAACTGGCGCCGTGGGCATGATTAATGACCGCCTCCTGAGGCAGGGGTATCTCGGTACTAATGGTGATATTTTCTGGAACGGCCTCTTTGGCCAAGACGTTTTGGATCTCTGGGTCGACTACGCTGAGTATGTCGGGGGCTTGAACCCCAGGGACCAGAACTGTGAATAGATGTCTGATGTTGGCGGAACTATATTAGGGCCGATGTCATAGGCTACTTCGTTTCTTCGTGTAACTATTTTGGGGTTATTGGTAGAATAAGGTACTCGACTATTTCTGCTATAAATTGACCTACATAAGTGTATTTATCGTACGACCCGAGGGCCAGAGGACCGTCTATGCATATAACAATCAATTAGGTTCGTCGTTATCCGACGTTAACGATAGGAATAGGCGTTAGGCTCGGTCTAAAGATAAGTTTAAAGCATTTCACGGGTAAGCCTAAGGATAAGTTTAAGGGTAAGCCTACGAGGGAATTTTAGGGATAAGATAAAACTTATAAGTAGGCTAGGGAATACTAGCTATCGGCTATAAAGAAATAAGAAATTGCATTTATATGACTATCTGATAAAACATGTGTCCACAAGGACTGTACATAGACCTGCGTGAAAAAAAAAAAATGTAGAATCCACCTTAGGGCATAGAGACCTGCTCTAGTAGTTCACCTTAAATCATCAACCAAGCTATCGTCAAGAACCAGCTTGAGTCGACTATAGGGGCGCATTTATCAGTTGCCTAAGTCCTAATATTGTTCCATTGCGCGTTATCTGATAACAATGAGCGGGAGCCAGACGACGCAGCAGCCTCACTTTTTGCGAGACTGCTTTCCAGAGGTCTTATTCGAGGAACGAAGCTTTCTCCCCTTAGGACTTTCAGATCTGGAAGGCTGTGCATCCTCCCTTGGTCGATGAGCCAGGCTCAAGCTAGCATGCTCACTCGGTTGATAAGCGCTCGGTTGACGAGAACTCGGCAATGGGAACCCGGCCATGCGCTGCCCCGAACTGGGAGCTGGTGTTGGTGACTGTAGGAATATATCACGGGAATCCCTTGCTGTAAGTTCTTGATGATATGGCAGGACGTCTCTTCGGCCTGGCTCTCTGGCTGCTCCCCGTTGAGAACTTGAATATTCCGAATCTAGTCTTGATTCCCCCCTTCGGCTTGGCTCTCTAGAGGAGCTTCGCTCATGGCCTAGATAACCTGAATCCAATCTAGATTCTCCTCTTCGGCCTACAAGACTTGATGGCTCTTCCAGACGAGATGAATCTTTTGCCGAACGATTGGAAAACAGCCCGCCTCCCCCTTTTGAAGGTTTTGGGTTCTCTCCACGTGAATCGCTGAAGGCAACTGTGCGCTGGCTAGAATTCCCGTCCCCTTTTCTCGCATCCGGTTTGAGAGCAGTAGATAGGGATTTATTGCTCTTGTCATCGAAAATAATTACCTCTATCGATTTTCCGTTGATTTCAACAAGTTTTTCACCACGTTTCTGTTCGTGAATATGACGAGCCTGGAAGGAAATGGTTGCTTCGAATGCCAATCCATTTTTAACTAGGGCTAGTGGCGCAGACGACTGTAATGGTTGCATACCCATCGGTGTCATTTGGAGTGCTTCGTGCGATGGTTTAGTCATTTTGGTGACAGGAGTTAATTCTCCGTAGGAAGGTAGTTTGTAAAGTGGACCAGTCCAGTCTTCTTCCTTGAAAGTATTCTCCATTTCACGCTGATTAGTTTGGTTGATGACGGAGAGGATGTAGTAGAGGCATTGTCGAACCGAAACGTTATCATCATCATTGTTTGGAGAACTAAACGCGTTGATGGGCGGTGAAAAAAGTAGTCTCGACTTTCCATCACTCCCTCGGTCCTGCTGGAGGAATATGGTGTCGTTGTATGTTGTGAGAAACCCGTACCTCATTTGATAGCGATACATATAAGAGGCGATCTGGCCTAGAATAGGGACAGTGTTAGTTAACTAATCGTACAACGTCATCAAACGCAGGAAACTAAGAAAATGCATACCAAGTGCTCGCCGAAGGTGGGTATCCTGCCCCTTCTTGTATCTAGAAACGTATTCACAAAGGTCATGCTTCCATGGAGTCTTTGCTTCTCCCACAACGGCCATATTGGGCTCAGTCAAAAGCATTTCTAGCTCATCAGGGGTTCTGGCTGAGCAATCGACGGCAACATGATCTGGGATATGCCTTTTATTGCCCGGATTTTGGCTCTCAATGCAGACCTTGTGGTCGCCGAAGCGGAAGTTGATACCATTATGGATCGCAACTGCGCTTGCCGGGCCAAGAGCGTTCTGCGCAAATCGCCCGCATATGGACTGCTCATCGCCACAAAGGTAGTGCTCATGGTGGATATAGCCTGCGTATTTCATGATGCTTTCCACGTTGACGGATAGAGGTTGTTTCTTCAGCAGGTTTGAGGCCGTCCAGGCCTTAGCTTCCTTCATCATATGCCAGGGGCGCAACTCTCCCAGATAGTATATATCGTGCCAGGCGGAGCTCATTGTTTGAAATCCTTCTCGAATTAAAAGTTCAGGAAGCGGATCGCGGAGGATTGAGGCGCCATCGAAGTAGCTAACTTTTTCTGGTGCTTTCTGCATGTTTGCGTTGAATTTAAATTGGAGATCAAGGGATAAAAGTAGATACTAAGTCTTGCAGTGATAGATTCTGAGAGAAGTATAGGCTTGAAGGTGAATAGTAAGTGCTGTGTGAATAGTAAGTTCTGTGTGATTGAAATTTCGAAGAAAGCAACGGCTTTATAACACTGGGGGTGTACGTCTGTAATAGTAGTTCATGCACCTAGGATCTACTACGGGCATTGTCGTGATAGCCAGCGCGTAATGGTTGGATGAGATATCTGGGATCCTTAATGTTGGTAAATCCACCGCGGCGAGACGCCGTCTCTGTATATCCCGCATTATATCCTTGCAGAGCTTGCTCGTCCAATAAGTACTGTGCGTTAGCGTTATACCAGAAACACACCCATCATAACGTGGGCCAAATTAGCGCCACGAGTTAGGCGCCGATGACCTGCTAGTTCGGCCCCCATATAGTGGGTAAGAACCCCAGCAATAGCCCTTTTGGACGCTTGTTCAATACCAGGGAATGACGAAAGCGCTGCCCATTAGAAAAAGAGTAAACCGAAGGTGGGTATAAGGTTGGGTATAAGCTTTAATACTTAAGCAGGATTTAAATGGATAAGGGCTGTTTCTATCTGATTCCTTAATAAAATAAAGAACCTTAAGGACTGATCATATAATCTCTGTTTGGTATATAACCATCTTGCGCTAAAATTATAGCATTGACTGGCCAGGGAGGGATCAGAGCTGCACGCCCTACAGCAACGGCGGAATCCTGGCCGCATATGAATGTATCAATGCACATGGTTCACCCTTCTAGCCAGAAAAAATAGGCCATACTTATAGTACGCGCCCAAAGTAGCTGCGCCGTGCATTGATTTTTGATGGTCAAACGAATCTAGTTGGAGTTTGGGTGGTTGTCGTTGTTTGAATCTAATAGCCGCCCCCAAGGTCTATTTTCAAATTTGCCAAGACTCAACTAGGCGCCAAACATATAAACAAAGCAACATCACTGTCGGTTTCCCTTCATCCATCACCACAATCATCTCTCTGCTTTCCTGTTCTTACTTCGATCAATTTACATTATGGGTGGCCCGGAATTTTACCAAGACTGGATTGGGGACTTGTTTGACAACCTCGTGATTTGGTGCAATGACGATAAATCAGAGTGGTTGATCCAGGAAAAGCTATCTGAGCGGGCAACTTTCTGTCCAGGAACAGTAACTGGAACAAGGAAGCCACTGGCAGAGGGCCAAGCAGTCTATACTTGCCGACAGATCGAAGGAAAATCGGTTGGGATGGAGGCTATAGTTAAAATTCGACTACAGTAAGAACCAAAGCCATAAGTATTCGAATTTCGATGGTTGAATCTGACATTGACACAGAGTGCCCCCTGAATATCCGGCCAGCAAGATTCCGGCAGTTCGAAAGAGACTGGCTTCTACCGAGCCTTCTTCTTGGACAAATCAGGAGGTTGGATCTTTACGGCACTTCAATAAGAAAGGCTGCAAGGTGACTCCGAAACTCTTCAACGTGAAGCGGTCATTGCAAGAATGGGGCCATTCACCCGTACCAGGTGGCTATATCATGTTTATAGTGATGGAGAAGGTCCCCGGGGTGCCCCTTACTCATTTTTGGGAATACGACATGGCCAAACGTAACAAGATTCGGGCTGCTTTTCGCAAATCTCTAGAGTAAGGCTCCCACTTTACTGTTACGCTGTCGTCTGTAGTTGGGAATTTGCTTTAACCAGATATGTATTAGGGAGCTATATCACTATCACGCTTGTCCAGTCGACACGCATCTCGCCAACGTCCTCTACGACGAGGAAAAGAATAAATGGCAAGTTTATCGTGGTCCGATATATATTGTGCTTAAATTCTGACTCTGACCTTACAGCTGGTTTGTCGACTTTGAGCATATCTTTGTGGACGAAAAAAAGGAGCCAATGAAATTCTCAGAAGGCGACTATATCCTCTGGGGCCTAGCACGTTCCAGCGCCCGTGGAACGAAATGGTAGTCAGTGTAAGGCTTCTTATGAGTTTTGATGTACTGTGGTGGTATGGGGTGAAGGCGCTTGTGTGTTTCCTCCTTGACCGGTTATTTTGGACTCGGCTTTCCGTTTTTTTTTTTTCGGTGGTAGTCATGTCTACCCATTCTTTCTTTGGCGGCATGCGTTAATATTCCAAGTGTATCTGTCACTAGGGTTATACTATCGCCTTAATATGGCTTTCTATTCAGGATAAAGGAGTAACGATGTTTACCATACCAACGTTAAGGATATACTAACGGAACCAAGGTTACTCTTATTAACTACACTTTGACTGCAGGTGCTACTACTTCAAGGTGGTTATAACCCTTTTGAAAAAAGGAAATGTTAGGTCATAGGCTTGGGGGCGGGTACCAGTTTAAAAAAAACGTAAAAGTATAGAATTGACGCAACAACGCCATATATATGGTACATGTATTTCAAAAAAGAAATCATAGTTAAACATGGTTGGAAAAAGGAGTAAAAAGTAATGTATCATGTCCAACCTCCGCGCGCCATGACCAGCCAGATAGATAGGTAGGTCTGTCTCTGTATGTAAAATAAGCTTTTTGCGCTCTCCCAAATTAAACAATGATCTCTCCCGGATCGATGTGTGCTCGTTTCCATGGCTGCGCGCCCTCTTCTTCCATTGAGCTGGGGACTCTGGCATTGAGTGGGCTGTAGAGGTACCAACTCTTCAACGCGGCGACGGCTGCCCTGACGCGAGCCTCAGATAAGCTTGCACCAGCTCCTTCGCCGAGTTTATCCTTGCCGGAGTAGATGCCGACGATATACACAGGGTGTCTGCTCATTCGACCCGTTTCGCTGATAATCTTGGCCACGGGAGCCTCGAATCCTTCGCGCTTGCACAGTTTTGAGAGGTCGCGTGTGGGCTGCGAGAAACCAAAGAGATCAGCAATTGGTAATTGGCGGGTCTTGAAGTGTTCTTCGAAGAAGGTCTTCGCGGCAGGCCGTCCTCCGTGGAGGTATATGGCACCCATCAACGCACGGACGAAGTTTGCAGAGGCCTGTGTTGGTGTGATGGGGTCGCCGTAGGAGTTTGGATTGAAGTCACGACCCTCGGTGAATTCGCTGTCGTTTACAAACAGCGAGCCTAGCCCTCGCCTAAACTTCTCGCCGGGCAAGGGGGCGCGGGATATGCCCGGAGGCACCTGTTCGCTCTCCTTATCTAATGTTTCCTGGTCCGCTATCCTGAACTGGAGGTAGGCAGGATCAACCTCGCTGCCTGGCTCGGCTGCGTGCTCAACGCCCCATTCACGAGCCACGACAGCCAATGCCTTTGGCCCTATGTATGCGTACAATGCTGTCCAGAGTACCGACATTGGGAGCCGTGGGTATTGGCAGATGAGATGTTCGGTGGTGTAGTATGAGAGGAGGTCATTACCAAGGACGGAGAAGGAATGGTTGTTAAATTGAGTCGAGGTGTCAGCGGAGGCATCGATTAGGGTGCGAGCCAGCGTTTGGAGCGGTAGTCGCTCTGGTAACGAGAGTCGAGCATGGAGTGACGAAAGCTTTGGCGAAGCTATGAAATCCACTGCAGATGCGAGCGGCGGGCTTGGAGTTCGAATGTTGTGGGAGAGAGGAGGAAGGTCATGGTCTGGAACGACTGGCGCGGCCACGGAGGAGAGACATCTCGCACTCCTTTGCTGAAGAGGCCGTAGATATGTGCTGCTGCTGCTACTGCTGCGGCAGGATCGTATTGGCGGCGATAAAACGGCACCGCTCCAGCGTAGGAGCTGCAGTCTTTTCATTTGGGCTCCCAGTCCGCGGGTACAGATGGGTGAAGGGTCGGGGGGTTCAGACGAGCAGCTCAATTGGAGACGCTGAAGTGACTGCTCGACGTTGCTCGACGTGTTGCTTCTCCTGTGCTGGGGAGCTGATAAATTTGCAAACTCGCCCGGAGGTTGAATTTGTGAGATGGGTTTGCAGGGCGCGCTAGGCCGTTTCGGGGTGGGCTGGCACTTTCACTCCTTCGACGTCAAAAGTCCAAAGTCGCAGGCCAAACAAGCAGAACCACGCAGATACACCACATCGCGCTCGTTGTCCGGCCGCACAGCTTTGAAAATGGGTGGAGGTCCAAAGATCCGGTGCGCTCGCTGCTCTCTTTGCCCTCTCTGCCGTCTCGACCGTCCAATTGGCGGTTCCCCGGCTGGAAGTCGACGCATAGCTGACATCTTGCCATCACAGTTACCCGACTCACGTCTGGTCGCCCGCGGGCGGCTGGTACGCTCAGCCCTCCAACTGGAAGTTCAATACGTTCGTTATCGGCACTACCGCCCTCGGGTTTGCCGCATTGCTCTTCAACTACAGCGCGGAGCACGAATTCCGAAACAAGTTCCCAGAGCCAGGCCGTTTCTTCCCCAGCCGATGGTATGGACGCACCTACGAAGCATACATTGGGACCAAAATATTCTAACGGTGTCTTTACAGGTGGAGCAAGCAGATTATCGAACACGAGCGGGCGATAGCGTCGAAAAAGGATTTATGAGCTAGAAGTGGATTGTGGCCTGTACAGTTATTCATATCACGGCGTTTTGTTTTCAAGTGGATAGAAAACAATTGATGTTCAGTTATTGAGCCACCACCTTATTTCTTATGGGATGTCTCAATAAGATTCCTGGTGTAGAGACGAACCCGCGCAACATAACTCGTGCCGTTCCAGTATTCCTCGCCTTCGGGCGAGCAGCTTAGGACAGGGACGCCTACTTGCTCGATTACATAGCTAGCTGCGACTGTGGCGCATATCAGTCCAGCCAGGACGTTCTCCCTGTCATCCCATGTGACGCAAGCTGCTCTCCAGTCCTCCGATTCATCCATGATTTCGCGGGCTGCTTTAATGGGAGCCTGGTTGGACCCCGCGAGGACCTGGCAGAGGGCTCCCAGAAACGCGTTTCCTGCACCGGTGGGATCTACTACTCTCGAGTTCAGATATGCAGGCAGTGCCAGCTGGTCGCCCCGAGAAAAGGCATAACATCCTTCTCGTCCGGCCCGCACCACCAGTACCCCGTTTCCGTCTATCCCGATACCCGACCGGACAACCGATCGAGATAGCTCTTGGTCCCTAGGGTTGTCAACGTGCCACGAGGAATTGCCAAAGTAGCTTCCCATCTCAAGCTCGTTCGGGCTCACCACGTCTACATGACGAATGACCTCGTAAAACCCCGAGAGCTCCTCGGGACGACAGGAATCTGGGAATGGCTCCCAGACAAATATTGGTCGTCGTAGTTCCAACTTGTGTTCCTCACTTAACTCGCGCCTCCTTTCAAGTATCCCTTGCACTATGTCATAGCACCTGTCTGCAGAGCATGACATATGGAACGTGTTTGAAAGGACTAGCTCCGGCGTAAGTGACTGGGGGCCGATACGGATTTTCGGCGTAAGGTACTTGAAGACTAACAGCAGTTCCAAGGCAAACGTTAAGAGGAGAGCTTTAGCGCCTGTGTGAGTGTATAGATAATTTCAACCCACCTCTCTTCTCATTAGCCTCGTAGCCGTTCCAGCCCTTGGTGGTTTGCCTGTCCGGGTCCTCCCTAAAGACGCAATGCGTATCCCAGCTTGCAATCAGGTCTCGGACATGCGCTGGAAAATCGTAGCCCATATCCACGATCCAGCCAACTGAGCGCGAGTGTTCCTTTCCAGCAGCCATGCGCGCACCTATAGCGGCAAATGAGCCAGCTCCGCCGACGATATCTCGCACCGGAGGCCTGGGAGGCAGATATTCGATCTCGTCTACATCTTCCCCCTCCGTTAGCTTCGGCGGCTGGACAGGGAGACGGAATGGACGTTTCACTAGCCAATGATGAACATGGCGAGAGTACAGAAATCTATCTGCCTGCTCCCACCTGGCGGCGAACTCATGGCCATCCTCTCTGTTTATCTTATTATTGCTGCCTGTGTTCTTCTTCTTTTTTGATAGATGTCCAAGGGAAGATGTGAAGCTATATATGTATTACGGTAATAATGGTAATTAATCTCCGCTTTGACGCAGGATACTTTGTTACCTCTGTATTAGGCTGTAAGCTAAGGCATCTTAATTGTTGCTCTCCTTAACTGTATCAACATCGCCATCTACATCCACCAGCAACCCTTCTTCCACCTCACAGCGCGCCGGTGGAAGAACGCAGGAAGCAGTTCCTGGACGTACGGAGTACTACTTGTCCAGCTCGCCAGCTATCGTTTATACAGGCTGTCAAGCCGCCCTCTCCCTTATCCCCCCCAGACGCGACATACATCCGGCAAGATGGTTGCGAATAACCATATGAATAATTTAACGACCCTTATTAAGCGGTATGGACACTCTGATTCTTGGGCGACCGGTATAGCTGGAGTGAGATTGTTAACTGATACTCATTTCTATCATAGGCTTGAAGCTGCAACCTCTAGGCTGGAGGACATGGCCTCCTGCCTTGACGGCCCCAGCCCAGGCCCGTCATCAGGCACCGGTATCGTAGGTGCTGATGCCTCAAAGGCCGCAGCTCCGGCTCTCCCAGCTGCAGAGCCTCTACCAAGATGCATCGAAGCCTTTGACGCTATTATCTCCAACGAAGTGAAGGCGTTCATCGATATCAGCCAGCAGCTCGGCGGCCTCGTTGCTCCTCAAGTAAGCTACCACTAGGCTTCTACAGCTATGAGAGGAGCTGTATACTAATGATAGCTCTTACTATAGTCAAAAGCCATACTCAAAGCCTTCGAAGCCGAGCGAAAATACCTCCTTGTGTCTACAAAGGCCAAGAAGCCAGAAGCGCAACCCCCAGAGCTCTTCACAGACCTCCACAGAGCCTCTGATGAAATCAACAATATTCGCGAGAGCAACCGTCCTTCTCCGTTCTTCAACCACCTCAGTGCGGTTGCCGAAGGTGTGGTTGCCTTGGGCTGGTTCTTCGAGACTAGACCGGCTACTTTCGTCACGGACACGCTCGGTGGCGCACAGTTCTACGGAAACCGAGTGCTCAACGAATACAAGGACAAGTACGTTTGCGGAGTCGACAGCATGTCAAATACAAGTATCCTGCTAACGTCTCGAAGGGATAAAATCCATGTCGAATACATCCAAGCTTACTACCAGATCTACAAATCCCTCATCGACTATATCAAGGAATACTACCCTCGCGGTGTGACTTGGAACGACAAGGATGGCATTGATGTGATGGATGCATTGAAACAGGTGTCTTCCGGGTCGCAGGCTGGCACCCTTCCTACTCCCTCTCCATCCACTTCGGTGTCCAAGGAGGCATCAGGCGCTTCGGCGCCACCTCCACCACCACCACCACCTCCTCCACCAGGCCCTCCGCCTGTATTAAAGGGGGCTGCAGCTGGTAACGATATGAGTGCTGTTTTTGACCAGCTCAACCAAGGCTCCTCCGTCACATCGGGTCTCCGAAAGGTGGACAAATCCGAACAAACGCATAAAAACCCCAGCTTGCGAGCTCAGTCTATTGTTCCAGGCAGCCCAACCGGCTCTTCCCGAGGCAAATCACCTGCTCCCAGCAAGAAGCCAAAGCCTGAGAGCATGCGTGTCAAGAAACCTTCCAGAAAACAACTCGAAGGCAACAAGTGGCTCATTGAACACTTTGACAACCCCACCGGTGTCATTGAAATTTCCGCCTCCCTTTCCCAGTCCATCCTAATCTCCCGATGCAACAAGGCAATCATCAAGGTCAACGGTAAGGCCAATGCGATATCAGTTGACAACTGCAACGGTGTCTCAATTATCGTTGATTCTCTTGTTAGTAGCCTGGAAGCAATCAAATGCCTCAAGTTTGCGCTGCAGATCGACGGAGCCGTTCCAGCCGTCATGTTCGATCAGATTGACGGAGCCCAAGTTTACCTCAACGCAGCCAGCTTGGAAACGGAGGTCCTCACAAGCAAATGCACGGCCATCAACCTTGTTCTTCCCCCGCAGGAGGATAATGAATATTCAGATGGTAAGGAATGTCCTATTCCGGAACAGATTAGGTCGTATATCAAGGATGGAGTGGTTGTTAGCGAAATCGTGGACCATACTGGTTAGGGTACAGTACTCTATTATGGTTAATGTCTCTAAACTAACTCGCCATCCGTTGCACATACTCGGATATATACACTATGTCTTGATACATATTCCAATATACGCCGCTTTTTTATTTAATAGCTGTACCCTCCTAAATATTTGACTGTTACGGAGTATATCGAAAATAGTTCAATTTCATTTATAGAATATCTGAACGGCAACACGACCGTAATATTTCCTTAGCTGTATACACAAAGGAGAAACAGACATAATGCTCTACATTATGCATTTGAGCGGGGATATCCTGGATGGGAGTTTGACCGAAGATATAAAGAAAAATAAAAATAAAAATATACCTGCAAAATGTATTATTCCTCCCACCAATACAACACCAAAAATTGCCAATTAGTTTATTTTTTGAACTCAGCAGCCGTAGTGAAGAAAAAAAAGGAAAGAGTTGCGACCGGGATATAATGCAATTTAAGATCGGGAACACAGTAACGGACTAGCTGCCTTTCTCTAGGATTAAGAGGGGGTGGGTATCTTTGCAAATGACGAAACGTTCAGGAATAACAGGAATAAACGAGATGAGATGTGCGATATATGTATGAGTGTAGGAAAATATATTGAAGACGACGTTGGATGAGATTTCACGTATTTTGGGAAGAGGGTGACGATGACGTTTCATTTAGATCTCGTAGTTTGCGAGATAGTAGGCTTTCAGTGTTAGAGGATCTGCTCGAAGGACGTGAGTGGGAATGCGGCAGTGGTGCCTGTGGATCTTGGAAGGAACGTAATGGGTTCGAAGCCGGATTGTTTAACGTATTAAGTGTAGATAATGGTTCATGTCTTATATCCCGCAGAGGACCTTTACCGATATCGTTGAAAGGTCGCGTTTTTGATCGTGGTGAAGTGGAAATGTCTGATATACCGTCGAAGGTATCTAGAGCACCTGCACTAGGCCGGATACGCCACCCGGCGGGAGGCATGTATAACGGGCTTGGGAAAATGTTCTCACGCGTCTGGGATTGCGTATGGAAGCCGAGGAGTTCAGGCATTTGGGGACAGAGTGATGGCGAAGGTTGAATGGGCGAGAGTGTTCCTGCACCAAAAGGTGAGGGGCTGACTTGTTCCCTAGCGCCCAGTCGTATGCCAGAGCTGCGTCGACGGTGCTGCTGCGCTTTATCAGCCGCTAATCTGGCGGATTCCTTTGATAGCTTATAGCCACTGAATCGTGGCTCTGGGTATTGTAACTCGTTCCGTAGCTTTTCTTTGCCGTCCGGAACTCGGTTTGCGAATACGGCGCGGATTCCAGAGTACAGATAGAAACGACCACGGGAGGGACAGCAGATGTTGATATGGATTAGATAGCGAAGGACCGGCTTGTCCTGGGGAGAATCATCGGTGGTTGGCATTGTTTGTGGAATGTCCACTGCGGGACCGGTGGAATAGCTTCGTTGTCGGATAAAGGTCTTGGTGCCCGGCTCCATACCTTCAAGGTCGTAGGGTACAAGAAAGAGCTTCACGGCCGTTTTGTTTGGATTCTTAATGATAATCTGTAGCTGACCTTGCTGTGGAATACGGTAACATCCACCTGGAGGTGACTTTGGGGACTGCGAACGGCGGGATCGCTTTTCCCGTGCCCGGATCTCGCCATGGGGCGAGAGAGACAGGTCTGAAGAAGCAACGGCCTCTTCTGGCGGGTGACATGGACATTTTCGTGGAGCTGGCTGCTTCTTCGACTTCTTAGCATGGGCTCTGCTTTCGCCAGGAAGAGAGTTTTCAAGGTCGATAAAGCCGACGTATGGACTCGGGCTATCATCTGCTATGTTCATACCGCTAGCCGAGCCAGAGTAGCTGTAAAACACGGCGGGAAAGGGCACGGTGACATGCGGGGGGCATCTCAGGTTAGATTTGCAATTGCCCTTTCCAAGGACTCCTATCTCGGCAGTGAAGTCCAGCGGTTTGGATGGGTTGGTGGACATCCTGCCTCTGAGGATCGATTCTTCATATGATCCGACCATGGAGGCGTGATGCAAGGGAGATGCTTCTGCGGACTGGGAGGGCCGTCTGGGACGGTAAAAGTCGGGACCCTGAGGAGACGAGGCTATCTGTAAGCTTCGCATGGATGTAATAGACCTCCTGGGCTGATGTGCTTGGTAATAGGACGAAGGAGAAGATGGGAAATTTCGAAAAGTTTCCGGAGGTAGAGTCCGTCGCCTGCTGGCCTTTTCAGAACTTGAACATATGTCCATATGTTCATCCTTGACGGAGAAGTCTAGATCCGGATTGTTTGCCTGGATTACGAGGGGACTGGTGGGCGCCTTCAGGATGTAGCTTGAAGGAACCGAGCCGAGAGATGGAGCTCTAGACCTTCCTAGCGGAGTACCGAGTAATTGGCGATGGTTAAAATTGATATCAGCAAAGGCATCCAAGGGCGCTGGCGTAGGTTCGACGTTCGAGTCAACCCAGCCTGGTGCCTGAAAGGACTCCCTCGAGACATCAGTAAACGGGGGCTGAGCCAGCTGCTCTAACCCCAGGATCTTGGGAGAGCATTCACGAAAGTCTCCCGAGTGCAGAGCTGACCTTGGACGCTCGATACTAACCGGTGAACCGCACGATCTATAGCTGGGGGCTTCCTGCTCAGGTGAACGTTCAAGCTCAACCGACGGCAGCAAGGGCGAGCTCTTCCTCTTCTTCTCCTCGAGTCTCTCGAGCGGAGAGTCGCCATGTGTGGCGAAGTATTCTTCGAGCTATTTTGATTAATTGTTAGCATTGTCCGTATCAACCAAAGGTCCAGGACCGTATATGTCAGAGTAGAAGATTAAAGAAGAGATATCGATCTAAGCCGGTTCTCTCCATCCTTATGGCCCGGGACAGTCCAAAAATAAACCGCTCTCCTTGCTATGGAAGCTGTGAAGAGGACTACTTACAGCACGGTTGGGAACCCATGTTGGGCTTTCGCCGTCCTTGATTCTCCTGATCAGTTCTTCACGGCTGCTCGTCTGAGGGCCAGAACAGCCAGGCGTTTCCATGGCGGTTTCGAGAGACGGCCCGTCTATCATGGCTTCGTCTTCAACGGTCTCTGCCGCCACATCTGTCTGACGGGGACGCTGTGGTGTTACGGGGCGAGGAAGCGGACTCAGGGCCGTGAGCCAGAAGCTATACTCCTGGCAGCGATCTGGATCCTGATATACCGGCATGTTGGGCTCCAAAACGCTTCAACCGCACATTGTACAGGCTGTAGTCAGGCCCAGGAGACAGACGTGGCAATCCCACGGCAACGAGAGCGTCTGCGGCCCTATGGAGGTCGGTGGAGAGATGACGATGCCAGCAATGGGACGGACGAGTAGAAAAAGGGGGACGGCCGTGTAAGACGCAAGGGCAGGTTTTACATGCTATTCAACCAGAGCCATGTTTCAGGGCGCCGGCTCCTATATTAAATATGTTGGCCATCGAGCGAGTTCATGCTCCAGCTTGTAGAAGAGCCCAAGAGTCAGCTGGCTCAACGGCGAAGATGACGAAAAGCTGCAAAGACGCCAGCGCTAGAAAAAGGTACTTCCTGTGTATGGGCGTTACCGCTAGGGCAGAAGTACCTGGGAAAGTTACGTCCCGCTGCATGGTTTCGGGCGATACAGACTTTTCACACGACAGACAGACAGACAAGAAGACAAGCAGATAGACAGAATGCCGCCGAAGAGGAAGATAGACGATGAGACGGGCGAGGGAGCAAAACGGGCGAAGAAGGGCTTTTCAGTCGGTCCTGCTAACCTGCCAGACGGCACATATCGACGCAAAGGTATACATCTCTACTGTCTACTGTCTACGCTACGTTGGATCTAACAGAGTATAGTCCAGAAGATCAAGGCCGATTTGATCCACAAGGCCAAGTTGAAGAAGTCGTATGAGAAGATCAAGGCCCGCGAGCTCGCTTCGACTCCGGTCAAGTCTATCTACGAGACACAAAACGACGATGACGGTGGCAACGAAGACTCGAGGCCTGCAGAGGAGCCTGCAGAGGAACCTGCCAGTCTCGAGCTACATCCAGACAGACAGGCCATGGTAGCCTCCCACAACGACGAGCAGTCAGAAGAAAGGCCGAAACGGCCGTCAAGACGGAGAGACAGGACGCAGGATGAACATGACGGAGACAGTCGACCACACGGCAGGAGGCCACGCCGGGCCAAACCGTACCCCTTCACGAGGGAAGAGGAGGCCGCACAGAAACGGATCGAGGAAGCGAATGCTAGAGAGAAGCTGAGGCTGCAGAGGGAGAAAGAGAGAGCAGACATGACGCGGGCAAAGAGGCCCGATCAGTTCGGGAAGAGGAGACTGGGCCGCGAGAGCAAAGTGCTTCTGGACAAGGTCAAGAGGCTCGTAGGGACAGAGTGATTTGCTATACTCCGTACTCTGTACTCGAGACAGGCATATAATCGCCTGTTTACCATACCGGGCCCGGAGCGAGTCAAATATACTGGCTCGATAATTACCTGGAAGGAAACTCTGCTGGGTATCTCTTCCATGATGAAGAGCCGAATACCAATGCATCTCGCCCATGGATACAGCCTTTTCGACCTGATAGACTTCTGACGGCGAAACATCGACATTCCCATTCGGCTTTAAAATGCCGTAAACCAGGCGTAGCTTCCAGGCTCACCTCTCTCGGTAAGGATTCGCCTAAACTATCAACTTACAAGCTGTGCGAGAGATCATCACAGGAATCTTCGGGGATAGACCTACGCCAATATGACGTCTTCCTAACGGAATGCCTTTCCGGAAATTTACCCTGACCAACCCCATGTAGTTATTGTAACTCTGCCTGTACACACCATGTATGTATGATAGACTAAGCTCTGGAGATAGCAACGAGCCGGCCCTCCCAGCGAGAACCAATAACACGATGCCGTATAAAGTACCTGCAGATATGGTATCACTCACAGCCAGCATCGAATAAAGAGCGGTCAGTCTATGGGAAGAAACGTGAAGAAAGCACGGGTTGTATCACGGCTAGTCGAGCAGGCTTTTCTCGCATATGACTTACATATAGCCAAATAATAAGCAGCCATGGACGCCACATCTTGCATTTCTTTCTCGACTGGTTTAGAGAATGTTTAGTACATGGCACGAATAAATACCCTGGTCATGCAGCCGATCTTAGAACGAGTTCACCCGCAAAATGCCTCATGAGATCGGGTGCGATTTCTTCGCAGCTTCATTCATGCGCGTACAGGCAGTCGGCCGTAAGTAAACACAAAAGTATCTAGACAAATATATGTATAACAAGGGGATCAGTCATATCTATCTATAGAATTCATTCATATCAAGTCGTAATAGCAGGTGCTCAAAGGTTCCGTTGCCGTCCATATCGGTTGCCGCATCACCCAGGTCATCGCGATCGGTCATATTCTTAACACCGCCCACGACCTCGAGGCCGCGCAGGAAGCGGATAAACCCGCTAACCTGCTTTTTAAACCGCACGTATAACTCGTGAATAGATCGTTCGTAGAATGCTGTTGTTTTCGACGTTGGCATCTCACCATCCGCCATGGCCATCGCGACTCGCTCTTCGTAAGCTTTGACATGGAAGGAAAACGCAAGGATGATTCGGAGAACGTCCTCCAACAACTTCCGAGCTTGAGCTTGGCTCTTATTTAAAAATAGAGCGTAGATGATTCTATCGAGCACCCTTTCATGGTATTCTCTCAGTCGACGAAGCCCTTTCGCATGCATGATGGTGCCCTCTACATCGCCGGCGTCAATGCACTTTTCGATCTTTGACAGTCTCTTTTCGAAATTCTGCAATGAATGCTGGATTCCGACCTGGAAGCAGTAGTCGCTAACCACTTGGACGAAGTGGAATGCTTCCAAGCGAAATCTCTGGTCTAGTGTTCCCTGACTTCTTCTGTTCCGTGACCCTGACGGGCCCCGAACCAGATCACGCGCAACGGAGAGCATCCGTATTAATCTCAGCAACTGCCGAAATATCATGTCATATTGCTCCAGGCTACGAGGAGTGATGACTTCCTCCAACGGTGAGGGCGGGGTATATTGTATTCGAAGGAAATCAAGTGCTTCAAGCGAACGCGGGTTTTTGCATCTCTCCAGCTCCTCTCCGGTAAGGTCTCGGATAGAAAAACTAAGACCGCCAGGTAACTCTCGGGAGCCACCCAGGTGATGATCCCCCTTCTTATTACCGGCATAGCACTCAGCTAGCAACCCAGTCAAAACGAGACGAAGCTCAGAACTCGCGGGGGGCCAGGTATTCCGGTTTCCAAGACGCAGACCAGTGGACGAACCGCCTCTTGCAACGCCAGATTTCCGTTCACCGCTGTGCATATCCGGGTCAAAAAGGGCGAGAGATATGCGTAGTAAGAACTCGGCATTGCCGAGCAACTGGAATTGTTCCTGGAGTTTCAGATGATCTCTAACTTTGTGGACCTTGAACAAGAGATGGAGACACGAAAAGTTCACCAGTCGACTTTGCGCTGAGATAACGGGAGCAAAGAATAAGGATAGAGCAGATTCCAGCGGCGGGCCAAAGGTGTGCTCTGCAATAATGCTCTTTTCAACATCGACACATGGGCCGTCCTTTACCAGCTTGTAGAGCCTACTCGATCTCACTGGGCAATCCTCCTCCCTTTCTCCTGAGGAGCCCGGAGAAGACTCAAGGTCGGCAATTCTATAGATAGCATCGATGGACAAATCATCCTTCTGTAGGCGGTCTAAGATATACTCCTTTGGCGTATTATCACTTTCAGAACCCGGTCTTTTAATGGCATTGTTATACTTCAAAATCTCATCGCGAAGACAAGCCTCGTAGCTTCTGGCTTTGAGCTGAATCTTATCGATATCTTCCCATGTAAGCCCCCACTCCAGCGACAAGGAGGACGTATTTTCCTTCTGATGCACTTCGGCAAGCGGATGGCCTTTGTGGGACGACTTTAGGAGATTCAGGCCGGTTCCTGTCTCATATATGACCTCTGCATCTTCGTGTGTGATGAAACTTGGCATCGAATTAGGGCTAAATGTGGTTTCTTCGGTGGTATATTCATCGATGTATCCAGGATCAAATTCCTGTGAATGCTGCCTTGGCATGATTTTGTCTTTGCTATTACCAGGTGCATTAAAGTGCCCGCCAGCCGGCCGTAGACCAATCCACTGAGCCACACGGTAAAGCCATAAGCTGGCAGTGGTACCCATGATTTCATGGAATATACTGGCAAGCCACAAGTGTTGATGTGAGTACTGTTCACATTTTGCGAAAATAATCGATATAACTTCTGCATCAGTTGTAAGATTGGCCGCGTTCTGGACGATATCCACCAAACATTTGATGAGACAACCTATCCGCCTGAAATATAGCTGCGTCTGGAGGAGTGTTGGGTTGGTCTTTGCTCGTGCAGAAAGCTGGTCTTCGATGCTAAACAGTAATATGAAAACCACTCGAGAAAGACTAGCCACGGAATGAGGTGCGCCACACTGGGTTGGGATAGTAGCAATGAACCGTCGAAGTTTCCGCACCCACGTTCCGCATTCTAGAATACCCTCGGCCAGTCCATCTAGTGCAGGCAAGCTGATGCCAGAAACGCGGACGTCTCTAATATGCTTCTCGAACTTTCGCGACTGCTCATTGTATCGAAAAAATACGGAGTTCCAGCCAAGTCCAAGCTTAAAGAGTGAAGAAACGACAACGTCTGTTCGTGCGACTCGCCCGGAATTTTCCAGACCGGTCTTCGTCGCTTGATAGCTTAATGCTGCATCAAATCCACGGGGTCCAGCTTCACTTAGACAGGTGGGGAGAGATTGTTCTTTCCAGGTGTCCGGAAATACGTCCCAGGATCTTAATTCATAGCCCACGGTGGGAGATGCTGAAATGTTATCTAGTGACCATATGTCCTCACTAGAGTCATCGCCATCGCTCTCTTCCTGGGTGTCATTCTGTGCAGAACTGGACGAAGAACCAGCCACGCTTGAAGGGGATGCATCTTCCAGTTTCTCGTCGCCAAATATATTCAGCGTGTGCACTTCCGGCCCATCATTTTTGAGTAGGTGCAGGGGGTTTTCAAAAAGCCCCGGCGTAAGGTCTTTCAGAATATCAGTTCTGGCTACTCATTTATAGGATATACGCACTCACCTGCTAGATCGTCGTCCCACGAATACTTCTCCAGGGGTTTGATGGGATCAATCGCAAAGAATATGGGCTCTTGAAGAACATCAAGCTCAAAGGGGTCAACGGGCGGCTCAAAATCCATGGCCGCCACCGGGTATACGACACGCGATCCCCAGGTCAAAATATGCAGTTAGTAAATCAGCATCGGCAGAGAATACCATTGTCCCTGTCCTCCTCTTGCTTGACCGTCTTCATGCCAGAATTACTGTTGCATCTCGACATCTTTTGCTCTTCTGTTGTCGTCGATTTCCCTTTTCGGCCTTCACGATGCGTGACTTATGTAAGCAGAACGCGACCGATGCTATTAGTCCATATGGGGCAACGATCTGCACATCTCCAAAGGTTCCCAAAGAGGTAAAAGAAAGAGCTTCACATATATATCAAATGACAACAGCCACCATATAAGACGAGGATTGAGGGAAGAAACGTCATCATACAGCTGAAAAACACAGCCAGCTACAGCTACTGAACAGCAATTACTCCGCCATGCCCCCGCGCAAGAAACAAAAGACCTCGTCAACCCCCTCGCAGGCCGAGCATCCGCAGCCCACGCCCACTGGCCGCGAGATAGATTACGATGCGATAGTCGCAGACCCATGGACAGACGAGCAGGAGACGTCGCTGCTAAAAGGAATAATACGATGGAAGCCTGCAGGTTTGTTCATCTTTCAGCTACACACAAGCAGTTGCATAAAGCTAACAGACACCAGGTATGCACAAGCACTTTCGCATGCTAGCTATCTCGGATTATATGAAGAGTCAAGGATATGCGACGCCGACTGAGCAACATACACGAATACCGGGCATATGGAAGAAGCTGGGCACACTCTACAATCTACCTGCGCTAGATGAGAGGGTAGGTACAGAAACGTGAATCCAGGGCTTATCATGATGCTAAACGGTTATATTTTAGGAAGAGCCAGTATCTACAGAAGAGTCGGAAGATGCGGAGCAACCACAAGAGCTGTATTGCCCATTCTCACTACCGATGGACGAGTTTGGAGAGATGATGTGGGACCGACGAATAAATCCTGAGGGCTCGGTGTCTCCGTCAGTTAGCGGGAGAGGAACTTCGAGACGGGCTAGCACAATTGCAGATACAGATGGTAAGCTTCAATTCTCGTTATCTAGGAATATATATACGTCCAAAGACTGACGCATTCGCTGTTTAGAACCACGGTCATCACCTGCACCGTCACGAGGAAGCCGGCGCGGAGGACGTTCGAAGCGTCAACCACGAGGCAGCACGCGCTCTTCACGATTACAAGTCGAGGTAGAATCGAACAGGGATGCAACTAGCGATAAAGGAAGTGCCAATGAAATGGAAGATGGGGACGAAGACGACACAGAGGCCGGGAGAGAGGGTAGCGATGAGGATGGTGATGGTGATTCGAAGATAGCAGAGTCACCCGCGCCGCGAGCTACGAGGACACAAGCGACGCGCGGGAAGCCCAAGAAAGGGAGGCCTGCATCGAAACGAGGCGGTCGACGGCGGTGATATCTAACAATCATCATTACCGGAAGGTGTATCGTCTGGTGATAACGCTGGTTGTATAAAGATCAAGCAGTTTAGAGTATTTTCAACTCTCGTCTGAGGTTCCCAGAATCAAACCACATATTAAATCATCCACGTATCATTTGTACATACTTAAATAACATAGGAACATGTGACAGGTTACAAACACATCAGGGGGGATAAACAGATAGGAAATACAGGCAAATGATGTCCAATTCAAATGGGAAATGCAGAACGATTCTACTCCGTCTAATTAATAGTCTTTTTTTGGGGCTCTGACAAGATCCACGCTAGATTAATGAATTAGGTAGATGGCCTTACTATATGGTCGCGGACCGTTTATATGTTTTTGATGATGGCGTCGGCATATTCGTGGGTCTTAGCCTTGCCTCCGAGGTCACCGGTAAGAGCCTAGCGATAACGGTTAGTTGATACTCAACCCAGCAGTGAGATAACGGTAGATTCAATTGTGTTTGTTCTTACCTTTCCTTCGGAGAGAGTCTTGAAGATAGCAGCTTCGATCTTGTTGGCGTCATCGGTCAATCCCATGTGGCGCAACATCATCATACTACTCAGGAGGAGAGCTGTTGGGTTAGCTAGTCCCTTGCCGGCAATATCAGGAGCAGAACCGTGGACAGCCTCGAAGATAGAGCACTCGTCTCCAATGTTTCCGGATGGGGTCAATCCCAGACCACCGATCAAGCCGGCGCACATGTCGGACAAAATGTCTCCGTACAAGTTGGGCATGACGAGGACCTTGTCGTTGTAAGGGGCGGGATCAGTAACGACTCTCAAGCAGGTGTTGTCGAGAAGTTCAGCATCGAATTCGATACCGGGGAAGTCCTTGGCGACATCTCTGGCGGTGTTGAGGAAGAGACCGTCGGACATCTTCATGATGGTGGCCTTGTGGACGACGCGGACCTTCTTCCTTCCGATCTCTTGCGCATGCTGGAAAGCGAACCGGAGGACACGCTCAGATGCCTCGCGGGTGATGAGCTTAATGCTTTGGACGACGCCATCGACAACGACGTGCTCGATACCGGAGTATTCTCCCTCGGTGTTCTCTCGGATAAGGACAATGTCAACATCGTCGTATGGGGTCTTGTATCCGGCAATGGATCGGCAGGGACGGAGGTTCGCGAAGAGGTTAAAGGTTCGTCGGAGGGTCAGGTTAAGGGAGACATGGCCTTTGCCAATGGGAGTCTACTCAATCGTTAGTTTCTTTCTTATGACCGAAAGCTCGAGCCGGGATTGATTGATCTGGTGTCATACAGCAAGAGGTCCTTTCAGAGCAACAAAGTTCTTCTTCACGCTGGCAATAGCATCGTCTGGGATTGCGGTCTTTCCGTTCTTCAGGATGGGAGTAACGTCAACTGGTTCCCATTTAATTGGCACCTATAGTAAAAAAAAAATTGAAATTGTAAGTTACAGCATAGGCCGGTGCAGTCGCCTCTGGAGGTATACCTTAGCTGCGCTGAAGATCTGTTTCACGGAGTCTGAGATCTCTGGTCCGATACCGTCACCCTCGATCAGAGTGACAGTGTATTTGCCCTAGACAATGCATAGTTAGCAGCTCGTTCTGAGCTTGAAGAAGCCCGAAAGGCCGGGTATATGGGACAGTCGCGCGTACATCAGAGCCCTTCTTGCCGTTGAATTTGGCAATCTTATCAGCGGCCTGGACGGAATAACATCGAACCTAACCAACGAAGCCACTGTTAGTCCTTATTCTGCCTGTTATGAAGCTATCAATGGCCTCCGCTTGCTGGACTTACGGCCTGGAATGAAGAGGGGCGGAACGCCGAAAGAACAGGTCCCCGCAGGGACGACCGCATGGGAAGAGTGAACAGACGCCCTGTAGCCATGATGCTAGACCTCCTGGGTACAGCAAGCAACGTATCGAGGTAAAAACAGCACAATTGAAGGGATAAACAGGCGGGTGGACGGGAGTTGTTTAAAGACGGAAGATGTGAAGCCGTGAAAAAAGTGCTCGTTCTTGTTACATCGGAAGCTTTGCCCTGTTTGTCTTGTTTGCCTTCCACCAGCGTCGCATCTCCGAGCTCCACCTGGCCTCCTTGTTACAACGAGTCTGGAGTAAACAACGAGATATATAGACGACGAACAAGGACGCACTGGAGCTGTGACGATGACCGATGTGCATTCCCGGGATGCGTCGCAGTACTACAACCTGCCCGATCTCTATCCGGAGGAGTGGCCGGCAGAGCTAGACTCCAACAGCGAGGACGAGGGCGACGCTGCGCCGAAGAGCGATGAATACCGCCGGCGGTCGCAGATAAGATACTCTGGACTGCTGCCCGGACGAAGGGACCAGGAGAGGGTCAAGGGCGGCGATGGCGCAGTGCTGAAGGACGAGCCTGACCCCCTGGGCGGTCCGGATACGATATTGAGGACTCTCAGGCAGCGCGGACTCCCAGTCGACGATGACCGGGTACGCAAGCAGTTTCTACTGTCTTCAAAGAGCTTTTCGCCTTCTCAGTTCCTCTCCGAGACCCAGGAGTCTGCGTCAACCCAATCGCTGCTTCAGGGCCTCGATTACCTGTCGAGGTCAATCGACGAGAAGTCTGCCTCGCTGAAGATACTTGTCGAATCGAATTTTGAGAGATTCGTGAGAGTAAAGGCGACACTGGACAATGTCTACACTGAGATGAAAAACGGCGGCGAGGCCGATTCACGTCTTCGTCAATCGCCCTCCAGCGAACACCGCAGGTCAAATTCCCAGCTGGGCGCACCTAACGCGGGCTTATGGCGGTCGAAGAGCAAGGCAGCTCTCCGGCCGGAGGTGCCAATCCCCAGTTCTGGAAGCCAAAGCCAGACAAGCGTTTCCGGCATCAGCACTCCCCTGGCCGAAGCATCCGATCAAGCAAAGGAGCTGTGGAGTGAGGCACTGAACGGTCAACAGCGCGAGGAAGGCTTGAAATCTATTTTGGATGCTGTCGAGAAGCAGCGCGATATATACGAAATTGGTGGACATTTATCAAAATCCATCCAGGAGCGGGACTACCAGACCATCTTTGAACAGTATAGCAATGCTAGAAGATTCGCAAACGAGGCAAAGGTCATTGCGGAACGGGCAGCTTCGACTAACCAGCCATTGAGGGACGAACAGGTTTATACAATCCTAGTCACCGGAAGAATGTGGATGGATGTTGAAAAGCAGGTACAAGTCTTTAAGCGTGATCTATGGAAGCGGTTAAGCAACGCGCAATCTACTTCGCCGACAAACGCGAGTGGCGGACAAGCCGAAGAACATATGGAGCTTATAGCTGCTCTACTAGAACTCGGAGTAGACGACAACCCGGTCTGGGTCTGGCTCCTCAGTCGATACGACTACCTAAAGACAAAGATCACTGCCTACTGCCAGCGGTCGAGGTTTGAAATTGAAACGTTAAGGCGCCGTCTTGCGGCTGGGAAGAAGCCAGAACCCCAATGCGTGGCCCCGTACCTCCGAATCTCTTTACAAGAAGGAGCCAGGACGGCCAAAGATCATCTTGATTCAGAATCGGTCATCGAACTATGGGAATGTATCCATACATTCTTGAAGAAATTGCTTTCCGTTCAGGGGGGCATTCTTGGAGATGTGCTTGGATTTTGGGACTCAACTCAATCCTTCCTTGACGGCAGCAAGCAAAGACTCCTGCCCGCTGGGTATGATGGAGAAAGTCGAAAACATCACCGCTTATCCGCCAATGGTGTCAGTGATCTCAAAGATGGGATCATCGAGCTTATGAGCCTAATCCGCGACAACGTTGTCTCTATTTTCGCTGAGCCTCCCCCAGAAGATATAGCTTCTCTCATCCCTACTGTTCCACCAACAAGTCCTACCGCGAACTTCACTGGGCTGACTTCTGAATCCCGCTTCAAAATTGACCCTCAGGATATCCCTCCCGTCCCAGAGAAAAAGGGGCAACCCTGGGATGATTTTGCATTTTGGCCTCCCTACTCCAATTCCTTGAGTGGAGTGCACTACCTTAGCGAATTTTTGATATTGATTGGCACTGCGGCAAGCGAGATGGCTGATCTGAGTCCTATATCAGGCCATAGCGGTGCATACGACAGACTCAAGCTCCTCGTTGGCGGGACTCGCGAAAGATGTGCTCGTGCCGCGTGTGCGGCATGGAACAGCGACGCCGAACTCTGCAAATACCTTGAAGATTGGACGCGCCATCCGACAGTTAAAGACTTGAGTAAAATGCCTAGCCATTTTATGACTTTCGAAACTTCAATTCTCTCCGGTATGCAGAAAATATTATATATCTCTGAGGCAATGAGGAAGCCTGGCGCAGTAGATGTTGTTACACCCCCACCAGCGAAACTCCTCCAGATGGTGCGAACGCAATTCGTAACCAGTGTGTATAAAGCCTTAAGTGGCCTCGTCGAGAATGCAGAACACCCAGTCAACATTGATAATGATACCGAATGGGTACTTCCCGGTCCCGAGGCTGCAACGACAGGACCAGACATTCATTCTTCAGTATTTGCAAGCGGAGGAGTTGACTCGAAAAACAGGGTTAGTTACTTCAAATACACAAACACAACTTGATCTCTACAACTGTTATACTTACCAATAACCACTTTAGAACATTCGTATACTTTTAACTCTATCCAACCTCAGAGCTCTCCGTGCCGACCACGTACCCCGACTCGTCACAACTTTCGAGTCGTCATTCGCCGTCAAACTAACAGACGAATCAAAAACTATTCAAGACGTTCTAGGCCAGATCGACACCCGCCTATTCCAGTCATACTTAAAACCAATTGTTGAAAGTTTAAAATATCCTATTCTTGAGGGAATCGCATCCCCCGACTGGATTCCTACAAGCAGCCGCCCCGATCAAATTAGACCATACGTATATTCAACGATGCTCGGTCTCGTAATGGTTCACAATGAAGTCTCCACAACCTTACCAACAAGGACTTCAGCCACACCTCCCTCGTCATCCTCCTCCAATCTAACATATAAAATCTTGGCCGAACTACTCACTCAGGTCTCAAGCGCTCTCCTCGAGGCCTTCATGGGACGGGCCCAGTATACTCTACCTGCACTCATGCAGGCTACGTTGGATACTGAATTTATTGCCCAGACACTTTCTCAATATTCCTCCGAAGCAACATCTAAAGTGCAAGGCCAAATATACCTCGAGTTAGATCGCAGGACAACTAATGAAGCTCGTGCAAAACTACAGGCGGAACTTGGGGAGATGCGTGGTGTTTTGAAACGATTGAGAGAAGCAACCCGTGGAGAATTTGCATGCTTTAGGAAGCCAAAGAACCCCTCCAAATAGCTGTTTTAGCGTATATAAATGACGTATCGTTTGTTTTGCCTTCCAATTAGTCTAAGTTTACAGGGCATTGGAGCTAAAAGTATGAGTCTAGACAATATGACAGGGCAAGGTTTATTCTTGTATTCCATCTATAGTCAAGCTAACTAGTAGAGACAGGAAAAATTGAAGGAGAATAAAAAACCAAATAAAATTCCCCAAACCAGAAGGGTGATATAAGACATGAGGAGACTAAAAAGAGATATAGAAATATATGTTCAAGCAACCTCCGATGAATATAGGAATTCGAAACGCTTAAAAGAAAAAGATATCATCCTCACTCCACTGCTGTTTAAGCAGCATACCCATCACGGACTTTTCCATAGAGGCAGGACCACAAATAAGCACCATGCTGTTCTCGGAACGAACAATGTGCCTGGATAGCAAGTCCTCTGAAATCCTACCCCTATACCCGGACCATGCCTTTGAGGGCTGTGTCAGGGTATGAATAACCTGGAATTTATTCTTCTCATCACGCGATACAAACGAGGCCAGCTCGGATCGGCACATGATGTCCGCCTCGGTGCGGTTACCATCAATGAGGGTGCATGTCGTCTTATCCTCCTCGTCTTGCAGGATTGCTCGGATAACCTGGAACATCGGGGTAATACCACTTCCACCACAGATCATGTTGAATGAGGATATTTTGCGCTCAACACCATTGATAACGGCTCTGCCTTGGCCAAGGTATTCGAATTTGCAATGAGAGGAAAGCCTGTAATCGACTTGTGCTCCAATGGGTAACTTGTCCAGAGGAACGGTTAATTGTCCACCAGGGAAACCGGGACCGGGCCGATAAATTTTGATAAGAAGGCCCATGCTGCCTTTCTGTGTCGGTTCGGAGAGTGGTGTGATGGCCCTGATAACGGCACTGGTAGGGTCGCTAGGCCTTGCATTTACCCTCAACATGATGTGCTGACCAACACCGATTCCTAGAAGCTTAGAGCTGTCGGCAAAGGAGAATGTGAATAATGCCGTGTCAAGCGATAGGTTAGTTTTTTCAGTCAGGTTTACTTTCTCCCATTCGTGAACAATCGGAAGAGGCTTGGTGGATACCCCCTGAGAGCTCTGGAGTTTACGCAGTGCGGCAGCGTCAAGAGTCCCAAGATGGTAATCAGGCATCATGGCCTTTGCTGATTCGCTATCTGTATAAGACGTTAGTAATTGATCGAAATAATCACGGTATTAGCAACTTACGAATCGCCAGAAATTCATCAGTGCAATCTGTCGCTGCGGTCGAGAGAATGCTTTGAGCACCCCCTGGATGTCCTTCAAGGAAAGGCGTGCCATCGTATACCTCACCATCAACCACGAACCAAGGGTCTGTTTCCCGACTTCTATGTGCTTTGAACTCTTCCAGGCTAATAGTGACGTTCAATCCAGGCTTTTTCATATTAATTTCTGGCTCTGGTTTAATGTCGGCTGGTTTCGTGGCACGGTCTGATGCCTCACCCCAGTTCCCATCTTGTAAATCTCCGCCAGCCTTTTTAACTGCTTCCATCCAGCCACCTGGCTGAGTGGCAGGCAAGGTAGGGTGTTTGAATTTCAATACCCCATCTTCCTTGGTTATCGTGATGCGGAACCAAGGGTTGTTCATCATACCAAGGACGGTCCAGTACATTTCTTTTGGCTGGAGGTTCAGGGCTTCGTCCATGGCGCGAACAACAATACTGTCTGCGCTTTCAAGCTCGTGTGTTTGGACTTCAAGAGACCAGAAGCACCAGCAAAAGTAAGTCTCGCGCCAGGACAAATCAAGTTGTCCACCGTATAGGTACTGGCTCGTTGCCCTGTACTTATCCTCGTCATATTGAATGGGTGCTAGTCTCCAGGCTATGGATATGTTAGCATTGTTCGTATGGTATACACAGTATAAGCAACTTACTCTTCCCGCTATCCAATGACACCTCCATCCTTGATATCTGTCTTCCACCACCCGCGTATGCATACCCTTTGATAGTGTACGTAGGTGTGGAGGCTACAACAAGTTCTTCGTCGTGTTGTGGGTAGGCAATGGCCGAATTGACGTTGAGATGTTGAATAACATAACGCTCATCTCGCCACCATGAATCATCTTCAGTTGCCATTTCGGGAGAGCACATCGTTCTATACTCTGTTAGCGTTAAATATACCAAGAAGGGCTAGCAATGCTTACGGTAGCACTCTGTTGTCATAGATATGATACCAGTTATCACTTGGGTTCTCCGTCAATGTTATCTTGGTGATCCATTTGACACTTCTGCCACCAATATGGCCCGGGATCACTGCACGGAGTGGCCATCCATGGTCTTGACGTAGAGGCTCCCCGTTCATCATATAGGAAAGCATGACACCCATAGCTGGGTCCATAGCCGTTGACAACCTAATAGACGTGCCGTAGTTGCCATTTGGCTATTGGAAGAATTAGTATTCTAAGAACTAAAACCATGCATAGGTCACGACATACCAGTTCATCAGCTCCCTCCATGCACATGTATTTAGCCCTTCTCATCGGCCTTGCCCGGCTCAAGATATTGTGCATCATTGGCCCTGTAAAGAGGGCCGTCGACAAACCTGCGGCTCCCCAGTTGAAGCCTTTGGACTTCCGAACCATGTTCTGCTCTTTACGCCTGTTACCAGCGCACACGAGAGTGATGGGGCAAGTGACCTGTTCGAATTCGGAAATTATCTGGCGTAAAGTGAGGACGATCGGGTTTTCCACCAACCTAAACAGGATTGGAGGTTAGATCTTTGAAATTCAAGGGTGTCTGTCTGATATGGAGGTGCCTCACCCTTCAATAGAAAGCTCCCAGTTGAGGATGTCATCACGCTCAATGACAGGTACAGCTCCATGGTTCCGAACGAAGAACAGCTCAGGGGAAGTTAGGAATCCTGTACCATGACAGCTGCCAGTTAGCAAAGATGGAGCCATTCAAAGCAGCATGCCAGGGGAACAGTACCCTCATCAAATAGGGCAGTCAATGGAGACTCTGAGTTGAGCGGGTGAACACCAGTCAGGCGAACCTGTATGGGGTCTCTTGGAACGTGTCCATCTGGAGTGTCCTTGTCTATGCCCAAAACTTCCGACGGCTTTTTAGAAGGTGGTGGAAGTGGTATGTTAAATGCATTTATAAACGCATCTTCATTCTTAGCAAAGCTTTTCAGAGAAGAGATACCAATATCTTTGGTTTTGATAACAGGGATAGGCTCGACAATGATTGGATCGTAGGATGGCATGATGGCGATGTCAAGAGATTGCCTGCAATCTAGTTTATGTGTATATGAGCAGACTCATGTCAAGAAAACTCCAATCCTCCATGGGCATCCGGCGCAATAAATATTTCATCTCTCTTCCACCCAGCTGATATGAGCGGCAAGTCCAGTGAAGGCTGGGTACCGCAGTGCTGACGCAAGCTTCGCCAGCTGCAGGGAAGCCTGCTCACTCCAGAACAGAAGACGGGGTTTCTCCATCTCGAGAGGGAGTGTATGGGCATGAAAGTCGATTTCTAGCAGCATAGAACCTGTTGCTAACTAAACTTGTAGAGAAAAACAGGAAACCTCCGCGGAGATATAAAGAAATCCTCTCGACAGGGAAGAGGGATCTACAGATGGGCGTGCATAGAAAAAGAGAAGGAGGAGCGGCATCGGGGGAGAGAATTTAATTCCGCTACCGCTGTGCAACAGCAGTGTTTCTGATAGAATCCATCTTCGACGTGGATTTGGAAGGGGTCGGCGATGAGTAGAGTAACCAGTCAAGCTTTTGGCTGATTCGAACTGCATGAGCTTATGCAGGATGGTGGAGGAACAGAGGCACCCCTGTCCTCGCATGCACGACCGAGCAAAGCTTGATTAAGCTTGAAATTCTGCTTGCCTCGTCCAGGGTCGAAGGGACGGGTTTTATTTCGGCATGTTGACTGCATAGAAAACGAATATCTGGGGGATATATGCTTATCCATCAGTCCCTGGAGGTAGATGATAACCCCTGACTACCAGAACCCACGAAGTAGACAGTATAGCGTGCTGATTTTGAAGATGATAGCAGACAACCTACAGTCAACGCAGGTGTGCTAAAAATGGCTGGCCTAGACTCGTGTAGAGAAACTCCTGAACGACGTTGAACAAGGGAGCGACGTAAGACAGCTACGCCCCCGAAACAACGATAGCGCCCACGCCTCCCTCTAGGATGGCTTCAACGTTGCATAATTTTGAGCTCACCGACCATTTCATTCGGATCCTTTCGCTGAAGGGCTCGGTGGCCCCAGATCCGCAGTCCCGGCCGATTCTTTAATTGGTGAGTTGTAGTTACGGCCAGGGGTCGTGGTGGCAATCAAACATGCCGCAGCCAAACTGTAGATAAGACAGCTGTCCTTCTGCTGGAAGTGTCTCCATGTCTCGCTAATAGCGATGGCCTCTCGTGTCGATAAACAGGGCGAGCTGCATGGCCCTCCGTATTTCCCTGGTGTCTTCATCAGTTGTAAAAAGAGGCAGTTCCGTAGACATCGGCTCCGTAGAGGTGGATCTAGTAGTCCATAGACGGAAATGACAGAGATGCTTACCGTTACTCGCTATCGAATTACATCATAGCTATTTGATAAGTAACACCAAATGATGGACAGACAATTCCCGAGCCATACTCCGCACTTACATTTTGGAGCTGAGCAAGAGCAGTATCCCAGCGTCCAGCCAAGCAGCAGGGAACACCGGATGATCCATCATGTCTCCAGGGTAAGATGCAGTTCACGGATCCTGTATGCAGCCAGCAGTCATTTGGTCCTGCTCCTCAAGGCATGATCTTCTACAATCCAGGTCCTTGGCGAAGGCTTCTTATCTTGAGCAGAGAGACGAATCACTCTCAGCCGACTGTCATCATCCAGGACCCCATGGATATCGAACCGTCTGCGGCTCCAGTTGTCGTATACTCGAGGGAAACGGCTCGCACGATGTTATTCCAGATATCAGGAGGTCTCCGATCAAGGTCTCGGATGGTGATTCAGTTTTATGCCACTCCTTCGCCGCTATTATAATTAGCAGCTCCGCCGAAGGAATATATATATCGTCGCGGAAGTGGCATTAGCTGTCCAGCGAGCAGGGGAGAAAATGGCCACACGTGGAGGGTGTCAGGTCGCATGAAGAATGGGATCCATCGATCTGCCTTGCCAGTGTTTATGCAGACGGATTCAGGCAAAGGAACGAAAGTTCATCGAATGAACTAGGGGTTTATTCTTTGACTCCTAGTTTTGAAGATATCCATAGCCCAGTATCCACCCCGGGCCGCCGTATAACACTAGCAGGTGAGACGATGTGCGAGTAGCCCTCGCGCACCACACTACTAACGACAGATAGTGCATCATGCTTCCACATCTAGAAACTCTTTGAGCGGAACGGAACGATCGTTAGTATGCATTGCCGTATGCATGTAGAGATAGATCTCAGATTGGATACTTTCCACTGACAGGCAGGGAAAAGAGACCCCTAACATTACGTGGCACGCATCCTGCCACCCTCAGGCATAATAACCTCAAAAAAAAAAGCAACTTTGTGCATGGGGATGAGAAGGATCACCCAGCGTACGGAGTAGGGAGGCCCTGTATCCGGAGAATGCTGAAATTGATCATCCTTCCAGAATAAAGTGGAAGCGTCTGCTCACGAGATATGTATCTTGCGGCTGATGGGCAGTTTATGCGCCCAACCAGCAGGGCCAGTGCCTTGTCGATAGCCTGTTGAACCCAATCGTCTGCTTCTCTGGCCGTGCTACTGCATAACTGGGCTAGTATAGGGTGTTCATTCCAAGTCAGGACTTCCGGGAGCGCCGTCGTCTCGAACCAGCTATGGACGGGCTACTGAGGAGGATGGAGCAGGACGTCCATTATAGGTATACACCACGACGGGCTTCCGTAATTAAGCTTATAAGCTTATATATTAGGTATATTAACCTATCGTATCCCAATATGGTATTCGGTACTCAGTCCTCCCTGTAATCTGGCCGTGATCTCCATGTATATCGTCCGTCATCAGGCCGCCGCCGTGCTGCTCGACAGGCAACGGCAGTGCCTCGAGGTCGCAAGTCCCGAGACTCTCGACGTCTTAAGTGGTTTCAGTATCATTTAGGGTTGGCTAAGCATCGGGGGCCCGATTTAACCGTACCGACCGCTCCCGGCCCTGGTGGACGAGACGGACATGGATATAGGCAGATCGATATGTCGAGGTGACATCGCCCCAGCCTGTCGACGAGGACTACACCGAGCACCCGATCTCGGGCTAATTGAGAGACGAATCCTTCAACCTGTCAAACCTATCCTCTTCCACGGCCGTGGAAGAATCTCCGCGGCGACAACCAGCAGAGGAGATACATATATCGCCTCCCGCCTGCAGAGTTGGACAGGATCGACTGGCGATAACCTGATGCGATGTTGCATGTTGTCCTTTTGCTGAATATCGTCAAACACGAGGAAAACACGTGGTGCTAAGAGTCCAAGACTTCATCCATGAATATCTCGACGTTGCACTTGGATCAGGGTGTTTCCAGGTGCAGTTTTGGCTTGCACCATGAAGCTTGACAGTCTTGGGCGTCTTGGTCACTCTTGGCTATGGCAAGAGCCTTGAGATATAAAGAATCAATGTACCCAAAGGACCAAGTGAAGGTACTACAAGTCGGTAGACATGCTACAACATTGTCCTACGATACCTATTAACAGCTTGAAAGATAGTCTCAATACCCTCAACCCAGGCGCCTTTGTCTCTGCAAAGTGATGCCAGGAGCAGAACTTGTCAGGCACATAGATGTTGGTGATTACCATGCTGTCATGGACTGCTGTCACCAACCATCTGTGTGACTGTGGTTAAGGCCAGCTGTTATTTAATCTCATCATGATGGCATGCATTCACCACCTATAACCAATTGAATAAGGAGTCCAGCTCACGACTTCAGAATGAAAGAACTTAGGTCCTTATTTAAGCACTTTCCGCTGCTAGACATTCTGGATCCTCTTGATATTTACCCTACTTAGGATATTATATCTACATCCTTATCTGGACAGATATCTTACATCGAAGGGGTTATCAGAACAGAATGTAAGTTGATTATTGCTAGAATATGGACAGAACACACAGAGCCAGAAGAGGGCTCATTTTATCAATTTTGCTGAAGAAATAACCAAATATAGAAATCTAGTCCAATATCTATTCACATTTCAGCTGCACACGCACAATTCCACTGTCAAGATGCGTTTAATATACCTCCTTCTAGCAGCTTGTCCCAGTGCATTTGGACACATCGAGATGAGGAAACCATACCCCTTTAAGAGGTGAGTACTGAGAATAATAAATAATCGATCATATACTAACTATCGTGCAGCAAATTCGACCCAGAAAACAAATCCAACGACGTCGACTACTCGATGACAACCCCACTCAACGCCGATGGTATGTCCATACTAACCTCGACCCTCATTAATAGTCATGGAACCCATCAAAAGCAGCCATGACGTTAACGCCAACCATTGCAGGCTCGAATTTCCCCTGCAAAGGCTATCATCACACCAAGACCTTCCGCGCTACAGCAAACTACACCGCCGGCCACTCCTACTCTCTCGAACTTGCCGGCTCTGCCACCCACGGCGGAGGATCCTGCCAGATATCCCTCAGCGTCGACAACGGCACCTCATTCCAAGTGATAAAATCCATCATGGGCGGGTGTCCGCTTACGCAGTCATATATCTTTACCATACCAGACACGGTGCCGTCCGGAAAAGGGTTGTTGGCCTGGACCTGGTTCAATCTGTTTGGTAATCGGGAGATGTATATGAACTGTGCTCCTGTGATCATTACTGGCAGCACTTCCAGACTGTCCAATCACATATTGCCGAAGATGTTTGAAGCGAATATCGGAAACGGTTGCAAGACGGTGGAAGGACGAGAAACGGTATTTACAAGTCCAGGAAACGATGTTATCTACGGTGGTAAGATTACGGCTGGCAGTCCTCCAGTACCAAAGTGTTAGCAGGTTTCAACCAACGACGCAATATATCGGCCGTCGTTCGACCGCTATTTTACAACCTTACAGCCTATTTGCTACTGTGGGCTCCAACATTGCGAAACGGTATCAATAACCTGTCTATCTTCCATTATATCCCCTCCCGTGACCCCTGCCCCGTGGCCCCTTTTTCACTATACTTTCAAGCTGATAGAACTTCCCCTCCCGCTCCCTCTCACAGCAACGGCCCTTCCTCCAACCTTCTTTTCAAATCTCATTTCCATTCTCCAACATTATGTCCCAATAGGAGACCGTTTCCACACTTCCCGCCACAGATCCATGACGTTTTTTGCCATTTGCCATTTTAAAGTCGCACCTACTGGCGTTTTGGGTATGACTATTTATTTTCTACGGAGCACAAAAAAGGCAGCACATCCAACGACTTGCCAATCTCAGCGTCGCCACGCGGTATCCCAGCCCTCTCGTTGGCCAGAAAGACGGCCGATCTCAATTTCAGTCACGGGCGAGGGGAAATACGAGTGGACATGAAGGGGGAAACAAGCTCCCAAGCCTCCAACGCCAAAGCCAACGCCAACGCCGAGCTCCAACGGCGCGCGGGGATATTGAGATGTGCATACCGCCTTTTGAACATGTGCATTCCTACTTATTATGTGCTATATGTGTAGATCGTAGTCATTCTCCACCGTTAAAGGCTTAACTGTTAACTGTTCAACTGCTAACTGTCCAACTGTCCAACTTGTTTCAGGAAGGTTGATCGCGAACCTATATTCTATGGAGTAAGGAACGTCTCAAGTAGCGAGATCCACGTCGGCCAACGTGATGGCAGGAAACTCCGCGATACGGCATACGGCCCTGCGAAGATAAGGAGGCCGTCGCTTGCGGAGCGCTCTCCCCGTCGCCCTCGGCCTGCCAGGATGGAGAGTAAACGTGGAAGACACAGCCAATGGGGCAGGCAATGCTGTCGAATGCGACTGATCGAGCAGGTTAGAGTTGCGCCATCTGCAAGGCTCAGAATAGTTTCCATCCAGCTGGGTACCTGCACGCAAGTAGAGCAGAGCTGTGGCTGGTGTACATGAGCCAAGCAAGGAACGTACATGCTCATGGCTTGCGAATACAGCACGTATATGCAAGGTTGTCTATATTTGGCAGAAGGATGGAGGATGGAGGGAAAACCGGCTGCGAGGCTTTGCTTTCTTCTCTCACTTTCCCCCTTTTAAACGAACTTCGGTATCTGCTTTCTCTTTGTCTTTTGCCTTTTTTACCGAGTAAGTAGAAGTTATATCTTATATATTACCCCGAGGTATTCGGCAAACAGGTCGATACTGGGTCGTACGATACGTATACGAGCCAAGGAATAGCACGCTAGTAAGAAAAAGATGCTGTTTTATTTTGGGCTTGTTCCTTTTTTGTGTCCGCTGGGCGCAACTTCGACCTCTCGCCATGCACCACGAATACAAACCTGTATCACGCGAGCGCATCTTGCATATCGATTGTCTGCCATGCATGATCGCGCTACGACGGCCTCCTCTTGAAACGGAACTTTGCCGGTATTAGCCGGTGAGATCATGAGCTACGACTATCTTGCGGACGTTCTCCGTCAAGATATACTCAGCATCCTCACATAGTTACTGATATCCTGATATTGATATACTGATATTGATATACAGAGTACTGATATAGAGTACGTACTGTTGATATACGGAGCAGGAGCCGGAGGCTTGCCCGGATTACCCGATGAGAGGGCTGGTCTTCCATCTCCGAATAGAAGAAAACATGCATGCTCGTACTCCTGACGCAAGCTGTCCATAGTCTGGTCGCTGGCGGGGTAAATAAGGTATAAAAAAGACAAAATAAACAAATAACAAGGAAAAGATTGCTATTCCTAGGAACGAGACGAGTGCCGCCGCGCGCCGGGACCAAGAGATCAACCTTAGCTTTCGTCCTTTTCTTTGTCATTCTCTTTTCTTTTGGAGCAGGCTCGAGCAGGCCTGAGCAGGCCTGAGCTGAATATAGACAAGTGCATATAGTGGCCGGGGTGGGATGGATGGCCGGGTACTTGCATATATCGGTATCCCACGGAGGAGAAAGCCACACTTTATATGTACGACTACCTGCGCGATAAGTATAGACATGTCCAGCCTCCGTGTCTGGTTGTATGCTTACATATATGATATATGTATGATACGTGGCGGTGGGCTGCGGGTGGGGGTTTGACCCTTGCCGGCAACGGCTGATGCGCGTCCCATTTAATTCGAGTGAACGGGGGGAATAGGGAAGAGGGAGAAAAAGAAACCAGGTCATGCCCTTGTTGCGCCACAGGTTGTGGCACCGTCCTGGAAACGGTGGCTCGGGATTCCCGGCCTTTGGATATATCCTGCGATGATGTCGTGCTCTACCAGTCGGACAGCGACGTAATATGTTCCACAGGACGGCGTAGACATCTAATTCAAAGATGAAATCGGGGCTGTACTTCATACGTGCTCGTAGATGACATCGGGACGTACTCTGGCCGGGGAGATGAGTCAATTGGGCGGTCAGGATGGCAGCGAAGTCATGGCGTTGGAAACGGTCTGTCTGGGGATGTAAAGTCCGAGAGAATGGATCGCGATCTGCTTGGACGCACGAGATAGTCGGCCCTTTCTCGGCTTCTCCCTCCCCCTTTTACCCGCCCGCCTTGGCTCATACACGGCGTATACTCCGGCTGTGATCAAGCCCGTATAGATCACTGTCTTCGTACTCCGGTGAGACATTTGATCATGTTGTCAGCGTTAGAAGAAAAGAACAAGATAAGAACTTACGGCGTACTATTAATAATATCTCATCGACCCCGGCGCCCGTAGCGATCTTGCGCCTCCACTCAACACCTACTCCATCGAGCAGGTCGGTAGGCGGCAGGTCTGACAAGCCACACAGCATATATCCATGAGCCAACATCCAACCCTCCCATCCAACGCCTTTTTAGCCTCCCTCTTGGTCGATATTGAAACCCGGCCTGACCTAGGGTTCGACTGGCCTTGCTGCGGGGCAACATGCCTGATCCATGCATACGTACATGATGATGGATGATTACTGCTGTACGTATGTAGTATGTGCATATGTAATGCGTCTCCAGGCTGCAGAGAGGCTACGCTCAGCTCATCATGTACGAAACACGACCTGCAGCCCAATCGAAGCGGCTGTTTCTGCGCTCGATTCTTCGTCTCTCGGTGTATGCGATTCAGAACCCGCTCAGCCGAACTGGGCGAGTCGCAGACCTGAGCTGTTGGATGGCCGACGGTCGGCTCTCGCATCCGATCCAGTCAGTCACCCTGTGTGACGACAGGGCAGGGAGGGATGAAGGGATGGGGAGGGGAAGCGTCCGGCATCAGCATCAGCATCCAACGAGCGGTGGGTCGGTTAGCAAGCCACACAATTCGATGGATAGGATTCAGTTGGCTAGCGTGCGGTCTGCGAATGCTGCGACTGATCTTCCAGTACTTTTTGCTGAAGCATCCAGTTGTTAAAGTATCCAGGCACAGTCACCGTAGATATGAGCTGATTAGTGATACATCGGTGTCTATCCAATAGCACGGAGTATCAGGAAGTCCTATATCACATCCTAATTTCGGCCATCAGCGAGCCTGGGGACAATTTGCCGTCCCCGTCGCTCCACTTTTTAGATAGTTTTAGTGATGCGTCTGCGCCAGTGATGTCATCGTGCCTCGCCTCTCCGCCTTGCCAGGAGAGAAGACAGCAGTCGGAGTAGGCAGCCGGAGAAGAGAGGACAGTCGGAGTAGAAGAGAAGAGAGTCGAGGTGGGCCAGACTGAAACTGCGCAGACACGACATAAATTAACGACTCCACGACGTCCATGTCTAATTAGCAGCAGATTAGGGCTGAGTACGATACTGTACATACGATACACATACATCGACGAGACTTACTTATAGTCTTAAGTATAGGTTAGAGTATTGTTTATAGAGAAGACTCTAGATATAGGCATAGATATGTGCCAGGTGGCGTGACAGGCTCGGCTGAGTCTACGCTATCTGCCTAGACGAGAAAAGGTCAGAAGAAGAAAGGTGATGCAGTTTTTTTCTCTCTAGACCAGATCCAAATGCCAAAAGCCAATTGACAGTCTGCCTCCCGTTCGCTCAGCGCTAGCAATGCGAACACAACTGCCATCCCGCTGTCGAACCCCACGGTAGATGGGGCAAGGCAGGGCAATTGAGCTTTTCTTCGACGTCTCGTCCTGCCTGGCGGTCTCCTGGCGCGCCCGATTCGTCTGCGCGCTGGAACTGTTGCCCGAGCTGTAGGGTAGTTCCTTGCCGTGGCCGCTGGCATGGTGTAATCGTGTGCCGTGGCTTCGCTGGTGGCCGCCATGACAGGGGTGACCAGCCTGGCAGCCTGAGACTGACGACTGACGACTAACTGAAGAATCTGACGGCCGTTGCTACCTGGGGCGCATCTTGGGTCGCTCTTCTCTCGTCTTCTCTCTCACATTTCAGCCTGATAAAAATGGATCCGTAGCTGTTCAATGCGGACATCGGTCACCGCTTCTCGTTACGTATAGCAGGCTGCCGAACAGCCTAGATCAGGCAGCATTCGAATACAGAGTATACAGAGTAGGTAGAGCAGAGTATAGTGTAGGTAGAGCAGAGTACAGCGTAGGTAGAGTAGAGCAGAGTAGAGTGTTGGTACAGAGTAGGTAGAGTAGACAGAGTAAGTAGGTAAGGAGAAGGAGTAAGCGATATGGTAAGAGTAAATGTAAGAGTAAGTGTAAGTGTAAGCGAAATACCGTATGGTATCTGGTATCTGGTATCTGGAATACGAGTACCGGCTGTGACGTGGGCGAAAAGGGAAAAGAAAGGGCAAAAGACCTAGTGCGAGCTCATCCTCAACTTCTCGTCCATGGCCCAATCTGCTTTATTTTCCCTCCCCTTGCTGCGGCATTGTTTGATACAGCCCGATAGTCAGGCAGATCTTCGCTCTCGTCTTCTTAAAGCCAGCCCTCCTCGCTCTGCAGCTTTTGCTTCTTCGTCCTGCCGTTCATCCCCCCTGCTCGCTGCGATCAGATAACTCGCCTACCTGCCTTCACCCCCCCGTCCCTCCGTCGACAACGACGCCTACTCGACGCCTCGAACCGTCCAAAGGTCCCTCCGGCGCATAAGGCTATCGACGTGCCTGCATTGCAAAAATACGAGCTTCAAAGGACCCTTTTGCTCTCCCTCTCCGCGCCAACGAGTCGCTCCTTGCCTGCACCTGCACCTGCGCACCCTGGGGCCCCCTCTGACCCCTGGTTCTGCAAAAAAAAATATAAAAATAAAAACAGCTGAACCCTGCAGGCCCGGCTGCATTTAATACCCTGGACGGGGTCCGTTTACTCTTCACTATATACAGCGGCTTGCGCGCTGTTCGTTCAAAAGGCACCGACTCTGTCAATTTCTCGCTCAACGCGGACCATCTTTCTCTAACTCGCCGTCGTTTCGATCGTCTGCACACCACCAACGATCGTCTTGTGTGACTCGACTGTCTGCTAGTGAGCGAGCATTGGGTCTTGCCCTTGATCGTCCTGGTCTAACGGTCCCTTATGAAATAGTTACAAAAACGACCACTTTAAAACCCTTAGCTTGCCTCGTCTGGGTTTTTTTTTTTGCACTTCAGCTGCAAGAGCTACCTCGCTCTTAACCTTACCCGGCCAGACTCGACTTGTCCATCCAAGAGATCGTTTGACGCCCTGAAGCTTGCTCTGGAGCTCTGACCGCCGTCACTAAGTCCCAAAAAGGCTGTTGGGGACCAAAGTTGATTCTCCCGGACGGGAGGCCCCGGGAGTTGACAGCAAAGAGAAGAAAAGAAAAAAAAAAACAAAGAAAGGAAAAAAAAAAAGCAGCCTTCGCCGAAGGAAGTAAATATATTCGCAAACATTTGCATATTCAAATTCTGCTCGTTTGTTTGAATATATTTTTTACTTTGAACCGCCAATGCTCTCTGGAAGAGTTTGACTTGTTTAACTACCGCCTGTCAATATGCACAACAAACCTCTAGGCCAGGTAGCTTAGGTGACTGCTTTGGTTTTTACCGCTCGCATTTATCGCATTACGCTTTATCGCATTGTCGCTTAAGGATTACCATTCCCCCCAGTCACTCCCTTTTTTTTACAAGTCGCAAACTATTTTCCTTCCCTCGCAGTTAGTTTATACGTTTTCGCATACAAAAAGCAGCTTCTCCCCTTTCCTCGCAAGTCACAAACTCGACGCCGTCCCCCAACTCTAAAACCTCGTTTGCTTGTCTCTCAGAGCAAGCATTCTTCCCGAAGGGAGAGGGACGTGCTCTCTCATGCACATAGCACCGGCAACTTTTCTCCAAATACACCGGTCTTCTCTTTTTTGCGAATCCTCAAGATGGCCTCCGCACCTCCATCCCCTACCCTTGTCGGCCGTTCTCGTGCCACTCCCATCAAGTCGACTTCGCCATTCCATCGAATCCCTCTAGTACAGGATTTCATTTCTTCGTCATACCCGGCTACCCGCTCGGTAGCAAACTACGGCACCCAATCCACCGACATGTCAAGCTTAACGTTAGTTCATCGAAGTCATCTATCAAACTCCTCAAGCCCAGTAACGGGCCCCATTCAAACTTCAGACCTCAATATCTCCGGACTCCCCATCATGGCCTCTCCTTTAACTAGCTCGCTCGAGAACCCCGTTCCTCTTGAACTTCCAGAAGGAATTCTATCCGTCCCTTCACAGCAAAGCACTCCCTCTGAATCATCTCTCATGAATGCTTCCAATAACAACAACAGCAACAACACTTCCAATAACAACTCCAATAACAGCAAGGGTCCAGGCCTGATGAGGAGACTATCAAGAGGCGCCGCCAACAAGCTCACCCGACGACGGCGGTCGAACTCGCAGGATAGACGTGATAACAACTCTGGCCCCGTTACGATGCTCAGAAGGAGCAACAGCAAGAAATCCGGCACTACGGCATCCTGGGATAGTGCTCTGGATTCAAGCTACGAGGAGGACGAATCATGTGATACCCTAGGTACATGGTGCGGCCCCGATAGCAGCCAGGTCAAGGGTGACTATCAGAGGTCCATCACCAGCACCGCCAGTGGAATTGCTCCAAAGATTGATCCAATCCTCCAACGCGGCTGCACATTGATAAAGGTAAACAAGCTGAAAAAGAAACCAATGACCTTCTACCTCGACTTTGACTCGGGAAAGATGTTCTGGAACCTATCAAACCCCTCCAAGAGGGTATATATCGACGATATCAAAGAAATTCGACTTCGCCAAGACGCTCGCATGTACAGAGAAGAACATCGGATACCAGAGGAGTTCGAGAATCGGTGGTTCACTATCATCTACAATAACTCCGAAGGGTCGAAAAACCGCGCGGTAAAGACCGTTCATCTGATTGCACCTAACGAATCCATGTTTGAGCTGTGGACCACAACTCTTGAGAATGTCGCCAGATATAGAATCGGTCTCATGGTCGGCTTGGCCGGATCGGTGGAAAGTGAGTCCATCTTAAACGCCCACTGGCAACGAGAGATGTCCAGACGTGGTGGTGCTCAGGACGTCAAGTCGGGCGAAGGAGAGAGCCTGGACTCGGAAGGGATCGGTAACCTGTGCCACAGTCTTCACATCAACTGCTCCAAGGAGATGCTTCGCGTCCTCTTCGCTCGCGCCGACACCTCAGGTACAGGCAGAGTCAACTTTGCACAGTTCAAAGAATTCATCAACCGCCTCAAATACCGCAAGGATCTCAAAGATCTCTACGATCGTCTTGTCATCGACGACGTGCATGGTATGACTCTAGATAACTTTCTAGATTTCATCCACTACACTCAGCGCGAAGACGTCGAAAATAATAGGGATTACTGGGTCTCCGTATTCGAGAAGTTCGTTCGCAAGGCTAAGCTTCGGTCACAAAGCCAGCCAGACGCCACGTCACCTGACGACGCGCCTCTTCGGATGAGCCTCGATGCCTTTTCTAATTTCATGATATCGACTTCAAACGGTATCTATCCTTCGCATGTCCCTGCGCCTAAATTCGACCACCCTCTAAACGACTACTTCATTTCAAGTTCACATAACACTTACCTCCTAGGCAGACAGGTTGCTGGCTTTTCCAGCACCGAAGCATACGTTACGGCACTTCAAAAGGGCTGTCGATGCGTCGAAGTTGACTGCTGGGATGGCGCTGATGGCCGTCCTATCGTCTCCCACGGGAGAACGATGACCACGAGCGTCCTGTTCGCGGACTGCATCTCAGTTATCAACCACTACGCCTTCCTTTCATCCGACTATCCACTTATCATCTCTCTTGAGGTTCACTGCAACCCTGAACAACAGATTGCAATGACCAACATCATCAAAAACACCTTCAAGGAGAGGCTGGTTCTTGAATCGTTGAGGGAAGAGTGGCCTATCCTGCCCACCCCGGAGGCGTTGAAGCATAGGGTTCTCATCAAAGTCAAGACTTCCGACGAAGTAATCGATACCGGGCCCGCTTCCGCACCTATCGGCCTCGTCAGCGTCAACGTCGGTCGCAAACGCAGCTCTAGCTCTCCATTCATGCCTCCCACTGTCATGGAAGATCCGCTCCATAACTTCCCACCGCTCTCATCTCCCCCAACAATCGGGTCAGGAGCAGATGCCGCGCCCCCTACTCTCAACAGACGTGCATTCACAGCAACCAGCGTCTGCAGCACTTCGGAAGAGAGTGACATCGGCCAGGGCTCAGCCGCCATACAGAAGGAGAAGAAACGATCGCAAAAGAGCAGGATTGTTAAGGACCTAGCGGATCTCGGTGTCTACACGCGAGGATACAAGTTCCATAACTTCCACTCACCCGAAAGCAAACGGTTTAACCACGTTTATTCATTTGCCGAACGGGCGTTTGAAGGCATATGTCGGGATCCTGAAAGTAAAGCTCTTCTCGAATCGCATAATCGACGCTATCTGACAAGAGTATACCCTTCCGGGTTCCGTGTTCGATCCTCAAACTTCGACCCGAACATCTTCTGGCGTCGTAGCGTGCAGATGGTTGCTCTCAACTGGCAGACATACGATGTGGGGATGCAGATGAATCAAGCCATGTTTGCTTCAGGGACAGATCGAACTGGATACGTTCTAAAGCCAGAAAGCCTGAGGTTGCCGCCAACCTGGAAAGGTCCAGGCCTGAAGCCAAAAGTTGACAGAAAGCTTGTTCGGTTCTCCATCGACGTTATCTCGGCCCAGCAGCTACCTAGACCTAAACACATTGGGCTCGATGATAATATCAACCCCTACATCGAGATTGAAGTGTTTAGCGCCGATGACAAGACGAAAGGTCTCGCGTTCGGAGAAGGCGGAATGGATACATCTGACCGCAATGGGCTTTCTGGCATCGGTCACCCTCACCGCCGTCGAACAGGTATCGAGCAAGGAAACGGCTACAATCCCATATTCAACGACCAATTCAAATTCTCCCTGGAAACAAAATACCCTGACCTCGTCTTCGTGCGCTGGGTCGTCTGGAACTCCATCGACGGCAAAAACGTCGGCAATAACAGCAGTTCGCAGCTAGCCACCTTCACAGCCAAACTTAGCAGTCTCGCCCAGGGTTTCCGCTACCTACCTCTCTACGACGGTAACGGAGACCAGTACCTCTTCTCCACACTCTTCTGCAGAATCACCAAGAGCGAGCTTGCACCGGTCGTGCCTCCTTTTGACTCCGATGAGATAAAGAATGAACGCCGAGGTATATTCAAGCAGATCGGCCAATCCGTGCTCAAGCGAGCGATATCTACTGAACGCGATTCCTCCAAGTCTAACACCAGCTCAAGTGACCAGTCTAGGAAATCAGACAACAAACTCCCTTCCTCTCCCGCATTGAACCCGAGTGTAACCACTTCTCCCTAAAAGCTCTCCCATTTCATTTTCCCTATTCATCTACCTACCCTCTGACCCATTCATACTACCCGAGATATAAAACCACACCGACAGATACCTCCGTGTGCAACATCGTCATCTTTAATATCCTTTTTTTTCTTTATACTTCATTTGTACCCCCCTAACGACCCGTGATGACCCTGTGCGAATAATATAGCGAGAATATGACCTGTTTTTTACCCCCTTTTTGTCTTCCGTCATTGTTTTCCATCTTTTACCCACTCGAGTCTGAATCGATGAATGTTTGTTTTTCATTTTTTTTTGTTCTCTCCCAAGGAAAGGGAAAGCCCCTTTATTTTATAAAGCATTGCTGGGGCATGGTATATGTGATCTGAAGAGAGCCGGCCTCCTAAGTTTCGTTGTTTGCTTATGTTGTTGATATGGAAATGGAAAGGAAATGTGCATTGAAATGGATGTCATAATATCTGGGACATGGGATGGATTAACTGGGTCTAGAACGAATCATGCTATTTATTTCATACTTCATATGTGATTTGCCTGTATGGGTTGATGCATATAACAATACCATTATCATTATACTATCTAACATCCTACCGATTATCCTTAATTACTACTTTAATACTAAATGTAAGAGGAAGTTTTAGGCACCGGCCAGTTTATAATATACCACCACCCAAGCTATACCGGGGGTCTGGTAAGCGGCTGCAATCGATGCATGAATGTATTTCATTATTACAACTATGAACAGAGCAGGGATAACAATATAATAAACAGACGCCCTTAACTTCTGTACTGGAAACGTACTGCCATAACAATTAAAAAAGGAACAGTCGGCCATTCGGTCACTATTAATATAAACGGTATTGGCTATAAAGAACCCTCCCCGACCAATCTTTGCTGCTATCTGCCAACAATTGGCACAAACTGAAATCAATTAGTAGCAGTTTCGTTAAAGAGCAAGAACGTCTCGGAGACATTCGATTGAGGCATGATCGCGAGTGGTCTTCATCATATGGTACCAGACCGGGTGCATGGTCAGCGCCCCATATCCCTCGGGTAGGTCATCAAAGTCGAATAAGATTTCACCCCCGTTTTGCGCTGGGTTCCCAGACTTATGGGCATCTCCCTTCCAAATGCGACTGAGGGCCTGCGTGAACCCCGACCAAAATAGAGAGAAGGAAGTACGGTCCGAGAAGGTTGGGGGATTCTTGCCAATGGTGAGATTGCGCTTCATGGCAAAGATCTTGACCAGCTCTCCGGTGGGCTCGGTGTATATCGGAAATGGACACGCGGTTACTCTCCTGTAATGATCAATCAGGGTATGCGCGCCAATCCCGACAATGAACACCCTGACATTCGGCGAGAGATCTGTTTCTGGGTTCGCGAACGCCTCTGACACGGCGCGGATATAGTCTTGACAGTTCTATAAGACGGTCAGATAGCCGCACTTGGAACGATTCGTGCATGTTTACCAGAGTACTTACGCCGCAGAAGAAGTGTCGGATGAATATAGCAAGCACTCTCTTCGCCTGCAATCTATGCAGCTCATCCAGTGTATCCCCAAAGTCGCGCTTTGCACCCGCATCATCGATCAGGGTAACATCGCGGGCTTTCAGGACGGCCTCTGCACTTGGGAGCACGTCGGAATGCTCTGTCATCGCTGGAGTGACCCTGAGAGGAGGCATTTTCGTCTCGGCTGCTTGTGTAAACCTTGGATTTCAGTCACAGTAGGAGGTCCGGCTGAATATCTCAGATTCCTTGCCGGTATTGTCTTTGTATCCTCGTCTACCTCTCCAGGCGCAGGAGGAGGTATTTAAGGTGATACGATCGTCCGTAGGATTCAGGCCAGCAGCTGCACTGGGATCGCCCATTATCAAGTTAGCTAGATACTTCGCGGCCGGTGTCGAAAAACTTACTAGGAGAGAACTAGATAGGAAGACGGATGAGAGAAATGTATCAAGAGGGCGAGCTGGCTTGTTTATTATGTGCTTCTATAGTTGCTCGTCACTTCCGCCGGCCAAATATGTAAACATATGTATATATTGGCAAGTTCAACCTATAACTCGTTCACTCTTGTCTTATGGGATAGATATATATCATTCTCCATGCGAGCCATCGTGTTTATTATAATCACCTGTTATACTCTGGGGTTACTGTTGATAGGCGAAGGATCATACATCCCTGCCAAAGACAAGCATAAAACTAGAAAGCCACTGATTTACGTGAGAACTGCATCGTACGAGGGCGCAAGGAAGCGCGGAAAAGACGAGATGATAAAAGCCGACTTTATTCAGCTCGCAAGAACTCCTAATAGAGGTATAGGTATCAATATATAACAACGGACTGACTCCAACACGCCACATGAAAATGCTTTTTGATACGCCCAAGAACCGCCCTCTATTTTTTGACCCAATAAATGATAAGGAAAACACTAGGATCATAAATAGTCCTTCTTCTTGCTCGTCCTTGTGTACTGGGTAAGAGCCCATTCAACGTCTCCTCCGGCACCTTTCTCCAGGGTGCCTCCCTTGATCTCAAACAGCCGCATGGTCATACGAGGACCAACCTCAGCTAGCTCGACGTCTTGATAGCCAGTCTTCACAAAGACGTGATGCCGTACCTCGATGCTGTCTTCGATATTTTTAAACGTGACCACTCTGCTGCCAATCTTGCCTGGTTCTCGGGGAGGGAAGAGATGGGAGAGGATCTGGACAACCCGCTTCCCCAGCTTCGTCGTGAACCCTTCGAATATCAAGTGAGGGTAGCTTTCCGAGACCGTTCCCCGCGAGGCGTTGGGGATGTCGGCTCGGAGGACGACGTTGTGTAGAGAGAAACTGGCAGTCGGACCATGAGGAAGATGGGAGATGGTGATTGCCGTCGGTGTGCCTCTGTGTTCGTGTAGAATGACCATATCACTGAGTGCTGAAGCAGTGGCGCTGGCCACCAGGTCGTTGAGAACGAGCGTTCCTCGATTCAGCCGTATCGACGTAGGCATGAGCAGCCGTATCTCTTTAGCAAACGTGCTCAGACGTGAAGAAGGGTCGCGAGAGGTCGTAACGAGCGGCCGCGGGTCTACGAGGCCCGAAGTAACCGCATACTCATCGTCGACGTCGATTTCCTCTCCCTCCTTCGACTTGGGGTCGGCCGTTGGAAGCGATTCATCGTACTTGAAATCCTCTCTTAAACTCCTGTCGTTCGCGATCGACGGGTCTAGCGGTTTCCCTGACGCCAGGGACGCTTTCAACGTCGCTCTTCGCTCTGCGATCGAGGCATCCTTGAGCAGTAGAGCTTTGCGATAGAGATAATCTCTCCGCTCGCGTGCTTGCCGTCGCTATCTCCAGTCAGCAGGCAATTCCTCATAGAGTCCAGATAACCACTTACTATCATATCGTCAGTCAATCTCCCGAATAACAGCTGGAGATTGTATGTTGTAAAGCTGAAGTTGTTGAAGAGATATATTTTTTTTTTGTTCAGCGCTAGTAGGCCGGCTGCGTGACCGTAGGCGCGATACGCTTTTTTCCCTCTCTCTAAAGTGAACGAGGAAGAAAGTTGACAACGACCGACTGCGCCAGAGCCCAGTGCAGCGCCGTCTCTTTTCTTCTTCTTCTAGATCTCTTTAATTCTCTTTCTCCCTTGCAGTGCTGCTGGCTAGCTGCTTGCTTGTGGTGTATCTGCCCCTATCGCGCAGATAAGTCAGCGTCCTTTAGGTTTATCCAGAGCTGATTCTCCACAACTACTTTTTGATAGGTATTGCACTGCTCGATCTCTCGCTCCTCCGGACAATTATATTCCCTGCTCAAGTCAGATATCTTGACTGTCTGCGATCCTGAGCTAATGAAGTCTTGCTTATAGTATTGTTTCGGTTTTATTTTTTTCTCTTCTACGGGGGCTGCGCGTGTTATATCGGACAAAGTTACCCCCCCAGGTCTCTGCGTGAAGCCGAGTCATATGTGGTAGCATGGAGGCGTTTACAAAGATGGGAAACCATATGGTTTCTGATTCTGCAGCTACGATTAATGCCGGTGGTGACGATATGTCCACCGTCGACGGTGACGAGGGCGTGTTGAATATGGGAGGCGGGCCACAAAAACGAAGACATGATGATGAAGACGAGGGTTCGGATGCTCTCGATGATGACGATGAAGACGATCTGGAGAGCATGGCTAGTGTTGCAGTTGATGGTGCCGGGAAAACGCAGACAACCAAGGCAGAGGAGGAAAAAGAGCTCCCCGCACACGCATGCGGGTAAGTACATTCTGCATCTTTCGCCGGAAACGAAGTTATTTGAGAAACGACGGAGCTAATTCGCACTTAGATACTGCGGCATACATAACCCCAGCAGTGTTGTAAAATGCTTGAGCTGCAACAAGTGGTTTTGTAGTGCTCGTGGAAACACTTCCTCCTCCCATATCGTGAACCACCTAGTCAGAGCCCGCCACAAGGAAGTTCAACTCCACCCGGCGTCCTCTCTCGGAGATACCATACTCGAATGTTATAACTGCGGTACAAAGAATGTGTTCCTCCTTGGGTTCATCCCGGCAAAGTCTGATACCGTCGTCATCCTGCTCTGCCGTCAGCCATGTGCGGCGATGCCATCCTCAAAGGACATGAACTGGGATACTTCACGCTGGCAGCCGCTCATGGAGGACCGTTCGTTTCTCCCCTGGCTGGTTGCCGCGCCATCTGACCAAGAGCAGCTCCGAGCCCGCCACCTCAGCCCACAGATGATTGCCAAGTTAGAGGAGTTGTGGAAAGAGAATGCATCGGCAACCGTTGAAGACTTGGAGAAAGCTACAGGTGTAGACGACGAGCCGGCACCAGTTCTACTTCGATATGACGACGCATACCAGTACCAGAACGTTTTTGGCCCTCTTGTCAAAATCGAGGCGGACTATGACCGTAAATTAAAGGAGGCCCAGTCGCAAGATGGCCTAACCGTACGATGGGACCTTGGCTTAAATAACAAACACCTTGCCAGTTTTGTTCTCCCAAAGCTTGAGCTTGGTGATGTGAAGCTTGCTGTTGGTGATGAAATGCGCATCAAGTACACCGGAGAGCTTCGGCCGAAGTGGGAGGGTGTCGGATATGTTATCAAGATTCCCAACAACCAGTCTGACGAAGTTACTATCGAATTGCGTTCAAAAGGGGACCACAAGTCGGTACCTACGGAAATCTCCCATAACTTCACCGCGGATTATGTTTGGAAAGCAACATCCTTCGACCGTATGCAACTCGCGATGAAGACATTCGCTCTGGACGAGATGAGCGTCTCAGGCTATCTTTTCCACCGTCTGCTTGGACACGAGGTTGCTGCAGCGCCTATGAAAACCCAGATGCCGAAACAATTCAGCGTTCCCGGTCTCCCTGGTCTCAACAGCAGTCAAATTAACGCCGTCAAAGCGGTTCTACAGAAGCCGTTGAGTTTGATTCAAGGTCCCCCCGGCACAGGCAAAACCGTTACATCAGCTACGATTATTTACCATCTTGCGAAAGTCAATGTAGGCCAGGTCCTGGTGTGTGCTCCATCCAACGTCGCCGTCGATCAGCTTTGCGAATGCATTCATAGGACTGGATTGAAGACTGTCCGCGTGACAGCAAAGTCTCGAGAAGATGTTGAATCGCCAGTCCGCCACCTCTCACTCCACGAACAAGTGCGCAACAATGATAGCAATATCGAGCTTGTCAAGCTCAACCAACTAAAGACTGAATTGGGTGAACTTTCCAGCCAGGATGAAAAGAAATATAAACAGCTTACTCGCGCTGCCGAAAAGGAAATTCTGACCAATGCCGATGTTATCTGCTGCACCTGTGTTGGTGCTGGTGACCCCCGACTGGCGAAATCGAAGTTCCGCACCGTTCTCATTGACGAATCGACCCAGTCTGCGGAGCCAGAATGTATGATCCCGCTTGTCTTGGGCTGCAAACAAGCTGTCCTCGTCGGTGACCACCAGCAGCTTGGTCCAGTTATTATGAACAAGAAAGCTGCCAAGGCTGGTTTGAACCAATCCCTCTTCGAACGACTTGTTATTCTGGGTTGCCCTCCTATCCGCCTGAATGTTCAATACCGAATGCATCCTTGCCTGTCTCAGTTCTCTTCAAACATGTTCTATGAGGGCTCTCTGCAGAACGGTGTGTCCAGCGAGGACCGCCTGCTCAAGAACGTCGATTTCCCCTGGCCAGTAGCAGATAAACCCATGGTGTTCTGGTCAAACCTAGGTAACGAGGAAATATCCGCCTCCGGAACATCGTACCTTAATCGAACTGAAGCCGCGAATGTAGAGAAGATTGTTACTCGCTTCTTCAAGGCTGGGGTTAAGCCATCCGGAATCGGTATTATCACGCCATACGAGGGCCAACGCAGTTACGTCGTTAGTTCTATGCAGTTGACCGGCACGTTTAAAAAGGAGTCTTATAAGGAAATTGAAGTTGCGTCCGTCGATGCGTTTCAGGGGCGTGAAAAGGACTTTATCGTTCTCTCCTGTGTCCGATCCAACGACCATCAAGGAATCGGTTTCCTTAGCGACCCACGCCGTTTGAACGTCGCCCTTACCCGTGCTAAATATGGTCTTGTTATTCTTGGGAACCCCAAGGTCCTCTCCAAACATCCATTGTGGAATTACCTATTGCGTCATTTCAAGGAACAAAACTGTCTCGTCGAGGGCCCACTATCTAACCTCCAAGCATCTCTCATTCAGTTCAGTCGACCAAAGCAAGCCTACCGCGGTCCGCAGCGCTTCCAAATGTCGTTCAACCATGCGTCCAACGTTGATAGCAGCATGATGAATGGAAGAAATGGACATCCCCAAGATTATCAGGACGCTGGATCGGTTGTTAGCTATATCCCTGATGATGTGTCCTCGGTGCACTCATCTGCATTGGGTGGCGTTGCAATTCCTTCTGGGTATCCCCATATGTTCCAGAACTTCACCGAATCCTGGCCTACTGCCCCCAACAACCGTCGTCCAAATGGCTCCAGGATGAGAGGCGCACCTAGTGTGGCAGGAGAATCAGTCGCCGCGACTGAGTCCGACGTTACCGGGAGCGTTGTTGACGGCAGAAGTGCTGTTGGCCAAGGTGGAGTCAGCCTCGCTGGTCTGAGCATTCATGACGTCCACAAACAGACAAGTCTGAGTCAGTCTGACCGTCTAAAGCGCTATGTCGAGTCAAGCGGTCGCCCTGAGCCATACCGAGGCGGCACTGACACTGGAAGCGTCTTTGGTGGCAGTGCTGCAAGCATCCGCGTCCCACGCCAAAACCTAGGCCATCTAGGTGACGACGATGACGCGCGTAGCGTCTCTACTGCGTTTGCAAGTCAAGTCGGTGGAAACTATGACTGAGCGGTTCCATAGGCTCCTGTCTAAATATGCAGGGATACAAAAGATTGCTTGCTGTATAGGTGATTCAAGTACCATGGGAACGCAATGCCTGCAGCTCTTACGCCATAGGTCTTACCGCCGCCGTTAACCACGGCTGCTGCATGTTTCTATTGTCAACGCTGCGAATATTTTGCACTACACTTGGGCCAGCCAGCTGTCTCGAAAAGTTCGCTTTCCGCTAATCAGTTCGGTCCAATTTCATGTACAGCGCACCTGCTGTTACCTCGCATTGGAAGATATATCGGGAGATGCATCTATGCAACGCCCCCACCTACCCGACCACCCGCTCATGAACTCGACAAAACCAGTTTGGTCTGGCAACGCCCAACGTTTGCCTGTTTGCCTAACCGGTCCAGTGTTGATGGACGGTAAAGGTGGTAGGTGTTTGCCTGTGATATAGCAGTTAGTGATGTGAGTTGTCGGGGGAGAGTGCACGAATCTGGAGGTGAACGACCTCAAAAAGCCGAAAAAAGTACAAAAATACAAAGCCAAATTGAACCCGAAATAAAAAAGAATGAAAATGTGAATTAAACAGATGAAATGCCGCAATATCACACCACACTCGTTTAGCTTTTCATTAGTTAATATCTATATTACAAAAAAAATATCCTAGGATAAAACGGAATATCTTATTGAACATTATATTTTATTGACGCTCTTTGCATTTCTAGATACACATCTTTGGCACCCAGAATCATCTATATCACTGGACCCGCCCCTCGAAATCAACATTCTCCAATCCAATTTAAGCTTCTGCAGTAGTAATTGCAGCAGTAGGTTTTGAAGGCTCAGGCACATATTCAAACCAATCGTCCCAAGAGGGTACCTTTTCACCGGTTTTTGCGTTCTTCGGCTTTGGCACACCATCCCTTCTGCACCAGGATTTGCCTATTTTAGAGAGAAAGAATTTATTGAATAGCTGAATAGCTATAGGTAAAGGGCTGCCGATAGGAGCGCGGTAATCTGATCCAACTCGCCCTGGGCGTGTGTATTTTGCAAAGACCGCATACGTGTGCGGAGAGCAGTCCGATTCATAGAGCTATAGTGTGAGTATATTAAGCAGAGATTCGACAGCCAAAGTCTACAGGTATAATACCTTCAAAATGTGCTTTTCTTTAGCCATGGATCCCTCAATAGGCCGAATTAGTGTTGCCATGTAGCGAGTTCCGGCTGCATCCGAGTAAATATGGTGCCCAGCTACAAACAAGGGATCATTAGAATATAAATTCCTGGTATAAGTTTGGAATCCAAGGTTATTCACCAAGCTCTGCATTTTTCTTCGGTGCATTGCCTGTTTAAGGAGAAATCAAGGGGTTAGTAACGTATTTATTTTGGCCCTTAACTTTTGCATAAAAAGGGGCATACAGACCCTTCTTCTGGTCGGTTGATTTAGGCCCCTTGCTCAACCGCCGTTCTTCGGCAGCCTTTTTCTTTGCTTCTTTAGTCGTGCGAGCCCAGAGATAGGGGCCTTCTCGCTTTGGGCGCCGTGATTTAGACAAGAGAGAATCTTCCAACTAGTCGGAAGAAACGATTCTAATGCTCTTGATACGTTTGGCGGCTCGCACTATACAAGGGTGTTAATAGTAATGTAGACAGTAGGAGTAAAATCCAAGTGAAATGCAAGTCAACGAGGGACTGCGGTAGATAGCTAGGTAGCGTACTGGCAGTGGTGGCCTTTTTGAAGGCTTTTTCGGTGGACAGTAGATGGGTCACTTTGTTATCGACTTCTTTAGAAAATGTACCACCATTGGCTTCAACCCATTGCTTGAACTTGTCAGTTTTGGAACCAAATTCTCCTGTTACGCTTAAAACGACATTCCTGAATGTTTTCCCCATGGCTTCAGCTCAGTTCTAGATCTCTCTGTTATATTTCGCCCCTTTTGTGTTCCAGTAGATATTAGCGGAAATGAAGCGAAACTGAGACCCTGTTCGAACGATAAAGGGTAAGTATTAGCTGGAAATTTGGTATCAATGAACCCTCGGGAAGGGGCTCTGTAGAGGGCTTAGTGACGCTATGAGAGACACAAGTATAGGGGGCAGGTAGAAGTTGAGGTTAGCAAATTGCTGCTAACAGATAGGTAAGATAATTGATAGATCAACGGAGCGTTAAACGTAGCTCCTATGGCCAGAAGATAGAGGATAGGCGACAGGGTGATAAACTCAAAGAAGGTATATATTTCCCGAATCACATTAACCTTAACTCATTATCGTAAAAACATTCTATAGCGGATAAACACCGAAACCATAGCAAAATAGTCCCTATGAAAGCATTAGGGACACCCGAAACCTCGAAATCACAAAGCAGTGTTTCTGATATTTTTAGCCGCAGTGATGAAAGCCTTGATCTTTTCCACATCCTGCTCTCCATCAGTTTCAACGCCACTGCTGACATCCACACCCACGACCTTTTTGCCTTCTTCGTCAAGACCTTGAACGGCCTCGATGACATTCTTATCATCCAGCCCGCCCGCCAAGATCACGCGTAGTCCGGCATCATGCTGCAGAACAGCTTTGACTTGGTCATGGCCAAGTTTCTCGCCGGTACCTCCAGCACCCGAGTCCAGGAGGGGAAGCGTGTGGTGACCCCTTCGGGAGACCCCTGAATCTGAGGTCGAGAATTTTTTGATGACTGGCACAGGAAGAAGGGATGACCATTCAAGAGGCTCGGATCCGTGAAGTTGAATTACATCGAGGCCTAACTTCTGCTGTTGTGATATAATGTAGGATAGGGGCTGGTTTTGGAAAACGCCGACCAAGAGGGCACGGTCTGGATGCCTGAGGAGGCCGGTGGAATGATCGAAATAGTCGGAAGCAAGGAGTGCGTCTCCGTTGGTACTTTGTGTTGTCAAAGGCGATGGGCGCGGGGTTGACTTGACAGTATTGGAGATTTCAAGGGCAGTCTCGTTGGAGACAGTTCTTGATCGACCTTCGGCCAAAATGATACCAATCAGGTCAGCACCAGCTTCAATGGCCTCCTTGGCAGCGTTGGCAGATCGTGTTCCACATATCTTTACCAGGGGAGCACCTGGCGTTTGGGTGGCAGGCCCAGGTTTTGTCCCGAAAAGAGTAGAAACAAATTCATTGACGTCTTGAGCGCGCATTAGAGCTTCTCCTACAAGGACAGCCTTGACCCCGTTCTTCTGATATGGAGCAACGTCATCGGGACCAGAGATGCCACTAAGGGCACACACAATGGTGGACTCAGGGACTTGATCCATTAGCCGACTAGTAGTCTCCAGATCGACTTCGAAACTCGAAAGATTGCGGTTATTCACGCCAATGACCTTGGAGCCCAACTTCACCGCAATAGCCATCTCCTCAGGGTTGTTTACCTCTACCAGGGGCTCCATGCCAAGCCCTCGGGAATATTCGAAGAGCCGCTTGAGGAGTGACTCTTCGAGCATCTTAACAATCAGAAGCACTGTATCAGCACCGGCAAGACGTGCTTCAAGGATTTGGTACTCGTCAAAGACAAATTCCTTCCGTAGGATTGCAGGGCGGTTTGGGGTACCCTCCAAGCTCTGTCGAACTGCACGTAGGTCATCTAGGCTTCCCTTGAACCACTCAGGCTCAGTAAGGACGGATATAACACTAGCACCAGCCATGGCGTACTTTCTGGCCTGAGCAGGGGCGCAGATGGATGCCGCAATGATACCCTTCGAAGGGGAAGCTCTCTTAATTTCAGCCATGAGCGAGAGAGGGAACGGCGACTTCGCTAGACGGTCTGGGAACGAGATCTGTGGAGGAGAAATGCCGAGGTCATACGAAGCCTGGAGGTCTTCGGGGGTCTGAGATGGAATTGTCTTCTGCAGTTTGACTGCTGCTTGACGGTGGGCGTAGATTTTTTCCAGGATTGACCCTTTCTTGGTGTCAGTAGATTGACCGTTCGTAGACCCAGCAACGGGTGCAGAGGCATTGTGCTCTTCCCACGTCCCACCACGAGTCAAGAGGAAGTTCCGGAACATGGCTCGCCCATGCTCGGTCAGGATACTCTCTGGGTGGAACTGGACTCCCTCTACGGTGAACTCCTTGTGTCTCACGCCCATGATGACCTCTGGCCGGTCAGCGTCTCCCAGGTCGGTCGTGGAGGAGATCTCAAGACAGTCCGGAATCGTGGTATGGGTTCCAGCCAGCGAATGGTAGCGTGTGATGTTCAGCGAAGGCGGGAGCGAGGCATATACGCCCTTGGAATCATGCTTCAACGGCGAAGTCTTGCCGTGTAGGATCTCGCCGGCGATGTCTACCTCTCCGCCAAACGAGGATATGATGCACTGCTGGCCCATACACACTCCAAACACCGGTATCTTCCCTGCGAAATGCTGGATTGCCTCGTTGCAGATGCCCGAGTCGGTCTTGGGATGACCGGGACCAGGGCTGAGAACGAGCTGGGTGGGCTTCTCTGCGATCAATTCCTCCAAAGTGGCAGCATCATTCCTGATGACCTTGACTGTGGCGCCCTCCAGGACAAGATACTGGTACAGATTCCAGGTAAACGAGTCGTAGTTATCGATCAGGATCACCTTCGAGGCATTGTCCAGACGCCCAGCTGTGGTGGGGTGGTTTGGTGAATGGTCGACCAATTCAGCCATCTCGACACTGAGCAGACGCAGATGCAGACGCAGACGCAGACGCAGACGATGCTGACCTTCTTTCTCTCTGTATCCTGTCTCTCCTCTTGGTATATGGTGGAAGTTGTAAGAATGTGCAACTTGTCTTCAGCTGGAGTTATGGCTCATAGACCAGACTGAATATATCGCCGGCTCGTATCCCAATCGGGGCTAGGCCCAGATAGGCATCTACCTTTGTTGACCCCAAAAGCTTTTGAGATCTTGAAGCTTCAACTTTTTACACCGCGTCTCGTCCCTGAAGCTCGACTACGGGCGCTGCTTGCACTCTCCCTCAGCTCCCGCCGGACAATGATATAGCTGGATGCGCTCATGGCTCCGCCGACGGACGTCTATTTCCCATCGCTGGACGATTGTTTTGGCGACAGCCAACTCATGTACATTCACACCTCTAGACGCCTTTTGATCTAGGAAACAGGAAGCTAACTACGGCGATAGATCATGGAAAACCGCATACCTGTCCATAGCGAGGACAGACGATGAATCTAAACCCGATAGGAATATTGCAGACTTTCTCTCCGCTCCAACCAGTCTCAGCATCCTCTCGAATCCCTACTCTCCATTCCCGAAACCATCTAATGCTTCAAAAACCGCATTCGAGTCTAAGACGGCCGCTATTCACGTTACGTCCTCTAAAAACACATCTGATTCCGATGAAGTAAAGTCGGATGCGCTATGGCTGAGCAAGGAGGCCGGAATAGACGAGGTGTCCGCGTTGCGCATCGTGGTGCTAGCCTGGCAACGTCGCCGTGAAAACGAACTGCTGTCCCATTTTTCGGAGGAGGAATTTACGAGTCTACACGATGCTGTTGGAATTGGAAGGTCACCACACGGATCCTACGGAAATGAGGCCTCTAGCATCATCAAATACGCTGGCTCGCAAACCGGAACGTCCGATAGATTGAAGTCCAAGGAAACGAGACAGAAGATCCTCTTCCATATTTGGCTATCAGAGCAACGACACATACTCAAGCTATCGCATTTTTTGATAGCCACGTCACTAAGAGATAGACCGCAGGGTCAACAGAATTCGGAGTCTAAGCCATCTGGCGATTCCGATGAGGATTCTTCCATTGCGGAAGCCAGCCAGTTAGGAAGTGTAATTCTCAAGGGTCAGTGCGGCGAATTAAAGGTGGATAAGACCGAAATTAATATTCCGAGCTGCATCGAGGCTTTCCGGCTACGCATCAAGGGACTGGAGAGTGGGAGCTGGTGGTCAAAGGCGGTAGGGCCGGACATGTTGATGGAGAATTCATGGCAATCAAGCTCTCTCGAGGAACTTGTCCAGATATTAAGCCTCATTTTCCTTCAAATCAGATCCTCCGAAGCTATTCCCTCCTCTGAAGTGCTGTTGTCCTGGCTCAGATTGATGAGCGACTATGAATTTCTAGAGACCATTCGCCCAGTAAGTACCCCAGAGCGGTTGAATCTCTTCTTCAAACACGCAGTCCAATTCACTAATTCACACTAGTCAACGGAGGAACAAGTGGCTATATGCTCCAAGCTTCAGACGCTCATATCAATAACGACACTTTCATTCCTCAAGCTTCAGACATCTTCCGCGCGCTTGGATAAGCCAGAACTAAAGCCAACGAATGCGCCATACTTCCTATCCCAAAAGGACATTGGCGAGATCAATGAGATATTCCTCAAGGCAGCCCATGCTGGTCGGCTAACCGCAAGTCCTGCTGTATTTTCTTGGGCAGTAATCATGTACTCCGTTGGGGAAATCGCCTTGGCCATAAAGGAAAATAGGGAGCTTCAGCAGGCAAATCATGCCGTTGAATCCTTTAATAACAGCACACAGTTTGCGACACCGTCTGGCCTTTCAGAACTATCCATTTACGAGGATGTCTGGGAAAAAGCACACAACCCCGAATTCGACGAAGACTTTGTCAGGTTTCTTGTCTCGAGTGCCGTTGATAGATGTCGCTTGCTTGAACTCGTATTCGCCATATCAGAGCAGCTCCGAGCTATCCCTGGCCAGGGAGAGGAAAACTTGGTAAACCAATGGGGTCAACTAGAACTTTTGGACCTGATTAGGGCCGGCGTTCAATACCTGGACTACATCCCTGAGCTTGTAGCGGCGGTTTTGTGTATCGTTTCAGAACCGAATGAATATCAAAGCCTGGGCAAGGAACCAAAATCCGATGATGCTTACGATCCCCGAGCCGTGTTCCTCGGAGACGACGTTTTGATGGAAAAGATCTTTCGAAACGCGAAATCTCGATTCCCATATGAGGCTATAAACTTTTTGAAATTTTGCAGAGCTCTCGCAGGATGCAGCTTATCAAACGACGACGGATTACCCGTAATCTGCCAAGAGCTAGAGTCTATGGCTACCTACACGCAGGCCGTTGCACCTGGGTTCCAGGGATATAGGTCAATCCGAGAAGACGAGAACGCGAACTACGTCAAGCTTATCGCTCCGCTTGATATGAAGGAGGTCGCTTCTACAAGGCGAGATGTAATGCAGACCTCAAACGAATTGGTTCTTGCCAATGAATTATCTGTTCTACCCGCAGTCACCGTTGGCCAGGTTGTCAGCGAGTCGAAGCCTGCTGTGATAATGTGGCATCACCAGTATAACTGCCTTGGATTTCTCGGAAAGTGGTTAGAACAAGCTACGAACAGTCGTGGAAATGAGAATGCCCCTGATGATGAAGTAGCCTCCGATATCATCGGCCTACTCGCCGATTTGATAGACACTGCATATGCAATTTCTAGAAGAAATGGGCACGAATCTTCTGCCAAACGAATTCTAGAGATGGCGAGTGACGGATTGGATCGTCATGCCGATATTCTCTCTGTGATTTTCGATATCTTTGAACGGAGCCTCCAGAGCGCCAGTTCCGCGAGCTCCAGCAATCGAAACCTCGATCTCACCATGTCGTGTATGCATTTTATTTCTGCTCTAACCAAAGTTCTCCCCGGCAGAGTTTGGCCAGCACTTATACGAAGCTCATTCCTGTCAACGAATGGAAATGGAGGAATGCTCGATAAAATCATTTTCTCGGTGGAGGCAAGCTCGGGGGATCTTTCATTCCTCCTGTCGTCTATTAGACTATTTGAGTCTGTTGTCGATGACGCTATTACACATGCTGCACTTCGAAGGACGACCGCAAAAGTTACCTCTTCATCCTACGTCGTTGAGTATACAGCTGGAATTCCCGTACGTTCAATGCGCACCTGTCTGCTCAGCTTTGTTCGGGCGATGGTGGAGATATACAACAGCGGTTCAGGTTGGAAACACAACGACATTCATCAGCAGATCCAAATCAACACATCTTTAGCCAATAACTTCCAGAAAATTCTCTATTATGTTTACGGAACAGACGATACCCAAGATCTCGACGATAAAGTGACTGCCGTTTTTTCAAGTTCTGCCAAATACCTATTGAACATTCTTCGGCCAGGATTGAATGAGAGTCTTCCGGCTAATCCTATCTTGCGCATTATACTGGGCGGCTTTGAAGCCCATGTGCCTGAAAATATGGTTCATTTTAATCCTCACTGGAATACGTTAATAGTATCGACACTTGATCTGGCCAAAATATTAGTACAGGTCGGGTGGCTGACAGATGCTCCTGTTTCTGCGCTCGAGAAGCAGCTCTTCAGCGCTTCACCGGTACTAGCGAGATTATTTGTCCTTGACCGCAGGTATCAGCTCCCGGTTGCAACATTGCTTGAGTTACTCATGTCTCGCGCTTCCGCATACACAGAGGGGGAGCCTCCATCGTTACTTGGACACCTTGGTGCCGAATCCTCCTGCCGCTTCCTAGATGCTCTTGCTAAATTCGACCAGCCATTTGGATCCGAAGATATTAAGATAGCCATATGGACGCTTGTAACCTCCGTCATAACCAAACGACAACAGTGGCTTGCTGTTTTCCTGCTCACAGGTTGCTCACCCCGAGAGTCATTGAAAGCCGACTCGGATAAAGGAGCTGCGTCTATGAAATCAAAACCATTCCTAGAAGCTTCTCTGGATCTACTGTCCTCCATATCTTCCATCCCTCCCCAGATAGCAGTCGCTGCCCTACATTTCATCGCCAAAGCCCAAGAAAACTGGCCCTGGGTAACACCAGAGCTAAAGAAGCATCCAAACTTCTTCACAGTGGTGACGAAATATGTCACAGAGCTAGACATCAACAAACTCCCACCATACAAAAAATGCATGAACATAAGGATTGCAGCGCTGGTGGTCGATATTTGCAACGTATATCTGCATAGCGCCAAGGAAGCAAGAGACGGATCGTTCTTCAAAACACTGATTCCACTTGTGTCCTGGCTCTCGGAGAATGCAGTTGAAGTCGACGGCTATAATGCGTCACTACACGTGAACTTGAAACGAAATTTCGAGATGAAGTATCGCGAGAGCAAGATATCAAACATCAAACGTACTGCTCTCGTACGACCAGAATTCGGGGAAGAGTACTATTACGATGTTCCTATGGGCAATAAGTTATTTGGCTATGATTTCGCATGGGTTGGTAAACGGGATCAAGGATTCGTGGAAGAAGTCAAACGAGCCAATCTAAATCTGTCTCTCGTTGAGGCGCAAATGGTAAGTTCTATCCTAGTGAAGGATGTAGAGTGAGCAGCCTTACTGACTTTAAAATCACATAGTCACTTCTTCATAGCTGGAAATTCTTCGCGATTGAACATTGCTCGGATTTCATGCCTGACCGTGAAGTTCAGAAATCCATGGCTCGCGTTGTTCGTCGTTGCCTAGTTGCAAATTCTCAAGATATTCCTGATGAGCAAATATTTTTCAAGCTACTTGAAACTCGAGCAGAGTTCGCTGTAGCTTTGCTTCATCGCCTGGTCGAAGTTAAGTCTACGGGTGCAGAGGTGTTCAGCCTTCTAGCTGTTGCATGGGAGACTATCAGGGTTTGCAGCCCGACATACGAGAGCGCTTTGTTGCACGATAATACGGAATACTACGGCCTTTTGCTGAACGTATTGTTTCTCACTCTGCAATTCCACGTTGCAGGTGCTAGCAAAGTCAACCCCGAAGCTGTTAGCAAGAAACCTGAGGTGTCTTCCGACCTCTCTGTGGTTGTCGACGTGATTAAGAACGTTGTTGCGAATGGCTACCGGACTCTATGCACACATCTACATGATGACCCCCAGAAGTGCACTCCAAAGGACTTCGCGATCTTGACCGCGATCCTGCAAACTTCTCTGAAGGTGAAAGATGTCGACCGCATATACGAACAGATTGCGTTCCATCTAGCCGATAGCGATACCATTAGATATGCAGCCACTCTCTTCTCCTGGTCATATCAGCTGACTATTGACGGTGACCCAGTTTACGGAGAGATCAGCATGTTGTACCTCCTGGAGCTATCTTGCATCCCTAATATCGCTGAGCAACTAGCAGTAGACGGAATACTTGTTAAACTATCAACATACCGACTAACCGAGATATTCCGTCAACCTCAAGGGTGCGGGCCATTCGATCCTACTCCAAGGCTCTTCTCCATATGGAATACCGGCTTCCTTCCTCTCTGCTTGAACTTACTCTACCACATTGGACGCACTGTACCCGAAGTCGCTGCATTCCTCAACCAATTTGAAGGCCAACTCCGCCGAGCGTCGACTGCATTTTCACTCGGTAGCCCAACGATAGTTTCCAACTCAAGTCTAGCTGCAAGCCATCATTCCGTCAGGCGGCTATCTCTTGGGATGGCGACCGAAGCCTGTTCGCTGGCACTTATATCGATGATAATTCAAAAGTTCCGAGACGCAGGGCCAAGCGCAGGTGTAGACCCACAGAATATACAAGATCTCAAGTGGGACAGGGTGCAAGTGAAGGACGATATTGATGCTTTGTTGGAGAAGCGGTCGGTTCTGCGATCGCGTATCACTCCAACTAGTGAAAAGGAAGTTGCTTGGTCTCAACGTCCGCCTCTGGATCGATCGGGTGGAGCGGAGAGTTTGCTCGAAGAAAAGATAGTGAAGGAGCTTCAAACAGCCGTTGCATGTATGGGCGCAGGAAATGATGATTAGTTTATATGAGCCATTTTAAATGTCAACCTTTTTCTTGTTAGTTTTGTCTTCCCTTTTTCTATTCATTCTAAGGGTATTAGAGACGGAGTATGTAAACGCATGTTGATGCTAGATAGCCCTTTGTACGATCTGAGATGCTCACCGAATAAGTTCGCTTTGACGAAGTTTATATCTCCTTTCTTTTTTCGGTGAACATTCCATTTCCACCGAGTTTCTCGCCAATTCAACGTTGATCGTTGGGTCAAGGTTCATGCATGCAAGTCTGTCATAAATTAGGTAGTTAGGAAGTCAAGGGACTCGAGTTGCTCCCTTTTTCTATCCGCTAGCCAAGTCGCTTATTTTTGAGCACCGATTTGTCCAATAATGTCAACGCAATTTGCTGGTATTTGTGTCAATTAAACCCCCTCGCCTGCGAGCTCCCGTTGCAGTGTTTAGTCTATTCGCAGCCAGGACCAACTCATCAGTGTAATGCTGGTTGGAAGCAGTCGAATTTGATATTGCAGCAACGGCGTTGTCCGCAACCGAACCTCGGCCGGCTGATCCGTTCGTATAACGGCCCCTGGCCCACCGCGGAGACTGAATATTCCATAGTTCTCCATTATAGACCCCGAGTGCCGAGGCATTCTCGAAGGTCGAAAGGTGTCAAAGCGAAAAGGGGTCCCTGGTGGCTTTGTTCTGCTCAGATCTTACGTAGTACTGGGTGAAGGGATACACCGGAACGCAGGGAATGTAATGCGATAAATGTCCTTTGCGAAGGAAGATGCCTAAAGTTGTGAAGCCTCGGAATTTCGGTTAAGGTTGTCTTCTCCGCAAAGTGTATTTATTTCTATTCGACCTTCCATCAGGCAGATCCATGACCCAACAGAGGGGAACCGGGACGGCTTCAAGTCACCGTCCGTCTCTTAAAATTAGTTAAATGTTCACTGAGCGTCAAGCTAGTGCGGAACGAGGAGACTTCCGACATCTGAGCCCTTCTCCTTGGACCTGATTGAAATCACTCCTATGCAGCTCAACCCCCCGTGCGCCATTCCGTTTGTCATAGGTCTATAATAAGAAACAAGAGGCATATTAAAGACCTGTTGATCTCCAGCCCACTCGACGAAGGTAGAAGTTATACCAGCCCATATCTACAAGCATCTTTCTCGAGTTCGTAGGGCTAAAACCTCTCAGCATCAACTACTCCTCACCTCACCTCACCTCACCTCTCCAAAATGCCGTTCAAATCTCGATGGTCAGTGGAGATACCCAACGCCTCCCTACCAACCGTTATCTTTGAATCACCTACCCATCCACTATCGACGGCCAAATGCAGCTTTCTCGACGCTGCTCGGCCTGACACCCATTATTTCACAGTCCATGACTACCGCCTATGGTGTCAGCGGTTCGCTGCCGGATTGAGAAAGTCAGGTCTAAAACCAGGCGATCGAGTTCTTCTATTTTCTCCCAACGACTTGTTCTTTCCTGTGGCATTTATGGGAATCGTGATGGCTGGCGGTATCTTCACAGGCGCAAATCCTACATATACACCAAGAGAGTTAGCATATCAGTTAAAGGACAGCGGTGCGAAATACCTTTTATGCGCCGATGCAAGCCTGGATACCGGTATTTCTGCAGCAAAATCCATCGGTATGGGCCTGGATAGGGTATTCATATTCAACAGCGCAGTATTTGACGGAACAGGCCGTGGTGCAAATGGGTGTCGTCACTGGGGAGACCTCATCGCTTCTCCGGCCGACGGAAGCCAATTCTTCTGGGACTCCTTGACGGCTTCAGGTGAAGCAAACCGTACACTAGCATTGAATTATTCTAGCGGGACGACTGGTGTTCCCAAGGGAGTTGAAATTACACATAGAAACTATGTGGCCAACCTCCTTCAATTCACCAAGACCGGCTCTCTTCATAATGACTATGTCAATCGGAATGCTAGAACTAAATGGCTCTGTTTCTTGCCAATGTATCACGCGATGGCACAAAACATCTTCATAGCTGCAGCCCTTAGGCGTGGCGTCCCAGTATACGTCATGGCGCGGTTCGATTTCATCCAGATGTTGGAAAACATCCAAAAATTCCGCATCAACGAGCTATTGGTGGTTCCACCGATTGCCGTGGCGCTGGCCAAGCATCCCCAAGTCAAGGACTATGATTTGAGCTGCTTGGAGTCAATTGGAAGCGGAGCTGCGCCTTTGGGGAGAGAGGTTAGTGAAGAAGTAGAAGCCCTGTTCCCTGCTGGACAGCTTCATGTTAGGCAGGGCTGGGGTATGACTGAGTAAGTTATGTACCTCGAATGTACCTTCTTCTTGCTATGTGGAGAGCTGACGATAGATGTGATACCAGGACCACTTGCTCTATTCTCGGCTGGGACCCAAATGAAAAGGGCACGAGTGCATCTGTCGGGGAACTAAATGCAAACTGCGAGGGCAGGATAATGGCAGATGATGGTGTGACAGAGCTGGGCCGGAACCAGAGAGGTGAAATCTGGGTTAGAGGTCCCAACATCATGAAAGGCTACTGGGGTAGGCCCGACGCAACCCGAGAGACTCTCACCGAGGATGGTTGGCTGAAGACCGGAGACATCGGCTACGTGACTGACGCAGGGAAATTCTTCATCGTGGACCGAAAAAAGGTAAGCAAATGCACCAATTGCAGCTCCTCCCGCAGGTTCCAGGCTGACTCCAGGGTATCCGAAACGTGCAGGAACTTATCAAGGTCAAGGGAAACCAGGTAGCCCCCGCCGAGCTAGAAGGGGTACTTCTAGACCATCCAGCCGTAGCTGATGCAGCTGTCGTTGGCGTAACCAGGTTAGAAAACCACCATTTCCAACCCACAGGAATGAGCTGTCAAAAAAGTCGTGCTAACGCAGGCTGATTCCATAGAGATGGTGAGGAGTATCCACAGGCATATATAACCCTAAAAGCTGGTGCAACAGCAAACGCCAAGGACATCGTCGACTACATGAAGAAGAACGTTGCCCCCACGAAGCGAATCACGGGCGGAGTGGTCTTTGTAGACGTAATACCCAGAAACCCGTCCGGCAAGATCCTGCGGAAAGTCCTACGCGAGAGGGCAGCCCAGGAGGCACAGCAAGAGCCAGTGCAGGTCTCCGCCAAACTTTAGCGAACGGACAAGCTGCGGGTGCGGAGTGCGGAGTAACAACTGCGGAGTGACAATTGCGGCTTTCAATAGAACATTGGGCCGCTTCCCGCTTGCCAGGTAAAGGGCGTAATTGGGCTTTAGCTCATACATCGGTTCAGCTGGCTGCATGCATGTATGTAGAATATGGGGTAAAAATTGCGTTCAATTCATAGGGAATCGCTGCAGCCTGTCGCAGTCGAGATCGCCATGGCCAAAAGTATCGACGGTTAAGCGTAGATATCGACGGCAAGCGGCCTATCAGACCGTAGTAGCCGTCTGCTCGTTTAGATGCCGAGTCCGGTTAAAGACGAGGGAAAGCCAAATTGTGCCTCTTCAGCTGAGGGCTGCCGCTGGCTTGCATTCTCGGGATCCATTTCGCTTGACGCGCTGGAGATCAGGCCAGTCGGTGGGATTTGTGCATGGTGCAATGTGCCGATACGGTCGTTATGCTTCCTATCCGGTCCATCCTTGTTTGATCGAGCGTTTGTCGAGTGATACGTGGCTGGCGCAGTTCCTCCCGTGATTGCCTTGACCAGTGCGCAGCAGGGTCTCGGCAGGACCAGGCCGTACCCGGGCTATAGCAGGCAGCAGGATAACGTAGTCAGAGGCGTATGTACATATCGTAACTGCGTAGAAAACTCGTCCTGAATATGTGGACGATGGCGTCTATATAGTAGAACGAAGCTCGAAGTCCAAAATTTCCCTTCTGAGATGTGGCTGGTGGCGTGTGGCTGGTGCAAAGCACGTGTTTAGTGTGGCTGTGTCCACGCTAGTCCCGATACGGCTAACAGGTTGCCATCGCGAGCTGAACTTCGCCTTGCATCCTCAACCTCCACAGCTTTCTTCAGCTTGCATCGCTTCGGCCGGCGCTCCAGGGCCGCGAGGTTACAGCGAGGTCGTTTGAGGCTCAGCTGACATGGAGTGGCCGACAGAAGGTTAACGGCAGAAGGGAGAAGGGTACGGCCGTGTTGGTTCGTCGAGCTTGGAGAGGCTCAAACAGCTACAGCAGGATACACCTATACTACCACCACAACGGAATCAAGTTGAACCCACCCCTGCGAGGTAGTGGCGCTGGCCGAGCTTGAAGTTTTTTCTTGTCGCTGCGGGGCAAGCTCCGTCTCATTCGGCCAGCCTGCTTCGTGCTACGTAAGGGGGGCATGCGAAGCACTACCCCGTTCTTGATGCGATGCCACCTATACCCTCCCGTCTAATAGGCAATATCAGACAGTTCCACGGAGATCTTCACAGGATGCCGGCGTTCCCGTCTTCCCCAGCGCTTAGGCCTACCAAACTCGATACTTTGACTGCTGCAATCGTTCAGGATCGGCCGCCATCTGCGTGTACCAGGCTTAGTAACCTGTCTCAGCGTTTCTTCCAAGCTGAGCTGGCTCTTACGCAGACCCGGAGCCGTGGGCTATGGGATCTCGGGAGCTTCGGGGCATGATCATCCAAGCTTTAACGGGCCCACCGTTGTGAAGTCTGGCCATGCGGTTGCTGAGACGTCCCTGTGGAAAGGCTAGATGACGCCGACCCGGAGGCGTATCCTTCTTCCCTCTTTCTTTTTTCCTTCTCTCTTTTAACTCTTTATGCAGGGATCGGAAAATAGTTTGATCTTCAACTGCTAGTCAAGTGTATATATCTGTCGCCTTCTGCCATATATATATCTTATTCCTTTTTTGGAAAATCTATCCTTGCATGAGCATCTATATCCGCCTCCTTTGCCTCCTCTGCCTACTCTTTGCATAATTCAACGTCTCTTTAGTGATACTTCCCGAGAGGCAAAATTATTTACTCTGTTCGCCTTCGACATCTGTCATATAAAACATCCGCCATGGCTCCCGTCAAGCAAGATATATTTCAACTACAGGCGTTCAAAGTTCCTGCTACCTGGCTATATCTCCTCCTACCCCTTTCCGTGCTCATATTTGTCATTGTCCGACGGTCTCGACAGCACAAGATGTCATCCTCTCAAAACTCCGGTGCCAAAAATTACTCGCGAGCAATAAATATATCCGACCATTCTGGCGAAAAGCTACAAATTCACTTGTTCTTCGAAAACGGGAGCCCTCCCAGCAATCAGCCAACGCAGAATGCGAATCACACTGGCCGTCCTGAAATTCCAGCTTCAAACACATCCGCCAGCGAACCCCACCAGTATACACAAGCCTTTGATATGACAAGCTTGCCTCTACCTACCGCGACTCAGGATATGAAACACCACACGACGACATTGACAGAGCGAGAGTTCGCACAGCCTGTCTATTCGGAACAGTCCAATCCAGCAGCGCCGCGCCTCCAAAAGGAAACCGTGCAGGTATTCAGAGAAGTTGGATCCGAGACTCGAAAAAACTGGAGGAGAAAGGTACTCGAGTACCGCTAGAGCGTCTTACAAAGCAAGGGAAGGGGTTGTTGGCATCTCGTACCCTTGTCACGATTTTTAAACTCTGTTCCTGGCTATCTCCTTTTTCCTTTCTTGTTTATCCCTTTAAAAAGGATGATATAATTTTACGATGAAGTGATACCCTCAACGACAACATCATATTTCTTTTTTTTTCTATTTTTGATTGCCTGGCTGGCGGGACAGTTTATTTAATCTAGCAACAGGGGCCACAGATTAGTCCGTTCAATGAATAAAATAAAGTTATCTAAAGCCTTATTACCATACACTGCGGCCACGATGTGCCATTATCGTAAATATCCTTCTAGACCATTTCATATAGGTAGTATTCTAGCACAGAAAATGAATCCATAATGCAGGTCTCCCTTGCTCGCCAATAAATATTCCGAGGGCATCGAATAACTACTATAGCTTGTTTACTCTAACAGAGTGGCTTTGTCCCGTACACCTTCTTTAACTGCTCCCAAGTGATCTCTTCTCCAAACATGACCTTACGAGCACGCTGTGCAAACCAGAGTGCCTGACGGGAATTACTAATATGACAGAAGTAAGCAATCTCTGCCTTGGGAGACTCCATGAAAGCCGAGAGGAGGGTTTTCGAACAGTCCTGGTCCTGGCTTCCACGCTCTTTGGCCTCCCTTTTCTTTATAGCCTGGATAACCAGGTCCCTGAACTCGATGATCGGTCGATTATCGTCGTCGGAACGGCCGGGGAAAGTTATAAACTCCGGACATAGTGCAAAGCGCTCCAGGGGCACAGTTTGGGCATGACTCCAATCCAAGACTCCAGTAAGGTTATATTCTTCATCAAATAGGATATTACCATGGTGCAAGTCCAGGTGGCAGAGAGGGAACGGGCCATCGATCCTGTCATCGGTATAGATGTGATCGGTTGCCATCTTAAGCACCCAGCAAGCAGTCAGCCAGTCCGGGTCGTCCGGGTGAACAGACACTATCTCTTTGTTCTGTATCACTCTCTCTCTGTAAAAGTAATCAAGCGAAGTTTGCGGCGGCTCAGCATCTTTATTCGGCCCGTGTGGAATCAATTCAAATTCTGACCTAGCATCACCACTCGATACAACTTTCCCGATGGTGTCAAACGATAGCTGTTGGAGCTCAAAGAATATATCAGCAACCTGACTGGCAGCCTTTTGAAAATGTTTCGAAGGAGCTGCTGTTGCAATTACGCTATCGCAAGGTTTCCCTGGCAGGCACTGCACCAACATATAGGGATACCCAAACGGGGTATCTGAAACAGCGTAGTCAAAGACTTCAGGCACAGGAATTGATGTGCGTTCGCGAACAAGACGCATTGTTGCGATCTCACTAAGCATATCTTCCTGGATCGATGCATCAACGGGACCATGCTGGATGCGTGCAACCCAATATACCTGGTCGGAAAAGACGACTTCGAGAATGAGGTTATTGAAGCCACAGGTAAAGCGACTGGTATCAATGCTGCAAGAAACATCGGGTGATAGCGTTTTGTCTTTCTTTGTGCGAAATCCGAGTGCCCGAGTCTCGAGGTATTCAAAATTCGCAGTGGACAGCAGCTTCAGGATGCGATGGTACTGATCAGACTCCGAGTCTAGGTTATCAAAGCCAGTCCACGCATTACTTGGGCGTGCCATGGCGGTTAAATTTTTGAGAAGCCCAGTGTTTTGAAATGGTTAGTTACCGTTGTAGTTACCAATAGTGTAACTCACAACTTCGCCTGGCAACCGATGAAGATTTTATATACGCCTGTCCTGCTATGTTGACGCAAGTCTCGTGCCAAGAAACGACTGAGTTGGCATGTTTGAAGCTCGACGTCCTTTACATATGGCCATTCCATTTGATCCGAGTTTCCGTTTGACATGGCCCATATCCTACTCGACGCATGGTTGACTAGGCTTCAAGCTTCAACACTGTTGATAAAATATAGCCCTGTCAGGCTGCCAAAGCAGTCACAATGGGTAACTACCTTGTTTATCAATATGTTTCCATTTGTAAATGCATATCGATGCGTCTTGGTTTTTGGGGTCATGCTGAATGGATTGGCTACAGGGAATATGTTATTCATTTGACGCAATGACAAGGCCCAATACCCCTACCGGATTCTGAGGAAACCTTCCTGGCCGCATACCCCTCACAGTTGTCTGCCATACATCAATGTGCCAGAGCATGGTGCTGCCAGCGTGTCCAAGGGTTTAGCTGGATCATGCGCTAAACAACCTTCGAATCAAATGGAGACTCCAAATTTTGAATTTCGGCCTCGTTATCTCTATTCTCTTTTCTCTATTCTCCATTTAGAATGAGTCTGATAATACCCGAAGGCCGCGGGGGAAGTCTATATAAGGACGTCAATTATCTTTCTCCCTAGGACAAGATAGAGTGCCCAGGACACCACTATCAGACACAGCCATTGAAAGAAAAGTCAATCTACCTACCTGAAAGATACTCTAATCTTACCTATCTTGCCCAGCTTCGCATTTTCGATTACGTCTATCAACGACCTGTACCCCCAAAAAACATCCAACACTACAAACATGCCTGAGCAAAACAAGGCAAAGACTTCCAAGAAAACCAATACAGGAACGTCTAAGAAAACTACGAAAAATCCTGAAACTAATTCCTCCGGTCAGCCACGCACCATCACGGGGGTTACTAGTTTTCCCGATTGCTGGAGTTGCGGTACGAAGCTGAAAAATATCCCGCCTTGTGCCTGCAAGGGATGCCAGATTCCCAACTGATACAAACGTCATCATTCAAAATTGGCTATGTATGCACATCTACTTTTCAAATTTGCGGATAGCAATCTTCTAATTAATTATTTAAACACAGTGCGACCTATCAGTATCCACTAAACACCAAGAGGGTATTTCCGACTGGTGAATGCCTTACAATGAAAGCGAATTTATTTTTATTTTTATTTTTATTTTTTTTTTGACCTCATTCAAGTCTTGTCATTTTTTTTTTGCTTCCTCTGTGTCCGTGCATGTGGGTAGGGGTTGTAATGAAGGGGATGCTACGGCCGATATGTTACCTAAATATCTGTTATTTGTAGCCATGGTGTTGATACGAAAATCCAAAAACAAGAGAGAAAAATGCAACCTATGTGCTATATTAACCAGATGTTAGACACTCCCACTTGTTTCCCATACTTTATCACTCTGTTATAAAAATACCACCTCTTCTTGTACATCTCAGAGCGAAGATAGTAATGACCGCTCTAAGGCAACATGACTGATCATCATTAGGGGAGATCTGATGGCTCGTCGTCAGAAAAACTTGACCCGTCTGCCGACTCGTTTTCTAGCGAATCTTCAGAGTCCGTCTCACCCTCTTCATTCCACGCCATCCAAGGTTGCAGAACCATTTTTCTTCCAGTATTCACATTGAAAGACTGCAATTTCCACCCCTGGTCCGTAACACCATGGAGTTTGTGCATTAAAATCTTGATGTTAGCGGGGCAAGAAATCCGTGCCGCGAGCAAGGTGGCTTGTTCGTACATATTGTCCTGTAATTGTAAAAAATTTCTTGGTCTTCCTTCAGAGCCGCATCGGGCGCTATATTTAGCGGATGTTTTTAGAGAAGGTTCGTTTGATAGACTGAGATTAACGAGGACCTCTTTTAAGTGTTTAATTTCCTTATCCCTAGGTTGGAGAGCAAGAGGGCATATTTGACGCATGCGCAGTTGAACGCGATGTAATTGTGGGAGAAGCGCGGATATATAACGGCATATATGACTTCGATCTTCAGAATGCGGAGTGACCGTGTCAGCCTGGCGGGATATCAAATAGCTACCACACGTGTCTAATACCAACACGGATAAATTTTCTAGAGAAAGAATGTTGGAGATGGTGTCTGCGTAGAGATAGCTCCGTAGTGCAGACACCGGCGCATCGGGATGGAATTCACTATATGCGTGAAACTCAAGAGTTCGAAATGCTTTATTATTGCAGAGCTGATCCCTGAGTTTCGACAAATTCTTGTTCAGCCTTTCCGTCCATTCATCGAGGCGTTGTGTGATATCGGCATCGATCTCTGTTCTGTCGTCCGAGTCCCAGTCGTCGTCGTATCCATTAAGCACCACCCTGAGCGTTTTCACCCCGTTGCTGATATTTCTCACTTGAGTTGATAGATTTGGACTGGCAAAAAGCCTTGTTAAGGCCTTGGAGGATAGTTTGACATCGGTTTGGAGCACGCGGTAGGCAACGCGATACCACTGCTTACAGACCGTCAGTCGTCCTAGATCATCCCGGAAGAATGAGGCACCTAGGTATTCTAGCACCCAATGAAGAAGTTCCGCGGGCAGCTTCAATAGGTACATCCTTTAGAAAGAGGGGCTAAAGGGAATAGTGCTCGACAATGATAATGGTTGTAAACACAGTGTGGTTGTAAACGGTGAAATTGATGAAGTGGCCTTTGGCGCCGAGATGAGGCCATTTAAATAGCCCAGTCCCTTTTCCTCAGCCAAACATTCATTGACCTTTTAAAATGTTATATACGAAAGAATATTAATATAATAAAATCGGTTCTTTTTAATGATAATTATTTCAAAATAATCATGACTAATAGCAGTAATGGCGTTCGTAGTTCTAAAATTAGTAGTAAATTGCGGGCCTGATTTCTATGCGTAAATGCTACCTTGCGTTCCAAAATAAGTATATAAGTCAGAGTAACCCGCGTAAAAGAGGGCGTTACCACTATTCAAATATCTACACCAAGCGAGGAAAACATGCATCTCGAACACCTCCCTCTCGGGGATGCAGACTTCCCAGAACTAACCAGGGCATTGTGGGAGGCCTACGAAACACCTCATCAACCGTTCTTCCGCGCTTATTGTCCGATTCTTAACAATGACCGGGAGAAGAGTATTGCAAACTCCGAGAGACTCTTCGAGGAGGAATACAGGGGCGAGTTCCCCAAGGCTCAGTGGATGAAGGTAGTTGATACAGACGCGGACAATAAGATCGTCGGTGCAGCACTATGGAAGATCTACGAGACGGATCCATTTGAGGGCTACGATGAAGAGAAAGTTGTAGCCGACTGGCACCCCGAAGGCTCGATGGGCAGAGTGGTTGCGACTGGGTTTCTTCGTGGAGTCACTGCCCCTCGCGCGAAGATGGCAAGGAGACCTCATATATGTAAGTTGTGCGCTGACCATACATCTGCAATATGAGCTAACTTTTTTAATTCAGTTTTGAATATTGCGTTTACCATACCTTCCTACCGCCGTCGTGGTGTAGGAGCCCTGTTCCTCCAATGGGGGGTGGACAAGGCCGACGCTATGGGACTTGAATGCTGGCTCGATGCTACCGATTATGGTCGGCCGGTCTATGAACGCTATGGTTTTATCAACGTGGACGATCGGCATATAGAGTCTCCCATGCCCGAGGGGCTTTCGGAGACGGAGATGAAGGAATTTGAGGCTGCGCGAGCGGAGATGCTGCCTGCGCATAACTCCTGCATGTGGCGGCCAAAGGGCGGGGTTTATACCGAAGGTGTCACTGAAAAGCCATGGGAGGTGAAAGGACAAGCTTGACCGTCATTATCTTAACAGTATATGTGTTCATCTTCCCACCTGATTGTCAATAATATAATTATAACGAATTTGAATAGATGAATAGAAGTTGAAAGTGGAAGTTGAAAGTTGATTGTGGCTTCTCTTTATCGATAAGATATCACATGACATGTCTATAAACATGCTTACCTAATCTCTAGATAACATGTTCAAGTTGCCGAATATCAAATAAAGAACAGCAAGTCAATTCAAAAGAGCAGAAGACAGACGCTGGATTGAAGGCTCTAATACTCTTGCAATGGCTCGAAAGCTATCCGAAGCATACTCCTCCTCGAACACAACCTCTATAAATCTTACTCAGCTGTTATCTCGCCTGGAAAGCAACATACTATCGCCTTCCGCAGACTTGACGCCGTTGCTGCGATCGCAATATCATAGAGCTCGCGTTGGTGCTGTAAGATTGCCTAACTCTTGGATGAATATGTCATAGGGACTATTCACCCTCGCCCCTGCTTGTTCTAGCGTGACAATAGCTGACATTTCGTGTAGAACATAGAATATGGTCGCAATCTACTCCTCCAACTCGAACGCAGCTCGTCGGAGATAAAACACCCCCAGCGCAAACAAACCGTTCAATCAGACCTCTCGCAAAAGAGACAGCAACTCAAGATCCTCCGGCAAAGGCTAGATGACCTAGGCACTCAGGCACATGCTCGCGCAACAGCAGCAGCCAATACAGCCACACCCGAATCCGAAATCGATGCAAGCATCTACACGTCAGAAGATGAAGAGGATATCCTTCCCACGCCGCAGGACAGTGCCACGCCGGAAAATACATCGTCACGAGCATCGACCAGCTCTGCGAATGTAAGGGATGACTCCAAGCAGACAGGGGAGAAAGAAGCGTCCACCCGATCAGAACGAAGTCTAAGCTCAACTATTCCCACACCACCATCCTCGACGTTCGGGCCCGGGTCTGTTCACGGAGAGGAATTCAGCTCAAATACATTACGCAGCCGAAATAACATACCCACCCCTACGACAGCACATACTCCCACCGAAACAGCCAGCCACCCTACCAAAGCCACCATGTCAACAGGGACCTTCTCAGCTTCCGCCCATCCGGCTGCATCCACACCCACATATACATCAGCCGCCCCCAACCCTCCGTTCCGCCCCCACCCCTCTTCAAAAATAGGTGCAGATGCAAGCAAAGAACTAGATTCCGAAACGTCCTTGTCCATCGATCGCCAAGAACAGGAATCTCTCACCGACTCCCTGCTCACACTGGCTGCACAGCTAAAGACATCAACACATACGTTCCATACGACGCTGGAGTCGGAGAAATCTGTCCTCGACCGTGCTGTTGAAGGGTTGGATAAGAACACCTCTGGCCTAGAGTCGGCGGGGCAGAGGATGGGAATGCTTCGACGGATGAGCGAGGGGAGGGGGTGGTGGGGCCGTATGCTGATGTATCTATGGATATTCGGGCTGTGGTTTGTGGCTATTATGATTGTTTATGTCGGGCCGAAGCTGAGGTTTTAAAGGGTATCCATGCCTGTTGTAGGATTTTTAGCGGAGTGGGCATGGGCTGGTCTTTGACTTCTGCGTAGGGAGTAGGGGTGATGTTGATACCCGTATTGTTATAATTACGATTTAATGATCTAACTGATGACCTGATAAGCACCGTAATCGTCTCTTACATGTACTTCGTAATTGCCATGCGGGAGGGAGGCGAAGGCCAGTCGTTGCTAGATCTATCATATTACTTTAGCAGGGGTGTAACTGCGGCCCCATTTCATCTCGTGATGATTGTGACTACAGTTTCGAACGGAGGGAATAACGTTGAACATCATCGAATAGCTATCATTTTCTATGGGAACTTCGCCAAAAAGTAATAAGCGATAGAGAGATGCAAGGAAACACGGCAGACGGAGAGATAAAACACAAGAAAAAGGGCAATCAAGACGCGAGAGAAAGACAAGTGGAGAAGAAGAAAGAGAAAAGAAAATTATAAAATAGCATTTACGGCCATGGTTATCCTCCCAATTTCCGAACCGACATTTAGTTAGGGAAAAGTTTGCATTTGAGGCGTTGTACAGGATTCCCCATAAGTGAGAGAGACAAGACAGAGACAGAGACACGGGTAGGGAAAAGGCGCAAGGAAAGGGGGAATACCTGTGAAAGAGAGACGGAGAGACAGAGAGAGGACTGAGCGCAGAGAGAACAAGGAAATGTAAGGAAAAGAGCTAAACAATTGACATGGAATCCGTAAATAGGCCGGCCAATGCAATGCGAAAAGCATAGCGCTAGCATCGAGCAGTGTGGTGGGGGGTGTAGTAAGTAACGACGAAGAGATAATTCCGTGGGAAAGAAAGGGAAAACCAGGGGTGTGGAATGGAATAGAGTAGCAACAAGAACTTGACACGAGGCATGGAACGGTGGATATCCTTCTGTGAATAGGAATGGAACAAATTAGTAGGAAATTATAGTGATCCAAGATAGAGTGACCATAGATTCAACGGTCAACGAGACGCCTGGAGTTCAAAGGAAAATCAAGGAAAACGGGAATAAGGAAGAAGAATGAAAGGTCACCGGGCCACGCAGATAGGGGAATTGAGAATTTGGGAAACGTGTCGCGTAGGTTGCTGGGTTTTTGGCGGGTAAATTATGGGATATCAAATACACGTAAGATGAAAAAAACCGATGAGAGGTCTGAAAGGTCAAGATTTCCTTTCATGGAGATGCGAGGAGGGGGGGTGCATTATATAAGACCGCAGAGTCGGAGATTCTCTTGTATGATGATGTCTAGACGGAAGTTAGTAAGATATTGATGTTTATGGTGAAATTGGGCAAGATATCACGTACCATTGACAGCTGCCATGACGAATCGAATCTGGGTGGTGTCAGTGGCACATGTGAAGTGTGTGTAGATCTGTTTCTGCTCTGCTTGGTTTAGCGAGACGAAGCGGTTGAGGATGTAGTCGCAAGCAGCAGAGTAGTCGGCGCCTCCTAAAAAGAAAGCATGTCAGTAATCAAGTCTAAAAGGTTAGTGTATCAATGGCGAAACGCACCTTCGTAATCTGGGAAGTAGTTCTTCATTGGGCTAACAGGAAGCTTCTCCTTGAATCGATCGATCTTATTCAAAAACAAGATAATGGAGGTGTTGATGAACCACCTTGAGTTGCAGATGGAGTCGAACAATGTGAGGGCCTCCTGCATTCTGTTGACGGTCTCGTCCTCGAACAGGAGCTGGTCGTATTCTGAGATAGCGACGAGGAAGAGGATGGTGGTGACGTTTTCGAAGCAGTGGATCCACTTCTTACGTTCAGAACGCTGGCCACCGACGTCGAACATGCGGTAGGTGAGGTCGCCGATGATGAAGGTGGTCTCGGTGATACCGGTGGTCTTGACACGGGAGCGAAGCACGTCCTGGTCGTTGGGGAGGTAGTCTGGCGCGGCAATGCGACCGATAGAGTCAAAGTAGCTATTTTTAAAAGGGTTAATACATCGCTAGAAGACGGTAGCAGCGAGAATATAGCTTACTATCGTGCAGAGTCGTTCAATTGGTACTCTCTCGACCGCTTGAAGCACTCCTGGACACCAGCGTCCTTCCACAGGGCCTCGATGGCAGCACCAACCTCTGGTGGCAGAGAGTCACCCTCGATCTGAGCGGGTTGCATGAAGATGGTGTGTACATGGTATTCAGCGCGTTGGTCATCGAGTGGTAGCTCCAAGCTCTCCATGGCCTCGAGGATAACACGCATCGACTGAGCGGTGTTGCTGAAGATAATTTCTTTAAAGGATTCACGTTCATCACGCGAGTACGATCCCTCGTGGATAAGTTTCATCTGCTTCAGGATGGTGGATTTTCCAGACTCTCCAGCGCCTAGTTTATGCATTGTAAGCCACTGCTCTGAACATGGACAGCTGATGAACTTACCAAGCAGAAGCATCTTAATTTCATTTCTCTGCATGAGTTTATCTCTCTTGAGCTGGTTCTCAATCTCTTCGTTTCTAGCCTTCCCCTCCTTATCCTCAGTACTCATTCCGCAACCCATCTTGGCGGTTTCGAAAGAACGTTGTGTTAACGGTTTAGGTGGTAAAAAGGGATCTGCTCAGCGGTGAGGTTAGAAATTGTGTTCACCTAGAGTATTGCAATGTCTGAATGCTCCTTTGATGCCATATAATCATGGTAAAAGAAGAAGATGGGTGTAGGTTGATATCCAGCTCGACAGCCCCCAAAAAAAACCGGCATCAAAAAAGAAAACAAACTGCCAAAAGACAGCGTTCTGGACGAGGATTGCACTCACACTATGGACTCCCGGCGGCGACAGAGGCAGACACAAAGACGTGCCAGCTGCTCTCAGGCGATGCAAGATCGGATGCAAGCACGCAGGCAAGACCAGACAAAAGGGGATGGGCCGTGGCGGAACCGTATCGAGACGAGAGCTGGGAGCTGGCGTCTGGCGATTAGCGACGAAGAACGGCCGCCCTGGGTCTCTAGACAGCGACAGTCGGCGTCGAGAGCGAGAATGCGACGGGCGACGGGCGATGGGCGATGGGAGACGGCGGTGGTTGGTCTTTGGTGGATGGAGATGGTCGTGGATGCGGATGGCGGAAGGGCAAGAAGGTCTGAAGGGGGAAGAGAAGGCCAATTCCTGGCGCGTCACGGCATGACAGTACGGGAGGGCATAGAAATACCGCACCATGCCAGATCGGGACACCAGACCCGCCCGAGAAGCGTCCCAGGAGTGCGTTCTTGGCCACCTCGGGTCGCCCTAGCCGTATCGCCGTTACATCGGTATCTACGTATCTCTCCATTATTATCTACAGTATGTCTACTCTACAGATGGACATCTACAGAGGATGCTAGAGATGGATGAAGAAGATCTGATGGCGTCAGACAGTATCGTGTACGGTGCTGTCAGCCCTGTTCGAGCTGCCACGCAGTGTGATTGGGTGTGCCGCGAGGATCACAGCCTCCGACTCTTCCACGCAGCCTGGAAAGCCCATTCGCTGCTCGCTGGAGATCGCTGGCTATACGGAGTACCAGCAGGCTCATTCGCCAGCGAGGTCCCGCAGCCTTCAACCTTCTTTTTCTGTCTTTGCTTACTTCGGCCTAGGAACGTACCGTATTACCGTACGTACAAGCACTAAGGCACACTCTCGGAGTCTGCTAATATATCAATATATCTTCGAAGCTGCTTTCTTAATATTACAGGCTGGTCCACCTTCACTCCGTCGAGACTGGTAATTAGAGCTGACATTATTAGATCGCGACAGAGTGGGCGATAGAGTCCCTTCCCCTATCTCGAGGCACATTTGTACGGTCCGGACCGAGGAAACATGAAACACATAGTGCCACCATCGGCAGTTCGTCTGGTCTGGAGGATGCAACTCGCCATCTAGGCACCCCATCCCAGCCTCGCCATCGCCAGGCTATGAATCGAGGGAGAGATCTGGCTATGCACGGGCTTATACCCCGTTGCATGGATCTGGATATATAGGTTCATGGCCCTTCTGCCAGCCTGATACTCCGTGGCACCGCCGTTCCTCAGTCGACATACACTTACAGCCCCCGGTGACGTTTCATCCCTACTCCTCGTGATCCATCCTTGCATAAACGCCCATAGCTACAGGGTTAGATACCGACTCTATAGCCTATGCGGAGCATATTCCCTCTCTTCATGCAAGTTCAAAGTCCGAACTTTCCACCAAAAAGTGATATCACGTGGTCTCCAACCCCTTAAACTGGGGCAAAATATCACGTGAGAAGTTATTTTTATGATCTTCTGGTGGGTCAATTACTGGTTTAGGACTAGCGCCATGCTGGACGAACTTGACGATGTTTTCCTGCAAACTCGCGATAGAATGGAACATGACGATAGAACGATAGAAGATGGAACGATGGAACATAAGTTGCCCCACGATCTGCGGCGGATATTGAGCTCCGACCCTGTCTGAATATGACGAGCAACTGCGAGAGACCCGCGAGTTGGGTATAGTGCGTGGATAGGGCTTGGTATCCCTGCTGTTTACCTCTCTACTTCACGGAGTACGGAGGGCATGAGAACTGAGGATGCCACGTCGTGGCCCTGGGCCTGGCGTCTGGCTGGCCGCTGTCCGAGGTTACGCACATCGATGGAGAACTCCGCTTTTCGATGTCATGCACAGAAGGGCCCCTACTAGATTATCTTCCGTACGCGAAATGCGCGTTCCGAATGGGCGCTACAGACAGCCGCCACCCAAGGGGCCAGAAGGACGCCAGAGGATTACGATACGCTGCGTCGCTGCATGTAAACCGCTCGCCGTTCGGTTGATAGTGGATTCTCCTCCGCTGACAAGGTTTCATCGAATTTTTCTAGAACAAGTTTCTTCTCCCTGTCACTTGATGGAAGAAACGGAGTAATATTAAGAATGAACCTGACCAAGCACGCTGCTCGCCGTGTGTATGGCCGTCGTGGCCGAAACTATTGAAGTTTTGCAGTGATGATCGAATTGGCATCGTGTCTGATGATGGGCGGCCCTGTCCTTCGCTCCCTAATAGATCTGCGCCTCTTGATACCAGTATGGAGCCCATGTATGTAAGTATTGACATCTTGATCACCAAGCTAGTTGGCGACAGTTGGTGATCATGGCAAGGGACCATGGTTCCCCCCAGCACCTCTTCCAAGCAGCATCCATCCCACGACTTACTCCGTACATCTCTTGGGTGCCGCGTTCTCCGTGCTTCAGAAGATGGATCATGGCTGTTAAAAAACTTCATACTCCAGTCTATCGAACCAGCCCGCTTGTGGTTAAAGTTCGCTAGGCGAGGCTGGCTTACTAGTTTCACTTATAACAAGGGTCTTCCTCTCTCGCTAACTACGGGAAGGATGATGGAATAAAATTATTCGATATCCTGGGAAAAATTTGCCTTGCTTGGAAAGCACACCGTCTTTCTTGACTTTGGCGAAGAACCAATCGGCTGGGCTTACCTGTACGTAATACCCCTATTTTAACCAGCAAGCACCCCATTCGTAGCAACATCAGGTATAAGCATTCCAAAGCACCCAGTGGAACGACAACGACAACTTTATTTTGACTATTTCCGGATGGCCACTCTCCTGGTATTTGGGATCGGAACTTAGGGTCACCAACGCCTCTCCCGGGTCGGTAGCGAATTTTTCGTTCTACCCATGAACCACCACCTCGTTATATAGGGACATTCAGAAGGCTTTGAATGCCGCCTATGGGAGATGGCGATTCGCAGTCGTTTCTTCCTATCTCATTCCGTTGCTAGACTATATGCAAGATAAGAGGTCTCCCACGATATCCAGGGTCAACCAATACCCATTCCATTCCATCACTGCACAGATGCAATCCGGAGGTTCCTCTAAGAATTAAGCTTCAATTTTAGCTGGGTAGCCTGGGCTATCATTCCGTCAAGTGCAGTCGACTTCAGTTAGAGATGCCCGAGTTTGATCTCGATCTCCTAGCTCAGACGTTAAGCATCCAGACCGTTGGATGTATGGCCCAGGAGAGCTTTGATAGCCGTTGTTCCAACTTGCCGAGCAGGCTTATCCTGCGATAGGTGCATAATGCCCTATACCGTTGTGATCTAGTAGTTCACATGGCCATAACCAGGGCTTTTTGTATTGCTTTAGGCGTTGCAACCAGGTGGATCTCAAGTATACCATCAACTCCTATATCGCCACGGAGTATATAATTGGAACATTGAACGGTTAGTATTCCGCACTCAGAGCTGATGTATTTTGCTGAATAATTTGTCTATAGCCATGGATTTAGGTAGGTAATACTAAGACGCCCCTGGAGATATGTTACCGGCTATGCACGAGGAACTTCCGCAGTCCGCTTGGTGCTGGAATCGTCGGAATATATAACCATGGGACAGTCTGTAGACCTAGTTCCAACGATCACATTATGGCCTAGAATATTGCATATCATAGCTTTTGCCTGATTTAGAACCTATATCAGTCTCGGACATCCAGCATACTCGGACACTCATCTGTTCAAGTCATTCAAGCGTCGAAGCAGCCATTTGACCAAATAACGGCCCAAACGGCCTCGGTATGATCGGCAGGCTGCATTAGTTCAGCAGGGACTGGATAAGATAAGTAAGTCAGTAAATGTATCAGATATATTAGCTGTCAATTGGCATGACATCATCTTATTGGGAGCAAAAGAAAACAGAGAACCAGTACGTAGCAACGTTATATACCCCTCCTCAGAGTGCCATCGAGCCTGTATACAGAAGCGAGATAATCAAATAACAAACAGCCCTGGTTCAGGGGAGAGACTCCGGTGGTTGCCCTGATAACCAAAGGATGGCGGTTTGTTGACAACGGCATCGGCCTTGGCGGGCAGCGTAACTCCTCGTCACTTCGTGCAGCACGCCAGCATCTTATATTCCTGACGAACGCACACTCGCGGTAGCCCGGATAATTGATATTATTTCTGTCTCTAGGGCCACAGAGAGGGCGTCAGACTCTGGCCTAGGTTTAACTAAATCTAAATTCCTTCTTCGAGTGATCATTACATTTTGTATACAGGGGCCTGAACGAGGGCCAGGGCCGCGCCACTTTGGCAGCTTAATTGTCCATCATGTTGACTGTAGAGAAGCAGTGGATTAATGTCCAGCAAAAGACATTCACAAAGTGGTGAGCTATGGATCCCCTGTACTTGTTATGGGTACTCCAAATCCAAATTTATTAATCCTCTCGTCGTCATCTGCAGGTTAAACAGCAAGCTCAAGGTCCGGGATATCGCCATTAATGACCTGGTGGCCGATCTTTCAGACGGAGTCAGTATTCATGACGTTCTACTCGTTTATACTCTATTTCTGCGTGTCACAATATCCTAGAATGAATAACGAAGTGCTAATATACCGTGAAATCAACACAGGTCATCCTCATTCACATCCTCGAGATACTTGGGAACGAGTCACTTGGTCGATATGCCTCCAAGCCGAAACTTCGAGTCCAGAAGTTCGAGAACGCGAACAAATGTCTCGACTTCATCAAAGGGCGAGGGATACAGATGACAAATATCGGAGCAGAGGACATTGTCGACGGGAACAGGAAGATAATACTGGGCCTGATATGGACACTCATTCTACGGTTCACGATCAGCGACATTAGCGAAGAGGGCATGACAGCAAAGGAGGGACTGTTATTATGGTGCCAACGGAAAACTGCCTGTTATCCTGGTGTGGAAGTGAGGGACTTCTCCTCGAGCTGGAACGATGGGTTGGCATTCTGCGCACTGCTGGACATCCATCGACCTGATCTGATTGATTTCGACGCTTTGGATAAGACGGAGCATAAGAAGAATATGCAGCTGGCCTTTGACATTGCTGCAGAGGAGATTGGGATTCCAGACTTGCTCGATGTCGAGGACGTGTGCGACGTTGCAAAGCCGGACGAGAGGTCTCTCATGACCTATATCGCATACTGGTTCCATGCCTTTTCGCAGCTTGAGAAGGTGGAGAACGCTGGAAGGCGTGTTGAGAAATTTGTCCAGAACATGCAAGGGGCGTGGGAAATGCAAAACTCATTCGAACGCCGGATGAGGGCTTTGCTCAAGAATATCGCAGCCCAACATCAGCAGTGGCTAGACTCGTCGTTTGAGGGAACGTACGCAGATGCCAAAGAGCAAGCGAGCGAATTTGCTGCATACAAGAAGAACCAGAAGCGCGAGTGGGTTGCTGAGAAATCTGATCTCGCCGCACTTCTGGGGAATATCAAAACAAAACTGAGCACATACCGCCTGCGAGCCTATGATCCGCCGCCAGAGCTTAGGCTAGAGGTTTTGGACGATGCATGGGCTAGTTTGACTAGCTATGAACACAAACGAAGCCAGCTGATTAACGAAACTATCCGTGATATCAAAAACGCCCTTCGTCGATCCTTTGCAGACAAGGCAAACGATTTTGCATTAACCTTAAACACTCTATCTCTTGCAATATCAGGCCTCGAGGGAGACGTCGAGGATCAGCTAACACACGTTCGGCGGCTGAGCGATAACCTTCCTCCTCTAGACGCCTTCCTTGATACAATCGAAGATCTCGACGAACAGTGTGAAGAAGCTAACATTGAAGAGAACGACTTCACAACATACACTTTTGAAGAGCTATCATACGAACTTAGCCTTGTCAAGTCGAGTGTAGCGAAGAAGTTGGCATTCTTAGAAAACCAGATGGTTGCGCGGAATATGACCAATCTTACACCCATACAACTCGAAGAATTTGAGTCTGTATTCAGACATTTCGACCGAGATGATACAAATACACTGCATGAAATAGAATTTTCAGCCGCACTGGCCAGTCTAGGATTGGTGTATGATGAGGACGAAATGCATGAAGTCTTTGTGGAAACGTGCGGACCAGGCCGTCTAGAGAGAAATGCAGGAGTCAGCTTTGAACAGTTTATTCGGTTCATGGTCAGCGTGACAGAGGATCAGAATACGGCTGAACAGGTCCTCCAGAGTTTCAAGGAGGTAGCTGATGGGAAGGTAATAACATCATTGAAATCTGCTTATTCCCTCCTTCATTCTACGGGAGCTTTTTACTTGAACCCTTGAAATAATCCTACTCACCAGGCTAACCATTTTAACGCAGCCATATGTTACGGAACTTGACCTTCGACATTCCCTTATACCTGATGAACTTATCGAGAACCTAGTAGAGTCAATGCCCAAACACTCGGGACCCGATCTCCTAGAAGACAGGGAGGTGCCAAAATACGACTATATGACCTTTATGGAGCATATGATGAATAAGGGTGGCCATGGTAATGATGTTGGCGGCGAAGCTAACAACACTGGATAGAAGAAGAACTGCATTTTTTCAACCTAACCTTCTGATATACCTCCAACTTTGACTTCAAAGCACAAGGAGAGCAACATCCGCAGCCAGAATATTCGCTTTCAGCTCGTACGGATCAGCGCACACCTTTCGACTAATTCTTCTTCTCTTCACGTGGATGCCTTTTCAACCATGCTATATTTTTAATTTCTCTTATTGGCATGGTTCTTTTTGCCATCGGCAGGAGTGATTGTTCATCATTTTATTGCATTGTGCATTGAAGATACCATGGTCAAGGGGCTGGGTTAAAATGTATGTTATCTTTTTAGGGTTAGTTAGCAATGATAGTAACTTATCAGTCTTCTTCAGAAATCAACCGTGGCATTGATAGGTAATGGCTAATAATATTACAAACCATATTCTTACAGATAACTCGAAGCTGAAAAGAGGATTTTATAAAAGTAATATCCAGAAGAATACTAGCTAAATATTCCCACAGGTGGAAGTTCGTTGACGGAAGAGGGCAAATAGCAGTATACGATGGATATAACTCTGCCGGGGGGTGTACTCCCAGGCACTAGAGGAAGAAGCGAAAGAAGAGCAAGTCGAAAGCGTGAAAGAAAGTGGAAAACGCAGTCGCATAACCCATAATCCGGCCAGTGTACGATCTCCAAATCCCGCTTTGTGGTAGAACGCTGTGCAGATGAGCCCGCCTCAAGGAGGAAAGAAGAATACACATAAGCGAATGAAAATGATATGCCTGACAGCATACGGAATTCAAAGAGGATTAAAGAAGTAGAGTTAAGAAAGCATTTGAGTCCTCTGGAGATGCGAATGTTAAATATAAATAAAAAAAGATATAAAAAGTATGATGAATTCCCGCGGTTCGGGGACGCCTGGCCCGATCTGCCTTAACCAGGGCAGGGGCAGCAGGAAGAAGAAGCGAAGTACGTCGAAAAGAAAAAAAAAAGAAAAAAAAAGCTATGCTTATGAATGAGAAGAGAAGAGACGGATAGAAACCAAGAAAGGAAAAAAGGAGAAGAAGATATGAGAATATAAAGGAGCGTGAGGGTGATCTGTGAGGTAAATTCGATGGATGGTCCCCCTTTTCCTCGTCGACTGTGGAGGAAAAAAGGCATACAACAAAGCCAAAAAAATAAGTAACAGAAATATCAATCCATAATTGAAATGAAATACAACAAATAGAAAAAAAAGGCAGACCAAACACAGACCCGGTAATGACAGGAACGAAAAAATGCAAGGGGGAATGGGGTATACATGCTATCCGTTTTTATAGTGTGCAGACAAGACAAGACAAAATGAAAGAGCTCAAAAAAAAAGCGTAAAAGAGATGATGGACAACTTCAAAATCAAACCAGACAAAACCACTTTGATGACCCGGCCAGGCGCAATGATGACTCGACTCCTCCGTATCCTTTGCTTGCCCGTTTCAAAATTCTACCCCACGCGCGCCCTACCTCCACAGAACAAACTGATGAGTAAAAATATAAATAAAAACGAAGCGGACATGCAGTGGCCTAACAGTTAACGGCTGATTTGCGTCCATTGGTTGGGACGTGTTGCGTTGGGAAGCGGTTGGCTCGCATGTTTGATATTTGGTTAGATTGCGGACCGGAATGTGAGCCAGGGACGGAACCGTAGTATATCGCCTCCATACCGTGGGACAGACCGGTTGGCAAAACAAGGGGGTAAAGCCATGCAAAAGTGCAAACAATGAGATAGAGACAAAATAAAGAGATATATAAAAAAGCGCGGCTACAAGGTGTGGTGGGAACGCCTCAAAGATGGGAACCGGAACGCAAACCGACAGATAAACGGCAATGACCAAATCATGATATGTTGGACGCAAAGCAAAGCAAAGCAAAGGCAAGGGGGGGTAAGTTAGTAAGATAGACGCCAGCCAGCCGCAAAACGAGGAGCAAAATGCAACAAAACAACCAAGGAATTAATTAATCAATCGTAGGCGCGCGTGTTCCATGACCAAGACCATGACCATGACCGTGTTTTCATACAACAAAGTGCAAAGCGCAGTGTATCGCTGCGAGGTATCAAAGAGGCAGAAAAAAGTAGAAGGGTTAAGGTAGCAAGCGGAAGGGAGAGAGGACGGAATCGGAATTGACGGGGGATAAGGGGGATGAGATCAGACTCGAGCGAGTTCAGAAAACATCATATTTTTTTTTGGTATTCCGGTTGTCCGTTCCGTGAAAGCAGGTAGGCAGTGGATGGGTAGAAGACAAGGACAAATCAAATACGCTTTAAACGGGTGCATGGAGATGATATAAAATGAGACGGTAGGGGAGGAAAAGGGGGAAGAGAAAAGGAGATAAATGGAATAGATAAAGGAAAAAACCACTCCACCTGCATACCATGCCGCTGCTAGACATAACCCGAGAAAATGATCCTATGGTTTGTGCTGAAATGAATATGATGAAAAAGAAGAAACGGTCCCAAATAGATAAGATGACAAACGTAGAAAAGGAAGAAAACAGAGATATGACAGCAAATAGAAGACGTATAGAAGGGTGAGTATTTTCGAAATTGGCGCCTCTTGGGAGGGAAAGGTGATGGTGGTTGTGTTTGTGGTCCGTTGCGCCCCAATGCTCCGTGCCTTCATCATACATGTCATGCTATGCTATGCCATGCCACACGCCATGCGAAACCAGTATACAGACGAGATGTAAGTGAGTGCCGCAATCTCTCTATCTCCCCATCATATAGTCAGGGTACGAGCCGCCGTTGTTGATGGCGCCCATGTTCCCTGCCGTCGGCGACCCGATGCCCACGCCGACGCCGACGCCCATATTCATCTGCGCACCAGGACCAGCACCCGGACCGGTTCCGGGCCTCATTGATCCCATGGCATTAGCGTTATGGTTTAACCCTAGCCCCAGGCCGTTGAATTGCGAGGCATTAAGGACCTGGACCTGCTGTGGCGGACCCATGCCTGAGCTATTTGTCGGGATAGACATTGGCATTGGCATGGGTAAACCGGGCGGGGCGCTGAGACCGGGTGGTGGGCCGTTGGCTGTTGAGAACCGGACCGGTCCCATGCCTGTTGATGAGCTGTTGTTGATGCCGGAGACTGGTCCCGGAGAGCTCATGGAATTGGCAGGATGGATGCTTCCCGGTTGGCCGTTGCGGACGCCAAGAGGGTTTTTGGAGAAACTGAGGCGGATGCCGCCCTTGACGCTGTTGGAGAGTTCGTAGCCGTAGAGTTCTGTTAGGCATTTGGTTGCAAAGGAGACGTCTTCGAATTCGACGAAGCAGATGGGGCCGTTGGGTTTTTGGCGGAAGATCATTCGTTTGTAGCCGCGTTGGCGCGAGAAGAGGGCCTTGAGCTCGTCTTCGGAGGTGTCTGGGGGCAGATTGCCGACGTACAGGGTGTTGCAGGGAGGGTTCTGGTCGGCCGGATTGACGGGCGGGTAGTTGAGGCGGTGGAACTGCAGCTGGTGGTAAGGGGTCGTTGAACCGCTGCCGCTGAAGGTTGATACTGCGCTGGTAGGCGTGGGCATGTTCCTCGTGGCGGGCGTCCCGGTGCCAGCGCTGAAGGGAGGGAGAGGAGGGGAGGACATGGTCGTCGTTAAAGAGAGATTGGAGAATTGCGACATGGGGAGCTGGGGGTTCGTCGAGCGGCGCTGCAGGCCCATATGGCCTGACGGGCCGTTTCGTGCGTATGCAATGGGGTCCTTGAGGAGTTCGCCGGTGTCTTCGTCGACGTCCTGATCGATGACTGATTTTCCAGAGACACGCGGGCGGTCGTTCATCCCGTTTCCTGCGGGCGACTGAGAGGAGAAGATGGAGTGTATCCGTGAGCCCGTATCGGGCGCCGGGAGTTCACCGTTTGTCGTAGCTGGCTTGCTGATGGACGAGCTGTCCAGCGCGGTGTCGAGGGAGTGTATATCATCCAGACGAGACATCATACGAGACGGCGGAGGCATGAACGGATGAGGCGAGGTCGGAGAGAGCATGGTCATGGAGCGAGGCAGATGGTCGATGGTATTGCGACGAGATATCATCGCAGACGTCGTAGGACACGCAGACACGATCTCAACGATCATATTGGCGTCGTTTGTCGAGTTGGGCTTCCCGTTCAGCATCGCCTGAGCCTCTTCGGCGGCAGTCCTGGTCTCGAACAACGCAATTGCAGTGAGAAAGGACGAGTCTTCTGAATACTCGTTCGGTATAAATTCTGCATCGACCAGGTTCTTTGCGAACAGCAGCATGCTCCGTAGCGCTTCGTAGCTGGTATTTCGTGGCAGCAGTCGCATGCGAACAGCGGTGGCTCCTCCGTGCTGCTGCTGCTGCTGCTGCTGCTGCATCCCACTCCCGTTTCCCATGTTAGAGCCGTTCGAGCTGGTCGAGAGCTGTTGTCCCAGACGGGCTGAGACGGGGGTCCTCGAGTCGAAGCTGGACGGCTTCCCGATGGGCGTGATGGCGTAGGGCATGGAGGTAGGCAGATTCGCAGCCTGCGAGGTGCTCGAGAAGATATCTGAGGACAGGCCGCTCTGTGAGACAGACATGGCCTTGGACGTGGCCAGGGAGAGACGAGGGAGGCCGGCGGAGTGCGAGTCTCTGCGCTGGAGGGCGTTTTCAAAAGCGACGCCGGCCTGGTTTGGATGCGCAGTGCCCATCATTCACGCAGCGCTTCTGCTGGCCGAGCAGACCAGGATAGATGTGATCGCGAGGGAGGTCCAGCGAGGAGGCCAAGGGCGCGATCCTCTTAACGAGACACGGCGACGTTGTGGTGGATGAGGATGAAGATGAAGAGGACACGGAGTCCTGCGCGCAACCTGAGGCGCAACAGCGAACAGGCAGAGCAGAACCTCTTTACGGCGTGTAGGCCGAGATGCGACAGAGAGCGATTCGACGAGATTCGCAGTGTTGCCTGAGTTCCTGACTAACTAACGCGCGGCGTAACCATGATATCTGACACGAGATGAGCAGAGAGAAGATGAGATGAGAAGACGAAGAGGAGATGAAGATGAGTACGATTCGGTGAAGATGAAGAAGTTGAAGTTGAAGTTGAGATGAAGTTGAAGAGATGAAGACAGGGCCAACTTACAGATATCAGCAGGACTAGTTAACGTCGACGTCCACAGACGATATGCGATGCGACTGACAGGATACAGGAGACGAGCCACTGATGTTATTTCTGTCTTCCAGAGATGCCAGAGTCAGGATAGACAGAGATAGACGACAGACAGAGACGGCGGTTGAGACGACGAGACGAGACAAGACAAGACAACGACGAGACGATGAGACGACGAGATGAGAGACGACGACGACAAGAGACGACAGACGAGACAGAGCATCGCTTTCACGGTCTGGAGCGAGCTGAGCAGACCTTCGCGGCCAGGGAGAAGCCAGTAAAGGACGAGGATGCACAGTGGGCCAACGATACGGGGCAGGAAAAAGCAAGCATGGATACAGACTACGATTACAGTACAATGATAGGACGGTAGATGGGATATGGAGGATATACGGAAGAGAGATGGAGATGGGGGATATGGAAGATATATGGAAGATGGCCTCGTCGATGCCTATCAATATCTATCAATATCTATCAATATCGCCGTCGATATCGTCAATATCAACATCGTCAACACCAACACCACGATACATACTAGCCCGCATACCAGGACCCCCGGCCAATCGAGCGGTCTCCAGGCTTGCTTGGTGCTTGCTCGATGCCTTAGCCTGCGCCAGCGTCAAGCACACCGGCCATCAGACCCGTTGATTGGCATCTCCGCCGTCCCTCGTCGCGTCGCCCAATCAGCCGGCCGCGGGCTGCTGCTTTTCCCTGGCTTGGGACTTGGACTGGACCTCGCACAGGGGTACGACCTGTCGACGCCGGCTTGCAGGTTACGGACGTTACCATGAAGCCACGTTAGACGTTGGGATGAGCAGAGCTGGCTTGGGCGGGCTTGCGAGAGCTCGCGGTGGCTCCCGGTTCATCGTAGCGTCTCCGTTACCATGTCCGTGGTGGAAGCTATCAACCTTCGACTGTTACAGGCATCCAGCAGGGAGCAGGTCGTGGTCACTGCATCTCCTGCCAGACGGTCCTTCGTTTCATTCCTTCACGATATCACAGCATCTAAGCATCAGGATCTTGCAAGTGCAATCTCGCCTGCTGTTCCGCCGATGGCTGCCCCGGACCCGTCCATACATAGATATATACTCCGTGCTACACTGCAATGCACTCCCTGCAGCCCTTCTCTGCACGAGGAACTGCCTCTATCCATGTCACAGTTCATGCAAGCCGCATCTTATACGGGGATAGCTTACACGTGATGACAGGAGATACTTGGAACTGGAGAGACTGGAGAGACTGGAGAGACTGGAGAGACTGGAGAGACTGGAGAGACTCAGAGAGATGGAGAGACGGAGAGAGGAGAGGAGAGATAGACGGAGACGAGACTGCTGGGTGGGTATGAGTTTCGTGGTAGGTTTGTCGATACTTTCCAGATATTCCCCTGAACCGTTGAACGGTTTTCAGTAGCCGAATCACGGCCAGGGGATGACCGATGCTAAGTTTCTCGGAGGCCTCTTGTCAGCCAGCCGGATAAAGCCAGAGAGCCTATTTAACATCATTCCTCTTGGGTGGCCACTCCGAGATGTCAGAACGGATTCGAAAATAGCTCCCTTTTTTTCTTTTTCCCGCCATTGTTTTTCGGTTTACCCGGTTCATCCCTGCGTGAGACCCTGGTCGCGATCTCTAGGTTTGCTGGACGATTGGATTCTGGTAGCTGGACACGATATCGCCTTCATTTCTCCAATTTCTCTTTACGACCCTGTTGCCTGCTAGCTGCGAGATCGGGTCAATCTTTTTTATTTTTAAAATCAAAACGCCGCTTCGTTTTGAGTTAGCGCCCCATTGATACCACCCCGAGATCAGCAAGCTGCGAATTCTCGAAATGATGCCGGTTTGTTCATGTCAATGCATTGCAGGGTTCTTGCCAGGAGACTTTGATGATCCCTATTTTACTCTCTTTACCCTTCTCTTCTTTATGGAGATAAGGTCGAGGTTAGCAACGAGGATAATTAGGACTGCGGCTCCTTCGTCCGTCGTTTTGGAAATCCGTCCATGATCTAAAGCTGGCTATCCGGGATCAAGCTTCATCCAAAGCACAAGCGCTATCTTCCCGATGAATCTCGAGCGGCTATGAGATGAAAGGCTTCACCGTTTCACAGGGGCTATTTGCGTTCTCCACGCTAGAACTGCAAGTCGTTCCCGGTCCGCAATCTCTCTTCGTATGATCCTGGGAACAATGGCCCGAATCGATGCTGATTTACGAGTATCTTTATATCGTATTCATCGTGGTCTACTGGGACATCGGGTCTAAAGATGTCAACCCTTCCATACCGCGGACTAATAGCTGCAGTGTAATTTGCCATTGATCGCGCTTCACGGACGAAACAGATGTTTTGTTTTGGAAACGAGGAATGTCTCGTTTGCTGTGCAGTGGAAGTGGTTAACACTCTTCACCCCAACCGTCCGGGCATGGGTCAAGTGCATACCCTGCAAGCCAGATGCAGTCTTGTGGCTGTTGCGTCCTCTTTAAAGGCCGAATTTATCTCTCAGATCTCCACAGGCGCTGTAGCCTGGATTGTTCAAGAAATGTGCCCGGAGGTCAATTTAGCACGGCATCATCAAATGAGAATATACCCAACGGATAACAGGAAGATACCAGCAAAGGAAGCTCCCTTACTAGTGCCTACTACTCGCGTAAGGGATGCTTGTATCACGGTACATGCTTTTCAGTGATCGGACTCTACGCAGACGATAAAGACTGTAGTTCAACAACTTCCGTTTCATGAAGGCACCATAGCCCGTCTCCAGACTCAACAAGTACTGTTAATCGGGATATTACAAGTCGATGGCGCGAACTATATGACCAAGTATATATGTAGAGCCAAGAATGGAAACTGAAGGCGACTGAAGAGTTCTCCCTGGCGATCAGGAGGAATTTTAGCATAGACATCATAGACATGACGTAGACGATTAGAAGAAAGGAAGAACGGAAGATAAAACGGTTATTCTGTGGCTTTGGCCGTTTTGATGTAGTACAACTACTGTAATTAATGTCATGTTTGATATTTAGTTCTACGTTGATGTAAAGCCTTTGAAGTGACATTGCAGTGTCATAGATATCTATGTCTCGATTCTTCCTATATGTATCAATATATAAATGATGCCATATTACTCCATAAGCTTATCGTCGTTATTGTCAGGCATTGCATCCTATATTTTCACCACTCCCCTCCACAATCTAACACCGCCACTTGATAGACACAAATTCCCCTCTAGATCTTCGGCGTTAGGGAACCTTAACTCGATCTAATCCCCTCCTTGAGGTTAGAAATCGCCTAATGACCGTTGATGTCTGGCTCAGGCTCGACATGGTTGGGAAAGGGGCTTTGGGTTCTAAAAAAATATACGAGATGCTGATGGTGTGGCTTGAAGGAAAACGCCTGACATATATCTACGTGCCACACTGCATGAGCAGACTTTACACAATATACTCTATATACGGAGTACCGAGTGCCGGCGTCTCAGTCTCGCCAATTGGCAGTTCCTCCTGGTGAACGATGCCCGAACAACGTGCGATGTGGAAGAGATATACTATGCATTTCCTACATAGCCTTTCATGCGAACCGACGGACCTTTTCAGCTTTGGCTTCGACGGTGTCAGAAAACCCCTGGGGTGATCATGATCAGTGAAATGCAAGGATCTACCTGATTCAGCACAGCTTAGAGTCCCATGTTAACGGTCACATATAGGCGGAGAGTTGCAGAGGACCATACTGTATGGACGCATAATACTCCCTACGTGTGACTGATTTGACGTCCCGCATGAATACTCTGCTCCCGGCGAGATGAGAACGAAGAGGGGATAAAGGGCGTCGTCACTATCACTACGACTACTGCACTAGCTCGATACCGCTCGACATACGAGCTGCAGCCAGGCGAACAATAAAAAGACGCAATCTTGCTTTTTTCAACCCCCTTGTTTACGGGGTACATGGTACATCGGGAGTGACCATCTGAGGAGGCCGATGAAACTGCTATCCAACATGCAGCTGGGCGAGGCCACAGCGTCCAGGAGATGACGATGTTCGACTAGTACAAGGGTAGATATGACATCTCAGTTAGCCACAAGAGGAAAGTCGAGAATTCCCTGTTTGGAGCTGGACGGCTCGGAATCGACTGTATGATTGCGGTTGGTTTAATAACTTCAAAACAAGCTATTATTGACCCATGGTGGAAAATGTATTCCCAAGGGACCTGCCTGTTATCGAACATAGACGGAGATCGGACTCTGGGAAAATGGCCCGAGGCAACAGGGACAATCCATATCTAGCGGATCGGGTATATCTTTCCGCCTTGGGACGATAATAGAGATGCATTCCGTCTAGTAACATCTAGATTATTGACATATCCTACTCTCCAGCCAATAGACGCCGCATCCCGAATCAAAATTTAAAATACAACGCAAATGCTTGATACATGTGTAAGTAGTGATGACGGAGCTCACCAGGAATAGACGTTGGAAAAGAAAAAAGGGTATGTAATATACAGAAAACAAGAGCGCTCGAGGATGCCGCGCAAGGGGAGGAGGTCGGGAGTATGCGTCTAGGCTGTGATGGGCGGCTTCTCTGCGCATTGTTTTGGTAATCATAACTGCCTCGGGAGACACGATACCGTCGAACGGCTCATTTAAATAAATCTTGATTAATTGGTATTTGCCGCCTTTTCCGTGGACTGCGGCTTAGCCTGCGCCTTTTGCGCCTTTCCCATTTTCGGTTCAAGTAAGCCAACCTAGTCGTAATTCACTATTATTAGCAGCTGTAACCGACTCGAGTAGTAAAATTCTGCTGCTCAGGATGTATGCAGCATCGCAGAGGTAGCTATGATATCGACTGGCAAAATTAAGCCCAACATACCAAACTTAACAACCGCCATACGCTTTCAGTTGGCTGGGCTCCTACACCAAGCCAATATTTTGTCCTGGCTCGATCAAGCAATATCTCTTTATACGGCTTCGCCCTTCGTGCTTCGTGATCTGTAAGGCCAACCGGCTTTTGTGGGACGGGGTTATAAGTTCCGAGGACTTCGATGGGCTTTGAGCAGGGGGCAATTCTGGTTCGAGTTCGTTAGCACTGCACAGCGGTTACATGACTTGTATCTTTAGCTCTTAAGCAGCGACTCAGTCATCACTGAGGGAGCGACAGATGCATTGAACGGGATCGTACTTTGCTTGAGAAAGGACAATGTTGTAGAATGGGTCGTGTCGTTTGCCGAGACGAGCCAGTCGAATTCGGAGCACCATTGTGAAAAGCTGGAGGGCTGGTTCGTGGATAGATCGATTGGGTTAACAGACGGGATATAGTGCCCTCCTGTATCAGCGACCAAGGGCTCGTTATTGATATATCTCTGTCTCGACGTCGACCGCAGCTTTCACGCGATGTTCATGAAAATTGTCCGGGACGGATGTTCTATTTTCCGCATACACCACGTGATCATTTTATATATTACATAAGCAAACAAACGTCATACATTTCTCAGAGCTCAAAAGAAACAGCTTCACTCTTGGAGATAGAAGTCTCAAAGGTGGTTGATGCTTGTATTTACTCTCTGGATGGTTTGAGATTCTCAGGGCAGGTAGATGATTAAGTTGTAAAGCCTGGATGTTCAGAACCTTGGTACCACAGCCGCTGTTTACATCCACTCGCAAATATAGCCGATTATCCATGATGGCATTAAAAGTTGAGTATCCAAAGGGAATCATGACATTCTCTCCTTTTTCTCACTTTACATCGGGCTATACCAAATGATTCCCCCGGTATTATGAACCGTCTAACGGGAATTGAATGATACCCAGACTATTAACCCCAAGGATGCATCCTCCCTCGATAAAGATCTCATGGATGCGGGGGCCTTCTCCCTCGACCAGTTAATGGAATTGGCTGGCATTTCTGTCTCTCAGGCTGGTATTGAATTATACTTCCTCTTCAGCTGGTCCACATTAAAAGTGCTCGCCTGTTCGAGAGAGTTTAGCTGACTCCTACCGATTCTCGGATGTTTCAGTATATCGAGTCCACCCGCCAAAAGAAGGACGCCATATTCTAGTTGCCTGTGGTCCGGGAAATAACGGTATGGGTGTACCCTCCCTTCCCCAAATGGCTCAATTTGCTTTGGCCGCGGAAAGTTTGTAAATCTCCTAATGGCGAATACAGGAGGTGATGGTCTGGTCGCCGCTCGTCACCTAGCGCACTATGGATATAAACCTACCGTCTATTATCCGAAACAGGGCAAAAACGAACTATATGAGGTACGTCAACACACCCTCATATACGCGATATACCCCAGATAATGCGTTCTAGACCTTTAAAGAAGCCATGAGCTAAACTATCTGTCACAGCGCCTCAAAACCCAGCTGAAGAATCTTTCTGTACCATTTACATCGGATTTCACTGCGTCTCTTGAATCATCCGATCTGGTAGTGGATGCTATATTCGGTTTTTCATTCAGCGGGCCGCTCAGAGACCCGTTTCCCGCCATAATATCCCAACTCGAGCGGACCGAGGTTCCGGTACTGAGCGTTGACGCACCCAGTTCATGGGACATCGAGTCTGGGCCGCCCAAGGATGGCCCTGGCTCGAAATTTATGCCTGACGTGCTGGTCAGTCTAACAGCCGCTAAGCCGTGTGCGAAATGGTTCAAGGGAAGACATTTCTTGGGCGGAAGGTTCTTGACCCCTGATATTGCGGGTAAGTATGGGTTGGATCTTCCGGAGTATCCAGGGGTTGATCAGATCATGGAGGTCGATGTGAACGGGGACGGGGGTGGGAGGCTCTGAGTCAGTTAGTTTAGTTCACGTTTGATCGTTGGGCGCCAGGCTGCTAAAACACGAGTTATGTTATTCATTAGGTAAATGATTTTCGGTGCATGAATCTAAGCCGATGATTAGAGTACCTTGGAGAAGCGGGTAGTTCTCGAAAAGTTATTCTAAGACATGCGATATTTATAACCCATCATTTCCAAGGCCGAACGACCAAAGCGCAGCATATAACAAGGAAGTACATGTCATTAGTAACTTCAAGTCTATGTAACGTTCATACTACCCCATTAGGACTCTAATTGATTGCGACTCTAATCTCGCTTATCACTCCTTTAACCCTTGGCTCCCGCCCAAACCCAGCATCTAGAACGCGAGTCAAGGTCCGTTCAAGTTCGTAGATTTCTTTCGCGGCCGCTCTGATTTCATAGTCTAGGCCAACGACTAGTGTTCCGAGAGCGACCAGCCCTCGATAAACGGCTTCTGAATCTTTCTCTTTCATCAGAACTTTCGTTAGCTGGTCGAGTAGCACTAACCCATGCTCCGACGCCTCCGGTGTGTCAACTCTTTCCTTCGTGGTCAGGTAAACGGCCAGATTGATGTATAGCGTTGTTGCAGCAATCGTCACATTGCGGTTACCGGTACCGACAGAATCTGACATGACAGAACCTATCTTGTTGGTGACTTCCTCAAAGCAACCAGCGACAAGCGTGCGGCCTGGATCGGTTTCGAAGAAGTTGGCCAACATGCGAATTGCCAGCATGGTGTTGTTGGGACTGAGAGGAGCGTCAAACACGCCGCTTGATATTATCAAAGCCACCAGATTTCCTTCGCCTTGATCCCAAGTTGCTGCGAGGGGGGAAGCAGCGGCAAGAAGACGGAGAAGATCTAGGCCTGGAAGCCGATTTCCAGCTGGCCAACTTGTTGATATCTTTACAAGTAGGGGGATGGTTGCCTCGACGACTGGTGACTTGGATAAAGTGGAGGGCTGTTCTAGTTGAGAGCAGAGAGCAGATACGGCTTCCATTTCCAAAGGGGCAAGAGATATATCCTTCGAACCCGAGGATATCAGCTGTGAGTTTAACTCGGAGATTTTCTTTTGTATCGCCTTCAAGTTTGCTGATTTTATGGAGAGGTATGACGTTTGTGGTAATACTTTTGGACGAGATTCTGGAAGAGATTGTTGCTGATATGTAGATTCGTTTGTCTGTGCTGGACCTACCACAGCCCCCTTGGTATTCGACGTTATAAAATTCGCAACCTGCTCCAGGTACGTTATAGGAAGCTCGTTGGTCTCGATAAACTTCTTTGCAACGTCGTACGGGTTTTGGGATAGGTTATATGGGAGCTTCAGAGGTGGCTTTCCATCTTCGATGTCGACGTCAAAGACGTAGTCGTAATCTTGGCCCATATATTCCACCTTTCTGCCACTGCTTCCAACAGAGTCCACAACGGTCCCAACGGGGACCCATTGAGACGCGGCGGAAGACCAGGTATGGGCGGTAACACTTCCGTCCTCTTCACGGATCATCTGGACTTGCCCATCCTTTGTTCCAGATTTCTGCTTAAGGAATTCCGGACTCGGGAGTTTTTCCTTGTTGACCTTTCCAACCTGTTCCTGGGGAATGGATGATTCCTTGACGGCATTCTCGAATATCTGTGTGGTAGCCTCGTCCGCATGGCGGTCCTCAGCTCGACTAAAGACTCGAGCTATCCTGTCACTCGCACCAGAGACGATATCACCGGACTCTGCGCATACGGCAACGGACCATACCGATATAGCAGGGTGTGTAATCGTTTGAACGCAGCTAGCACCATTCCATATCCTGACGGTCCGGTCTTCTCCGGAACTCACCAGCTCGCCAGATGGCAGGCTAGCGAGAGAGTAGATAAAGCTCTCGTGTCCGTGTAGCTGGCCGACCTGCTTTCCTTGGATCGTCCAAAGCCGAATGATACCGTCATTCCCTGCGGATGCTATTTGGGCACCCGATGCATGACCATCTGGAACCTTGCAAAGTGCTCGAACAACGTCCCCGCAGCCACGGAAGGTATTTAGTAGCTTTCCAGAGGTGTTGAACACACGTATAAGCTTATCAGCGCATCCTGTAACCCCATTAGCATGTGGTAGCTCCCATTGCACTCTTCAAAAAAGTACTGCTCACCCGTGATAACTGTATCTTTGTCGTACGCAAGAACAGCCCAGACACTACCGCCGTGGCCTTCCAAAACGACCTCTTTGCTCCATTTTCCAATCTCCCATAGACGACCGGTCGAGTCCCAGCTTCCACTAGCTAGCCATGTACGATCAGGCGAGACAGCGAGGGCACATACGTTGTTAGTATGACCCAGCAGCATGCGATCTGCATTCTCATCGGCAGCTTTCCCAGGCTGTCTTGCTTCTATTATTGTATCCTGACCACCGCTGAATATCAATCCCTCCGGATAGTCTTCCGTAGGCGGGCAGTATGCCAGAGAGTTTATGAATGCCGACCCATGCACGGTGATCTTGTCATCGAATTTAGGAGGCGGGGAGGATATGACCGTCCACATGCGTACTGTGGCATCTCGGGACGATGTTAGGACTGTTTTGGGATTTGGGAAGGCCACAGCTCGAACCTATAAACAAAAGGGTCAGTCAAAAGGTTCTGGGTCTGAGTATGGCATCCGTATCAACTGACATCATCGCTGTGGCCTTCCAGGAGCGCGGAGATCTTGAAGTCAGGCATACAAGGAACGCTGCAGTTTGCGGAGTAAACGCTTCAAGTTAGTATCCGGAAGATAATTGCGAGGCTCCAAGACTTGATGAAAAGAAAGAACAGCAACTAGGTGAGCAGTGAGAGATCCGTGTTGCTGCAGAGTGTGGGGGGCTTTCTTCTATATACAACTTGTGCTCTATATCGAATGACATAATACAGCTGTTAGTCACCTGACCTAAGCATCTGCCGTCTTAGACCATCATCTTTGAGTGATAAGTTAGTTATTTAGTTACGGGTGGTAAGATAGTTATGGTATAAGATATAGGTGGGAATAGAATGGAGATATAAGGAGAGGTTAACTAATGTGAGTTGCTAAGGTACCTACAAACTTATACCTCTATGCATATTTTGTATGAGAGTATACATTATTACAAGTACCCAGTTCAACGACATCCATCAACTTCCTACCTGATAGTAATATAGAAGTGGACAATGATAAAAATAGGCCTCAACCAGCATCTACACATACTTCTGCTTCTGGATAGACATACGAGTACTATCGATCGTAACTCGTATGTAACAGAATGCTCGAATCCTGTAATTTCGCATCCGCTCTCCGGCGATTAAATGATAGAGTTTAGTATCATTGCCTCTGGTGGATAAAAATAGCCACGTAGGTTTGATAATGGGAATATGGTGATGTCAAAGAAGTCAAACTCGATCTAGATACTCACGGGGGAGTATGGCCGGTATCAAGCATGCTGAGGCTACCGTCAACAGCACAACCACTCCAGGACACTCCCTCTGTATAGGTTCGACCGCGGGGCTCGGAATCGATGAACTCGCCGAGACATCTCCTCCAACGCCAGCCAGGTTGCTCACTAGCCAAAGGATATATCCCTGTGAACAAGCCGATGGGCCAGGGACGTCCGGGATGCGCCAAATTGCAGGGAAAAGTCATGGACGGGCCAGTGTTCCCCTGCAGCAAAGTTTCTTCAGCCCAAGGACGCGCTGATCTCGATGTGTTATATCTTATATCGTCCATTCTATGTCCATTCTATGTCTATTCTATGTCTTTTCTATCGTCTTTTCTACTGAGGTTGAAGAATAGAGATCATGTGCCCTGGCGCCTTGCCTGATCACGCCTAGCGCTTCCTCCCTCCGAGCTAAACTCTCCACCGAGCCCTGTGTGCTGGTATCAAAAAACGCAGTTTTGTCCTTTTCTCTTCACGACGTATACGACCATTCCCTCCAGGAAGTTCTCGCAGAGCATCGTCAGTGTCTCTAGAAAGGGTCTTGGGAGACGGAGACGCCCGTCTTCACCGTTCGCCCTTGCTGGGCTGCTCTTCGTCTATCTCGCCACCTCTTTCTCTTCCGCTCCCTTTAGACGACTCTTCTTTTTAATGACAGGAATGTTTTGACGACTGAACGGATTCCCTTCTTCTCATATTACCAGTGTAAAGACCGGTGTTCTTGGCCTCTGTTTTGCTACCCGAGATACGATTCCTGTCTGGCTCGGGGATCTCTATTTCGCTAATCTTCTTGATATCTCTCTTCTCTCCTTGGGTCTTTTTCTTCTCTTCATATTCTTTCCTTTTAACGCCCGTCTACGGACCGTTTTATTTTCTTTATTCTCCCATTTCTCGGCTTGTGACTGCTATTTCTCAGTCACCAGTCACCCTGTCTCTGAGCAGATGGCGTCGGGTAAGCGGTTTCCTACCAACAGCTACCCCTCCATGACATGGCAACCTGTAACAATGACTTGACCACCGTTGGATTGGCAGGGGACCGATTTTCAACGCAAAAAAAGGATGTTTTTGCTGACGATGGGGGCTTTTTACTCTAGATGCTTCAAAGGTTGTGCCCTTGACTTGTCATGGACATTCACGGCCTGTCCCTCATATCAGCTTCTCTTCAATTACCGAAGATGACCAGTACTACCTGATCTCAGCATGCAAAGGTACATTATGGACTGGTCTTTCTCTGCTATAGCACCTCGGTTAAGATTTTCAATATAGATAATAACCCTATGCTTCGAGATGGCATAACTGGTGATTGGTTAGTAAAATACTTCTAATTTGTGTAGCAACATCTCTTTTATAACCTCCAACTGACATGACCGCATCAATCAAGGATTGGGACATTTTTGGGCCACAAGGGTGCTGTATGGCAGGCAAGACTATCTGTGGATGCTACTATTGCTGCTACAGCTGCTGCAGACTTCTCTGCGTATGTTGTTCCCTAAGCATCTAATCAGTCTTATTGCTTACTTTTCACTCTCTGTCCCAGAAAGGTATGGGACACACATACGGGCGAGTGTCTGCACACACTGCAGCATTCCCACATTGTTCGAGCTGTTGCATTCCCTGTTCAAGCTGGCCCCCAGATCCTGGCTACCGGCGGCATGGAGAAGAAACTACGCATCTTCGACCTTTCTCGAGCACAAGGTAGTAGTTCTTCCTCTCCTACGTCGCAAAGCGGCTCGGGAACTGCAAACGGAGCAGGCTCAAGCTCAAACTCTGCCAACACAATGAGCTATGAAATCGGGCCTGGCGTACATACCGGCACCATCAAATCCATTATCTGGTACCAGGACTACAACATCCTCGTCACCGCAGCTGATGATCGGAAAGTACGGTGGTGGGATCTTCGCTCCCGTCATCCATGCGCGGAGTACTCTGTAGATGGAATCATCGGCAGCTGTGAACTGAATGCCGTTTCAACCACGCCAAACGACCCGGGCGTGTTGAGCGTTGCCGCTGGAAAGTCAGCTTACTTTTTCGACCCCGTTCAACCTGGTCGACTGATGAAGAAAGCGGACTTCTCATACGAACTTGCTAGTGTTGCTGTAAATAAGGCTACGAACCGGTTCGTCACCGGAAGCACGGGTGATACCTGGGCGCGCGTTTACGATCTCGAAACGGATGAAGAGCTAGGTATTTATATTCACACTCCGCCCCCCGCTATGGAGGTATTAGTTCTATACCGCTGTGCAGGTTTACTGATATATCTTTAGAGGTTCAACGAGGCCACCACGGCCCTATCTGGTCACTTAGCTACTCCCCAGACGGAAAGATTTACGGTACAGGAAGCGAGGATGGAACTATCAAATTATGGAAAGCATGTAGAGAGCCATATGGTCTATGGAGATAGGGATGGGAATTTAATGCATAAAATTTGCAGGTCAAAGGATCATGTAGGAAGAACCCCTTAAAGGTGGTTGGTTAGCCATGTAGGGTTACTTATGGAGAAACGGGGGTGGTTCTTGTTACCTTCAAAATAACAATACCACCCTTCATCTACATTTCTATTATTGACTTGTTTCTAATGATACTGTCTCTGCATATATTGGGATAAGAGCTTGCTTTCTCGTGGTGAGTTACGGCATACTTGTTCGTGAGTTAGTTGGAGAAAGAAACACAGGCATAGCTCTTATCAATTTAGATGTTTTCCTGTTATCTGGTTCCTATTGCTATCAAAGGTCAAAGTTGATATCTCATACAAAGCGGAGAGTAGTAAAAATATGCCGAACATCTGTCACAGTGTTATGCAACTCACAATTGCGGCCCGGGAATAGATTCAGTCTTTATATTTCCATAGCCGTACAAGCCGCCAAGTAACCCCCAAACAGCACGCCTATTCAATCATGTCAATGTCCTCCTCAGCACCAGCCGCAGGAGCGGGAGCAGGTTGGCTAGGCTGAGCGGCTTGGTTGGCATCGGTAGCTGCAGCAGTAGTAGTGCCAGCGTCGGCACCCGTAGCAGCTTCAGCTCCAGTATTCGCCTTCCCCCAATAATCTTCCATCTCCTGATCCAACTCTTCCTGCGTCTTTTTCGTTCTTCCTGTTCCACGAGTTCGGCTATCGTTGCCTTCTCTAGCCTCTCTACCGCCGCGACGGCCTCTGTTTCTCCCAGAGTCATGTTTCCGTATCGGCGATCGTTGACCGGGTACATAGCGATCGATGTTCTCTGGCGGTGCAAGGTTGGTATTGTTCCGCCTGCTCCGTCGTCCACCGTTAGCGTCTGCGTCTGGGCTGAGACTGCGGCTGTCTCTGCCTCGTGGCCTTTCGGCACGATCGAATAGGCTACCCTTTGGCAACTCGGCGGAGTCGAATGGGTTGCGGCGTCTAGGGCCGGCGTTAGACGTGACTAGGGAGAGACGGATTGGTTGACCCTTGGCGTTTGCGCCGTCGAATTCTTGGATAGCGGTCTGCGCATCGGACAGTCGTTTGTATGTGACGAATGCAATGCCTTCGGAACGACCGGCTCGGTCATAGAGTAGAGAGACGGAATTGACTGGTCCAATGCGGGTGAACAGCTCCTATACGGACTGGAGTTAGGATTTTGGGTGCTTGAAGCGTGGTTGGATTGAATAATAGTCGAACCTCGAGATCTTCTTGAGTCAAGTCATAGTGAATATTGTTTACTCGAACTTTTGACCCACGTGAATCGCTGAGTTCATTATAGGTTAGCGATGAAGCTTATATGCACGAGAGAAAGCACATACTGGTCGACAACGGGGCCAGAGTTGTATCGGTCGGTGCGAGGTTGTCGTGGGGGTCGGGAAGAGCGTGCTAGAATGCCAATGTTAGTATCTTACCCCAAAGAATAAGTAGAGGTAGAGACTGACTATCTCTATCATCTTCAAACCTGTCATGAACCCAATCACTACCAATAACGAAACAGCCTGTTAGTCTTGAACGCCTAGACGATTCCAAGCTCCGAAGAATGTAGTGTTGGAACCCTCTCCATCTTCCATATTTAGTACTCACAGGTCCAAATCTGCACGGTCTCCTCTGGAAGGCTGTTGTTACTCAGAGGAAAAGGACAAAGGTTAGCCGAAGGTCAGTCAGATCTAGTTGATATGGCCTTGTGTATCATATCGGAGAAGTGTAATTCTTCTTTCTGCTGGAATAGAGGCAGGAGCGTGAAATGCGCCGAAGCGCGGCCTGGGAGAGCAAGACGTGCTTCGGCGCATCCCACGCCTTGAGCCACACGGTACGGCTTTGCAGGTAGCTAAGGCAGCGATGGGAGGAAGAGGATGAGGACCTATATATATCAACAGGACCGCCAGGTTAGTGTCAAACGGCTTCCGGAGCGGGATCTTGTATGTCCATGTATATAATTGAACCGACCTTCTGAGAGTCGCGGTAGTTATTCCTTCGGGGGCGGCTATTCGCCATCCGGTCTCGAGGGCGAGAGGTATTCTACATAGCAAACGTCAATACATGTCTCTTCATTGCCATCGCTGCCTTAAGGCTCGAGGATGGACGTAGAAACTCACAGGGCGTTCAGCTATGATCTCATCCAAGCTCTGGTCCATCTTTGGAGCAATCGGGCTGTATCTTTTCTCGTTCAACTCGGATATTGTGCAATGAGGATGCAGACGCAGAGGCCGACAGGGTATATAGTGTCTACTCGTCTTCAATGCTCCAGCAGTGAATCTTCAGACCGAGCAAAGGTGTGTTTTTGTCCGTACTCTCTTGACCCTGAACTGAAGCCTTATCACGGCCTGCTCGAAATTAGTGAGCTTAGTCATCATATTCAACACGTGATCACTAACATCGGAATTTTCTGGGAGAGCAAACTTCTTCTGGCCTTTTTTCCTCCCTGTATAGCAGATAGCAGCTACGACAGCCAGCATTTCCAACCCATTGGCTGATTAAAGGCATATAAAGTCGCAGCGAGGGCTCAGCTGTTTTGTTTGCTGAACCCTCTATCATTTTTCCGTGTCTTTATACCGTCTTTTTGACCTCTCACAATGCCTCCACGATTAGGAAACGCACAACGGCTCCTCAGCTCTCAGCGCCAGATTACTTCCTCTCAATCTCCTTTAATATATAACTCATCGACCGCCCTCTCTTCGTCGTCTATATCCTCGCCATGTCGGTCTCTCCCTCAATCGCGTGCGTTCAGTTCCACACCCAGAGTCCAGGCTGGCCCGAGTCTTCGTCAGGAACTGATCTGGTGGTTAAAGGGACCTGGCTCGGTGTTCAGGAACCCTCTGCCCGGAAGCACAAACTATGTCAGCGCCTATGATGATAAGGGAGTTTTACGACGTGAGAGACATAGGCGGTTCGAAGGTGAGGATGCCGAGGAAAAGAACGAGGGCGAGAACGAGGACGAAGATATTAGCGCGGAGCGGATGGAAGATCTTAGGCCATTCCCTCTCAATCAGACCTTTCATAGTCAGAGTGTGTTGAGTGAAGAGTTGCGGAACGAGATCTACGAGCAGGTTGTTACTAAGGGAAACAGCGTTCGGCATGTCAGTGTGTCGTTTGGGATTGATATGAGGCGTATTGGAGCAGTGGTGAGGTTGGTTGAGTTGGAGAAGAGGATGAGGAGCGAGGTATGTTATATTCCCCGTTGGCGTTTATACCATATACCCTAAAAAAAAAAGAAGCGTGCATCGCTATCTTCTTTCTATGATGAGTAAATTTTTCGATTAGTCTTGATGACTCCCCTGGGAGAATGCTTAAGTCAATTTAAAATTATATCTCTCTGAGAAAGAAAAGATGTACGCAGTCTCCTGCAATACGCTACTTGATCAAAGTCACACACCACCCTTCAATTGAATCAGAAGACTGACCTGGATGCAGAAAAAACCCCTCGCATTACCATATGCCCGTGCAATCCATCAAATGGTCCCACTCACACCACTTGCCGAAAAGGGGGAGCTGCAACGTCGTCATGAGCCGATCAATGATCTCCCAGTTCACAAACTCACCGACCCTCAAATATTCTACCCAGTATCTGAATCCCGCAGGTTCACTCGCGTTGACGCTGCACGAGTATTCTCAGCAGCACCCGAAGTCACTGAGGACAAACGCGACGTGCCCGGAAACACACCCGAGGCCATCGCCAAGATAACGCAGGCCCCTCACAACATAGAGAGGGTCGGCAAAGGAGCGAACGAGCAGCAAGTTCTTCAGCCGGCGGATGTTCGAATCCCCCATCCTCATCTCGTTGCATTTGAGCACGACGTGATCGAGTTTCCTAGCGAGACCCGTAAGCGCAGCCAGCGTTACAATGACCGTCTAAAGGCCGAGATGGAGAAAGAGACCCTCCGCAAGGAGAAGAAAAAGGCCCGAGAAGCCGCTCAGTTAACCCGGGTTCAGCCTGAGAATGGCCGCTTTGAGTTCCGGTTCCGAGACGTCGTTGTTAGCCGCGAGACTACCGGGCTGGACGGCCGTGGTGTGAAGGGTGTTGGCCGACGGTACGGCGTGCCTCACGCAGACAGGAGGAGAGGAGAGGTCAAGATCCCGACCAAAGTGGAGGTTTAATGTATTACTATACCACTGTTCTGTTTCCCTTTTGCATTCCTTTTGGCTGTATACTAGGAGCCTGCCCACTGTACAATATATATGTCCATTAGCGGAATAAACGATCTTGGCCATTCCCTTGACTCCTTAAAACAGCGTCCGTATCTCTCTACCAGCGTAAGATACAATACTTTTTTACATACGTCCATACATCCATACGTCCATACGTACAATACTTCCATACATACGGAGTACGAACTGCAGCTTGCATAAATACAGGCTGCATACCATCTTTGCATACGAGCGTGCAACAGGAAAATCACCCAGGTATCCAAGCAAAGGATGCTCGCTTCTTCTCGAAGGCGGCCTTGGCGGGCGGGTTACATCGCAGGTCACGGAAAAGCCTTGGCACTCCTTCTTCAGGCCCCGGCGCCAAGCCCCAGATACCACCCGCTTGGCACGTCTTGGCAGCCCGCCTTCCTCCTGATTTTCCCGCCGTGTCACGGCTGCTTTTGGCCATCGCGGGCCTGCAGTTGGCTGACTTATGCTTATGCTCGCGGGGCGTACATGCTGCACCGTCAATCATTCTTTCGTTTCTTCTTCATGCATCGCCCCGATCTGGTCGTGGTTCGTACCGATTGGGCGCGTCGAGACTCCTTTCTTTCTCTCCCGGCTCGTCCGTAACAAGGCGTGTGGGCGGTCGCCTGCAAAGTCCTGCGCGCCGACTATATCTGACCATGTCGTGCCATGCCAATACTCCGCGGTGTTGCGCATTCTTGCGCACTCTTGGTATCGATAGTAGGCGCTGCACTGCCTCCTGCGTCGCACGTCGATGATGAGCGACAAACGAAGCCCGCCCAGAGAGCCAAGATGAGAGAAGAGGGAGATCATACTTACCTAGTGTAGATCATGGATCTTGATATGTTTGGTTTCATGCGACCGACCTTAAAAAAAAAAGGGTAGGAAGAAGAAAAGAAAAAAACAAGCCTCGTTTCATTCATCTCGCAGCGAGCGAACGAGCGAACGAGAGAGAGAAAGAATAAAAAAGGGGAGGCCAAGGTATCAGCGAAAAGAAAAAAAACAAGAACAGATAATCCAGTTCATTCGGATACACAGACAAGACCTTTCTACCCCCTATCCTATATCCGCTTCTTCGTTCTTCAGCCTTCTTGGCCCGCTGGGCCATCTGACAAGGCAAACGAGACCTGAGAGGTTTATCCATACCCCAGATCCATACACCTACATACCTTACATGCATCCATAACCCATACACATGTCCACAGACAGGCATACGCAAATGACCTCTTTCATGTGTTCATTCAGATCATCAGCCTCTCTGAGACGTGGATACCTTGGCCAGTCTTAAATTTCATTTTTTATTTCATCCATCTCTTCCCTTCATGCTGTTGCGAGAACGAACGCCCTTGGCATGGCGTATGGCTTACGTAGCTGGATCTCGGCGACGAGACGGGTTCGATGGGCGTGAAATTTGATACCCTGTGCTCCCGTCTGGGTGCTGTATTTGACACGATCGGCTCTTCATCATCAGCTCGCCAATGTTTTCAGCAGGGTGCGATTGGTCCGCTCTTGGCGCCGACGGCGGAGGGACATATAGTATGAGTTGGCATTGCGGCAGGTATTGGTGGCATTGCACAAATATGAGACGGAGGATGGATGCATAACTTACGCGCCGAAGAGAGTCGATGTGTTCGGAAATGACCGGCAAAGTCAAGAGGTGAGGCTGATTCAGTAAGAGGCTGGGCTGGATTAGGCTGGCTGGATGGTCTGGGTTGGCTGGTCTGGTCTGTTGGCTATGGGTGGCTTGTTGGCTGGTTGTGAACTGGTCCGCGACGAGATGAAGGGAACCGTAAATAGCTGGCCAGCAGACATACACCGCCAAGAGGTGATATCTGGACAAGTGATCAAGCTGACCTGGCAGCATGTAAGACACAGAGACGGATGTTCCGAGTTATATGTTTCGAGGTAGTAGAAGAGCCGTTGCCAAGAGGGCGTAGGTTGTAGTGCGACGATGGAGATGGAAGATATCGAGATGCGAGGGTGATAGTTGGCCTGTTAAGGGCAGGCATTGCACAGTTCATAGGGGCACGAGGGTTGCCAGGGGAAGAGACGCCACTGATCATATCAGAGCACATATCGAGTACAACACTATGCAGTGTACAGGCAAAGTCATGTAGCCAATGGTAATGTATCTCATTCAATGCCTCGCAGCAGTAGCTTAGTATAGCAGTTGACCAGAAACAAGCCCGTGTATAGAAAGGAAAGACAGCATTATCGTAAGGAAAGGCAACAAGTATAGTAGTGGTGGTGGTAGTAACCCAACAATCAATCCATTGACGTTAATATTAAAACAAGACACAAACATTAATCCTAAACAGACAGGTTTTTCAAAGGTTTTGTTATCAAAAGTGTGTTTTTTTTTTTCAAGTCACCATACCATGTAATCGCAATCAAACAATCAGCTAGACACGGAGGACAGGAAAAGAAAGAGAAGTAAAGAGAAAAAGGAAACGAGAGAACTCTCAACCCTCGCTCGGGGAGAGTATATTAAACAACGCCAGTTTAGAAGAACAATTTAGCAAGTTGGGATATTCACACAGAAACAAAAAGGCCAACCAACCGGTTAAAGCAAAAGGTGGAAAGTTCAAAGGTGGAAAAGGTAAGAAGGAAAGGAATTGGGGGCCGTTATTTATGTACGCTTGAAAAAGGAATGTTGATGATAGAAAGCCTCAGGGCAAGGGGAAAAGAGAAGGCAAAAGGACAATCTTTTCAGTGAGGATTAAAAGGGCTAGAGAAGGATGGAATGATGATGATGATAGGAAATTGGACCCCCGATGCAATCGTGATGAGCAAACATGAGCATAAACAGAAAGCCTCCCTTTGTATGTGTATGGTGAAGATAGGAAAAGTTGAGATAAAGGAAAAACGTATTCTTGATCGGGCGTGCAGTGGCAGCGCGATGATTAATAGCCATCACCCATATCAAAGCGGTACTGAGGCAGGTATTTCTTCTGAGGCGGGAAATGATGGTGAATCTTCTGCACAACCATCTTGCTGGCGAGTCGAGAACTTCCCTTGTTGGTGACATCAATGCCACCGCGTTCTTGAGACTCTACGCCTTTCTTGCCAGCCTCTGGTGAGCAGCATTCGACAGACTTCATGAAGCGATCGCCGATAACCTCGGCGATGGTGGCGCGTTTCGAAGGGTCGGGATGCAACATCTTCAAGAGAAGGGTCTTGAAGTTTCTGTTACCGATCTGCTTGAACGCGGGTCCGCAGGAAGGGAGTTTGTCGTCGCTTGGAACGCCGGTGGGCGAGGTGGCAAGGAACTTTTCCCAGCCGTTGATGAAGCGGGAATAGTTGGCGTGTTCGGCGTTGGCAGTGGGCCAGAGGTTGCCGCGGAAGTGGAGGGTGAGGTAGACGACGGCGCAGGACCAGACGTCGAGCGGACGAGGATCATAGCTTGCCTTTTTGGCCAGGACTTCGGGCGCGATGTATGGCAGGGAACCGCAGATACCGGGTGAAGAGAGACGAAGGTCGCCCATCTCCTTACCGCATTCGCCTCCGGAGCTGCGAAGGCCAGGGTGAAGACCAGAGAAGACCTCTGAGACGCCAAAGTCGGTTATCTTGATGTATCCGTCGTCTGAGAGGAGGAGGTTCTCAAGCTTGATGTCACGGTGGGCGATACCATTTTCGTGCAGGTGAGCGACACCACGAACGATCTGCTTGAAGAAACACTGGTTGTCCTTTGGAGTGAGATAGTTCTTCTGCACGAGCGAGAAGAGTTCGCCGTACGAGCAGTATTCCATGACATGGTTGTATCGCCCGTTGTGGGTGCAGAGACGGAAGGATTCGACGATGTTCGGGTGGTGGAGGGACTGGGCGATGGAGAACTCCGATTTCACTTTCTGCTCGTATTCGAGTTTGTCTTCCTTTGAGCCACATTTGCGGAACTCCTTGACTGCGAACAACTCGGATTTACTGCTTCCCTTGCGACACATAATCTTGACGGTTGCAGTGGCTCCACGGCCGATCTCTTTACCTCTCTTTCCGGGCATTTTGCTGCTGTTGGTGTACTCATCGCCAAGTAAACAGGTGCTGACGGAAAAGTCGTCGGGCAGGCTGGTGCTCATGCGGCGAGCCTTGAGGCCAGCGCCAGAGACTGCAGGGATAGAGAATCCGGGTCGCTCGGGCTGGTTTTGGACGTCACCTAGGCTTGGAGAGCGGATACGGGGGTCCTCGTCACGCTGGGGTCGAGGCGTGGCTCCGAACATGACCCTGCTTCGTTCACGGAGGCTGAGGCCGGTGGATGAGCGGTTAGGTCGTTTGGGAGCGAAGGGGCCCTCTGCGGCTGGCGAGACGCCGAGAAGCATGGGGTTCTGGCCTCCATGGAGAGTGCTGGATGGAGAAGAAGGCGACTGGGGAGAATTCGAGCGAGAAGAAGTTGGAGAGTGTTGGTTTGTGGAGGAGACGGATCCCTTGCGGTTGGACGGCTGGAAGAGATTGAGAGATAGTTTTCGAGGGTCCGAGCCGCTGATCGGGGTTGGTGGTGGCGCCATGGCTTCGGAGGAAGTACTTGGGCGTCTAAACATACCCTTGATGGATTTGGATGCCTTTCTCAGCGGGGAAGAACGCTGTGAATTCGAGGCTGAAGTGGTAGGACGCTGCTGAGGAATTGGAACTGGAGCAGTCTGAGCAGAAGAAGTAGTAGGGGGAGAAATAGGAACCGCCGCAGTGGAAGGTTTGGCGGGCGTTGATGGGGGCGTGGGTTCGGTATTTACGATGATCGGCCTCTTGAGCACCTCGACAGGGTTGGCGTGGACGTCGACGACCGGATCTCTGCTGGGCGGGTCGATGCGAGGATGATGGCTGTGGAAGGGGTGATGTGAGACGCTGGTCGGGGTGACCGGCTCGGAGGGCTCGGTGGCAGACTCTTCTTCTTCTTCGTGGATGACCTCTGGCAGGTCTGAGCCGCGAATACTCTCCGGCAGGTCGATCGTGGGCCGTGCTGGAGTTTTTACCTCGAGGGCCGGAGCAGGGTGTTTAACTTCTTCCTCCTGGTGCTGCTGCTGCTGCTGCTGCTGCTGCGGCTGTGGCTGCTCGTTTTTATCAGTCTGGCTTTGGCTGGGCCAGGGCGAAAGGTTGACGACAGCGGTGGTGGCCATGATCGTCGAGGGTGCTGGGATGAGCCCTGCTGGAGGTGGTGATCGAACAGGAACGTGAACTGTCTACACCGAGTTATGCTCAGATAAGTTTTTCACTCCCTTGCAATCTTCCTTGCAATCTTTGCTGTTGATATGGCCAATTGTGGTCTTGTTGCTGATGCCTTGACGTCTTTGTGATGTCTGGTGATGATGACTTTGGTGTCTTGATGATGGTGTCTTTGATGATGGATGGAGTTGATGAGGCTAATCTCTCTGGAGCGAGCTGAAGCGGCCAGACGGAGCGTGTAGGAGACGCAGAGCCGAAGCAGAGACTGGACGTGGAAAGAAACTGGGACCGGATAGCGAACCCATCAGACAAAGGCCAGATGCATGTGGTTGACGGCAGTAGGACAATGATGGTGTGGACAGTGATGACTAGAGTCAAGTGTCAAGTGTGAGAGTGAGGTGAGGAGAGGAGAGTCTTGAAGAGAGAGAAGAAGAAGAAGAAGAGGAGGAGGAGGACGTCTAAAGAAGAAGAGGGAGGAGTATAAACGGAAGAAGCAGAAGGGGGGAGGGCCAAGCAAGCAAAATCTTTGTATCGCCCGTACCGAAGAGCCCCGTATGCAAAAAACCGCCGTACTACCCCGTACTGCAAATATGGACGATACGCCCATAAAACAGCATAAAACAGCAAGTATACGCCCAGCACACACCAAGAAAAGCCGAGGCACGGCAAGAAAGTGCCTTGCCGGTGTATGGCCCGTACGTGGGGACGCCTTGAGTTGATACCGTATCGAAACCGACCAGCCGGAAGAAGAAGAAAAAAACAGCAGCAAAAAAAAGAAACGGGCTAAGTTTTGGGTGGAAAATCCTCCACACTTGAAAAACAAATACCGCGGGCAGACGGCGAGTGATGTCATATACGTACGGTACGATGATACGGTGATATGACACGACACGACGATGACACGACGAGATGATGGTGAGATGATGATATAGAGATGGGATGTTAGTGAGATAGGGGATAGGGGAGAGGTAGGGATAGGTGAGTGTGAGAGATAAGGGTGAGTGGTGGTATAGGGAATGGTTGACTCTTTCTTTTTAAAAGCTCGTATATACAGTTGACTGTTTACGGAGAGCTCAACTGCCGTCAATCGCTGAAAAAGAAACCACCAGAGCCAGCACAGCATCATCAGAAATATGTGTCTGTTGTTGTCGCCAGCCAAGCCTGTAACGGCCACATCGCCAGGCCCAGCAAATACTGCGACTGCCCAGTCTACATAGTCCTGCTTGGCTGAAGATCAGGAGTCGGCCACATCAATATCGATATCAACATCACATCACATCAGCATCAACCACAACTATCTTAACTACGAGATGGAGTGTTATGGAGTTATGGAGTATGGAGATGGTGGCTTTCGTGTTTTATAGGGCGATAGGCTTTGCCAACCCTGCCCATGTCGCGGAGGATAAGACAAACCATCCGCGCGGGCTTCTCGTTAGACCGCGAGGACTGCGTCTTGCGTGCTCGACGGGAACCGGTGCCGAAGGTTTATCCTCGAAACCCCTTCTGCCCCTTCTGGTATCCCGGGCCGTCTATACTACACCATTACTGCGTACAGCATGGTGGCTGTTTGCTGGGGTAACGAGGTCTGCCATGCGAGGCGACAGAGTTGGCACTAGAATGTAAAGCAAGGACGGGCGGCCTTGCTCTTCTATTCGACTTGTCGCGAATTTCCCAGCAGCCGCCGATTCCTGAACATAAAAATCGTGGAGGGGGGACGTCTATTGGGTCGCTGCAGGGAGGACGCTGATTCGGCGACGGGTTTGCTGGAGAACTCGCCCTGGTCCCTCGCCCTTCTTCCGGCTGTATCCTCGAGCACACAGACGCCCGTCAAAACACCCCGACTGGCTGGTCTACACCCTAGCACTATGGACATTCCGATATAGGGGATGGACATATCAACCTGGTATACGGAGGAGAGGACTCGGTATATGAGACGGGATAAGAGAGAGAAGAGAGGGTCGCGTGCTTGCTTCCTTCAATCGGCCACTGGACATGTTGCGATCAATTAACTAGCTAGCCGCCAGTTCCTTTCGAAATTCCCCAGCCGGCCAAGACAGAGGGAGATGAAAAAGACACTCGGGCCCAGTGACTGGCCGGGTTGGGATGCTTGTTACATACGTGCATGATGCATGCACCAAACATCAACACCAATCTACTGACTACAAGAAGACAATAAGAAGCACACAAGCAATACAATAAGAAGAAAGAAGAAAGACGAGGCGAGACAAGAAGAAAGAAGAAAAAGAAGAAGAATCCATGACAGAGGCACGGGACGCGGACAAGTCAATTGCAGTCAAGCTTCTGCATAGTCTCGTATTCAACGGGAAGCAGAGCAAAAGAAACTGCAGAGTTGCTTACTTTTCTCATCTCTCTGTTTGGCGTACCCTTTGACTCTCCTCCCCTTACTTCCCGACCGATAGACAGCCGCTGACACACGACAGCACCCAAAACAAGAAACAAGCTCGAACTAGGCGTCTCGGTAAGAAAGCGGCCTCTGCCAGCCCGAATTGCAATGCTTTTTTCTTTCTGGGGAACGTTGGACAAGAGGATCGCGATAAGCTCTTTCGGTGAGCTACCACACGGATAACTATGGATAGCTGCCTGCCGATACGAATGGGCTGCTGGCTGGCTGGCTGGCTGGTGGTGCTGCTCACAAGACCAACGACCGCTTCTACGTGCGTGCAGGTCGAATTTTTTTCAGCCCCGGCCGACAAAAGCACGCACTGACGGCCTAGTGCACTGCACTATTATTGGTAATATGTTGCGCACGCAGAAGGTTTCAGAACATGCATCCATGGCCATGCGGTGCCCGGAAAACGTCTCCAGCAAGGGGGCCCATCCATTCAGCGACCGCCATGTCAAGCGCAGAGGCGGAGAAATAATTAAATGGCGCATACCGAGTCCATCGATAGTGCTTAAGTATAGTCTCTTCTCACCCCTTAATCACCATGTCACTGCGAACGGCTGACGGGCTGGGCCGGCCACTTGATGGACAAGGCATGGAAGGGGGAGGGAGGGAAGCCTAGTCAGCACGGCATGGTTCGAGACATCAGCATCGCCTTGGTTACGGTGATTACTCTGCCGTGCAATCTGAAACGTAGGAGAGGTAAGGAGGTTTGGCTATTGTCGGCAACAAAGGCGTACGTATGTCGATATTTGCGGTGACTGGGGATAGCGAGAAAAACTTCCGACAAAGGGGATGATGGGACGTTGGGATGTCGGCCCGCTGCCTAATTCTACCTAATCCATCAACCTGAATACGTACCCTTTGCCCTGTCTGCCATCCGTTTGCCCTGGTTGTTGGCATGCCTGCTTCTACGCCCGAGGGATGATCGGAGGCGAGGACCTGTCCATCTCCATCATCGGTGAGCCATGACACCGACTCGACAACGGTCTCCATGGGCAGCATCCATAGCCATATGAACACATCATATAGGCCGGCCTATCAACGCCTGTGCGCCCGGCCGAAGCCAGCAGCATGGAAGCCATGGCTGCCATGGCTACCATGTACCACCTGTGCGACGGCCTTCACCTTGCCTATCCCTGTCTGCTAGACTACCGCCACTCCTGACATCGCTACCAGCCATGGATGAAGATGACCGGCAAGATAGGCAAAACACGTGATGTGGCGCTGGCCCCGAGACGATGGAAGATGACGCCAGTTTAGAGAGCAGATGCCATGAGCAGTGTGGATGGCTCCGATCTGGTTACCTTTGATGGAACTGTTGCAGTCGGGCGAGACGGACTCGGTGCTGCCGACATAGCAACCATGGACTACCAGAACCAAGAACATAAGAAGACAACCAAGAACCATGGACAACAAGACAACCAAGAGAACCAAGAGAAGAACATACAAGAGATGCATCCGAGGAGTTACAGCAAGAATTACAGCAAGAGTTACGCAGCAAAGAGTGAAGAGTGAAGAGCAAGATGTCCCATGGGGATACCCCAGCATCTTTCTTGCTTCTTCTTCGGTCTCCATCCGTCGCCGCTTTAGTAGTTACCCGTATTTAATTGCGTATCATGACTGTATCACTGCCATATCCTGTAAGTTATGTAAGATAACCCCGTAATGACCATACACGTAAGTTCCAGAAAGCTTCCCTGGATAGCGCGGAACCTTGGCCACACCCGCAGGTATTCTCCGGCCTGCCACAAGTACCTCCCCGCCTGCTCTACTATGGCAAGGTACATGGCAAGGGCGTGCTCAGAATATCGCCGATGAGGACGAGAACGTGCACGGTTTTAGCCCGATACGACAGGCCTCTTCGTAGGAAGTTGAAGTTGAAGAAGTTGAAGATGATGAAGAAGACGAAGTTGGTGGGAGATCTCATGTGCCAAGCACGCAGCATCGAGCACTTGCATATACCGATCGAGTGTTGTAGGCTTAGGCGTCCACGGCCGTTATACGTACGTTGGGAGATGAAGGGGCCGTGTAGGAGGTTAAATCGCGCAAGCGGCACAGTGAGCACAATAATAGTACTGATAAGACGACTACGCTGGACTGGACTGGACTGGATAAATTAAAAACCCGAGTCTCCCATGCTTCGACCATCCATCCGTGGCTAGCTGTCATGGGAGCCAGTCCCAAGCGTGCGAGGCGAGGGCCCGACCATTTAAATCAACAGCGCCAAACGCGGCATGCACAAAATTCCCCCCGGTTAAGGTTCTCCCTGGTCTCTTTTCTTTTCTCCGGCTTTCTCGCTATTTCATCCTATTCCAGACTAATGTATGGAGTATCCTATTTATATACCCTGCAGGTTACATAAGCATGTCATGCAGGGTGGAGAAGCTCGGACCCTGTGCTCCTTGCCCTTGCCCTTGCCCTTGCCCTAGCCGCTTTGGGACATCCGGTTGCCGCTATTAGTGGGGGTTGGTGCTGCTTTTGCGGAGGTGGGCAGGGGCTTTTCCGCGGACCGTGCGTCTCTCGTCCGAAAACAACAACAACAACATAACATGAACAACAACATGAACAACAAGAACAGCAACATGATATAAAGATATAAAGATACGGAGTATAAAGATATAGATGGAGGAAGACTTCGAGAGCAACGCAGATCTGGAGTCGAAAGTCTAATACCGCCTCTGCTTCCCGAGAGCGAAGTCGACCTATCGAGATGGCCAGGAAGAGCACGGCCTGGGGACGAAGGTCCGGGATGTCATCTGATACACACTCAACTAATGTTAGGGACCTACATACGCCCCCGTAATCAGCCGCCCTAGCAGTGTCGACAGGAAATAGATTCGATTACTTGATGTCAACTCCGTTCGAGCGACTTGCTGGCGCCTGGCACCGCGCAGGCAGGCAGGATGGTGGCTTATACAGCTGACCCTCGTGTCGAAGGAAGCGAGTGGCGATGACGATGGCGACAGCCCCTTCCAAGTGTACGCAGTATACATTACCTGCTTTCAGCCTGGGCTATATATATCGTTCAGGATGTAGGACGCCGTCAACGGCAAACAGGTACTCCGTATGTATCTGAAAGTTCAGCCGATGACCGCTATGACTAGAGGGAGGAGATGAGACAGCGTCAAGCTCGCCTCAGTTCAATGCATGCATCCCACGGACGGATGCTTAATTCTGGCTCTGTCGCATAGCTCGGCTCGTCGATAGATTGGACCTGGCCTGACCTTGCTGGCTGCTGGCTGCTGGTTGCTGGTTGCTGACATCTGCATTGTTCCATGCATGTCGGTGGCCGTTGGGCAGAGCTATCCGGCCTTATCCTGCCCTGCGGTGCCCTGCTGTGCCTGCTCTACCTTGAGGCCATGTCATGGACGTGGCTCGTTTGGGCGATGATGTGCCGCATCTAGATGGTTATGTCCTACGCTCGACGGTAACTTTCAAAGTTATGTGCACATATACGAGCATGTACAAACAGGGAAATACGAGATTTTGCTCAAAAAATGTCAAAATTTGCGAACACCCATACCGTCAACTATACATGTAAGAATACCAGCTGGTTCTGTATAGATGACGGTATATTGGATAATATAAACAAATAGATCGCGGGGGGAGGGACAAGGCAACAGAGCAGGAGGGAGGGGGATCATTATTCACTCATATGGAGAATGAGTATATCCAGTAGAAACATCCCTTTCCTTCCACGTTTCTCGACACGACCTAACCACGTCTGACCTTCTCTCGAGCCGCCTGAGGTTGTTTCAAGTTCAGTGCTTCTCCTCGAGCAGCTCAATTGCACGTTCACGGAGCTTGAACTTCTGTATCTTGCCACTAGCGGTCTTCGGGAAGTCTGTGCCATCGATGTAGAAAATATATTTGGGAACTGCCGAGAGGGAAGTGATCGTCGTTAGCGTCAGCGGCAAAGCACCAGAGCGGCCCATACTGAAATGCAGGTGGGAATATGGAAAAACGGGAAAGAAGGGGGAGAGGGAAAAGGAAAGTATAATGGGGAAATTCTCCGGGGAACTGGGCTTGAAGAATGAAACAGAAAGGCAAAAAAGAGACTGTGATGGGCATGGGCATGGACGTTGGGATGGTGACAGCTTCAGCCCAGTCAAGGGCACGGATTACTCCGTTATCTGCGCCGGGTTGACAGCCGAATGGGCAACGATGGGCGAGGGAACATTAACTCAAAGAGACCAGAGACGGGCCCTGTGTACAAGCATTCAAGCGAGTAGGACGCTAGAGATGGGCTGTACAAGGGCAGCTTGCACTTGTTTTACCACTCTCGTGGACTCCACATGGATCACATGGAGGCTTGCTTGAGGGTTGCACGGCCATGTTGCGAGGGTGGTGTGGGATATCGGTATAAATGACAGCGAAACAATTGGACGCTGCTGGACCGCGCTAACGTCGTTGGCCGTGGGCGACTTTATCAAGGTAATCAATCGCGGATATGTGATCACCACCCGCGGCCATGGGGTGTAAAGTATGAAAAAAAAAAAATAGAAAAAAACAAGGATAAACATGAAACGCTGTCCGTGATAAGGGTCGGGCAGAAGCGAGCTTCACAGGGACAGATAGATTAAGGTAGGACAAAATGCCGAAAGGTCAGGAATAGGAAAAAAAGAAACATGGCTGTTTAACGTGTCGATGGGAGAATAACCTCAAATAAGCAAAACCAAGCATTGCCAGGGATGCCTTGGCGGGTGTTGATCCAAAAGGAAATATAAGGGAAGTAGATATGGGCCACGCAAGACACGGCAACCATCCCATAGAACTGGGACAGTATTTTGCAAAGAAGATCAAGGACGAGCTCCGGGTATGGATGTTGGATGTTGAATATGTTCTAGCTCACTTACCTAGATGATGGCTAAGCTTCTCCCGGACCCAGCTTCTAATCTCGTCGGAAGTCACCCTGACTCCTCCTTCTTCATGTGCAACCACGAAGGCAGCAACGGCCTCTCCGTATCGCGCGTCGGGCACGCCTAGCACGGATACGTTGGATACGCCGGGGTGTGCGAGCAGGCAGTTCTCTATCTCGAGGGGGTGAATGTTCTCACCCCCACGGATGATCAGGTCTTTTATGCGTCCAGTGATTGTGATATACCCATCGGCCGACATCGAGGCTTCGTCGCCGGTCTTGTGAACGAGCATGTTAGAAAGCCGTAGGGTGTAGGATGCAGGGGCAAAAGGAAAAGCAGGTAAAGGAAAAACAACGGGCACTCACATGCATCCATATCTTTCCTTCTGAGTCGGGTATCATCACGGCTGCTGTTTTCTCTGGCGCGCCCCAATATCCCTTCATCACAAGGTATCCGCTGACGGTCAATTCGCCTTTCTCACCGAGAGGGAGGATTCGGCTGTGGTCCAGGGGGTCGACGACCCTCGCTTCGACGTGTGGCAGCAACTTACCTACGGTGTTTAGCCGTTTCTCGATAGGGTCGTCTGTAGCTGTCATTGTAGAGACAGGACTCGTCTCTGTCATGCCATAGCATATCGTAAGCTCTGTCAGGTTAAGTGTCTTGTGTAGTTTCTTCATTAGTTCTGCCGGAACACTGCTCCCAGCTGCAATTCCGGTGCGTAGATGCTGGAACCCTTCGTACGGCACCACGCCGTCCGCCAGGAGCTCAAGCTCCTCTATGAACATCGTTGGCACACCGTATAGTGCCGTACACTTCTCTTCCTGCACCGCTTTCAACGTTGCAACTGCGTTGAAAGATTCGGCTGGGAATACGATAGCTGATCCATGAGTAGCTGTTGCCATATATCCCAATATACATCCAAAACAATGGAAAAGCGGCGGAGGACAGCATACGATGTCGTTGGGCGTGAGTAGCATTCTGTCTCCGATTTGCACCCCGTTATTCAGAATCGATCGGTGACTCAAACATGCAGCTTTAGGCATCGACGTTGTCCCAGATGTGAATTGAATATTTACAACATCGTTAGGAGAAAGTCCCTGGTCGGGCAATGCCTTCATATCCTGCGAGAGTTCTGAATATATCGAGGTATATGGCGTGACGCATTTCAAGGAGGAAGTATCAACTCGTCCGTCATCGTTCTGAACTAATATTATTTGTTTGAGGGACTGGACGCCGGGAGATTCAACCTTTATGGACTCGAAATTCGGGACAATCTGCTGGAGCAAAGGAATGTTGGATCGAGGGTCCCGTCGTGGTAGGTTCACTTCCGTACTTATAATCAAATGCGTGGCTTCCAAGTGACTGAGGGCAGAAACGACTTGGTTGAAATTGAACGAGGGATTGAGAGGAACCTGATCAATGTACCAGTTAGCAATTCCACGTCGTTAACAGTCAGACTGGGAATTTCTTATGCTCACCAGAACCGCTCCCAGTTTGAATAGAGCGTATGTTGTCTGCCAAACGCCCCGTCAGCTCAACTCACTCCGCCAGCTTCACCGTGGCTATATTCTTACAATTGCATATTCCATGCCATTCCCCAACGAAACGGCTACCCTGTCACCCTTCCTGACACCGGTAGCTGCCAACCCGCGAGCCAGGGAGTTACTCCTCTTATCCAATTCTTCATATGTGACTCGCTGATTCTGGTGCCTAGAGATAACACTGTCCGATTCCAAGCCAGTTAGACCGCCATCGCCGAGTAACAGGGAATGCTGAGTATAGGTCTAACGCAGTTCTCTCTCCATGTTTCTTCACGGTATTTGCAAAGTAATCGCCGACTGTCTGCTCGAATAACGGAGGCTAATAGCACACTGTGGTTAGCTGAAGCTCGACGACGGCAGAGAAACAAGTCACCAACCTCCGACGGACCTCGAGCGTAACTCTGACCCGATGAATTACGACTCTGCAACACCCCCAACGGGCTTCGACAGCTCCATCTCGTTCTCTGTAGGCTGGCGATGCGCCTAGAGAGCTGCCATGGAAGTGTTGTTCCCCGCATAACTGCAGAGACGGACGACCGGAGCTCGAATAACCAACGTCGACCGGATATCGCCCTCCACGCTCACGCAGACGCTAACAAAAGGAACGAATATACAAAAAAGCCACCACTACCTCTATCTCATGATGTCGTCTCAACAGAACTGGAGCTGGGGAAACACGAATGTTTGTCGGCGTGGGCGGTTTGGCCCGTTATTTAGGGACTCGGCGCTGAGCCCCGAAGCATAGCCGAAGTATGGGGAAGCCTTTTAGCCTTGGTACCTACATTTTCACATGGAACCCCTGAAGGCAATAATGGAATATGCAATATTCAATATAACACTGTTTGGATTTAATCTACATCTCAGGACCTCAATCATCGCGTAGTTCGCACCTGCACCCATTTCGATGGAAGTCCTTTCTGGGGTTTTTGGCAGTTGAAGAAAAGTACCTCTCTAGTATCCAGTTAGAGCTTGCTTGTCGAATGGGCTGCGTAGAACTTCCTTCTCATCTCAATCTTCAGTCTTCTGGCGTTAGCTCGAGTTTTACCTGATGTTCACGCTTGTCGAGTCCACACTGGCATAGCATAGACGAATGGCCGATGTTATAGCTCACAGTAATCTCCTGCATCGGTTCAATGCGCATGGTTGTGACAACCGCCACAGCGAAACGGTCGTTATATACACTCGGCACGAATTTGGCATTGGCTTTGCAGGAGTGATTCAGGAAACGTGTCCAGTTCCCGTTAGTGCTGGTATCAATAAACGAGAAGTAGGTGTCTTCGAAATTTGAATCCGGAGGCACCAGTTGATCGCCCTGAACTATGTCGAGCTTAACTCCCTTCTCGATCCTGACGAGGGAGCGGACGCCAATTCCACGCTCATCGCTACACTCCATTAACTGAAAGAATGAAGGATTTATATCATCTCCTTTCCCCTCCTCTGCCGCTTTGCACCGTTCCAAATATCTGCACCAGCACACGTTGGGCGGTTTCTGACACGATTGACACATTCCTCCAATGCGAGCGTCTGTGATATCCGGTGTGTTGAGTTCCCCCTGAGGCCAATCAGCCAGGTTAAACCGACAAACAATGCTGATAAGAGACGCGTTTGGTCTGCGACTCTTCCATTGGTAAATCTCACCTGTGCTGTCGTTGACAACAACACTATGGAGGTGGTAGGTTGTCAATGGCTGGCCATCAAGGTATGCTGAGGATAATGTCACTGTAAGTTCCCCGGCCTGTGATATAATTGGCCACGTATAGTCCAAACCTATGCCTTGAGCGAACGTTTTGATGCTGGTACGGTAGTGCTGAAGGTCTGCCACTAACCTATCCCAGAGCTTCGGTTCGAGCTTCACCAGCATATCCCTGAATGCCCTTGCGTGCACTATGATTAACATATATTCAAGGTCTATGATCTTGCCGTAGAGGGCATACCACCTATTGCGCATTAATAGTTTGGCATTGTTCCAGGGGTCAGAGGCGCTGCCACAGGTGGTAAGTTGTGCCTCGTGCATACTCTGTGACGTTGCCGATATTGATGGATCCCGACTCCTGACGTTATTAACTATGGGGAGAAGGATGTCGATAAGGAGGTTCATCCTGCGGTGCTGTAGGTCGTCACAGTCGAGTTGATAAAAAGACGACCCACCAGCATTCTTTGCCTGCTGCATGGAGACAGTGTTCACTAGATCCTTATAAACCCCGGAAAGGAGATATTTCGTAACATCTATACCAGTCTGATCATCTGGTACCCCCCACTTGGAAAGCTGGCTTTCGTAAACACGAGGCTCATCAAGCTTCTTGAGTCTCTTTATGACGGCTAACGCCTTCAGTTCGTCATATTTTGCCCGTTTTGACATTCTAAGCACAGATCAAACTTTAGTAAGTTTGAATCTTGTAGACTGGTTGCACTGACCAGGACACCAGATAAGTAGATAGAGCGGGTGGAAGTATATAGAGAGGAAGCGTACCTCCGGTTTGAATGTCTTTATAGGGAGACCCAGCGTTTCTTGTTCAGACAATAGAGGGATAAAGTCAATGCAATCGAGTTATGATGAAGCAAGTCAGGAGAGCAATATCGCAGTATTCGATTTCTGGTTGAGCCCAGAGTGGGGAATGTGATGTTGCTTTTAGCTGACAGCGAAGTGAAAGGAGTTTGAGAGGCGAGACTCGCAGGTGAGAATATGAAAAGTCCACAGAGGGAATGAGAAGGTTTTATTTTAAGAACCTGTTGAAAATATGAAGTTCTTTTCAAGTAAGCCAAAGGGCCTTTCTTGCCCACTGTATGTTGGCTGAAGTGCGTCCTCTTGTAGGTGAAGAGGGACGCAAAAATGAAGGTGCTTAACTGAAAAAGCTAAGCAGAAGCTGGTAACTCGGGTAACAAGATGATATGATCTTGATGGAGGCCTGATATAACTTCTGACCAGTAGTAGGGGTTGCATAGCGTAACTTTCCGGTTGGAGTTTTGCCTGGGAAAAAGGGCCATAGTATCATAATCTACTTTCATGAGATATTATGGTATTAACCTGCAGATAGCCACACGCTTAACTAGTGTTATAGCTAGTTAGTCGTAGGCCATGGACTGGTAGAATGGAGTTGGATATCTAGCCTTGACGGTGTATCTAAAGATGTACAGAGTAGAGGTTGGAGATGATGACGAATGCGAAGTGGCTTCCCCGTGACCTGGATCTATAAACGTCTGCCAAACCCTCGTTCGCAGCTTCAACCTCTAAGCTCACCACCAGCAGGCGGCAGGCAAACCGATCATGGTCCCGGAGATATCAGAGGAGGCGATTGAGGCATTCGTGTCGTTCACGAGTGCCTCGAAAGAACAGGCAGTCGCTTTTCTCCAGGTATGTGCTGCTACCTGACTTCCAGACAACAAGATCCCCTCCATCTGCTACGCTTGAGATACACCTGCTAACGGCTTCATGCTACGAATTACAGCACAACAACGGCGATTCCCAGAGAGCTATCAATGCGTATTTTGAAAACCCGGACGACCCTTTCCCACAGGTAAGCGGATGCCAGCTTCTCACCACCGACGCGCACACCAGACACCTCCCCTAACAGCGCATCGATACGACCAGGAACCTGTTACCGAGATCAAGACTCACGACTACCAAGGCCCGGGACCCCAGAGTAAGCATGCGCCATCCTCGACCAGCGATCGAAGCTATAATGGACACTTATTTACCCCACTAGAATCCATTTTTTCTGACTTGTTGTTCGAGGATCGTTTGATATCGAGTGTATAGATACCGGTTATGGAGCTGCCCCGTCCCGTCCGCCCTCGCGAGTCGGGATCCGCGAGAAGAAACAGGTGGAGTCGACTACTCAGACAGCGAATATACTGGGAGACCCGAGTTATTGTGAGCTTCTATAACTATCCTCTTTACATGCCTTGGCTTACGGGAGGGTTGGAGTAGCGGATAACCTAGAGGGGTTTACGTTGGCGCAACGTGAAGAACATGAGATGCAACATGCGATGGCCGCATCACTGGGCCATGATCTGTCTACCGCCGGTCAGGAATCCGGTGTGGTCACTTCGGAAGGCTCCAAACTTGGACCTGCAAATCGCGACCACTACGAGGCACAGTCGTGGGCCCTGACGCTACATGGCGCTACGTCGCGGGAGATATGCTTGGATCCGGACCCAGAGCTACGGAAGAGAGCTGATGATATACCTGTCTTCCTCCGACCCAGCGTGGATGGAGATTACCTTCCCTCCTTTTTAACTATTCTCCACGCTATCCCGTTAGCCAGGGAAGAGCTCTTATGGAGGGATAGAGTATTATCCGATTATGGGCATGACAGCCAATGGTGGAATGGACAGCCGATATTGAACGCCAGTGATCAAGTGGATGTATCACAGGAGACAGAGACACCACTAGAGGATACCATTCACGAGACTCAACGGTTGATGGCTCTCCTTGACCGCACCCATCGAGCGTTTGGAAATGCGGATGTTTTGGCTGATATGAAGGCATTAAAATGCTGGAGACCCGATGACCGAATAGCTACCTTTTTCAAAATATGGGAAGAAATCTCACCCCCGGAAGATGATGAGCTACCGCAGAAAACCTTCTTCTCGAGAGGAGTCAAACAGTCACTCGCAGAAGACGAATCTGCAAACGAAGCATTTTCCTTGCTAGATCTCACGGTCGACAACAACTCCGCTGGACGAACACTATACGAGCTCCTCGATGGACATATCTGGTGCGATATGCCTGGCAAGGACCTCGATGACGTATGGCTAGACGAGGTTGCGCCCGTTTTCACGATGCGTATTAATAGTAGCCATAACAACGGCGGTCGTGTAGACGTGAAGATTCCTGCTGTGTGGTACCCTGACAGGTACATGGACCACTGCAAAGAATTCGCCGCGGAACTTAGAAAACGGCGTCTCGTTGTTGACATTGAGCTGGAGAAGCTGGGAATGCTGATTGACCGGTTTATGGCCAAGAAGGGAGGTGTGTCGATTGATACGATTGTGGAAAAAGTTCTCGCTGGCTCGCAGGTCGCTCTAAACAGCCCATACCAAGCTGATGGCGCGACAAAACCACCTTCCACTACCCTGGAAGACGTAGCCAGCCTTGTCGACCAGCTGAAAGCGTTGTCAGAGGAAATTACCCATAAGATAAAAGGTAGGTCAATCCCGATCAACTAATACAGAGCATACCGCTAACGTGATACTGCAATCAGAACTGGAGGAAAGAAAGAGACAAGCTATCGAGAGCCTGCGACAGCTCTCCAACAGCTTTACCGGTCCGCCGTCGTCTCCAGATGAATCACCACGTCACAAGTATACCCTTCGTGGCGTGTGCACGGAGCCACATATTTTCTACATCCTGAAACGCCGAAAGCAAGATATCGACCTGATGACGGACGATATCGCTGATGCACCAGCGTCTGACGAGTGGCAGTGGTGGCGAATCAGCTTTTCAGTCGCAGATGCGAGAGTTAGCTCTGGATCCGCGACACTGAAACCAACCCCCCAAGGAGACTCTGCAACATCCTCTCAGCCCGGCAGCAAGAGCGTATCTAGAGCCGTGGTGGCAGATAACGTGGATATCATTGGGTATACGGCGCGCCCGGTACGAGAGGTTGAAGTCCTGCGTGCTGCCAGGGAAGAATACAGCACCGTTCTGCTGGTCTATGCCAACGAAGATGCTATGAATTTCGAGGCCGCAGATCTCCCCGAACCATTAAAGGTACGTTAGAACCTAACCCTAAGGCGGCGTCGATGCTAACAAGCTGATAGAATTTCGTGGATACGGATAACGAACTATTCCGGCAAGAGCTCGAGGCATTCACAGCAGACCTTCAAGGGAAAGCAGACGGAGGTGAGAACGATGATGTCTACAGCACTGGAGCAGAGCAAGGTGACCTTTTAATGGAAGAGGCAGGCTCCGCTCCTCAGCCAGCGGTAGAGGATGAGGGCACCTCTGACAAGCCGCCGACGACTGGTAAAAACGCACAAGCCCAAGAGCAAGGCGTTAAAGGTCAAGAGATGCAAGAACGAGCAGGACAGCACAGTGCCAGCATCGTTCCACCACCGACGACGCCACGACGAGCAAATGTACAGCCCAAGTCGATGGACCAGATCAGGGAGGAAGAGGGCGAGGATGCGGACCGTATGCACATTGATGGAGGAAGCCAGGCTCCGGCGGCGTGAGCATGATGACTATGTATTTAATGTATGAATTAATGCGAATATACTATCCTACATTCTTTCGCGTGTCCTTGTTCCCTGTACTCCGTAGATAAGCTACGATGCCTAAGCAGGGCAAGGTTCAGGCCCCTGGCTTTAACTGTGGCTCAGTTAAACCCAAGCCCAAGCTCCAGAACCATCACCAACATAACATCACCATACATCACCACACAGCAACACGAGGGCGAGGTAGAGATGGACTCCGAATACACGACCAGCACGGCAGCAGACACCATCGAGCTCCTCGAGTCTCGCCTCCGAAGAATCGAATTCCTACTCACCGGTCAGACGAACTGGGCCGGCGAGCCAGAACAGATATCCGAACCACCAGCTTCAGTTCGAGATACGGTCTCTGCCCGTCTAGCTGAGCTGGAACACGGCCTGAAACGTCTATCTGCCCAAGTACCAGCCGTACAAGATGTGTTGAAGCTATGTAGGTCACCATACTCCGCGAACAAAGCTACGAAACGTTCACGACTAACATGCTATGTAGACTCGCGATTCCCTGACCTCTTCCAGTCTGCGCCTACACATACACCACCGCCTACGCTGTCGCCTGGCACACTGGCATCTATCGTGCTTTCATACGCTACTGCTTTCCCCGAGACTGCATCACGGCTTAGCTCGTTACAGGACCTGCCTATACCGCCTGCCAGCGCGTCGACGGCGCTGGTCGAGCTACAGCCGCGACTGGATAAGTGTCTGGAGACGCAGAGACGGCAGGCGGAAGAAGTAGCTGAGCTGAGGGTGCAGAGCACGCTGTTGATGAAGAGGTGGATTGAGGTTGGGCTGGTGGGCGGCGGAGAGGTCTGGGGAGAATGGGAGGAGCGCGTGAAGCTGGTTGAGAGGGAGGTGAGGAGGGAAGAGAGGGCGCAGGAGGAGAGATAGATAGAGCTGGATACTACATTGATATTGACATCGACATCGACTATGATTGTCTAACTTCTACCCCGGCCTGGAGGATGTCTGAAGAACACGACGACGCACTCCATCGAGAGGCCATAGACTCTCTACACTCGCTTCAGACCGTCAACTTCTGATGCATCATGCTTCCACGAGACTATTCTACGGCTACAAAAAGCAAAGGTGAAACACGACACGCTCAGGACGCACAACAGCGCTCGTGGAGCCGGCGAAGACCAGTCGAAGCCAGCAAGCCATCCCCCCAGCGGCAAACATGGATCTGACTTCCGGACGCCAGCGACTAAGGGTCTATTAGTTGAAGACTAGCAGGACTGACGGGACGAACCCAACCGCCCGTCCAAGGACTTTCCTGTGCTCTGCTCTGCTCAGGGATCCGATCGATCTCAGAAGCAGGCAAGACCCTGCCGTCCATTGGCGACCAGAGCCTCGACGAGCAGAACTGCAAACGGTGAGCCGGCGTCATCGATCGCCGTCAACGCACTGCTGAAACCTCCATCCCCAGCAGCCAGCCAGGAGCCACCAGGAGCCAGCCAGGAGCCAGGAAGCCAACGAGAGCCTCCGTGCAGGCTAGTCAGGGCCAGCTTGGCGCGCGGTTCGAAACAAAGGACAGAGGACACAGGATAGGACGGAGAGGATGCTGAGAGGAGAGAGGACAGGACGGAGAGACCGGGATAGACGGAGGGGAGGACAGCCTATCTGCGGCGTAGGACAGGCCGTTGTTATTCTATCATCGTTATATCGTTATATCTGTTGGCTATTAATAAAGCGTCCGTTATAGACTATGCGAAGGATTATTTACTCTAATCTCGGGCTTAAGTAAGGCCAGGCGCAGCCAACCACGGGCCCGCGCTCTTTTTCTCCTGAGCCATCTTCACTCTGCTTCATCTTCATCTTCAACTTCAACTTCGTCTTCATCTTCGTCTTCATCTTCGTCTTCATCTTCGTCTTCTCTTCCTTGCCTTCGCTCACACTCTCGCTTCCGTTGCGTTCGTTCTGGCCTTGCCCGTTCTTCCAGCCAGGTGCTGACGACTACTTTCCATCCTCGCCGTGCCAGGACACCACCATCACCATCGACATCGACATCGACATCGACATCGACACCACCACTCGACCGTACCGTTCACTCGTTAACTGTCCTTGACCGTCAAAGGAGTACGGTGTCGCCTTATCCCACTGCGACCTGCCAAGTATCAGCATCCGTCAATCAGCATTCAGGATCAGGATCAGGACCACGACCAGGACGCACGACCAAGGCTCGCACTTACACGACAGAGACCCTTAGACGGAGTACGCTCCAGCGTGTCCTACGATAGTCTCTCTGGTCTTGCGGATAGGCTCTTGGATGGTCACGTATCCGTTCTACTTCGCCGTATCCCAGATAACTACAGACCACAATGGCGCGCTTCCAGATGAGTAACCTGGTCGGAGACCCGTTTGCGTTGGCGACAGTGTCGATTGCGATGGTACGCTTCTATCTTTTTCCGTCGTTGAATAATACTTACTCTGCGTAGCTCGCTTGGATCATCGGCTTCGTCTCCTGCATTATCGCTGATATCAAGACCGACATTCCAAACTTCTTCTGGTGGACGGTTGCGTTCCAGTTCTGCATCGTTACTGGAATCGCGGCCGTCATGGGGTCGAATACCGCTCATATCTACAGCACGGCGGTAGGTTTCGTCTCTTGTTCTTTGCCGGGATGATGCTGATATGTATAGATTGTCGGATACGCTGCTGCTGGCCTAGTTAGCACCACCTTCGTCGTAGACGGACTCCTCACCAGCAAAGAAGGCGCAAAACAATCTGGTGGTGCCGGTCTCATTCTTCTCGCCATGACTGATGTATGTCCGCTCTCAAGTCGTGATCCCAAGTACCACCCGCTAACAACTGATATCAGATCGTCTGGATCTTCTACTTCGGCTCAACCCCTCAGTCACGACCAAGAAACTACATCGACTCCTTTGCCCCTCACAAGGAACAGCCAAACTACCGAAGCAGCAAGCCAATCTCACACAGCTACACGCCCCGACCCGAAACCACCCTCTCCTCATCTCACCAGCCACAATTATACACATCCGCCCAACTGAACGGCTTCGAAACCTCCTCGCCCATGACGGGATACAACCCAACCACCGCAAGCGCAACTGGCATCCAGCCCATGCTTGGCTCGCAGACCAACCCAAGCACGGTCGGCGGAGAGACATCGAACGAAGTCGGCCAGCCAACAGAATATCCCTACCGCGCAAAGGCGATATACTCATACGAAGCCAACCCAGATGACGCGAATGAGATCAGTTTCACGAAACATGAGATTTTGGAAGTATCGGACGTTAGCGGACGATGGTGGCAGGCTAAGAAGTCTACCGGCGAAACGGGAATCGCACCATCGAATTATCTGATCCTCCTCTAAACCAAACGAACAAAAAGCATATGCCGTTTTGCACAGTTAAAAGGTATCTAAAACAGTTCACCTACCTCAAAAAAAAATTATGCCTAGCCTGGCCCTCCCATTTTCCTCGCGCGTCTTTGGTTTAGTTTGTTTGGTTTAGTTTATGATAAGGGAAAAAAGGAGGGAAGGGAATGTGCTTGCTTCTTCCTCCTTTTCTTCCCCTAGTTCCATCCTCGTCTGCGAAATACTTTGATGGACGCGATACCCGCTTTGGCCTGCCTTTGATTGATGGGTTCCTTTTTCTACTTTTTTTCTCTCCCAACTTCATTTCCATTCTATTTCGTTTTACCTCGTCTTCATCCCCCGGCGCACATTAGGGGCGGTTTGAATTTTATGCCATGTCTCTCTCTATCTCTTGTCGAAATTCATTTGTACAACTCGCAAATCCACCCATCCATTGCATCTTGCATTACCGTCTACCTTCCTTCCTTCCTTGACCCCCTTACTTATCGCGTTCTTTATGACGAAGATTCGTGGATTTGTGACCATTTTAATGCCCTTTCCCTCGCCCTGGTTACCATTAACCAGCCGATCGACCTCCTTTTTCCTTTCTACCAGTGCTTGATTTGTACGTTTAAATCCATTTTATGTCCATGATATGGTTCCTCTTCCTATTCGTTCTTTTTCTTCCCCCTTTCCTTTCGTGTGGTTTAGATAGGTAAGGCAGTTTAAATAAGAGATCTGAGATCTGAGCGCCTTTTTCTTCTTCTCGTTCTTGCGCATGCTACGGATGCATGTATGTATGCATGTATGCGTTGGATGGACTAGCGAACTGGTCGTATCCCTGCTTCGCTTCTTGGTACTTGCCCAGTACGTCCCTGCTTGCATCTCATGCCGGATATATATTAATTAATGCCTGTAGTTCTATATGCTTGTACGTAAGCGCTCTTTTAACGGCGCTGTTTGCGGGTAAACGAATATGGGATAATAGTTACTACACTGAGATATTGAGGCTCGTGAAGTCGCATTTCGTTTATATGACGGTGCTGGCGCATATAGTCCGTACAGTGTCCATATAAATGCCGCCCATGCTTGTCTACTCCTGAAGATCTGCTCTACGACCCCGCCATGCCATACGATCCTTGTCGAGTTGCGTATATAACAATATAGCCCAGAATTAAGATCCCCAGCCACCTGTGGCATCAACTTCAACGAGAACATGCCGGCCTCTGGTTCCGTCACGGCAAGTTATATTTGTAGTCTTCTATTGATAAAATGTAATTGATCATAGTATCTATTCTTCTATATTAATGGTAATAATATCATGGTTGACTGTAGAACCTTCGTTGGGATGGGTGTGTAGAGTAACTTCTCTGAGAATGTTTTGTATAACAGGGCGTATATAGCCAGGCTGATACATGCACTTCAACATAGTACGGCTGGTGAGATAACATTCAACTTGCTGCATCTTTCTATGATAGCCTTGATATCTCACCTTCTCAATGAGCTCGACTCTACCTCATTAAGGACTTGTATCAGTGGATAGACCAAGGATAAGCAAAGCTCAAGGATGATTAGACAAAATGACAACATCTATCCCACCCGAGAAGAAACATGGAGCCTACGAACACATAGCATGGATCCCCGTATATACCCAGCAAGCGTCCTGCACATCCTGTGGGATATGCATGTATCGTTGCTCGCCTGTCCCGCGCCGGTCACCATGACATAGTACGCCGGCTATTGGGATCACTCCTCTCTCTTCATCTACCCTGGTGTTCTATCTGCTTCATTCCAGCAGGCTGTTGATATCTGACGCCGCGCTCCCTGTGGCCATATCTGCGGCAAATCGCGATCTCATCTGCTATGGTAGCATTCGCCAGGCTGATATAGCGCAGCCTTGGGGATATCGCGGCGCCTACCATCATCGAGATATCGGGATTGGACGTCCCTTTACCCCCTGTCTACTATCCCTAAGCAGCCTATTCGCTATCCTTATACCCAGTCTTACTTCTGCCTGCTCATTGACTGGGAGCTTCTGGTTGCCTTATCCTCCTCCCGATACCAATGGCATGATCTACTCCTTTTTGGCCCCCTATGCCCGTATTACTGGTTGTTGATAAAATGTCAAGTTTGATATATATAGGCCAAAGGATGGAGGGCTGCGGTGTCTATTCGTTGTGGTGGTACTGTACCCTGACCGTGCCTCTATGGGATGCCTGAAATCGACCTATTAGATGGATGAAGGTGGTATTTGGATACATCTTGATGTTGATATGTGTGGACATGGGTGAGAATGTCGCTCAGCCCGTTTCCATTCCGACTGCGATCTATATTGAGAACATGTTGCCGACGTTGATATCTACTCGAGGTGTATATATTGGCCTCCAGTCCTGTCAAGGCGTCTTCTATCGACTTATACAGCATATTGCTTTATATATTGCGCAATATACGGTCTTGTTATTCCTCCAGTCTACATGGAGGGCAGTCACTCTGTTACAGTCAACGTCCTGGGAACCTTAGGCACGGTGCTCTGGTGCATACAGCTGGTGCCTCAGATATGGCTTAACTGGCGAAGGAAGAAGACAGAAGGCCTACCGGCTGCCATGATGTTTCTCTGGGCTCTATGTATGTTCTGCTCTCTGTCTGAAGTGTATAGATAGCTGATTGTCTCAGGTGGTGTGCCGTTTGGTATATACATGATTCTACAGGTACGTTCTTCAACCCACAAGCTACCAGCGCTGACCAGTTGTAGGAAGTGAACATACCATTGCAGGTACAGCCTCAGGTTTTCACACTTCTATGCCTGATAAGCTGGGCCCAGACACTGTACTATAACAGGTGAGGTCCCTCTACGCCTATAGATGCACTGGACTAACCTCTGTCGAATAGCAAATATTCCAAGACCATGGCCGTTGCCATCGCCACAGTATCGGGAGCACTGATGGGCGGGACAGAAGTACTGTTCATCCTTGCACTGCGGGTAAGCTTGCCCCTTTATCTTACACGAGCCACAGTTCTGACTCGTATACAGGTCCCGTATAGACAAGGCACCACATGGCCCGCGCTGGTATTCGGTATCATTGCCGGTATCCTGCTGGTCCTTGGCCTGGTCCCCGCGTACCTGGAGCTATGGAAGCGAGATGGCCGGGTGATCGGTATAAGTACGTCTTGAGTCCACCATCTATTTTATTTATCGGATCAGGAAACCTTACCAGCATCCTATCTAGGCTGGATATTTTTGAGTATCGATAGTCTCGGCGCATTGTTCTCCCTCTTAGCTCTTGGTACGTGCCGCTGTCTGACGTTGAACCGCTGCTGGATGACCGGATTCTAATGTAAGGTACAGCCGCCGAAGGGACGTTTGACGTACTGGGTGGCGTCCTTTATATCACATTGTAAGCTCGACATCGTCCTCCCTCCACGCGTTTCCCCCAGGGGCAGAACTGACAGGTCCGAAGGCTCGTTTTAGAACTCGGCATAATGACCAGCCACATTATCTGGCGGGCCAGGAACCGAAACCTTCTTGGAGAGGCGAGGAGTAAAGGGCTGAGCGTGGACGAGCTGCTTGACGGTCGACGACCTGCTCGGCCTGCTCGACCTGCTTCAGACGAGGAGGATGGCCATATACCGGCCAAGTCGCAGTCGTAGGAGATGTATCCAAGATAGCAGTTCATAGTTAAACGGCGGCCCGGACCCAGGGATAGGGATCTTACATTTTACCTTTCCTTTCTTTTCTTTTTCCGCCTGTTCTACACACGGTCGTCTGCTCTGTGCTGCTCTGTACCGCATGATCGTTCATATCGGTCTACCACGATAAAGGGGCAGTCTCTTTGAACAAAGATATAGGTTCGTCTGCCAATCCCTGTGCGGATCAGCGTAAGCCCGATCGTGCTGCATGCCTCCACTGCTGCAACGGGCGAACGGCTTGAGATACGCAGCCAGACGCCGGGCGCAGCTAACGGGAGGCGTAGGAAAGAGAAAAGAAAGGGACGAGATCGTAGTTTGTCCAGGGCTATCTCATTGGCAAGCCGGGGAGTGAGACACCTCAAGAACGCCGACGCCCATCCCTGCCTCGCATTCCACATGTCATTTAGAGGCTGCTATAAACTGCGCATATGCTGTGATCATTCATCTCTCGTCAACTTCAATCAACACGATAACTTCAAGTCAACACGATCACGACGTCAACAGCTTCAACTTCAACTTCAACTTCAACCTGCAGTCAGCATCAAGCGGTCAAGAGAACTCAAGTTATAGTCAAGTTATAGCAGGCCCGCAGTAATCTCGCTTACTTCTTGCCTGCACCATGCGCGTCCTCTGACCATTGACCGGCTTCAGCTTCACGGCCAACTGCCTCAACTGCCTCCAGCCTGATGCCCGCCGCAGGCTCTCCTGTCGCTGAAACGATGCCGGCGGAGAGAGAGCGTAGGTTTTCGCGCTTGACGGCTCTCTTGCGGCGTCCGTCGTCCTCGTCCGCCAAGAACGCCTCCGTCGACTCCACCACTTCGACTTCGACTTCTTCGACGACGCCGACAACTTCGCCCATCACCCATATCAACAGCGCCAGCACCGAGAAGAGCGACACTGCCAGTCCGAAGGAGACCCCCAAGACGCCCTGGCACTCCTTCGCCACGCCTTATACCCCGAATTCTGCTCCGACTCCGACTTCAACGGCTACTGCTACTGCTACGGCTTCTGCTGCTACGACTATAAAAGCACGGCGGACTGCCCTCAAGTCGCCAGAAGAAGCAGATGGACCCGCGCTGAAGGGCCAGAAATTGGGCGCCGAGTCGTGGCCCAACCGAGCTCTCTCGCTGTCCAATCCGTCGCGAACCCATACTCCCACTCCCCAGGCCACCGCTACGGCTCTACGCTCTGCCTCCGCCACTCCTCGACAGACGCTCCCCGTCCCTCTCCCGCTCATCGAGACGCCCGGTCCGGCCTCGAATCTGCCTCTGGCGCGCGCGAGGGTCGTCAGCGTTGACGGCGGAAAGGACGCTGCGGCTCTCAGACGGTTCGAGGACTATACCTTTGCCTCGTCCGCGGGCCAGGACCCGGCCCAGTTCCAGAACCGCGCCCAACGGCAGCCCGTCTCCAGGGGAAGCGTGGTGCACTCTACCCGGCAGCTGAACGCTCTCGACGAGTCCCGCCAGAGCCTCCCTGCCTCCGCCTGCACCACCCCAGTACCGGGCAGAGTACCTCAGAATATCGACCCGAAGGCCCCTCGCCGCCCTACGCTTGCCGTCAGGCGTCAGTCTCTCGTCCCCGCCTCGCAGCAGAGGCTGATCAACACCCTCCTCGATCCGCCATACCCAAACGGCAACGGGGCCGACTACTTTGCCCGTGGAACGCCTACCATCCGGTTCGACATGATCAACCGAAAGGTATGGGTCAAGCGGCCCGGCTCGTCGCCTACGCTCGTCCTGGTCACGGAGGAAGACCTTGTTGACGACCTGCGAGATGCCATCCTCAAGAAATACGCCAATTCCCTGGGCCGGACCATCGACTCGCCCGATATCACCATCAGACTCGTCCAGCGAGAACCGTCCAGCAGACACGGCCACCAGGAACGTGTATTGGGGCCAGAGGAACCCCTCGCCCGGACACTCGATCATTTCTACCCGGGAGGACAGACTATAGACGAAGCACTCATCATCGAAGTCCCTACTCGACGCACCCCGAAGCCTTCCCCGCTTACTCCTTATACTCACCCGGACGATCCCCGTGCCGAACCAGGCGAATACTTTCCACCGATGCATATGATCACGAATTCTGCTTCGTTAAAGGATAACATGAAAGCACCACATCAGCCGTCAATGGCGGTTCTCACCACCGGCCAGCTGCCCGCTCTTCCGTCTCCGGGGAACCGAGGGTCATGGCCACAGCCTCCGCATCGAGGTAGCTATCCACACAATAATTCCCAGGGTGCCCCGGCTTCTCTACCATCACCCTCTACCAATGGTACGTTCTTTGTTTTTATACTGCTTTTGTTGAAGGTACTGCTTTTGTTGAAGAAAAATGTCGTTAACTTGGGGTGATTCACATATGTAGATTCGGTGAATCCTCCAACCAACGGGGTTGCCACAGCGTCCTCTCCTCCCTCAACCACCACCCCTCCTGCTCTCTCCGAACCAGCTTCTAAATCAGCCGTCTCACCCCCATCTCGCGTCTCCTCTCCCCGCCCCACTCAGGTTCTTCGGAAGTTGAACAAGAATAGCAGCACGAACTCCGACTCGCTACCGACCTCCCTACTCGACGGTGCAATACCGCCGATCAACGTCCTCATTGTCGAAGACAACACCATCAACCTAAAACTCCTAGAAGCCTTCATGAAACGCCTCAAAGTACGCTGGCAAACTGCCATGAACGGTCGTGAGGCCGTGAACAAATGGCGAGAAGGCGGTTTTCATCTCGTCTTGATGGATATCCAATTACCCGTCATGAACGGTTTGGAAGCCACGCGAGAGATCCGACGACTAGAACGGGTGAATAATATCGGTGTATTCCAGAGATCGGTCTCTGGTCCATCTTATTCTGCAACCATGGTTGGCTCGCCACCTGCTTCGCCCGCTCTTTCAGAGACACCGGTTGCACAACCGGCCGTGCAAGAAGAGGTTAAGCCCGAAGACATGCTGAACAAGGAGAACCAATTCAAGAGCCCCGTCATCATCGTGGCGTTGACAGCGAGCAGTTTGCAAAGTGACAGACACGAAGCATTGGCTGCAGGTTGCAACGACTTTTTGACCAAGGTATGTTTTTTTTTTTGCCCCTGTATTCACAGATCATAGCTAACCATCGCCACTCAGCCGGTAAACATCGTCTGGCTGGAACAGAAAGTCACCGAATGGGGCTGCATGCAGGCCCTAATTGACTTCGAAGGCTGGAGGAAATGGCGCGGCTTCAACGACCTATCTAACGTCTCCAACAGCGCCAATGGCAAGCCCAAAGGAAACCCCAACTCAGGCTTCGTAGCTGCAGATCTCACGCCTCGAAAACCCCACGCCGTCAAACCAGTACCAGGCAAAGCGAGCAGTGGGAATATACAGCCCAAACCCTTACCAGCCGCCACGGCAGCCGCGGCAGGCGTGTACGGTGAGGGCGCTGAAGCCGGTGCCGACGACTCATCGTCGACAGTCAACTCTACGAAAACGGTCGTTCTAAGCACAGAGTCGAGTCTCACTGGCTCCGGTATGGGAGCTGGCCCGTCGCCTGTAGCATCGAGGAGATTCCCCGTAGCTACCAAGGCGATGACGTCGAATGGGAATGCAAACGGCAACGGCAACGCAAACCCGCAGGCTTGGAAGAATGCTCATCGAAACAGTGTGCCTACAGTGGGACATAATATGTCTTAACTACCCTATTTCCGCCGTTCCATCTCCATCTTCATCTCCATGTCATCCTTTCCTTTCATATATCACTATCTAACTCCCTTCGTTCCGCCCGCCCACGTACCGTATGATCTTCTTCACATTTCTCACATACCTTTCTCCCCGCCTCTTCCATTTGTTTTCATCATGTCTATTATCCATTTTATAGCGCACTGAGGCATGGGAGAATAAGTTCTATCGTTTTTTTTTTCTTCTCGTTTTTCTCGTCTTCTTCATCTTCATATACCAGTCCGCCTTTATACCATTCGTTTTCTTCTTTTCTTTTCCTTCGTATCTACCTAGGACCGACTCCTTAACTGATTGATTGATTGATATGTACGTCTGGCTGGGAAGCGTTATCGTTCACGTTTACGTTTTGTAATGGAGGCATCTTACGCTACTCTTTTCCATCTCTATCGTCATTTCTAATTCTGCTTTTTAGTCATTTTCATTTTCATTCTACATTGTATTGGTTGATGGGTTGGGAGGGAAATTCGTGTATGTCCTTTTTTTTTTTGCCTTCGTTTTCTCTTTGATAAAGCATGGCTTTTGTTGGATTTTATACATCGTGAGTAAATAGCATCTATCCTACAGATGACAAACAGATAGTCAGACAAACAGAAAAATGGAAATGGAAATGATATTTCCAGATCTCTTTTGGTTGCTGTGGTTTCGTTTTGTGTTTCCTTATGCCGGCTTTCTTTGATGAGTCGTTCAATCGGTCAACCCTTACCAATTGTCTGGTGTGTGGCATGGTATCATTGGCTCCTGGCTTTAAATACCGGCCGCATGCGATGTCGTGGATAGTCGAGTGCGTTGGTCGGCAATACGGGTGTGTTGCTATTCATCTTCACTGCGGATGGTTCGCCTCGCCAAATATCCTTGGGCCATGATGCAGCGATACATCACTCAGTAGTATGAGCCTGCACCTGAACCCAACGGTCCGAATAGAAATCCCAAGTAGATTATGGATGTTGAAATGGCCCAGGCCAGCTCTGGTTAAACGCCAAATCTTTTCCATCAAAAAGGCATCAACCACGAACCCAGACTGCCGGTTCAAAAGTCCTGAATCCCCGTTTCTCCCTTCAGTGACTCTCTACCATCCCCTCCCTCTCCCTTCTCAACAAGCCACTCCGGCTCTTCATCGTCAAAATACTTATCCTGCTCTTCACTCAGGTCATCATAATCCTCACACCCATCCACAACCGCATACTCAAACTCATCATCTGCACCCTTCACAAACCTCATTTCCATCTCATGTTTCCACCGTTCAGCCCCTTCCTGCTTAGTACCCGGTATCTCATCTCTGTCTTCTGCTAGAATCTCCCCGTTCGGTCCACGGGTATATGTGAACAATGAAGTCGGGTCAGGATGAGCCAGGGCTTCCATCTTCGCCTCTGCACGCTCGAGATCAGCCTCTAGGGCGCCAGAGTGGCCTTTTCGACGACCTTCGGCTTCGCGTTCGCTAGATGTTTGGAAGCGGCGGATCAGCCTGTCGTAGAGGAGGGGGTCTGATGTTGTGTTAATATTTTTGTGGATGGCTGGTTTATGTTGGGGAGACGTACCGGCTAACTCTAGTGTTGGAGAGAAATATTCAGGATGCAGGTCTAGATATCTCTTTCGTCAGTTTTTTATCTGTATAGATGCCGGAGGGTTCTTTGGCTGCTCGGGGTTATGCATCTGCCTTTCAGTATGGGTTGTGGCTGGTGTTGAGCCGTTTGGTCTGTCTTTGCCTTGAGGCCTATCTAAGCCTGTGTTCATGGGGAAGAATGGCATTTTAATGGCTATTGGGAAGTTCTTCTGCTCCTTAGAGTGATGTATAGTTCAAGTATGGCGTTTTACAGTTTGATATTGCGATAAAGCTGCGATCGAATGCCAAGCACTGTGATGTCAGATCGAGCCTCGGCCTAACATCTTCTCTAGAGCTCTAACGTAGCTCTCTTCCATAATTTAGACACCCGGTAGTAGTTCTCCTGTAGATATCTATATCTTCCGGCTATTTTATATGCCGTTGTCTTGCCACTTTAGGAGTCCGGGGTAACTCGGCTTTTATCGGGCCTTTCTCCACGCGGCGGTTACAGGTGGGGTTAAAGCGGCGTGCTTCAGGACCTAATCGAGCCAGCATGGGGGTAGAAACATATTTATACCAGTTCAGCGTTGGATAAATTCAACCTCCAACATGATCATGTCCAGCACTTTATAGCGCCACGTCAGTCCTTTTATTTACTTCCATGGTTGCGGTATAGGGTGACTTTGCACGACCTGGCTCTCTCGCGTCCATCACCTTGATACGTTGTTTAGATGAGGCCAGCTTGACAACAACTTTGAAACACGGCAACCTGAACATCAGCAGTTGCTCGCCATGGCGAAATCAAAGTCGACTCCGTCGAAGCAGACGGCTGCGAGGAGTCCGGCCAATGCATCGGCTACAGCAAAGCCAGTTGAGAAGTCAGCTCCCCGTGGACCGGCGATTGAAGAGCAGCGGAAGGCTTCACTACCAGAGCTCTTCTTTGTAGCTACCATTGGAGCAATCGTGATAGGTCTTGCTGGAGCATATTCTTACATATCTCAGTTGACGCTTGCTCCTGTGTACGGCTCGGCTCCTGCAGGAAAGTATCATACTGCAATTACGCTGATAGCAGCAGGCGTGGGCTCAATAGGTCACCAATTTGTTCACAGATACGCCCGCCCGACGACAACACTGCCAATTCTTGCATTTTATATTCCAACCATTCAATTCGTCTTGTTCAAGTTCAGCTCTACCCTTGGACCTGTTTTGGGACCTATCATTACCGAAGTACTCACGTTTGCGCCCTTGGTTTCGCTGTCAATCTGTGTTCCTGGAGTTTTGATCCAAAAATTGAACCTGAGCCCCAAGCTGAAGCAAGGAATGGAGCAGGGAAACATTCTGGCCGCATATGCTCTCTTTAACGGTGCGAAGGGCAAACTTGCCGAAACGTTGCCTTATCATATTGGATCAAGCTTTGTGACGACAAGTGTTGGGCTTCAATTCATCATCGCTCTCAGTCAAGCTATTCTTCTACCATCAAAGTGGCTTATCCTTGCGCTTCCGTCTCTTATGTTCACGGCTACTTACAACCCTCATGTTCCACTACCGTATACGACGGACCTGCTCAATTCTACTCTCAAGGCAGATAACTTCACTTTACTCCATCGCCAGGAATCATTGACTGGATATTTGTCTGTGCTGGAGAACACGGATGCTAAGTTCCGCGTGATGAGATGCGGTCACAGCCTTTTGGGCGGAGAGTGGCTGCCACATTTAATGACCAAGGATGCCAAAGTATCGGACCCCGTTTTTACTGTTTTTACGGCTCTCGAGGCTGTCAGACTTGTCAAGAAGGATTCCCATAAGCCAGAGAAGGCTGATTCAAAGAAAAGTGCTCTCGTTATGTGAGTTAACCTATAAACCCCTCCCCTTTTCTGGTAAAAAAATCTAGCTAACGAGGTGAACCGTAGTGGTCTGGGTATTGGCACGACCCCTTCAGCCTTTGCTGCACATGGTATCAACACCACTGTTGTGGAGATCGACCCAAATGTACACCAGATAGCCATGGACTATTTTGAATTCCCTCGAGGGGTTAATACGGTGATTGAAAATGCTGTGAGGTTTGTTGCTCGTGCTCAGGAGGAGACTCCAATCCAAAAGTATGACTACATTATTCACGACGTTTTCACCGGAGGCGTAGAGCCACTGGACCTTTTCACTCAAGAGTTCATGCAAAGCCTCGACGCGATGCTGGATGATGAGGGTGTCATTGCTATCGTAAGTCTAGAACAGAATATACCCTGTGGCTGTTGTATTAGGTTTTAAGCTAACTATATAATAGAACTATGCTGGCGACATTGCTCTGCCACTCGCCGGTCTGGTCGTTCGCGCCATCACGTCCACGTTCCCATCATGCAGGATATTCCGTGATAATAAACCATTGCCAGGCTCTTCGTCTAGAAGAGACCTTACAAACATGACTATCTTCTGCAAGAAAACGCCAGGACCTATCAAATTTAGGACTCCGGTGCCTAGTGATTACCTAGGAACTTATTCAAGGAAAGAGAGCTTGGTACCGCGCCTTGAATTTAGTCCAGGCTCTTTCTCAAAGGACCCCGAGGGAAATACGGATGCTCTAGGACCAACTGTGCCAAAGGAGCTTGCATACTGGCAGTTCCAGGGAGCAATCGGCCACTGGCATGTTATGCGCAGCGTGCTTCCTGCTAGCGTCTGGGAGAATTGGTGATCTTGCAAGCAAGAAAGTCCAACGCAAGTATGTTGATCTATTTGGTGGTATATTTTCTAAATATACTCTAACTTCTAGATATGAAAAAAATCGTTACCTCATGTGCAAAAATGACAGCACTTGCAGATGTATACTAAATGACATAAGAAATCCAACCTTTATCCTGTTCACGTCCATGCGCCGCTTAAAGGATTGCCTTCTCTTCAGCAACAATATTCTCCTTGATCTTCTTTATATCCTCATCGCTAAATCCAATGGCCTGCTTCATATATCCCTCCACGCCTCCATATTCGCTATCCAAATATTTCAACGTCCCGGTAATAGCAGCAGCTTTAGCACCCGTCATCCTCACCGCCCCGTCTCGATCGCCCGAAACGGCTGGATGATCCATCAGCTTCTTTATAAACTCCCCTCGAAGTTCTCCCAGCCCAACTTCAGTAAGCGCGTATTCTTCCCCGATAACCTTGTCATCCGTCACACCAGCAAGACGCAAGAGCAGAGCTGCAAATACCCCTGTCCTATCCTTGCCAGCCGTACAATGGAACAACAACGGCTCCGTAGGCTGGTCTCGAATATGTTCAAAAACAATCTTGTACGCTGACTCTGCTCCAGTTCGTAGGATTTCTTTATATGCCCTGATGAACCCTTCTGCTCCGTCTGCGGCGGAGTAGTCTTTATATCGTAGCGCCAGGCTCGCGGGGCTTGCATCCTGGTTTCTGAACACAGGGACATAACGGCGCGTGGTACCCGGTATGTCTACGAGCGGATACCTGGCTATCTCGAGGTCGGAGCGGAAGTCATAGATGTATGTTATCCCCAGCTTGTCGACGATAGCCTTGCAGCCTGCGGGCGTTATCCCCGCTAGATGCGCTGAGCGATAGATGAAGTTGCGCCTCACTGATGTGGTGGGGGAGACGGCGTAGCCACCGATATCTCGGAGATTGTAAACTCCGTCTATCGCGTAGAATGGAGGGGAAGGCAGAGCGGCTTGGGAGGTGATGTTTGCCATGGTCCTTTGGATAAAGTATGTTCCTGATCGCAAATTTGTAGCTTGGTTCATGTAATTATGTTCCATGGGTTGAGATGTGTTCCTGAACTGAAGATTAGTTGCCGAGGCCCCTACCTATAGTTTCACCTTATTCGGATCCTTCGTTTAGGCTTTGGGATCATAAATTAGTCGGTTTTATTGGTTGATTCGTGGTATATTGTCTATCCAACTTTTGGGATGTTATGCTTCTGGACATTGATATCCCTAGATTCGTTAAATTAAATTCCAAGCAGTGAAGGTGTCGCCCAGCTTCTTCTCACATTTGTTTCTATAACCAAGTTTCACCTTCTCGTACCGCAAGCGAAGGTCATCTGTTCAAAGTGTCAAACGGGGCGTAATATCCCTAAGATGGCATCGCTGCCGGGTCGCCTAGGTCCATCCCGGCCTGAAAGAATTGGGGAATCTGGGGAGATGCGTTAGACGAAATGATTGTACTTGAACAGGCATTCCCCATTGTACTAGATATGAACAATTTCGGCTTTAGCCCGATATAAAGGCACAACGCATCTTAATATCTAGCGTTAGGGACAGACATTTGGGACATGTATCTCCATAACGAGACTTCGGGCAGCAAGACTTCGGGGAAATCAAGCCGTACTATAATTTGTCTGATGGTAACTTATCGTTGTTGGATTCTTCAAGGAACAAAGCTGGGAATCTGCATCCATGAAGACTGTATCACGTGTTCTTGATATAAAAACGATATTGGTACCTAAATACTTGGAATTTAATGTAAGTTAATCTATTTAATCTTCTAAAACCTGTGTGTTGCCCTTGTGGTTGTTTGACTATATGATAAACACCGAAGTCCCGCTATGCAGGGATAGAGCGAAGGTGGAACTCTATGCTCGATGGTAAATCCCCGGGTAGATCTTTAAATTTACCCAATAACCGGAAGACTTAAAGTGAGGTGGAAGGGATGTAAGATGGAGATTTGTGGTGGAGACAAGCTCCATAGAAAGCTGCTTGCTGGCGAGGCACCGAGTATATAACTATTATAAGGAAGGTCGACCATGAGAAAGGCGAGAGAAATGAATCAATTATTCCACGGTACTGGCCATTTTAACAATTAGAATCTATGTGGAAAGTGGCTATCTCAAGGACAATGAGGATTCACCAGGGGTTGATTGAATTTTATATGGTTCTTTGACTTGTATTGATGCCACCCTACATCTGATGTTCCAGTACGGTGACGCCTATCATAAGTTTACAGTGGCCCTTATATTTACCCTTTATAAGGAGAAGTCTAAGGAGTCTTAAGTGTTAGAGAGAAAATAACATCCCCATCTGATCCTACCAAATAAGAGGTATTAGGGTCATGGTAGGAACTTCTGTACTCTGGAAAGAGTCAGTCACTCTAGGACGCCGTAAATTGCCAATCGAAGGCTCACTCTTGCACGTTGATTGTAAAATCCTGCCTGGTGGGTGTTTGTTCTTGATCTGGATTGTATAATGCAAGACTAGTGGGCAAAGTTCTCACAAGTAACGTAGTAGTTGTGTCTTATAGCCGGCACCAGAAGAAGAGCTCTGTAAGTAGCATCCTTTAAATAGTCTAGACATCATCTCGGATAGTCTCCACGTATCTTTGTCACGGAGACGTGAACTTGACGGATCCTCATTTATATCTTTGTAGTTGGTGGGCATGTATCTTTGATCTGTGAAAGATGGTATCCTTATCAAGTATAACCAAAGCCTGCGAGTTCGAGAATATAAGGAGGAAAGACTGAAGTTGAAGTTTGATATAAGTAACTACGCACTTTTGAGGACTGTGACGTCATTGGCTCAGTGATGGATTAGTAAGCTAGGCAACCGTACAGCTGACGTTATATATTTCAAATGACTAAGCAAATCCACGCCCAATATGGCCGTTTTTTACCAAGTCCGGTGGTAACGAGGGCGTAACGCTAAAAACGGCCATGTTTATCAGAGCAAAAAGACATGAAGAACTGCGTCATGGTTGTAACCTACCACAAACACATCTCTCTTATTGTTTATAACAGGACAGAGATTATAAGAAGAGTTGACAGACAGGTTTGATCGGTGACGTCTAAGGTTCTTGTCTTGTCAGTATCAGCCATGGCGGAAGAAAACAGAGCGGAGATACAGTATATCGATGGAGTAAAGACTCTGGTTCCTCTAGGTACGGAGTTGTCTTTGTCTTGATTCTTCTTCCTTGAGTTTTCTCCCTTGAGTCTTCCTTGAGTCTTCCTTGACTACCCAGGCTCTAGGATATATCCATGGATGAGCCTTTTTTTTAGCTTCCAATGTGAGACCTCTGCTAACCACGGTGAGCAAGGTCAGAAAACAACCCGGAAGTCATGTCCCACCTAATCCATGAGCTGGGCGTGTCTCCCAAGCTAGGGTTCTACGATGTCTACAGCATCGATGATCCGGACCTGTTGGCCTTCATCCCTCGTCCGGTGTACGGCCTCATCTTCATCTGCCCTCATGATGTCTATGTCCGTACTCGCGAGAGTATGGACACCGACAACATGCCTGAATACACGGCCTCAGGGCCAAACGAGCCCGTCATGTGGTTTCGACAGACCATCAAGAATACCTGCGGGCTGATGGCCCTGATCCATTGCATCAGCAACGGGGAGGCGAGGGAATATATCCCGGAAGGATCTGAGCTGGACAAGCTGTTCAAGACAGCCGTGGATCTGGCTCCAACTGAACGAGCCCAGTTGCTGTACGACTCGACCTTGCTGGAAAGGGCACATCGTTCGGCGGCGAAGAGAGGAGACAGCTCTGTGCCGGCACCGGACGATAAATGCGGTTATCATTATATCTGTTTCGTGAAGGGTGCGGACGGCCATCTGTGGGATCTGGAGGGAGGGGTGAAGGGTCCGATTGATCGAGGGCTGCTGGAGGACGGTCAGGACGGGTTGAGCGAGAGAGCTCTCGAGCTTGGGGTTCGAGCGTTTCTCAAGCATCAGAGCGATATAGGGCAGGGAGTCGACGCATCTGGCTTCAGCATTGTGGCTCTAGCACCGAGCATGGATTGAGGGAGTTTTGATTCAATTCTACCAGGTATCTCCGCGCCCTTCCAGGTCGGCTAGCCCGGCTAGTCGTTGTGTTGGGTCGACCGCTATATGATATGTTTCCTTATAGCAGGCAGTTTATTAGACATAACCGTGCCCGTCAACCAGGTTGATCCCAACTTCCACTGCATGCCAAAAGCCTATAGGAAGCCCGCCAGAAGTATAAAATACCCGATCCATGTGACATGACGGGCGTGCTTGATATATCGTGCATATTATCCGAGCTCGCTCAAGTCCTCCGTACAGAGTAAACCTTCCAGAAACACTGTAGATATTAACTCGCAACCTTTCTTACTGAGTACTTTGGGTTTGTCTGGGTAAAAGACCTTTCTTTTTCTTCTTTCTATCATATTATATCATATATTAGCGTTTCCCAGCGTTTTTATCTATGGAGCATGCCCGAAACCTTCCGCAAAGATCTGTCACGTGAAGCGCATATCTCAACCTCCACAAGGTCGCGATGTCGTTTTGCTCAGTGTCAGTTCTCTTTGCAACTTGCTGTCCAACGTCCCACCGGCTGAATGCAGAATTGCAAGGGGTTTGGCCGTCTCTCGAGGCGATATACAATGCCCCACCGTCCAGCGGGCTGTCACGCTGGCAGAGGGCCGGGTCTAGCGAGGGTCCTTCATCCTTCTCGCATTTCTTTTAGGCAGTACGCCCCGGACGCAGGGCCATAGCAGCGCTGCCAGACGCGACAGGGGTGCAGGATGAAGAGGCAGGCGAGACGGCGAGGACGGCGAGACATCGCACAGCCAGAGGCTGAAGGGTTACCACCATCCAGATCCGCCTTAGCTGCGATTATTGCTAACTTCCAAGGCCAATTAGCAGCCCGCGTCCTCACCAGGGGACCCTAAGTCTTAGTGCTGCTGATCCCTCCCAACTCTATGGAGAACGAGCTGCTGCAAGCCTATTTGTCGCTCGCCTTCTGGAAAGGCACAAGAGACCGCGGGCCCTGCAATCAGAAATCAGGCGTGGGGAGATCTCCACAACGCCCCAATAACTTGGCATTGTAACCCTTCCCTTTCCCCATGCCAACCCACGATAACGAAGGGGAAGAAAAAAGCTCCCCTGGTCAGCAAACACGGCATCGGCTGCGCTGTCCCCAGTCGAATGGCCTCATCTCCCCTCTGCTTGACGTGCCGTTCCACTTAGGCGGCTGCCAAAACATTGCTAGGCGGATGGGTTCTACAGCGTTATTTCGGTACGGTTGCCACCCAGAAAATGCTTCCATTGGCAGTCCGTCAGGAACCACTCTTGCATCCGCAATGGCCGGCGCGCCCTAGATCTAAGCGTATATTCTCGTATCACTCAAGTCGAAGCTCCATTTCCCGCATCTGCCCGCGAAAAAGCTATAGACAGGCTTGATTGTTGAGATGAAGTCGGGCCTCTAGGCCAAGGCCAACTCGAGAATCGATTTGCTAATAATAAATCAAGCGTTTTTTCCCCGAGCTCTCTCGTATCGGCTAATTGCATCTCCATTTCCCTTTTCGCCATATCGTATCAGTATCCTGCATCTCATCCCTGGCATTGCTCTTTATAATCTCCGGGGGTGAGGGACCCGAGCAGATATGCCTTGGTTGCGGTGGGAGCTAACCTCGACTGCGCAGTCTCCACGAGCTAAGCAGTTTTACTCCGCCGGTGATCCATTCTTCCATTCTTCCGTTGCTCCATTGAGCAGAGCGGCGATAAGGATAATTCCAACCGGCAGAATTGTCAGCAAAAAGTCCATCCAACACTTTCGGGCATGAACTCGATCCTTAACGTGGTTAGCTTGACAATGCGGAATGGAGGATGATAGGAGAGGGGTAATCCTGCCCCGGCTTTCCTTTCTTCTCCAGATTGGAAATCCAAGGGTACATCCCAGCCTGGGGAACGAATGACCAGGTCGAATCCCACGGGGTGATGCAAAAAAAACTGGGGCAACCTTGAGGTTCCGCTGAAAAAGCAAAAACGAGAACCGAAGCTCATAGAACATGAGTAGGCAGAGTCCATACGAAGTGGTAATGTTTATTTGATTTGATTGACGAGCTAACTGGGGCCGCAAAAGTATTAAATGCGAAGGGTACCGCCGACCTTTCTCCCGTCTCTTTTCTCTTTTCCCTTCTCTCCAGTGACGACTTCCAGAATCTCTTTTGACCTTCTGGCTCTTGTATCACGCAGTCAAAGAGAGAAGCTATTAGATTAGCTCCATTCACAATGGCGGGAGCCAAATGGTTGATTGCCTCCCTGGCGTTTGCTTCGTCAGGGTTGGCCTTCACCCCAGAGTAAGTAGATCCGTGGATCTCGATCATCTCTAGATTTCGCAGACAGGATGTTAATCAATTCTGCAGGAACTTCATCTCTGCCCCACGAAGAGGAGAGGCCATCCCAGACCCCAAGGGAGTAAGTAGCTACCTATATTTGCATGCATTAAAGATTTGGAGCTAACATGGTTTGCAATTGTAGCAACTCGCTGTCTTCCACGTCTCCAAGTATAACTTCGACAAGAAGGACCGTCCCTCAGGATGGAACCTTATGGACCTCAAGACTGGAGCCATCAGCATTCTCACCACTGACCCCGATGTTTCTGAGATCACCTGGCTCGGTGAGGGTACCAACGTCCTCTACGTCAACGGTACCGACTCAGTCAAGGGAGGAGTTGGAATTTGGATCTCCGACGCCAAGAACTTCGGCAACGCGTGAGTGACCCCTTGAATGGAAAATATATTGGTCTATTATTTACAATTTGCAACAGATACAAGGCCGGTTCCATCTCTGGACCATTCTCGGGCTTCAAGCTTGCCAAGTCTGGTGACAAGATCAACTTCGTTGGTTACGGTCAGTCCACCACCAAGGGTGACCTTTACAACGAGGAGGCCATCGAGAAGCCAATCACTTCTGCTCGTATCTACGACAGCCTCTTTGTCCGTCACTGGGATGCCTACGTCGGCACCCAATTCAACGCCGTCTTCTCCGGTGCCCTCTCCAAGAACGGTGGCAAGTACACCTTCGACGGAAAGCTGAAGAACCTCGTTCAGCCCGTCAAGTACGCCGAATCCCCCTACCCACCATTCGGCGGATCCGGTGACTACGACCTCTCCCCCGATGGCAAGACCGTTGCCTTCATGAGCAAGGCCCCAGAGCTTCCAAAGGCCAACCTCACCACCAGCTACATCTTCACCGTCCCACATGACGGTTCCCGCCTTGCTGAGGCAATCAACGTCCGTGGAGGCGCTCGCACTCCAAAGGGAATTGAGGGTGCCTCCTCCAGCCCAGTCTTCTCCCCTGACAGCAAGAGAATTGCCTACCTCCAGATGGCCACCAAGAACTACGAGTCTGACCGACGTGTCATCCACGTTGCTGAGGTTGGCACTAACAAGCCCGTCCAGAGAATTGCCAGCAACTGGGACCGATCTCCCGAATCCATCAAGTGGTCTTCCGATGGCCGAACTCTCTACGTCACTGCTGAAGAGCACGCCACCGGCAAGCTCTTCACCCTGCCCGCTGATGCTCGTGACAGCCACAAGCCTGAAGCTGTCAAGCACGATGGCTCCGTCACCGCATACTACTTCATCGGTAGCTCCAAGGCCGTCCTCGTGTCCGCTAACTCCCTGTGGTCTAACGCTCTCTACCAAATTGCTACCCCCGGCCGTAACTTGAAGAAGCTCTTCTACGCTAATGAGCACGATCCTGAGCTCAAGGGTCTTGGTCCAAAGGACATTGAGCCTCTCTGGGTTCAGGGTGCCCGCACCAAGGTTCACTCTTGGATCGTCAAGCCAACTGGCTTCGATAAGAACAAGGTTTACCCACTTGCTTTCCTCATCCACGGTGGTCCTCAGGGATCTTGGGGTGACGGCTGGTCCACCCGCTGGAACCCAAGAGTTTGGGCTGATCAGGGATACGTTGTCATTGCTCCTAACCCAACTGGTAGCACTGGTTTCGGCCAGCAGTTCACCGACGACATCACCAACGACTGGGGTGGTGCTCCATACAAGGACCTCGTCGCCATCTGGGAGCACGTCCGTGACAACCTCAAGTACGTTGACACCGTCAACGGTATTGCTGCCGGTGCCTCTTTCGGTGGATTCATGGTCAACTGGATCCAGGGACAAGATCTCGGCAGAAAATTCAAGGCCCTCGTTTCCCACGACGGAACCTTCGTTGGATCTTCCAAGATCGGAACTGATGAGCTCTTCTTCATCGAACACGACGTATGTATTCACCGTTAAAAGCTCAGCCACATTTTATAGTATGCCTTGCTAACTTGTATTGATATTTAGTTCAACGGTACCTTCTACGAGGCCCGTCAAAACTACGACAGATGGGACTGCTCCAAGCCTGAGTTGGTTGCCAAATGGGGCACTCCTCAGCTCGTTATCCACAGCGACTACGACTTCCGTCTCTCTGTTGCTGAAGGTGTTGGTCTCTTCAACGTCCTCCAGGAGAAGGGTGTTCCCAGCCGTTTCTTGAACTTCCCCGATGAGTCCCATTGGGTCACCAAACCAGAGAACTCTCTCGTCTGGCATCAACAGGTCCTTGGATGGATCAACATGTACTCCGGCATTAACAAGAGCAACCCTGACTCTATTAAGCTTTCGGATACCAAGGTTGAGGTCATCGACCACGAGGCCGGCTCTACCTTCAAGTACTAGATTCTTTTCACTTAACGCAGACCATCTGATGTCATGTCTTTACTAGCAATGCAAATATTGTAATATTTTTTCACATCTGACTACTTTCTTAAAACCAACGGCCCTCAAAAGGCCAGTCCAACTGTTGTATACTGTTGTGTATTTAATAAGTGAGTAACAACACAATGACCATCATTTTTAACCATGCACTATATGGCGTTAAAAGTCTAACCGACGTATGGATTGGCAGTAGGTTATCGAGATAGAAGTATAGATGAGCAGCATGATCTCCCATAATGAGAAATTAATGTACATTTAATTCCTCTGGTTGAATCTATGTACTTGAAAATGGGTATCGTACAAAGCAGTGATAGGTAAACAGCAACGCAACGCAACAAAGGAAAACAATTAGCAAGTTAGTCTGCATGAAGTGTATATAAACCAATGCATCAAGAAGGGTTGGAAGCAAGAAGAAGCTGCACTCGTAGTGGTAGTATACAGCTGACAATGATCGGACGCGAAGGATAGGAGCTTCATGAAGGTGTATCCCAAAGCCTTAAAAGGTATCTCTCGTCATCATATTATCCGGAAAATCTAGTACGAGCAATCATATTGAGATTGATTAAGATGCGGCGTTCGACCTTGGGCTGCCGCCGCTAGATTTCTTAACTAGATCTGCGAAAAAGGTAGCTAGCCCTTGATTGGCGAGCTTCCCATCACTAGCTTGTCCGAGAGGCGGTATTCCCGGAGATGTCGGTCCACCAAGCGGCGTGGGCGACACGGAGCCGCTTCCACCAGCTGCACGGCTAGCTTCTCTCTCCTAAGAGTGGTTATTAGTAACTGGGTGAATATCAAAGGAGAAAGGAGAAACGGGGTAGCTTACTTTTAATCTCCTTAGCATGTCATCCGCATCAACTTGGATACCGCCCATATTAAACTGGACAGGTCCAATGTGCTCGTTTACTCGGTTCATGTCGTCCATTCCTATCATCATCTCTGCATCTTTGATGATACCTCCTCCCTTGCGCATTTGTCTTTCTTGCTTCTCGTCCTCTGCTTTGAGCTGTTCCAGCACTTCAAATTGCTCCGTTAGGAAAGCCTGGGAATCGACCGTCACTATCTCGATCTGGCTACCTTCCGACTGCCTAGCGCGAGAGACGGATGCGCCGCCTTTGGGATCCTGGATGGTTTGTTCGTAGATAGTTACAGCGCTGGTTCCAGATTCTAGCTCATCTGTCTCCTGTCGTTCTTCATCGTCTGCGTGGCGAGATGGTTTAAAAGATTCCGGGGGTTCTTGGATTTCGATGGACCAGCTCGTCCCAACACCTTCAATATTGAATCCTTCTCTGATAATCCGTATCTTTCCCCATGAGTCCCAGTTTGATGGCACTAATATCTTATCTCTATCGATGACATTGTGTTTAAGAGATTGCCGTTTGAGCAGAGAATGAATGCCCAGCGAGGACTGTATCAAGCTTTGTAGTGAGTTGGCCAAGAAACGTGTGGTGTATATTAAAGATGATCCATCTAAGTAGCCAAATCAGTCGGTTAGCAAAGTAGAAAGATTATAGCCAGGGGACGATGGTAGCTCACGCTTAAGAAGTATTGTTCGCATGAACTGTAGAATGAAGTCGAACTCTTCTTCTCTCCATCCATGGTCCTTTTCTAGCTGTTCGATCTTCTCTGCCTATTTCAGTAGAAACAATCGATTTTAGCGCTGCGGACCACCTCACTGGTAGAAAAGAAAGGGGAAACATACCCCTTGACAAACAACACAAGTGGGAATACCCAGCCCTTCATCCCACTCGCCTGGCCCCAACGGTATCGATGATACGGGGCCAGATCCGGCAACATGTGAAGGGTCCAATCCTCTTCTACGATCTTTCCAGTCAGTCATGACCTCTTCCATGACCACTTTTGTTTCATCATCCAGGGATATCAAGACTGAGCGCAAAAGCCGGACCCATTCTCGCAATTGCCTGACCCATGTCCAGGGGTTTTCCCAATCCAGGAGAAAAACTATCAGCATCTCAGGGGCGGTTTTGGGGTTGATCAAGGGACGAAGGAGAGGCGCATAGGACACTGATGGTTCTGAAAGTAGATAAATTGAGATTCTGGCGAGGATATCTGCATGTTAAAAGCGTATATAATTAGTTTATATGCAAGAAAGTGGGTGGGGGGTGGGATCCGTGTTAGTTAGCGTTCTTGGAAGCTCCCTTGCTTACCTTCCTGGTCCGCATCAAGGACGTTCTGATATGTGTACCCAAGTGCAAACTGATTCGCAATCGGGGGTGCCTTTTGCTTCCGTCGCTCTGAGGGTAGCCCGGCCTCGGTATGGTCAGTAGATAATGTTGCTAGAAACTCCCGCTGGCTCTCCGGTGTACCGCCTGGTGTAAACCAACGTTAGAATCGTGCTTGCAGGAGTGATAGAACGGACAGTCTCGTAGGTGGAAGTATAGATTGATGTATGAGGGTATCCAGGACGTACCCAAGACTAATAATGTCTTCTCCGGTAACCGTTTCCCACTCGCTCCAGCTTGGAGCATCGAAGACCAAAGCTCCTTTTTGCTGCCATCCTTACTGGTCGGCCGACTGTTGGTTCCTCCCTTTGAAGCTGAGTTCTGGCTCAGGGTTGAAGCCCGCTGTCCTAGTTCTACCATATTGGCGCGACCATACCCTTGTATATGGATGCCGGAGGAGAGACACGGACGCGGTAGGGGGAGGCCTGCGGAGGTCGGAAAGGGACCAGCGGTAGAAGAGATATCTTGAAGTTCGCAAGACGGACCGAATTGACACTTGAGCAGCGGTCGCAGGAGCTTCCTGACGTTATTGCGATGTGCTCTCCCAGTAAACCAACCTTGGGACTATTTTGGTTCCCTTATCGGGTTCACGAGCACACGTGATTAAACTTGATAAAGGGGTGTTTATTCTTCGTGTGCGTGTTTCCGGCTTTGGCTCTGGTTCTGATGGTTGTCCGCGAGAGACTGCAACAGTTTTATTATTGTAATAATCGTTATGCTACGAGTCAAGCTGGAAGAGTTGTATAGATATAAAATGTCCAAGTTTGGGTGTCGTCCCAGTGCCTAACACGTGACCACTTGAAAAAGCAGAGCTGACTAAGCTGTGGCATCAAAAGGTAAAAGAGCCAGAGATGAAGCTGATAACCAAGTTAAATACACCCTGGGACGCGATCATACGTCTGTTCATGACCTGTTAACAGGCTGAGAGTATAGCCGTCATGAATGCGATCCGCCAAATTGAAGCTCTCAATAAAACAGAGCTCGAGAACGCAGTGTACGTCAAGCCTCTAGTGTGATTCAGCCGACCTTGCTAACAGCTACTTTTCTCTTCATTTAGATCTCCAGAAGCTTCCTGGCATGCTGACTACCGCGATACGGCTTACATCTATATCGGAGGCCTCCCGTTTGACATCAGTGAAGGCGATATTCTAACAATATTCTCTCAATACGGCAACCCAGTCCATTTAAACCTAGTTCGAGACAAAGAGACAGGAAAGAGTCGAGGGTTCGCGTTTCTTAAATATGAAGACCAGCGAAGCACAGATCTAGCTGTGGATAATCTAGGAGGTGCAACGGTGCTCGGCAGGTTGCTTAGAGTGGACCATGTGCGGTATAAAAGACGTGAGGAAGAAGGGACGGAGGATAACCTTGCGAATGTGGACGAGAATGGGGAGGCGGTGACTAGGGAGAGAGATGGAGAAGAGAAGGGAGGAGAGGAGAAGGGCAGCCGAAGGAAATCGAGAAGGGACGAATCTGAGGAACCGAAAAGACCGGCTCGACAGCTGTTGAAGGAGGAAGTGGAGCTACAGCGGTTGATGGATGAGCATGACGATGAAGATCCGATGAAGGAGTACCTTGTCAAAGAGAAGAAAGAGGAAGTTGAGAATGCGCTGGCACTGGTGAAGGTGAAGTCAAAGTCAAAGTCGAGTAGGAGAGATCGCAGTAGAGACGGCCACAGCTCGCGTCGTCATCGGCATCATCACAGAAGAAGACCTAGTGAGGAACGATCACGCTCTAGGGAAAAACGCTCACCACACAGGAGCAGAAGGGAGAGATCTAGGGAACGGTCAAGTGAACGGAGACACCGTCGAGAAAGACGGGATCGGAGTTGAATATTCTAATTCTATCCTGCCCTAAACTCAGCTACACATCACAAACCGGAAACAGTAAGCTAAACCACGAAATATCCTCGGCCTGTCATTCGTCTGTGGTTCCTCCTCTTGAAAGACAAGTCAATATGCACTTGCGAAATCTCAGCTGGGGACATATTAAGCAGCGTACCGGATCATGGGGGTCTGCATTGACTTCCTCCTCTTCTGCCAGGTCATGGATACGGCAGTCAACGATCAACTGCTCCTTACTAGGAACTGCCCGGATTATATTTCCTTTTCTTTATGTGTTGGATCAAACATGCAATTCTCGGCTGCATGCATGCAGCATGACTTCCATCAAACAACGCTTTCAGCTTCCGAGGTATCGCTTCCATCCGGCTCTAAGACATTGTCTTGTCCCGTCACTTGCTTCCTGGAGAACAAACCGTTCCCACCTACCAGCCTTGCCAGCACCGATTACGAGTAAAGTCTGATCGCTCGTCCAACCAATAATGCCCTTTGACGGTCGTTCAGAGGGTGCACCAGGTGGCGGAACGTACTGGGAGCCAACTGGCTCCTCGCCAATATCAAACCTGGCACTGGCGAATGAATAGACGTCTGAAAACACACGAGGAAGGAATGGAAGCTTTCCTAGAATCCCCCATCCGCGATTTGCGGATTCTTCAGGGGTAGCTGTTGGTGGATTGCTGCTGTCCTGCTCGTTCCGTGCGTGTGGGATGTCGAATATGTGCAGAGTTGCTTTGTCAGAGGTCACTGCAAGAAGAGTGTTGGAGGGTGAAATAGCTAATGAGAATATCTCTGCCTGGTCAAGTCCTCTTCGAAGTTCGGCCATCTTGGCACCGTTACTGGTAGCAAAGACCCTTATTATAGTTCCCTATATCATATTAGTATAGCCTTTATAAGAGTATTATGCTATATTTACCGTTTGGCTTGCCGTGGCCAGGACAGCACCGTCACCACTAAACGTCATCGCACTCAGCGGCGACGTGTGGGCTGGAAGAATGTTCACATTCCCCGTCTTTAGCTCGATGAGCTGAACCTGCCCGGGAGACCGGCCGGGAACCGCGATATGGGTCTCTCCCAGACACGCAAGACCATGCGGGTTATCTCCAGTCTCATAGACGGCTATCTTCTCTGGTGGCACTGAAAATGCGTAGAGATGAACGCAATCATGGAGAGCAACTGCGATGCGAGACTTGGTGATACACACTCGTAGGATCGAGGTGCGGAATTCAAGCGTCATCGCCGCGACTTGTTTCGCATCGTCCCAGATGATCACCTGTTCAGACATTAGAATACATCCTTCAACTGAGAGCGTACTCCGTACCTTGTTCTGTGGAAACTTGGGCGTCTGGCCTCCTCCAACGACGGCCAGGTAGTTGGACTGCCCGACCATCTCTATGATTCCGATGCCGGCATTAAAGTCTGATATGTTTAGCAACAACATATAAAATGGTAGATGGCCAGTCTACTCCGTACCTCTTGATACTTTAAGCTCACAGGGGTCCGCATTAAATACTAGATATATATCAGTGCCCGTCGTACTATGTATAGAACGACAAGATAGACATACCACAGAACCCCGAGTCCAGCCCAACGGAGAAACAGGTGCTGTCACGGTTGAACGACGCCGTCAACGACACTGGGCCGCCAGAGGCATCGAGCATCTCCCTTGTATTCATAGCTGATATCTCCCCTCTCCCGCTGTAAAACGGAGTAAACGACTCAAAACCAGGCCTGCTGCGTTGACCGTCAGCACTGATCCAGTATCAGGCAGCAGAGAAAGTGCGCCGTCCGCTGGTTGGAGGTATAAGTGTATGAGCTGGCGAAGTAGATATCCATGAGAGGTCGAACCTCATATTAGGGAGTAAGGTCACATGACCCCAGGTTGCCCAAGAGAGAAACGATGCAAGTTGTCTCCCCCGTTTGCTGCGGCAGCTGTTTGTCCGTCTGCTCGGCCTGACCGGCCCATGCAGCGGGCGCAAACTAGCCTGCACTCCTCGCTGCTTCACCCAGCCGCCATCGCCCTTCCATCGTCCTGCTGGTGGCTTCGACGGCGGGAGAAAAAAAGGGGTAAAAACTCAGGAGTTACCCAAAAAATACACGCCCGTAATTCGCTCCACCAAAACCTGCGCACGGAGCGTATTTCTGATACGCGAAGGGGCTGAACTGCCCGTGTATCCGTATTATATCCAGCCAATAAACATGTAATTTATCGGCTGATATTACACAGTCACCGCAAAGTGAATACGTGATGTGACCGTATGGTAAAGGGATAACACACCACGTGACATAAAGGGAGAGCCCCCTAACCCAAACTGAATTGTTGCTCTGCTCTGCTAATAATTACTCCTGCTTCAAGACATCGACCGACACACCAGCATCGTCCAGCTTGTCTCCCCGCCGGCCATCTCCAGCTCCTCTGCAGCCTCAATTCGCTCCGGATCCAGTTCGCCTTTGCTTCTCTCGCTAGGCAGACGCTGTCTCTCGCTTTCCTGAAAGCAGCACCTTGATCCGTTAACTCTATCATACCTCACCCCCGAAACCAACACGATGTCCGCTCCAAACAACGTACGTGCTCTCCCCCCCCCCTCCCCCCTTCATATCCTTGCATTGAGACTCGTTGCGGGTCTCTGTACGCGGCTCTGGAGTGTCCTCTTCCTAGAGCTGTCGACTTGTCCTGACGGTGAACGGTATACTGACTCCGGCAATAGATCAGGATCCGCAAAAAGAAGAATGTCAAAAAGGGTATTCAGTTTAGTTTGATGGTGTGTGGTGCTAGCGGAACTGGTATGTGGCCCTGATACTGCGTTTGTCGCGTCCCTGGCTGATGTCAATGGCTCTAGGTCGCACCACCTTCGTCAACACTCTATGCGGAAAGCAGGTCCTTCAGGGGAAGGATGCTGATGATGCTGGAAGCGCCCACCTCGAGGAAGGAGTTCGCATAAAACCAGTTACTGTTGGTATGCATATCTCAACGTACGCTGGACAAGACAACATCCTCACTGAAGCTATAGAACTAGAACTTGACGAGGAAGGCACACGCATTTCTCTCACCATCGTCGACACCCCCGGATTCGGCGACCAGATCAACAACGAGGAGAGGTATGCTTGTAGATCTTCTTTTACAGTATGGACATGACTAACTGGTGTGCTAGCTTTTCTGAGATCGTTGGATACCTCGAGCGCCAGTACGATGACATTTTGGCCGAGGAGTCGAGAATCAAGCGTAACCCAAGGTTCCGTGACAACCGTGTCCACGCTCTTTTGTACTTTATCACACCCACCGGCCACGGTCTCCGCGAGCTGGATATCGAACTGATGAAGCGTCTCTCCCCCCGTGTCAACGTCATCCCCGTCATTGGCAAGGCCGATTCGTTCACACCTGCTGAACTCGCCGAGTCGAAGAAGCTTATTATGGAGGATATCGAACACTACCGTATCCCCGTCTACAACTTCCCATACGACATCGAAGAGGACGACGAGGATACAGTTCAGGAAAACGAGGAGTACAGATCACTCATGCCATTTGCCATTGTCGGTTCCGAGGACGTGCTCGAAATCGGTGGCCGCAAGGTGCGAGCTAGACAGTACCCATGGGGTGTCGTAGAGGTCGAGAACCAGCGCCATTCGGATTTCTTGGCCGTCCGCAGTGCTCTCCTCCACAGCCATTTGGCGGACCTGAAGGAGATTACCCATGACTTCCTGTACGAGAACTACCGTACCGAGAAACTCAGCAAGAGCGTTGAGGGAGGTGCTTCTGCGTACGTCTACACTTTTCTTATTTTTCCCTCTTACCCCTTTAATTCTATGTTCAACTTGTACTAACCTTCGCCAGTGCTCACGACTCTACCATGAACCCTGAAGACTTGGCCTCTCAGTCCGTGCGCCTGAAGGAGGAGCAACTCCGCAGAGAAGAGGAGAAACTCCGTGAAATCGAACTCAAGGTACAGCGCGAGATCAACGAGAAACGACAAGAGCTGTTGGCCCGTGAGAGCCAGCTGAGAGAAATCGAGGCCCGCATGCAGCGTGAACAAGCTGCTCAACAGAACCAGGACCCTAACGGAGAAACGGCATAAGCAAAGAAACCTGCCAAGACCCAAAGCTAAGCAAGTAAGGGAGCAAAGGCTAATGCTTGCGCGGTTTGATACTGCGGTTTAGAACGTTTTCTTTTTTGACATACGAGGAATGGAGATCGCACACACTCACACACAGGGGACGAGGGGATTAATGGTCCTAAGCCGCGAGGAAAAGGAAAACTTGGCTTGAAGAGAGATTCACTTTTTACGTTAAACATCATTTTCCCTCATGTATACCTCAATCAACCTCAACTCTCAGCTTTCCTTCTCACTTCCCTTCTTTTCTCTCCTTGTGTTTCTACCTGCAGTCTCTTAATCACCTTTCCTTAGCCATTGGTCTCCGTCCAGCTTGGACTTCGAATTTTTACCTGGTCCTGTCGAGGATCTACTTCTTTCAATCCCTCCCCTTTTTTATTTTTTATGCCCTCCATTGCCTTATGCAACCACCGCCCACCATTTTTCATACCCGGTTTCCGCGCGTGTTTTTTTTTAACCTCTTGTTTACTATTTTAAAGAAGAAGAGTAGTTTAATTAATGGTATTTAATCCTATATCCTCTTTCCCTTGCCATTTTAACTGTGCCTCTTGACTACGTTTTGGCAGATGCATTAAAATGCATGCAGGTGCTCGAATTTTTTTTGGCGCGAACACAAGGATTGGCTGCATGAGCTGACAGTAGAGATCCGTGACGTTTCAGTTGGATTTTAAACATGGCATCGGAAATCTGCGTCTGTACGACTCTTTGACAGCTGGCCGAGCCTGCTGACCAGATTCCACGCCATTTGTTTTAACGATAAACCCCCGTTTGAACGGGGAGAAGATACAGTACAATAGAACATGCAAGCAATAGCAACAATGACATCTAAATAATCTAAACACCCAAACAAGGCCTACGGATAAAATGGGAATATCAATCCTATCCACACTTTCTTGCTTGCAGAGGGGTATCTCAAGAGTTGCACGAGCCTTATGAGAAATTCGCAAATCATCCGTATGTAAAACTGACAAAAAGGAAATGAGGTCAGAGATACTAGATATGTAATTAAAATAGTCGAAAAGATAGAGATAGAGAGAAAGAGAGAGAGGACATGAAGAAGAAAGAGTACAGGGTAGAAACCTTCCACCAACCAACATGAAAGAGAAAGAGATCGGGATGATGGAAGAGAAAAGACCCCACAAAGATGGGAAGGAATCAAATGGTAGGAACAAACAAAGATGGTATAGAAGAATAGAAACATGAAGGACTAATTCATCGACAAAAAAAGGAGGGATAAAGGTGAATGAAGGAGAATGCATCATCATCAGTTGAAGAACAGAAGGAGGGGGTGACATCAGGCATAATGCCCATTCAGGTGCTGCGCGAATAGACGTTGGCCAGAACGAGAACAGGAAAAAGGTGCATAACGCTCGAATTGTAAAAATTAGATGCCGCAGGGCAGGCAGGCAACTTCAAATGCTCTCAAAAAAAGAGAATTGGACAAGAATGTCCCGTTGATTCCCAGTGTAATTTTTTTTTTGCTTTGCAGTCCTTCCCGTTTATGCAGGCTTGTTCCAGAAATCAAGGCTAGTGACGACATCTTCTCCGGCTTCGTCTTCATACGCATATATGATCTGTGGTATATCAGTTAGCAAACATGATGTGGAATAGGTGAGTATGAGAAAATAATATGGGGAATTGTTTACCTCTCTCGTTGAAGTATGTAGCATACGAATATTTCGTCCAGTCATAACATGTACCAATTCACTCGTTTCAAGATGTCGAATCTCAATGAAACTAGGTTCAAAAGCGAGGATGTAGGGATAAGAGAGGGCGAAAGCTGTAGGGTTACCTTCCCAGGCAATTCGCCAGTCTGGTCTAGCTCGCCACCCGTTACGGTTGACGAAGAAGGAGAAGTCTGAATAGTTGAGTAAGAACTCTCCGTTAAGTCTTTCAATATGAATGGGTTTGACGTTTTCTTTTCTCGCGACGAAATCAAGAGATGTATCGGCTTGGTCTAGCAGGGATTGTCTCTCGGTAGTTTCTAAACTGACGACCTCAAAGCCACGGGAGCAGCCGACACAGAGGGTTGATCTTAGGAAGTGAACAGAGGATGATTCAGCGGGGATGTAGAATTCCTGATGTAATTAGCGATCTTATTAGCAAAATGTACAGCGCAGATGGTTGGATAGTATATACCTTAAATGGTTTCAATGCATCTTGACCACTCTGGAACATTTTGCTTAGAGGCTTCTTCTTGCCCTTTGCAAGGTTCTCCATAGGTTCGAAAACCTTGATGGTCGTTGATAAAGTTGACGTCTTTACAGAGCACACCAGGTGTCTGCCTAAGCCGATACCGGACTTGAAGAAATTGGCATGCCCTTGAATCTTCTTGGGCCGTCGCACCATAGCGCTCTGGTTATCGTTTGTATCCAATGCCTCAAGCGGGTAGGAGCTTAGAGTCTTGTTGGCTAGCACCAGAAGCAATTGATATTCTTCCAAAGTATCGATCTGGGTCACCGCACTAGCTTCAAGAACACGTTTTGGCGTTGATGTTTTGTCCTTTGGCCAACGTTCGGAAACGTAAATGCCATTATCCGTTCCGTATACCAGCTTTCGTCCTCCATCTACAGTCATGATGTTAGCAAATATTCGGGTTAACGTATGTAAAAATATGACGGTGGTACGTACCAATAGGAACCAAGCAGTTGATTCTGTTAACGGCGCTGAAGAAGTTCTCGCAAAGAGTAGTCTTCGAGTAGAAATTGCTATTTCTCTCTCGTAATTTCCGCTGCTGCTCTTCAACTAGTTCGATAAACCGTTTTCTCTGGGTCTGTGACGTTGCATGGAGAGTTATATCGTAACCACCTTTGCCCAGATGGCGGAAGGTAACGGGAAGCCCATCCTTGGCTGAAGTAGGAGTAGCGTTAACCGCCCTCCCTCCTGGAATGAGGCCGGCAGCAGTGGGACGTTTGTGGATACCTAATTTAGGCAGGACTTCTTCCATCTGGGTGATGACAAGAAGTTCAAGCGGGATTGGTTTCTTATATACTCGGTACTCCTCCCGCTTATTCACAGGTTTTATTCGAACTAGTAGGACGGAATGATCGAATAGGTAGGCGGTGACCTCTGCTGAATCAGTAGGTCCCTTCTTGAATGCCATCTTAATCAACATCACTCGGTTCTCCTCTGTAAGCTTCAGATCAACGTAATCGCCGGGGGTGAATTTCAACGCAGAGTTCAATTGAACGAGATTGAAGTGGTTCTCTGCTTTTCCACTCTCAGTGTTCACTCGAGAGAGGAAATCTCGGATCAAGACAATAGCCTTGGGGATGTCTTCCTTGTCTGGGCTGTCATCGGCAGTATACTTGGCCACACCTTCCAGCAGCAGTGGATATCTTGCTAATCGGGTCGTAGGCTTCGTAAGATAACCGTTCAACTCAAGCTTTCGGGACTCCTTCAAGCGCTCCGTCTCTTCAACGAATTTGGCAAAGGCCGGGTTGGAGGATCGTTCCTTTTCAAACTCATATTTTCCATGAAGCTGGTTGGCTCCGTATCTAATGAATGGATCGAAACGGGGCACAAATTGAAGGAAGATGTCGCCAATTGTCTGCACAACCTGGTTCTCCTTTTGCCGGGTGTTTAATGCCTCGGATAGCTTAGAGTTGACACCCAGCACTTCTAGACAGTTTCCGAATACCGTGCGTATGAACTTTTCTCGGCGATGCTCAGGGATGGGAGAAAGGTTAGAGTTGTTCAGCGAGCGCAGTGGGCGCATCCAGAAGTCCCTCAAGTATTCCAAGTCCTTTACAAAGTCACGTTCGGTATACATAAGCTCGAAGATAATCTCCTGTCGCTTCTTCTCACGGTCGTCAAGGCTATCAGCCACCTCCTTGGGTACCATGTTGATCCACAGTTTCTGGTCATCGTTATCTTCCTGGTCATGGAGACTGCCCTTGGAGGCAGATGGTCTTAGTCCAGGCTGGGGCTTGAGATTCAGTCGTGCCTGTTGCTCTAGTCGTCGGGGGCAAGCAATTGAATAACATAGCTGGTCTCTGGTACAGGTTGGGGAGTAGCACTCGGTCAAGAGCGTAAAGACACCATTGACATCGTTGACGGGAGATTCCTCACCCATCGTCTCCCTAAACTGGTAGAGCTCGCCGGGTGCATCTCGCAATCGGTGGTCATAGGTAACGTCATGGAACAGCTTTTGGGCATCCAAGGCTCGACCAAGGAGGAGAGCCAGATTGCGATCTGTCGTCTTGATAATGTACGATATCAAGTCAACTGCTTCTGCACCAGTAAAGGCGTTCGTGTAAGCCAGGTCATTCTTGATACGTTCCCCGACCGCGACTCGTTCCCTAAATACAGCAGCTACCCGAGATAGGAGAGCAGGATATGCAAGCGGGGTCCTGCGGTGAGCAGTACCCGCTGGCGGAGGAGGCCCTGCCATCGAGTTGTTGGCTGATTTCGTTGGGAGAGGCTTTTGCAAGCTGTTGTTTCGTTCTGGGGTGACAGTTGACGCCATAGATAAAGTACGTGAATTAACCGAGCTTTCACTCGGGTGTCTAACACGTAACTGAAGATCTTGCTGCGGAGGAAGGACGTGGTGGCCGGAGTGTGCAGGAGTGATAGGTTCGTCAATAGTTGGTTGCATGGAAACTGGAGACTCCATGAACTGGCGGTCCATGCCTCCAGCTCGCTCACGGTCCAAGGCCGACTCTCTCCTTCTATTCGGCACAACCCTTCCAGAGCTGATCGTTTGGGCGTGGTCGCGGTCTGCAGAATAAGAGCTCATCGACATGGCCCGTTCGTTGTCGTGTCTCTCTGGCACTATGCGGCCCTGTGCTGTCCTAGATCCCATGGAATGATAGGATTGCTGGCGGAAAGCATTGACAGGGGTAGGCGGGTACTGTGATTGTGGCGATTGGTACGAAGGAGGGCCTCCGAGTCTTGCCATTGAACGTGATCTATACTGATCCGAGTTCAGAGCGGGCGGAGGTAGAGGTCGATTCTGGGGGTTCGGTTGCTGGAATTGAGGAGGAGGCATCGGCCCTGGCCGTGAGTCCAGGCGTTGAGGGTGCGGGTACTGAGGTCGGCCAGGGTAAGGTCGCTGCATGCTCGGCGGATATTGCTGAGGGTTCTGCGGGTGCATAGGGCGCTGCTGGGGATGGGGAGGGGGAGGTGCGCGGTGCTGTGGGGGAGGCCCCGAGCCGTTGGGTTGCCATTGGGGCCTGTGGTATTCCGCTGGCGGATTTGGCGAATATCCGCCACGAGACTGTCGCATAGGCTGGGGAGGTCCCCGGGACTGCGAGTAGGAGTCAGACGGGTGCGAGGTCATTGTATGTGCGCGCTCCTGGTTGAACTGTGGCGTTTGCGATGTCATCGTCTGAGACCGGCCTGGAGGCGGCGTGCCTCCGAAAATCTCAGAAAAGGCAGCATCTCGCTGGAAGGACGAAGCAGGGCCACGAGAAGCTCCAGGCCGGTAGCCCCGTCCTTGCTGGGCTCCCAGATCCGCCATGATGGAAGCTGGCTATCCCCTCTCTCGATGTATGTGCGAATACCCTGGGGGACTGCAATGCAGGCGTCGGGCCTCGATTATTGATGGTAAGACTGGTGATCTTCGAGTCGGTCGGTAGGAAGACAGTGCAGGTTGCCTGCTTCGTAGTAACATCCAAATTCGAGCCAAAAAAAGATAGTTGACTATATTGAAGGTGATCAGCTCGCCTTCATCCTCCGAGGAGCTAGCCACGCAGTCTAAGAGGGCGAGACAGCGGTGCAAAACGCCCAGCGATGCCCTATATACCAAGACGAAAAGATAGAGCGCCTCAACAGCAGGCTATTCGGCAGGGGAGAGGAGCAGGGTCTTTCTGTGAGGGCTATGATAGGGATCCCCTCATGCTCGAGACGGGGAGTCGAAACACGAAAATTCAGCGGCCGTTGCAGGACAATGCCGGGCCAGTGGTGAGCTGGCACAGGAGAGAACGCGGCGGCCGGACAGGGCTGGTGGTCGGGTGCGAAGACAGAGGATGGCGGCCGTGATGCGCGAGTTGGATGTCCTCGTCGTCGTCGTTCGAGTTCAGTCTTGATTAGGTGCAAGATGGATGTGACGAAGGAGGCCGAGAAGGGAAACGTATCTCCGTGACCGCACCTCGACCTGGGCCTGTCAACGCAGTCTGCAGCTCGTATATTTGGCGTAGAAGCTGTATTCAGCCAGTAGATGTGTAGAGGATGTCGGTAGGCATAGAAAAATGAAGAATAGAGGTGCAATTCCTGGTTTATTCAGTTGTCGAGATTGTACGGAGGTTGTATCGTGTATTCACGTGATGAGGATCCTGATTGGGCCTGCTCACTTCAATATACGACAACGGATACAACAAGAGAAGAGACAAGATACGACAAAGAGAAGAGACAAGACAGTATACGAAGAGACAAGATAAGAGACGAGACAGTATACGAGAAGACAGGAGATAGGATACGACACAGCATCGATATAGAGACGACAGCTAGCTTCACTTGCTGCCTACGGCAATCCAGACGGTGGATGAGAAGCATCTCTACGACAGGATATTGCCCGGAGCTGCAGACACAATGGTGGACAGTGAGCTTGCTCCCAAGTTTGCCCCCTTCTTTGGGATGGTCAGTTCTGCTTCTTCCCTCCAGCTTGACCATGGCTAACAGTTAGAATAACAGGCCGGTATAGCTGCTGCTGTAAGTACCCTTCCACCTCAGAGCTCGGAGTATTGAATTCAGGCTATCGAAAACAGCATTAACCCGCCGGTCTTAGATAATCTTCGGATGTACGTTACCTCTCGCTCGCCGGAGCTGGGGTCTCCCTTATCGAGGACTCTAATATCGAGAACTCCATATTGACATTGAGTTATACAGGTCTTGGAGCTGCATATGGCACAGCAAAGGCAGGAATTGGAATTGCAGGTGTCGGAACATTCAGGCCTGATCTGATTATGAAGGCATGGCCCAATTCTCCCATGTTCATTGCTGCGGTTATGAAGAAGATTTGCTGACATGATGGTACCTCTACAGTCGCTGATACCCGTCGTCATGGCCGGTATCATTGCCGTGTACGGGCTTGTCGTTGCCGTCCTCATTGCTGGAGACCTAGGGCCACCACCAGAGACCCATTACAGCTTATATACGTACGTTTATATACCGTTTGACCAACGAGGATGGATCGAATATTGACTGGGTTTTAGTGGGAGTTTGCACCTTGCAGCTGGACTTTCGGTCGGCCTCGCAGGCCTTGCTGCCGGTTATACCATTGGAATAGTCGGCGAAGCTGTGAGTTCCGTCAACAAACTCTTTATGGGCCATTACTAACATCCATCAGGGAACGCGCGCCTACATGCAGCAATCCAAAGTGTTCGTGGGTATGGTGTTGATTTTGATTTTCGGAGAAGTTCTGGGTCTATACGGGTACGTCTGTCTCCTTGTGGCTGTCTATAATATGACACTAACCTTGGTAGATTGATTGTCGGCTTGATTCTGAACTCGAAGAGCTCTGCCTAGACTGGTTACTCGGAAGCTGGACCTACATCCAGCTCCAACTTTCTCACATCTCTCTTCATCTCTTCATCTATCCATCTATTCATCCATCCATCTCTCCTAGCTCACCAGCAAGAGCTCTCCGGTGTCCTTGTTGTATATACTCCAGCGACGCGTCCCTACTGCCAGCCACGCAGCAACGGGTGTTTCGGGATGTTTTACTGCGCCTTCTTTAGACATCTTCCTGTACTCTACTACCTAATAGCATCGTAACAATATATATCTACACGCCCTGAGTAAGCCCTGACTAAGAGCCCCCTGATGCCCCGCGTTACGTCAGAGTGCGGCTTGTTAGTGAAAGCGCGCCCGAAACAGCGCCGTATAGCTTGCTTAGCTTACCAGGAACCCAGAAGAGAGAAAAGTCTGCCCCGAACGCGATGTCTCGTCTGGCTCTGCTTCGGCCTACGGACGGTTTGGAAGTCAATGGCAATCACTGCGACCCTTCGTTGCCCCGGACACCGCGCTCAATGCCTGCTGAGCATGCTGCATGAACTACATCCAAAGGATCTCTCGTTGCCGAAATCTCCGAACCCGTTTCTCCAGGCCTGGTCCTCTTGCTAGTCGTGGATTCGGCATGGCGAGGTGAAGGGAAGAAGAGCAAGAGAAGGAATATACTTGGGAAAGACTGCTTGTCGGGATATATATACACACACTGCGTCCTGTGCTACGAAACTCTGCTGCTCGTCCTGATGGCGACGACGAAGTTGATAAAGCAGCTTCTGCCCGACATATCTCACGCACAAGGACCCCAGATGCAGCCAGAGCATCGCGAGACGGAGGTGAAGCCGGACCGTCTCTCATGGCCGGCGTCGAGGCCACGAACGCCCAGGGACGTCGCTGAAAGTCGCATAAGGGAATTGGCTGGTTTACCGGATCGGAGGCTGGCGTTTGATGATTTTGAGCTCGTCAAGACATTGGGGACTGGTGTGTACATGCGGGTTGACCGGACAAGGCCATTTCCAGGGCTTCATTAACTTCTGGGGGCTTCGTTGCCTCTCTGTCAAACAGGTACTTTTGCGCGCGTCTGGCTCGTCAGACTCAAGGCGACCAAGGAGCCCAACAGCAATGTCTTCGCCCTGAAGGTCCTTCGGAAAGCTGAAGGTAGGTCGTTTCATCCTCGAAAAGAGTGAGATGGGTGGCCATTGGCTAACGGAAGATTTGTCTACTCGCAGTTATCAAGCTGAAACAGGTCGAACACGTAAGAAACGAGAGCAAGTGCTTGTCAAAGGTTGCCGGGCATCCTTTCATAACAACCCTGGTTACGACCTTTTCAGACGAACTCTGCCTTTACATGCTGGTACGTAATCTGTCCCCGTCTCGTTTGGCACTAGCTGTCAGAAAAGAAAAAGAGAGGCGCCGGTTATAAGATATTTCACGGGTGGAGGCTGACCAAGTCTCTAGCTTGAATATTGCCCTGGTGGTGAAATATTTACCTTTCTCCGTCGATCGCGCAGATTCAATGAATATACATCCAAGTTCTATGCAGCTGAAATAACGCTAGTAATCGGGCACCTGCATGACATGCATGGAATCTCCTATCGCGATCTCAAACCCGAAAACATCCTTCTTGATCAAGACGGCCACCTCAAACTAGTTGACTTTGGTTTCGCCAAACAACAGTATAACTTAGAGACATATACCCTCTGTGGCACGCCAGAATACCTTGCTCCAGAAGTTATACATAACAGCGGCCACGGCCTTGCCGTCGACTGGTGGGCGCTGGGTATCCTAATTTACGAATTTCTCGTCGGCCAGCCACCCTTCTGGGACTCAAACCCAATGGGCATATATGAAAAGATTGTTGAAGGGAGAATCCGGTTCCCTGCAAATATGGCAGCTCCCGCTAAAGATATAATTAGCTCGTTGTGTAAAGTGAACCCGTCGGAGCGACTGGGACATATATCCGGAGGAAGCCAGCGGGTTCGGGACCACCCGTTCTTCGAAGGGATCAATTGGGATGACCTGTATCATAAACGGATGAAGGGCCCCATTGTACCGGAGGTAGGTCATCCGGCAGACACGACCAATTTCGAAGAGTATCCCGAACCTCCTGACCCAGCCACTCAAGCTGTTTATACCGATGAGATGAAGGAGAAGTACGAAGAACTATTTCAGGACTTTTGAAGCAATGAATGAAAGAAAGGAGAGCTGCAGCGGAAGATCCCCTCCTATAGATGTACAAGCTGCATTTACACGACGTTTATGCGCGACTCAAACTTGCGTAGCATCTCCGCATAGAGATACCTCATCTGCCTTTGAATACGCTGCTGACCTTTTACTCCAACATGCGGCTTGCGAATCACAATACTAATAGCCATTATCCCGATCGACGTCATCCATCCTCCACTGTTTCTCAGATATTCTTACGTGTCACTTCCCTGCTGCCACCAAACCTCCACGGGACGAGATCTTCTGGGTAATACTCCACTATATAACCGTCACCCCTACCTTACACAGGGATTCTACATATACTCCACACCGTCTATATAAACACATACCCCAAGGAAGGAACTGCAGCCTCAAAGTGGCAGGATATCATGTTCTTGCTCTACCGCAACTAGCTACTTTGGAACGTGACACATTTTCCGGCCTTGTGTTGGAATCTAATACTTTATTTAACTATCTATTATGCCCCGAGTAGAAGAGAGAGAGGAAGGAAGGAAATGGATGCTGTAACTCTGAAACAACAGAGCCTGCTCTGTGTTTATGGCTTCTTTTTCAGCCGGTTCCCCTAACTGTGGAAACATGATGCGAGATAGTAGACTTGTAATCCTTTCTAGAGGAAAAACATAGGTAAAGGGGACAGGGTGGAGCGTTAGTGGCTGTTATAGGAAGTATGAAGTGGTATCTGAAGGAAAGCGAGGTCGTAGGAAATGCTTTAAGAAAGTCTATGTATAGACGTCAAGCCGAGGGAGTCTGAACGGTAGGAAAATCCCTTTACAAGGGTTTTGGGGGAATGATCGCTAAATTAACTGACAAATAGAGTGTGGGGTTGTAAAGAGAATGGATGGACATGCCACAATGGGCTATGAAGGATCCATATATCCGGGTAATGCAGTTGTAATACTAAAAAGGGAATTATGGGGGTTGGTTCATCAAAAGGAGGAGAATGCGAGACATGTTAACGAGCAAAGAGCCCATTACCATTTGCCGATTCGCCTGTCTTCACTCGACTTCCACGATCCTATAGATAAAAGTTAGATCAAGGTCGTTCAATCATGTATTTAGGATCATACCTGAAAACTGGTGCTGGACAAAAGCCATCTCGCTGTCCAGCTCTTCAGAGCCCATCTGCTGTACACCCGGGCTGAAACTTGTAATCGGCAGAACAACAATGTCTCCCATCTGCTTTTGCTTCGTCATGCCAGTGAAGTGGGTAGCAGAGATATTTCTGAGCTTCCCATCCTCACTAGGGAAGTAGACTGGATCGTTGAAGTATCTGAAGATAGCATCCGTCCAGACCGCAGGCCCGGTGAATTCCACAATCGACCTATCCATTTTCGATTTCGTTAGAGGACCATCGCCCTTCATGCGCATTGTCTCCTCCGTGATCGTTGCAATCACATCTCGAAGAATTGGGTGGCCCGGCTTTGACTGGATGGTCCACTGGCAAAACTGTATTCTTCGCGAATACCACTTGGCCCAGTCGACACGGTCAGGATCAGCTTCAATGCCAACAACTAGTCCAATGGTCGATCGGTCAAAAGACGACGGTATCCATTCCGTGGCTGGCCGAATGACAAACGTATCTATGTCGGAGTAGATTCCTCCCCGAGCGTAAAGGATCAGGTAGCGGAAGAAGTCTGCCTTGAGAACAGGCAATGGCATGGCGTTGTATGCTTCGATGATTTCCGGGAAGGAGGCATATAGATATCTTAGAAAGTATAGTGCACTCTCGTCGTCGATGACCTGGTGGACGAACCCGGGATGGTATTCAGTCCAGCTTGCTTCCAGCGGCCGCAATGTCGGGTCGAACTTCCCGGAGGCGGGAGTGTACTTCCATGTCTGCCAAATATATCCAGGAAACTTGGCCGCAACGCTGTACGGGAAGTGGTATTTGAGGCGGTCTCGAAGCGTCTTTGGCTGTTCCGGGACAAGCTTAGCAGTGACCGGTGTGCTCTCCAGCACTTCTTCCGACTGTATTTCTTCTGATCGCTGGTGGTGAGAGTCGGTCTCCGCATTGATAACAACCGGGTTGGCGTGAGACGCGTGGAGGAGGAAGAGGCCTGAAATGATAACGAACGCAATAAACACGCATTTTCGAAAGGAAATCATGGTTGCTCGAAACTAGTGAGAACTGTCATTGGCACACCAGGGGGTCGCGGATGTTTGTAGTGGGCAGCTATCCGTAGCTGGCTTTGAGGCCCTGGCTCTATATGCTGCTTGCCATTAGATGGAATTATTGAACCGTTTAAAGATTAAGAAAAAGAAGGCCAAGAAAGGCTGGGGATCAATCCAGCAGAGAAGAGAATTAAAACATATATTAAGTGACAAAGGAAAAGGGAGGCAGGAGTGGGCAGTCTGGTGTGATATGTATCAGGTGTTGGAGGTTGGAAGGAAGATCCTTTTGGGGTACGTACCCCTTTCCGGTCAGCTTTCAACTACAACTTCATTCCACAATATAACTGCACATGAGGAGGACAGAGGATGATCCAGCAGAACAAAGGAGAATGCAGACACTCGAGCGCATCACGGCGTATATGTGCTAAACTGGGCCACCATCACGAGCAGAATACTACCTCGCTATCACCGGTCCGCCGCCGTTATTACCCTTGAACGGCCCAACTCTGTGCCCCCGTCTCCAGGTTCTACAAGTATCCCAGGCCAGAAGGGAACCGCATACGGATTTTAGCATCGGACGGCCTCACGTACGCATGACGTCTACCGCCAATCACGGACAGCAGGATGGGGTCTTGCACAAAGTTCCCGTTCGGCCTATCTTCTGCTCCATCGTCGTTCTGGAATGCGGATTTGCTCGACCATCTCTTCCGCTAGAAGATCGATCCAATCCGCCGGCGGTAGCTGTACAAGCTTTTTTGGCTCAGGGCATGGATGGCATGACGTACCTTGAAGAAAAACCTCTGCCAGTGTCCAATCAGACGGTCAGGTCGGCATGACCTCGTATGTACGCCTATTGAGTGGATGGAGCGTGGAATGCGCCAGCGATCCTGAAACGCGGATCATCCTCTTCCTCTCGCGACAAGCAGAGATGACGACGCCTCTGGACCAGAATTATCGCTGTCGGTTTCTCTGATAAAGATAATCCCCACGGTGGCCCCCTTGAGATTTTACCCTGCAAGGACCCTGTCTATACTTCGAGAAGGCAGATACAGCCCCCTGTCAGGAAGGCCCCGGACAGGGACCAGGAAGCTTGCGAAGCGTAAGGAGAATTATTTTGGCCCACATATTCTGTTAAGAGATTTTGGTTCAGTCGCCAAAATTGATCCCTGATCTTATTACGGGCGCTCTTCACGAGGCGACGGCACGGAAAGTCAAGCTACACATCAACCTCCCTGATAAGAAAGAAGCGGTGGAGATCGCCTCATCGACTCCTCCGTGCTTTCAGGTGATTACCTGACGCTTCATGTTGGGCTTACGAAGTATATGGGACTTCTCCATACATTTATATATATGCCATCCGCCGTCAAACGAAGCTAACCCTGAGATTTTAGAGTGCAGAGGCCTCGGAACATAAGGTGTTTCGCATGAGTTTGAGATTTTATGTTTATTGTCCGCCCGGCCTTAAACGAGATAACCAGGGTTTCAGAACTGGGCGCGAACATTCGGCCAGGCCCGCCTTAAGAGCCAGTCTTCGTCGCTGCACTTATCTTAACGCCCTTAATTTGACTATTGCATGCTGACTATGATCACGACATCCTATGTCTGCATGTTCACCGGGAAAATATCGGCAACTAATTGCGGATATACGGAGTACAGGTAGGACATGTATTACCTGAATATTGCAGTTTGGGCCCATTTTGTACCCATGATCTCTCGCACGGTATGCCCGCCCATCTGGGCGATATCACAACTTGCCTCTTTGCCGCTTGTCCACGAACAAAGTACAGTTCATTTGCGACACCGTATTGGGTGGCCAACCACGCATACCCGCCGAAGGCGACGGGATGTGGGCTTCTACTTGGCACCATGACGAGTTTTGGCCTTCATATGCTCACTCCTTCCTCACATGGTAAGGGAGATGTACGATCTTATCTTGGCTGCGAACTTCTCCGCTTCAAACAATACTTATATTTGACGTACGATCGTATATACACGCGCGGCGGCCGTGTGATCGTCGGCCCAGAGAAGAAATCAATGCAATGAAACACGTAAGTACCAAGAGGCCCCTGGCTAATTGTCGTGACGCTACAAGGATCCTCTCCAGAATCATTTTGAAGATCTCCCAAGAAATACGAACACTCTGACATATTTACGCCTTGTGTTCCTGGCTTCATTCGGCTGAGTGGAACAACCTTTGGATATCATCGCTCAATGCCTCACGACGAAGGATTAAAATGCCTCGATCAGCATTGAGATTCCATCTGACTAGATGAGGGGTGAAAGAGGGGAAGAGGCATCAAGTCATACCATAGCAGCATCTGGTGCAAGGCGTCTATAGCCTTGCTGTTAGATTCGGTATTCTGGGAGTACGGAGATGTCGATTGCATATATTCCCCCGCTCTGTAACCATTTACCACTGGTGCACAGGCGATGTTTCTCGGATTTTGCGGGGTATATACATGACGCCGACGTTTCTGAATATTCACTATATATAGCCTGGCAAGGTACAGAATGTTTCCGCGACAGACGAGCCGCAAGTGCTGAAGATTCGTGTTGCTTATTTGAACTCTCGTTCTGCCGAACACCATGCGATGTTACCACGATGATCCCATACCCCAGGTCAAGAAACAAATCTGGCTACCAATAGAAGTGCTGCATCGTTGACTAGTTAGGGAGAACGTTCAGCCGCCTCAAGCCTTCGGGGCTACATTCTTAGGTTGGGGGAGATACATTTAGTACCACCAGAGGTTTCCTACGGTTGAATTGCTTCGTTGGCCTACGTTATTGCCCCCTTAATATATAGAGAATTCTCAAGAATCTTATGGCCCCGTCACAATCTCTAACATTTACTGTCTCATCGAGCTGGGAGTATATTTAAATATAGTACCAGTTAAGCAACAAGAGAGAAACAAAACTAATCTTGAAACAAGAAATTAACGTTCTCATATACTTCAGTATATGTGGTCGTGTGGCCCGAAAGACCCCTGCCAGGATATCGAAGGGTGTGCTATATCTCTGACGAAAATAGTCGACTTACCTAGTATCACAATAGTAAGTCACAAAGCCAGATGTAGATATCCGAATGTAGTGTCCGGAGTACCCCGTATTCATATTCTTATAATTGAAACTACCTAAGCACCCGGGATTTGGACAGCCATAGTGGCCAAATACCTGACATTGGAGCAGTGTCTCGTGTAAGAGCTGTGAGGTTGGGATTCTGATGCTTCTTCAGTTTGTTGAAGCCAAAAGTCATCTTCGTGTCTTGATATCGTATCTATGGTATACAACTTACACTAAATACATGTATTAACAAAATATTATTGGATAATATGATTAGGTCTGGTATCGTCTGTAATAGCATGACTCAGCAGCTGAATAAGCAACACTATATCTAATAACGTAATCCACATGCGAGCCGGCCACTCAAGCGAGCCGGCCACCAAATTGATTATATATAGATTAGTTGTCAGAATCTTCGTGTGTACGGCGTCTTGGCAGTATCAGGCCAACGCCACTCCCCCCTGCAGATCTGTTTGATTACGGCTCGTACATACGCTACGCCTTCCCCCATATATAGAGGCCAGATATGGCCTGTTTCCCTAGTTATTATCATCATTCATCGATATTAGGCCTATTTTTCGCTCTTTGCTATTGTATCTTGGGCTTATAGGCATTGATTTGCCGTTCCGCTGTGTCCCGTAGAGACGCCATAATCGTACCGATCATTAGCGCGCTCCGATATTAGTCAACTTTTTATATGATAATTAATATTAAAAAAAAAGTATTAAATTAAAAATTAAATAATACTAGGATTAGGATATCTTGTTCTTCTATATCTAAGAATATTATAATTACTATATTATGGTTAAGCTCATAATTATGGTTATAAGGCTGATGGTTTAGCTTTAGTAGACTGATTAATTATATATTTAGTAGATAAATTAGGGGGGGTAACAAGGCTTTAAGCTTCTTCTCTTATAATACCCCCTGGTTGTTGAATTCTATGATTAGATCTTATATATTTTTGCTTCTCTTTTTTATTTATAGTAAATATATCCTGATATTGCTTCTTTATTATTATTATAGTAACTATCCTATACTTATAGACCTTAATAATTTGATTAAAGCCTTTCTTAAATTATTTAAAGGGTTTTATATAGTCTTATCTAAAAAGGTTCTTAACCTTATTTGCTTATCTATATAACTAGTAAGGGTTACTAGGTGTTTATAGACTGTCACAAGCTGACGGCGCTCCTTGATTACCTAAAGGTGATCAGAGATTCACACCTGCCGTAAGACAGAAGGTATAAAGGTCTTAGGGAAAGCTTAAGTTAGAAGTAAGTTATTATAGGAGATGGCTTAGTACTAGGGTGAGATAGAATACTATAGCAAGACTATCCCTCAGTTCTAAGTGTGGCTTCAGTCAGTGCCTGGGTCGGATAAAGGCTGAAGGTCCTTATGAGTAGTAAAGACAAAGTTAACCTACGTTAATGGGCAAAGGGGTATTTAGTAAATATAGTATAAGATAACTGGAATGGTGCTTTATATTGAGTAGTATAGTAAAACTGTAGCTGGTTTGATCGCAAGTATAAGACTCTTGATCCTAAGGTAATGAGCGTCTTTATATATATGGTATATACCTAGTGGCTCTCCTGGCTCTCCTGGCTCTCTAGGCGAGTTGGGCGAGCTGGGCGAGCTGGTGGCTCTCCTGGATAGCTGGCTCTCTATAGCGAGTCGAGCGAGCCGGCTAGTCAGTAATTCATTCTTCTGGTGATCCTTCTGGATCAATTGTTGCAGCCTATGAAGTTGTGAGGCTGTTGGTCTGTAACATCATCCCCTCCTTTCTTATTAAGTCGTCCTGACGAGTCCTATTTATATTACACCCTTCTTCCTGGTACATTACCCTATGTTTCCTAGTTATTTATTCTTGACTAACCATGTTATCTAAAAAGTCTCTAAATAATCGCCTTCTTGCTGGCCATATTGCTTAGTTT